GGAATAAAGTAAAGATTATGTCTAAGTGGTGCACAAGTCTCTCCATTGTGTGGTATATCCAGAAGCACCTTCGTCGATAATCATTCCACTCCTCTTTATATGTGCAAAGAGCCCCTATCCTCAAAAAGAGAAAAACACAATATCGATGACACATGCACAAGATCACTTAGAGGAGGGCGAGGACACAGGGGAAGGCTTCTTCTCCTCCCCATAAAAGTTGCGGAGAACCTGCTCTACTTCTTTGTAGTCCTTCTTGACTTCGGTCAGGGTCTTCTTAATGTTCTTCAACGAGGTCTCCTCATCGGGCTCGTCGGCCGTGCCAGTCTCGTCTTTACCTGAGCCATAGTGCTGAATCTTCTCACAGTGCTCCTTGACCTTGCTCAGACCCAACGTTGCCGACGATCCCTTCAGGAAATGTCCCAGCGAAGAAAGCTCCTCGAGCTTCTTCTCTTCTCTAAAATGACACTTCAATGTTAATGCAAAACGACTTCCCCCCTAAAAAAAAAAAAAAGTAAAGGTCGGGCCAGCACTTACAAAGCCTTCTCCATCTTCTCGAATGTGGTCTCGGCCTGATCAAAGAATCCATACACAATTCCTTTGCTGAAGTCTCTGTCGTCATCGTCGTCCATCTCCAGGATCTGATCAAAAGTGCTCTGGTCCAGAACCTCGTTCATTTCGACCGCCTTCTTAGGAGGAGGGCTCTCCTTGGGCTATTTAGCGGGGTCAGTGTGATCCATTTATCGCGACAAAGCAAAATAGATACGTACAGTTTCCTCAACGGTCTTGGTGGTAGTTGTAGGTGTCATGGTTGCAAAGAAAAGTGGTGTGTGGTGATGCTAAGCGCTCGTGGTCCAATCACGGATATAAAAGGGATGAAGTGAATGAGAAGGTCTCTGCTGACGTCTTCTGCTTGCTGGCTTAATGCAGTTGGTGTGACTCTGGTGAATGGAGTCTTCAGAAGATCAAAGTTGAAAAATGCAAACAGTGGTCACGATGCTGTCGCAGACTGACTCGGTCTACACTGTGCGGATCTGTTATATCAAGGCATAGGTTAGTTGGCGCTCTTTGGATCCGAAGGCATAAATTACGGCAATATCAAAGTCAGGCGATGCGCGCTTCTGTGCATGGGACTCAACCGCAACGGATGCAGCCCTACGCTGCAAGCACATTACTGGCGAGGGAGGGGGGTCTTTTGACGATCCAGACAGCAAGAACGTATACATAGAGGAAATAGGGTGCAGGGAAATCAAGCGAAATCACCTCGGGTATGGTTTCTTCCCGTGAATTAGCAAGGATCGCAAGTATCGAAGATGAAACTTGGCAGAAACAGGGAGCAATTCACAGGAATGGAGAGCGGGAATAGCTTCGCAAATTACCGCCCCGGGTGGTACATCGGGGTTTTGGCGGAAGGGATGAGGATAGAAGGGATGTTAGGTATGACGGGGTTAAGGGAGTTCGTAGAGTAGGAGAGGTATGGGGCGGGAGGGACAGGAAGTAGCAGTAGCAGTAGTAGTTGTTACTAAAGGAGGGGGCATATTGTGAAGTCGAGGAAGAGAAGAGGAAGAGGAGGAGGGATGACCCGAAATCACCAAATCACACAGACAAGAACAACAGGGCCTAAATGGGAAAGGGTCCACATGGGATGGAAGGGAGAAATGATCATAATCACCAGCAACACCTGATAACCAACAGGGAAGAAGAGAGGCGAAAACAACAGCTGTCTGGATCAGGGGAGTTTGAGGAGGAAGAAGATCATGATCGTGATCATGATACTTGATAGCAGGAATGAACAGGAGGAGGAAGAGGGCCAGTAAGGCGTATGAGTAAACGGGGGCATCCCACCTTTACGGTTGATGACAAAAAAATGATGAGGTTGAAGATGGTCGATGAGCTCAGCTGAAGGGTATATATGATTTGCTGCTACCAAAGCCACCCAGAATACTACAACTAATAATAACAATCAGAAGCAGTCAGTCAGTCAGTCAGTCAGTCAGTGTTCAACAATGACAATCACAATCATAAAAGTTAACAATGGTATAGGATGAGGATGAGAGCCTAAGGAGTAGGGACTCACAGGAAACAACAGACAAAAGCAGAAGGATGAGAGGGAGGCTGATAGATTGATTGAATGGAGTGAGAGGAAAGCCCGACAGTTTCTTAATCTTCTGCCGTTTATTTTTTTTTTTTATTATTTTTCTATTTTTGTTTCTTTTCTTTTTTTCCCTTTTTTTTTTCTCTTTTGGCTCTTTTGCTTCCCTGGCGCGTTTAAGAACGGGGAGTAAAAAAAAAAAAAAAGAACGAACTACGAGAAAGTTGTGGAGGGGCAAAAAGTGGGCGGGGTTTTTTTTCCCGTAGAGCAGCGGAGACAAGAAAGGAAGACGGAAGAGGGAGCCAAGTAGATCAAGATGGACTTACCCGTGGGCTGATACTGACAGAGAATGGAGGTGATCTCTTAAGATTTAAGAGTCTAAGTAGAGAGAACAATCGAGAAAACAAGGCTGCTGGAAGTCCGTGAGGTTCGTGAAGTCGATAGGTTGATACTACTCGACGGTAATAATAATGATAATGATAATCATGTATGGCGGAGGAAAGGTTGATTGAATGTCGCCTTGGGAGATGGCGGGAGAGAATTATTATCAAGACAACCGAGCTACACTTGACTCGCAGTACTAGTGGGAATAGAAAGATGGATACTCCCTTGATAGTCTAGTCGATATCATTTCATTATGTTTCTCCGGAGTAGATTCTCCGTGAGTCGTATACTAATTCTCTATTTTGCAATTCGAGTGTGGCTATGACGCTGGATCTCGTTCTTCTCGAACAATAAATCGAATTTGGAATCCCGACGTCGCTACCGCTAAGAGACAGTGGATGCACATTGAAATCATCGCACCATGACTGACGTAGGAAGCCTGGTTTCCTATTGGAGTTGGGAAGGGGGGGTGTTACCTTGGGTTTATGGTACAGGGGGGAAACTGGTTCCACTTCGACATCATCAGTACTAGTACCTAGGTAGTAGTAGGTGGTAGTCGATAGTTGGTAACTGGTACTGATACTGGTACTGGTACTGGTACGGTCAGTAATGCCCCTCCTTAACCGAGACGAATAGATTAGGAAATGTCGCCTGAACAAAACCAACACCAGGATAGAAGAAGGCAAAGAGACCTGCGGAGACAAGAGGCAGACAGAAAAGTAAGACGGGTGAGATGCACCTTGAGACTCGGGTCCGTTCGTCAAATCAGACCGAAGCCCCCCCCCTTCTCTTCGCCCTCTTGGGAGAAGAAAAAGAGTAACCTAAAGACTGACATCAGAGCCGACACCATCGCACTCCCGCCGGCTGTTCTGGGCCCTCCAGTGACCCAAGGCCAAATATAGTGGAAGAGCGACAATTTCAATTTCTGCCGGTGCTTTGTTTTTTTGCTGCTCCTCAGTCCTCGCCCAGTCACCTTGGTATCTGTTGCTAGCGGCTAGCAATGGCCGACGAGACTAGGACCGGACTGGAGAATCTGTTAGAACTTAAGATAGAACTTAAGAGAGACACGAGATCATTTCTGGGGTTGGGCTGAAAGGAGAAGCGGAGTCGATGGGAGAAGCGATCATTATCAAGAATCAACATTCCAAATGGACGAGAATTGGATCAACTGACTCTTGAGTCTCTGACTCTGAAGCCATCTCCTTCTTATACGGCCACATTGGAAAAGGGTGGCATTGGATCTCAGAATGATGAATCTGGTTAGGTTGGGTGCATCGTGGAGTGCTCAGCAGTGATTGGCTGACTTGGCCCTGGAAGCCAATTCCGACCAATCGTTGCCTGTCAAATGGTTAGAAATGATATCATAGTGGGCCAGCCACCGAGCGCCTATGACGTTAGTGGACCTGTGCCAAGTCTCTGCGAAGCTCAGACCTTGTGTGTCTTCTGTCTGGTAACGAAGCATTTACCCTACGTTCCTAGATTCTAGGTACCTAGGTCCTAGGATCCTCCATGAAATCTCGGGTACGCTGAGTACACTACGGAGGACCACCAGATGGAATACAGCCTATTATCGGAGAAACTCAAACAGACGAGGTAGGGGGTAAGTGAATATCTTGCGATGGAAATGAGAAAATTAAACAAGACCACCACTTCCAAATTCGACCCACTCCGTACTGCGTGGTTCAATGGGGTAACATGGTACGGTCGATTCTCGCTGGCATTATTCGGCCGGTTCTGCAGTAACCCAGCCTTCTGTCCCCAGGACTGACCAAGTCACCGAGAGACTCCATTTACGATCTCTGTATCTTGATTTTTGCACCGCTAGTCCAAATCAAGTCTTTCAATAGTCTCATTCTCCACATCGACTGAACTAACTACCCGACGGAGTACTCTGTAGTAGCAAACTGACTAGGGCATAGAGATGTTACGGATCTGATCCGAAGGCAGACAGTGGGATATGACATCAGACTGTATCGTAATTCAAGCCTTGGTGAAAGGGAAGCTAGCCAATGCTCCATAGTGCATAGCAAACAGCTGACTAGGGCTGAACTGTCAGTGTCAAGAAACTGTCATGTAACTGTCAAATAGTATCAACCGCCTTGATTTATCAACGAATTCACCTGATACGATCTCCGTGCTTGTCACAGATCGGTGTCTATTATTCTTCCTGCTTATCTACAAAGTAGGTAGAAAGGATTGCTGACTAACCACGCTGGTAAAGCATAGTACACCTGACGATCATCATCTGATATGATGACCTTCTAGAAGGAAGCTTCATCCATCTATATCTCTTCCTGATTGATCGAATCCACGTGGATTGCATCCAACATTGAATCGTGAGCCCTTAATGAAAGGTTCTTGGTTGTCTACTGTACCAGTTGCTCCGGCCTAAATCAACCTACTAATCAATTATTCTATCTTATGAGCTGACTGATGCCGAGGATCAAGCTGATATACAGTCTTACATAAGCACTCACTTCCCCAACCAAAAAAAAAAACAATTCAACCAGGCACAACAATCCGGTGATGGACTTTTTCTACTATCCCTCGCATTGACAAGCCATCGCCTGTCAACTCCTGTAGCCTGACCTGTCAATAGGGAGCTTTTTGTCCCTATCCGCTCAAGGAGATCATTTTCCTGTTCAAGTGAGCGCAACCATCACAATGTCCACAACCACCTCCTCCACGGCCCCCCGGCCCTCCGCGTCAAACCTCACGCGTCTCTACCTCCTCGCCTATAATACCATCAGTTTCGGTCTCTGGGCCATCTGCACCGTCCGCGGTGCGATGCTTGCCCTCTCCTTCGCCCCCTCCGGCCACCTCCCCGCCGTGTTCCACCACGTCTATTCCCCGCTGCTCACAACCACCCAATCGCTCGCTTTCCTCGAGGTTCTGCACAGTCTGCTGGGCATCGTGCGTGCGCCCGTTGTCACGACCGCCATGCAGGTCGCCAGCCGGCTGCTGCTGGTCTGGGGTGTGATGTATCTCTTCCATGACCGTGGCGATGGGCAAGGCGGCATTGTTGGCGGGGACTTCCACGAGGCGCTGCCTCAGGGTCCCGGGGCAAAGGTGGGCGATTATGCGTTCATGGGATGCTTGAGCGCGTGGGGAATCACCGAGTGTATCCGGTATGGATTCTTTGCGTTGCAGGTCTGGGGTAGTGGGGTGCCGAGTTGGTGGACTTGGTTGAGGTATTTTTTTCCGCCCCCCCGTCCGGTTGATGTCGGGTTTCTTGGCTGACGATGGTAGATACAACACCTTTTATGTCCTTTATCCCCTGGGCATTAGCAGCGAGTGCGTCATGCTTCTCAAGGCTCTGAAGCCCGCGGCTGAGTGGCATCATCTGTACCGGTGGTTCTTGGTTGCAAACCTGGTGATCTATGTTCCTGGTAAGTTAGTGGTTCGGGGTTGAACAGGGCGTATGCTAATGGCTTAGGCTCGTATATTCTTTACACGCATATGATTGCGCAGAGACGCAAGGTCCTCAAGAAGAAGGGAAGAGCCGCGTAGATGATTGTCGAAGTGGATGTAGATATGGGTATAGATTGACCGAAAGAAGATGCCAGCGCCAGTGCTTGACTCTGTTGATCATTTTTTTCATGCAGTTGTATAATACATAATCATCATAGCGTCTATAATTCTTTCATGATGTCTCGTACCGCCTTGGCAGCAAACTTCTTGCGCTCACCCTCTGGTAACTCAGCGCTCATGTCTGTATTCATTAGACCCGAACCATTTCTGCATGATCAAGACGACATACCTCGAATAGCCTGCATGCGCATCATCAACGCCTCCAGCGAATCGACCTGGAGCCCGTCGTCGTTGTCGTCCTCATCCTCGCCGATCCCATCACCGCCGCGCTCAATCGCCATGCGCAGCCCCAGCATCTCGCGCTCCAGCTCGTTCACCTCAAGATTGAACCCATTCTCCGCGTTCAGGCCCAGCAGCTCCGCCTCGAGATCATCTTCGTCTAGCATGCCAGACTCCTCGCCGTCCGCATCCTCCGCCGCGGCACTCCAATCGTGCGTCTCGAGGATCTCCTTGATGCGACGCATGCCCTGATACTCTGCGCCGTGTTAGCCAGCACCCCAGATCGCGTCCCCCTAGCCCTAGGCAAAGCCAACAATTTGAATGCAAGGGGAAAGAAAGTAAGAACGAACCTCCATATCGATTCCGTCGCTCACTATCCACCCCTTTCGCCTTCGGATCCCACTCCACAACCTCAACCCCCAACGCCCCCATCTCAAACAACTGATCCTCCCACCACCCGACAGAAAACGGCTCGTCGTCGCCCTCTTCGCCCAGATCACCATCCTCCTCCTCCTCCTCCTCCTCCTCCTCACCCTCACGTCCCGTGCCGGCCCCCTGTTTCTCCCCCCCAGACCCAACCAACACCAACACGCCAGGTACATCCCCCACCCCACCCTCCCTCTCCTCCTCAATCAGCCCGCGCACCCGTGCAACCGCCCCAACAAACTCCGTCACGCTCCGCGCCTCCTCCGCATCCCCCGCAGCGTCAAGATTCCGAACGCAAACCACCACCGCGCCAACCGCGTCCCGCACAACCCGCGCCTCGGGGCTGGAGAATTCGCGCGCCCACTGCGCGGCCGTAGATGGCTCGACCTCTGCGCCTGCGTCTGCGTCTGCGTCTACTCCCTCATCCACATCCCCAGCACCACCATCCCCATGATCGTCGTGTGACTGTGATTCTGGCTGTGGTTGTGGCTGTGGTTGTGGCCGCGCGCACGGAACCTCATCCACCCAGATCGGAACGTCGGCGGTATAATACCGGTTTGCGAGACGGAGGGGCGCGTGCGTGGTGTATCCTGCGAACGAGGCGGAGGGGTCTGGGGTTGCGTCTGTGAGGGCGTGGAGGAGGGGGGGGATTGTGGTTGGGGCGTCGCGGGGGTTGGTGAGGATGAGGAGGCGGCGGGGGTTGCGGATGTGGGTTTTGGGGGTGGGGTTGGATTTGGTGGAGGTCGGAGGTGGTGATTCTGTCATTGTGGTTGATGTGGTTAATGCGTTTGGTGTGGTGGAATTGGTGTTGTTGGGTTTTGGTGAGGATGGACTTGAGCTGCTGCTGGTGGTGCTGGATGAGGAGCTTTGGGTTGCGGGGAAATTGGCGGAGATGGAGTTGATTGCAGTGAGAGGGAGAGAGTGATGAAGTACGGTGTAGATGAGATTAGAGGCATTACTATTACTTTTGTAGCTGATGGATATTTTTAAGGTCATATGGCACCTTGGATATCAATTCTGCAGTCCTTGGTTCATATTCAGTCGTCAACCTCCCTGGTGAGTGCCATAGCATCCGATCCTCACCCAACCCCATCGAACACACCACAGGCCAGAGATGACATCTCAGGCATTAAAAACCCCATCCCATCCATGCATAGACCAGAAACCTAACTTGCAGTTCCAGTTTGAACAAATAGAATCACATTTTTTCAATCCCACCGAGTAAACCATAAAAAACAACAACGTAGATAAAAAAAAAAAAAAAAAAAAACGCCAAACGAAAACATCCACCCTCTCAACCCCGTCTCTGGCCCCGAGCCCGCTGCACCGTCGCCTTACCACGCGCCAGACCAACACCTCTACCGCGCTGGCCCCGCGAGCGGAACATGGGCGCGTTCCTAGTAGCGGAGAAATCAGCACACCCGTCATCACTGGTCCTGCCACGAACAATGTTCCCCCTAAAGGGAGGAAGGAAGGAAAAGGGAAGAGGGGAAGAAGACATACCGGAGCATATCCGGGACGATGAAGAACTTGACATGGCTGCCGCGGATGTACACCTGGTCGAGATGCGACACGCGCCCGTCGCGCGCGGTGACTGTGATATCCTTGAGTTGGACGTTCATGTTATCCTCGGCTAGAGTAGAGCGAAGTCAAAAATCAGCGGGTTGTTTTGTTCATATCTTAAGGAGGAGGGGGAGAAGGAGGTGGTGGTGGTGGTCGTCGTCGTCGTTGGGGGAGGGGAGACAAGAGAGATCGTACCCTCCAGGAGCTTGCCGCGGTAGACCACCCCCGAGGTGATTTCGAGGGTTACGACGTGGCCCTGGCGAGAGATTGTTAGTCGGAGAACAGGCAGGGAGGAAGGATTGGTGATGGAAACACACCTGAGCTTCATTCAGAAGCTTGATCGGGATGCCGATTGTGCTGGTTAACTTGCCCATTGTGGAGGTGGTGATACTGATGGGTTGGTTGATGTTACGTGAGGAAGAAAAAAAAAAGCGTTGATGCGATCGAAGCAAGGTCTCGAAGAAGAGAGGGACGGGTAGCAGAATAGCTTGACTGATCCGAGGACGGGTTGAAAGCAATGTCGCGATGTCTTCACAATTGTTATAAAAATCCGGCGAGGAGCTAGCTGAAGCGCGATGGAGGTTCTGGTCCGGCGGAGCTCAGGAAACCCTTTGCCTTGGCGTAGTTGGATTGTGCGGCTCTGCTGTCTTGTCTGTTAGTGTCGATAAAGAATTTCGGGTTATTGCGGCCAAGACACGGAGATCTTCATCTTCATTTTCATCCATTTTCAATTGCCAATTGACTACTCCGTTCTGTACATATTCCAATCACTCTCTATCGACTCGACTACATTCATTAACTCCATCAACACCACAAGCCAAAAGCAAGAGCTACAAAGAAGGAACAATGCAAGGCACACCCAACACCAACCTCCGCGGCTTCAACCACGCCGTGCACACCCTCCTCCGCAACCCCTCGCAATTCCTCCCACACCTGACCATCCCAACCTTTACCTCTCTCCCCGAAAACCTAGGCCCACACCTCAGACCATCACCATCACCATCACCGTCACCGTCACCTTCGCCCTCAGACACCACCGAAAAGCCCCGCACCACACCCACACCCACAATCCGCGCCCTCGTCCTCGACAAAGACAACACCCTCTGCCCCCCGAAAACCACAACCTTCCCGCCGCAAATCCTCACCAAGCTTCACGCGCTTCGCACCTCGCCTACCTCGCCCTTCAACGCCACCACCTCCCCAAACTCCATCCTGATCGTCTCCAACCGCGCCGGCAGCCACCCGGCCTTCGAGGCTGAGGCGCGCGACATCGAAACTCGGCTGGCCGCGCTGCGCATCCCCGTCTTCCGCCTGCCGGCGGGCACCGAGAAGAAACCCTTCTGCGGGCGCGAGGTGGTGGACTGGTTCCGTGAGCGCGGGGTGGTGGCGCGCGCGGACGAGATCGCGGTCGTGGGCGATCGCTTGGGGACGGATGTGTTGATGGCGGCCATGATGGGGTCGTGGAGTGTGTGGTGTCGGGACGGGGTGTATGAGGGGGTGGAGCCTGGGAAGGGGAGGCCTGGGATGAATATTCTTGAGAAGATGGAGGTTTGGATTGAGAAGTATCTGAGGGAGTCGAGGGGGTTGAAGGCGCCCGCGCCGAAGGGTTGGGAGCGTCAGTAGGTTGTTTGGGGGGGGGAATTTTTTTGTATCTTTTAAATTATACTCTTTTCGATACCCCTGTATATCATCTGCATTCTAGATCTTTTCACTTTGAGTCGCGGTGACAATGGAGGACAGGACGCGTCCATCATGTAGGCAATGGTCAAATGAAGTTGAAGTACGTCAATCTACAAAGATACACGAGATACAGATGGTGTCTGCAGTGGATCCAGACTGGAACGAGGCGCTAATGATAAATTCAAGTCAAGGGGCCAATTTGAGTGGGAGACTCGAGCTCAAAACCTCATAAAAGACAAAGTGAAAAATGCAAACAATCCCTATACCCGCCGACCCGGAGTAGAACAAAGACAAAAAATGAAGATCCAACAGATATCGCCCGTTTTCCTCTCACTTCCGGCATAACCACGTTAAATACCCCTGACCGTGTATAGAAGATAAAGAAAAAAAAATAAAAGAATAAAAAGGTCAGGGGCGAAATCGAGAAAAGTAGTATGCTATCAAGATTGGCCAAAAGAATAATGAAATAAACAAAAACAAAAAAGAAAAGAAAAAGGCATTAGGACCAGCCGCAGGATAGAAGGGTATAGATACAAAGGAGCACAACATAAAAGAAACTGAAAACAGGCTGACAGATATCACGAAAAAATGCAATTTTAGTCTGTGGTATCGTCCTTCGAGCACCGGGAGACAACCAACCCGCCTCTTGAGATGTCAAGTAGACGGTGGATGCGCGTATATTCGGAGTAAATTGTTTATACTGCCCGGTGCGTTGAGTGTCTCCATGATGTTGGAGACATAGGGTCAACCCAGTGGTATTGAAGCCCCAGAAAGAAAAATCCAAGTGGAGGGGAGAAAGAAAGCATCAAACAGCAACCGGGAATTGGTGTTCATGATCCCGGAGCCAATGCGTTAGGATCGACTCCTTTCATACCTGAATAGTCGGATGAAAGGAGCGGCGAGGCCTGACCGGATAGGGTTTGCATAGGAAGGTCGAACGTGTCGCCTTCAAGATTTATGGTGGTGGGAACCGAGTAACTCATACCCTGCTTGGAAAACATTCCATTCATGACCATGCCGTCATCGGTGAAGTTGCCCTGTTGCTCGCTCCCCAGTCCGTACATATCTTGCGGAGTATGGGCCAGGTTTGACAGGGGAGGCGAATGCTCCGCAATCATCGGATCCGCGTGGCTAACAGTCGAGTACGGAGAAGCCGTATGTCCCGCCAGATGGGACGAATCCATGGCTGAAGAGACATACGGCAGGGTGAACGACGGTCCCATGTTCGCAGCAACAGGGGTAGACTCGCCGGTTGCACAAGTGGTGAAGAGGGAGGGGCTCGCAAAGTCAGACGGGGAAGTGGTGGTCGCAGCGGACATCGGATGTCCGCGAGGATCAAAGCCGTAGGATGCGGAGGTATCGATGCGCAAATTCATCGCGATCGGGTGTGCCGACTGAGGAATCGGCGCAAATATGTTCGTGTCCGCATTGTGGAAGGGGGCTGAGGTTTGGGACAAATTGTACGAAGGGAAAGGGCTCATCTGCATGGCAGAGAAATCAACCGCAACAGGAACGGAACGACTCCGTTGCCGCTTGTGTCCGCGATTGACCGGCACGGTCAGCGCGGAATGGTCTTGGTACATGTTCAGGAACGCAGGCGCGAATTGATTGGGTTGAGAGGCAGGACGCTGGATAAATTGCGGCGACATGGGAGGGGCCATCGCGAGGTTGTTATATGCCAGACGGTTCTGGAAGGACTCCAGCGACACCAGTTTAGCCAGCTGAACACTGAGGACCTTGGGATGACCGCCAAGATGATGCACCATGATCTGGCTGGCCTGCTGGTCCTCGGTGAAATCCCCACACTGATAGAATCCACCCGAGTTGGAAGAGTCCATGTAGAACAGTGGAGGACGGTTCAATTCCACGACCAGGCCCGCGGGTCTCGGAGGAGCACCAGTGGACGAAGGGTTGTGTTCGCCAGACTCGAGTGTGATGTTCTTGATATGAGAGAAAGGATACTCGATCTTGTAACCAGCAGAATCATTGTTGATGTAATAGGTCATGCAGGCCTTCTCGGGAGAGTAAAAGACCACCAAGTCCATGGCATTCTGTCCGATGCGCCGCCAGCTACCAATCGTCAACGATCGGCAGGTGAAGTGGTGAATCACTGAGAGATGTTAGTTGATTATATTCTACCAGTATGCAGCTTAATGCAATCCTTCAACTCACCAACTTTGCCCGAGGGAGCCGACTCGCTCAGGTAAGCGCCGGTTGCTCCATATCCGCCTGTACGACCAAAGGGGTCCCGTACACCCGCTTTGGTAGGATCGAATTGCATGGCCAGATACTGTCGCATTGACTCGGGGATGGAATCGCAGCCTTCGCCGGTTTCTATACTCTTCTTTGCGAGCATCTTGATCTTGGCCCGTCTATGACAACCCGTCTCTGTTAGCCAAATCGACAGCTTCATGCGTCACATTGCAGCGTTTCTACACACCTATTTTGGAACCAGATCTGAACGGAACGTTCGGTCATATTGATCTCCTGAGCGATGCGCTCGCGTGTCGCAGCCGTGGGGGTAGGGTTCTTGTTGAATTCGACTTCCAGGGTGACCAGCTGATCCTGTGTCGCCCTTTGTCGCTTGTTGTTCTTCTGTTGTTGGGTCAGGGTGCTTTTCCGAGGCGGACGGCGCGCTGCAGATGCTGAAGGGGTGGTGACAGCGCTCGACATCGATGGGGAAGGGGTCGATGCCACGGAAGAGGACGAAGCGGTGTTGGTGGCCGTGCCGGAGGAAGAGATCGACATGGTCGATGGGTCGGGTGTGTCTCTCAAAGACATGGTTTGCAGGAGAAGACAGTGAAAAGGAGAGTTGTAGCCGAGTGAGTGAGTTTCCGAAGAAAAGGTAGGCAAAGAGTCAAAAGGGTGACGATCCGGTCGGCAGCGTTGTGAGAACGAAGGATAAGTCTTTTGAGATCTCTCCAAGCAGCGTCAAGCGCGAGAGAACCAGTTGTGATGATCAAAAACTGGGGGGGGGGGGTAGGGATCGGACTCAGGATCGAGATGTCTCCAAACTACAGTCCAGGTGGAAGATGGCGTGTCACAGCAGCGTCAAGCTGGGACGGGAAAAAGTGTATGGATCGGGATGGAAAAGAAAACAGGGTAGCTGGCCTAGGCAGCTATGGATGGTTTCAAGAAGGTAATCGTCGAATCTTCGCGACAGGACGGATGACTCGGATACGAGATTATCACGAATTCACGATGATAAAAGAGCGTAAGGTCGATGACAGTCCGACGGAGGTTCAAGCGAAGAGAGCGAGATTCAAAAGATCGTCGTAAAAGAGTGGAACGAACGACCTGGAAGCTCAGTAAAAAAAGGTGTGGGTAGAAAAGAGTGAAAGAATGGAAGAATCAAAAGAGTGTGATGGAAAAAAGTTTCCTAAAAAAAAAAATAATGAGAGAAAAGGAAAAGAAGGCTGACAAGATGACTGGGGGAGGGGAGAAAAGGAAAAAGAGAGAGGAAGAGAAGAGAAGAGAAGAGGGAGAGAAGCAAACGGGTGGAGGAGGAGGAGGAGAGTGAGGAGAGGGCCCAGTCAGCAGTAGTAAGCCTATAGGCTACCTACACCCCGTAAGGTAGGTAGTTACTACTGTGTAGGTAGTAGATTGGTAGACGGATACACTGCTGGGTACTACGAGAAGTCCAGTCCACTTCAGCCTTCACAGACTCAGTTCTAGCCTGAGGTGGACTTTGGTCCCGTCTGGGTTTAGCGTCAGTTACCGCAACTCCGTCGCTGCAACCCAAAAGGGGGTTAGACTGAATGACTGATAGCCACACGAGGAAGGACTAACTAGGAGTAGACAGTACTACATAGTCTCTACAATTCTACTGTACCAGTGTACAGAGTACTCCGTACATACTCCGTACTTTCCCAAACCCTAGTAGATAGGAGTAGTAAGGAGCCTGGCAGCCTGAGGTTTTAACTTTTAGTAGGTCAAGGAAGGGAAATGCCACAAAGGGTTTAGGGGCTGGGTGGCTTCTGTTGTTCCTGACTTCCTGTTCCTGTTCCTCCTGTTTCCTCGCTTTACGGTTTGGAACTACGTTGGTTCAATAAGATCATCAACAATTGATTAATTAATCATTTATTTATCAATGTCTGATATTAATCGTACTATCGTAGAGTTAACAAAAAAAAAAAAAAAAAAAAAAAAAAAAAAAAAAAAGCCTTTCGACTATCCCCTCATTCGGAGGAAGAAAAAAAGAGGAACATCACTCCAATGGTGGTCGCTTCGTGTAGGAAGGGGGGGAAGGTGGAGGAGGCGTATCAGAAGTCAGAACTAGCCACGATCATTGTTCGTGAGTTTTGGCCCCTGCATCCGAACTGCACCTGCTGCCCAATATGCTGCTGCTGCTGCTGCTGTGGGAGCAGAAATCAGCAGATACGGACATTCGGATACGAAATCAAGACCGGGAAAGCCAAGAACGCCGGCCACTACTGTTTTGAAGTCCACTCGTCGTCAACAGGTACTGTGTATGGAAGATTGGAATCAAACCACAAAATAATTGCATGGTGAGGGGTGACAAGAACCGGAAGGGAACTTTTTTGGAAGAGAACTGGAAAGGGGCCGGGCAAGGATTTTCTCCTGTCCATTATTATTCTTCCTTGAATGGTTGAACCATCAACCAACCTTTCCAGTTACTATTGTTAGCACTTAACACCGATTCTCTTCCCAACGGAGGAGGACTCGGAGGTTGGAGGTTGTCACGATGTGCTGTCACTTTCCATCATCTACTGGTTTACTTGATGTGTTCCGAAAATCCAGTCCATCCTTTGTCGAATGATTTGGTCAGTCTAGTATTCTGTGTCGACCCTTGATTCTTGTCTGAATAACAGAAAAAAAAAAAAACATCATCCATCATCATTGTTAGCACGGATTTCCGAGGATGCGATCAGGTACCCGCCTCCCTGACCGAAGTGGAAGTGAGATTGATTGGCCAGACTCTCCTGACAGCGCCAACTGGAGTGGAAACCCGCTCTCAGGTCCCCATCTCTTACTATTGGATATTGTGATTGTGGACTGTGGGAGACGGGAGTTGTACGGAACAGAGTAGACTGTTAGTGTTATGGAGTATCGAATACGGAATAGTCATCAGTTATAAGTTATAACTAAGCAAATCGTCTCCATCGAAGTTGGCGTTGTCGCTTAAACGGCAGTCAGAATTCAGAAACTGGTTCCATCAAGGTCTCCGTAGTAATAGTGTTTGTTAGTTGTTACAAATCAATCCAACCCTCGAACCTCCCAAAGTAACTAAGTACGGTTACTCTGTAGGTCTGTGGTCTAATGACTTCTCAAACAATCAGACAGATAACGGACATATCCGTCTCAGAGTCCTACCTTGATGTATAGATACTGCAGTGCAAGCAGCAAGGGCATCGCATCATATGTAGATAGTCACGAGTCCCAAATCACCCTTACAACTTATGTTACTGTGTATATCCAACTAACTCCCTACTGCGAAGGGGACCGGGGCCGTTTCCGATTCGCATCAGCCAACAATAACACCAGTCACCACAAAACCCACCTCATGCTCGTTTCGGCTTCCAGTTATGACTCGTGAGTCGTCTGGACTCACTCACTCATCCATTACCTACCTACGGAGTAGTCAGTAGTCATCCATAAGCCCATTATCCAGTCCATTCAATATTATTATTATTGATGATGATGATGATGATTCATCCACCCCGTCCATGATCCGTGCGCCTCCCTTCTTCTTCTTCTTCTCCCAACTTCCAACCTCTCGCCAATTGGCCCAACCCACCAGGTAAAGGGGAGCCACATCATATGCATCACGATCATATCCATATCCATATCCCATTGCCACCACCACCACCATGAACCCCCCCCCCTTCCCAAAACAAACCCAACCCAGTCCCCCAACTCCAACTCCAACCCCCGGTTTCCAAAGGCTGGTGGTATACGTACACAAGTCCCAAACTGCACAGCCCCAGCCTTCCCAATAGCATATATAGCATAGCATAGCGCGTACGAAGATTCCAGAGCTCGGACTCAGTCTCTGTACTCCGTAGTCTATCTACTAACTACTCCGTACCTTACAACCTAAACTACAGATAACACCTCTGGTCATTATTGGTAGGGCGCGCAGTGCGCATATCATGACTACTAGGACTAGTAGCGCGCTACCCAGTGAAATGCATTGTAGCATGTAGTGTGCGCTATCCCCCCCCCCCCACCTTCTCTCTCGAGGATCCTGGTCGTTCTTGATCCGGACTGGGATCAGTGCATTTGCTGTGGCTGTACTTCGTGCTCGGTAGGAAGTAGGAAGTAGGGTAGGTTGGAGTATGGACTACTAGTAGGCTAGCCGAATGCTACAGACTACTTGCTAGAGCTCAGGCCGTAGGCTTACATTGGCATGTGATATAGTCATGGTCATAGTCATGGTCATGATCAGTACCTAGGGATATCTATTCCCTGTGTTTTTCCGCAGTACTCGCACTCCTTGAGAAGATTGTTAAACTACAGTGGTGGAATGGTATAGATCGAAAAAGAAAAAAAAAAGGCGTCCGTACGACCTGCTTCTCTAGATAGGTCTGAATGTACAATACAGGAATGGTATATATATAGACAAGACAAGAACAAGAAAAAACGACAAGACGGATATTCCCCCGGGGTATACGGTTGACCAACGCCATGGTGCTTCTTGCAAGCACAAAATCTTGAGACATCACAGAAGAGAGTTGAAAACAAAAAAAAAAAATTTAAAAAAAAAATCACTTCAGATGACCCTTGCGGATCGCCCCATACCCCTTCGAGAACAGCTCATGGATGTCCACCGATCGCCCGGGCTTGCTTGGCCCCTCGTCCTCCATCGCGTGCGCCGAGTCCGACACATCGCGCCCGGAAACACTACTTCGGCTCCCACCACTATGCTCGCTCGGGTGGATCTCCTCCGCTGTAACATGCTCCGGCCCCGGCTTGACCATCATCACGCGCGGCCGCGACAGGAGTTCCTGCACCTGCTTCTCGCGCGCCTCCATCTCCTCCGCCTCGCACGCCAGCTCGAAGCTGGATTTCTTCTTGCCACGATCCCAACCTTGTTGCAGCTCCGCGGCCGCCGCCTCCTCGAACCGCTTCCGGATCTCCAAGTCCTGCTCGTACTCCTGGAAGACGTCCACGTCCGTGGGGAAGAGGTTCGCCCGCACCGCGCTGATGGACACCTCGAAGACGATCACCGCGACCACGGTCACAAAGAGGACCGCCCAGAAAGCCAGGTCGTGGCCAACGTGGGAGATGAAGTTGTGGCGTACGTGGTAGATGCCGTCGCCGGATTTGATCGTGTATTGCTGCGAGAGGATCAGGTTCCACAGGAACCATCCCCCGATCGAGATCACCATCACGATCAACGAGAGGTACGTCTTGTTATGGACTTCCAGCGCCTGCAGTTTGGTGTTGATGATGATGACGCAGGCCGAGTAGGTAAGAAGACCCGTTGAGAAGATATCGCTGCCAGTGTTGGTGAACAAAACGTTTCCGAAAAGCCCATACATGACGAAAAAGACGATCATGGCCTCGCAGGTGGCCATAAATGTCCACCCCAGGTACAGCTTGATATTGAACCCGCCGTGCTGCTGCCCCTTGCTGTAGAGCTCCGGAACAGCCAGCAACGTAGACGCAGACAGGTCCTTGGTGAAAATACCAAGGAAGATGACCGCCAGCGAAGTAAACAGGGTATTGAACATACTTAGGCCCCACGGCTCGTAAAGACTCGTCCCCGTGTAGCCGTTCCAGCGCTGGTAGAGCGCTTGCGTCAGATAGAATAGCATTTCCTTCCAGAACGTGCCAAGCGTATACTTGCAGGCGCGGATGTAATTCCACCGCCCATGCACCAGCAGTAACTTGAGCAGGAATCTAAACTGCGCGATCGAGTAATCGGAAATCCGCGCGGCCTGTAGCCCTTCCTTGCCAGTGATACCGATTCCAACATGCGCCTCCTGGATCATGGCGATGTCGTTGGCGCCATCGCCGATCGCGAGAGTGACGGAGTCCTTGACCTGGAGACGGATCGACTTCACCAAAAAGGCCTTTTGCTTGGGACTGGCACGGCAGCATATCACCGAATCGACCAGAATGGCAAGGTTGAAGAATTGGGCCCGAAGAGTATCATCCGCTTCGATGATCGACAGCGTTTGTCCATCCACAACCACCACTGAATGGGGCACGGAGCCTTGGTGGATGTCTGCCGTCAGTTTCAGAATGGTGCGCTCCACATCCCCAGCCTCGTGGTCGAGAACGACCAGTGTAGAGTATTCCTTGACGAGACGGCAAGAATGGCCAACGTTGATGGCCGTTTCGCGCTTGTCGCCGGTCAACATCCATAATTTGATATTGGCGCGCCGGAGCTTGTCAATAGCTTCCGGTACACCCTTCTGCAGCTTGTCTTCGATCGCGGTCGCCCCGGTCAACTCAAGCTGCTGTTCGATTTGAGCTCCGACCTTTTCAATCTTCTCCTGCCGGTCAACAAGACTAGTGGTGGCCTCATGGAATGCCGCTTTCCACTCGTTATACACGGCATCGTCCAGGAAGCGATGACCATACATAAGTGTTCGCAATCCCTCTGTCGCAAAGTCGTTCAGGTGCTGGAAGCATCGCTCGAAAACAGCCGATTCATTGACCACCAAGGCTTCCTCGACCAGGTCATCGTCGTCCTCGTCATTGATGGAGCTTCCCGAATCGGAATAGGTTGTGGATGGTCTGCCCAACTGAGCGGATGGGCGAGGACTATAGTACTCGTTGTCGTACTCCCTCGCCAACAGACCACCGTCGGTTTCGCGGTCCCGGAGCCAGACATCAATACTCTCTCTCAGAGTTGAAACATTCTGCCCGGAGACACTGGACCGTCGGTTCCTTGTCATGCTAGGCCGGCTAAAGCTAGGCCGACTGAAGCTGGATCGAAGCCCACTGTCCTTCCGGTTTTGGTGTTCGCTGTTCCGTCTCATCACCTGGATCGCTTCAGCTGTCTTGCGCTTGCTCGCGCGCCTCTCAATCTCCACAGCTTTCTCGCGGGCGAGGGATGCGCGTTTCAGCAGCTGCATCAACGCACTATCGGCACCCTTGCAAAAGAGGCAGATGCGCTGGTCAGGCATTCGGACAATCACTGACATGCGCTTGCGGGCGCTCGAGAACTCGATGAGATCCAGAATCTCATAGACCTCGTCCAGTGGATCTTCATCCGGCCCGTTGGGGTAGGATCGAATGGTCAGAGTATTAAGCTGTCGATCTCGGACGAGATAGCCCAGATCCTGTGCGGCCATGACCAATGCCAATTCATCAGGAGACGCGGACTGGAAGGAAACATTTCCAAACTCGTCATCCTCCGGGATGCAAGTATGACACAGCGCTATCGCCAACAGAAACAGTTTGGCCTTCCGAGCAAATACAGTGTACGGCTTGCGTTGGATGTATCTCAACATATCGGTGGTGCGGTTGTTGGCCATGGACTTTCCAACCTTGGGTGGCGCGCACGTCATGGAGGGAGAGCCGGGTACTTCCAGTACGTTCGACACATTAGAAGCTCTCAATGCTTCTCGAGCGTCCGACGCGTTGGATTTGCGAGCCAGGGCCTTCTTCCCTTTGGCCCTTCGTTTCTTGTGGATGAGCTTCTCCCGGTCTCCTCCCTTGGCGGCTTCCTCGCGAAGGTCAAAGTCGTGGAACCATGCAGTGCCAGCCACGCTCATCTTGCGGAAGCGCATCGAATTGTTCGTCAGCGTGCCGGTCTTGTCGGAGAAGATGTAGCTGACTTGACCCAGTTCCTCGTTGATGGTGGAAGTGCGCGCTTCAAGCGGGGTGTCTGTTTCCTCGTCGTACATGTCGATATCGTTCAACAGAAGCATTTGAGCCACTTTGACGATTTCCATACTCACGTAGAGCGAGATGGGAATCATGGTATTGAACATGATCAGAAATGAAGTGAAGATAGGACCATAGTCCACATTAGCCTTCTTCAGATACCAGGCGCGGCGCTCGACACCCTGGGACCAGTACTTGTACGCAACGGTACAGGCGACCGCCAGGATGACGACCAAGCACACGATCAGCATCACAACACGGTTGACTTTGGCCTGCAGCGTGGGGGACTTGATCCGGGGATTCTTGTTGGCGTTCATCCGGATCTTGCACTCTTCGCCAGTGTAAATAATCATACCAAGAGCGCATTCGGTATTGCGTAGAATGCTACCGCGATAGACCACCTCGTTATTCGTCAATGGTAGTTTCTCTGCGTCGACAATCACGTTACCATCGAATTTGTAAAGATCGATGTTCGGATCCTCCACGGCTAAATGGATGGAACTTCTGTAAATGCCTTCAATGGTCCCACACGCTTTTGCTACTGGCTGACACGGTTGCTTGCTCTTGAGATTCGTTTCGCCGTCTAAAGCCATGGTTTCGATGTATGCTACACCGTTAGGTCCGGTCGCGTGAAGCAAGACGATGTCGGCTGGAACGGGCTGGTCCCGCTCGAGCCTGATCACATCTCCCACCCTGATGTCCTGCCACTTCACCATGACCCAGTTCCCTCCATCGCGTGACGAAGAGATCGAGCCGCTCTCACATGCACTCAGATTCGTCGCGATTGTAGCACCGGGCTGAAGCACGAAAGCGAGGCGATTGTTTTCCTCCTTATCCAAACAATAGCGACGCCAATCGTCGAAACCTTCTTTGCCCATTGAGATGCCCACGAAAATCAACAGCGGGACCAGGGTGGTGAAAGTGCCCGTGGTACTCAATCCGGGGATCATTTGCAGGATAGCCACGATCAGAAAGTAGAAGTTCGCGAGTTTGGTGAATTGAGCGAAGAATTGCCGCGGGAAGAAACTCCAGAAGCTATAGCGACTGGATCGGATCCAATTCCCTACGTAGGGCTTCCCCGTCCTGTCGTCAATCAAATCCTCGCTGCGAGTCACATCGAGATCAATATGGCGGCCATCTTTACTCGGAGGAATCTCCTTGATCTGAAGAATAGCTTTGCGTACGGTCTCGATTGCATTTTCCAACCGAACCCGAAACATTGTGCAAGCGGCTTTCCGCTTCAGCCATCTCTCATGCGAGACAGTCATGGAAGAGTGTCTGCCGCTTTTGAGATCGGTGTAGTAGGTCGTCGAACCGTCGTCTCTGGGGGTTGACTCCAGCATTGTTTTCGGCACGACCGCTACTGTTGGCTTCTCGTCTTCTATCGCCTGGTCCTTCTGACCATCCGCCACAGATTCTTGGGCCTGCTGCGACGCGGGCGTTGGGCCCAGCTCAATAGCGACAGGCGAGGTTGCATCCTGAATGTTTTTCGCGAAGATTGACCGACGAAGCGAATATCCGCGATTTCGAGATCGCGAACGGCCGACATCTGGACCCTGCGGGGACGGCGGAGAAAGCACAGTATTGGGGGAGAGCGGCGAGGTCAGTCCGCGATCGGGCGAAGTAACCGATGAGCGAGCCGGCGGCACCGCCGTGTTCGCGACATTCGTATTGATCGTCAAGCCCCTCTGGCCACGTTGAGACCCCCGAGATTCCTCCACAATGGGACGTTCGAGATCGGTGGAGAAGCGCACATGGTGCGGCTGAGACGCTCTTCGGCCAGGATCTGAAGGCACACGGGACGGGGACATGGACGACCGGGACGGAGCAAGGCTCTCTTGCGTAGGGACGCTATTCGACGACCGATTTCGTGAAAGATGAGATGCCCGTGTTGTATCTGGCGTAAGCTGACTCTGTGGACTCATCGTATGATCCTCCCCCTGTATTGTCCCTTCCGTGGTCTGAGTCTCGTGTCCTGATGCATCCTGTCTGGACATTGCGAGATGAACTCGCTAAGAATTATCTGCACCTGAACCTCGGATTCCTTCGCACAGCAGTATTTCCGACACGCCCTTTATTTCGAAGTTCAATCCAAGGCCTAGGCGTCCTTGTCTTTTCAATGTCGTCGCGCAAACCACGACCAGAGGATATTTCAAGCTGAAAAGATACAAGTGAAAGCGGTGAAATCCTGGGTCATTCTTCAGCTGTAGCGCTCCTGAACCCTGATTACCACATCTGCTGGCGGCTCGATCAGAATCGTTCAATAGAAGTGGATTCGTCCGTTTGGTGTTGTCGCAATAGCGGGTCGAATTTAAGGTAGGCGAGATGGTTATTTCCCGCGAAATCTGGATGGGACCCAAACGACCATGGAGAAAATAAAGAAAACCAAACAAGAAACAAGACAGAAGGGTATTATTAGACGGACTTATAAAATCAACAGAATGAAAAAAAAAAATGAGAATCGGCTTGCGAGCCCTGTACAAAAGAAAAGAATAGAAAGAAATCGAGACTGAGATGCTGCAAGCACCAAGCAATAAATTGATGGCCTGGGGAAAACTTCCGCAGGCGGCAGCACAAGCAATGTCTGGGAGATTTAACTCAACAGCCGTCAACACACTCGTTTTGTTGGAGAGGAAAAGTTGCGAGGCGGGGGAGAGAGAAAGCCCGAATGCGGCAAGACGGCCGAACTAACTATCTACGGAGTAGTATAATAGAGGAATGAGATGCAACCAGCGCAACCTCTCGAGGTCTGATGGAGTTGGACTGGGAGAGAGGAGCGAAAAAGAAAAAGAAGAAGATGAAGATGACAGACTGTTGTGTTGCGAATTGTTGTCATGCGGAGAAAATAGGTAATAATAGGTAATAAAAGTAGGTCGATAGATGGATAATTTCTTCCTCACCAACAGCCATGGGTCGTCGCAATGGGCGAACTTAAGAGTACGTGCTCCATAGGGACGGCCTTGACTGGCCACGCAACGAAGAAATGGAAGGATATGATTATGTTCTGCCTTTGGTCAGATGCAGCCGTACCATCAGAAACAAACCCAGACGTTAGGCTTCCAAATATTATTCAGAATATTCAGCAGGCAACACCCACTAGTCACTACTGCACAGCCTCTCATCCAGAAGTCAGAAAACCCATTGATTCTTCTTCCTGAAGAATAAAGTAGAACCCTCCTCGTGGGCACTGGCAGTGGAGTCAGTCCACTCTCCAGTAACTACGGAGTACTAGTCTACTTACTCTGAGTCTCTGTCCCTTCTTCGTTAGAGTCTAGTCGGATTCTGGGCCTTGTCGGAGTAACTACTATCTACCTAACCACTCGTGCTCTGGATGCTTTTTTTTTTTTTTTTTTTTTTTGGCACCAGCCAGGGTTCAACACAGGCACGCCTGAATCTACCAGACATCAACTCCAATATCACTCGATGATAATAATACTCCGTAATGTGTCCATAGTCCGTACAGCCCGCATCCATGGATCGAAGAGAGAGAAGTTGACACAGCCTTGTGGATTATGTGGTAGGTGCCTGTGGCGCCTGTGTCGCACCCACGGACTCTGTAGTTTTGTTCTTTCCAGTGGCGAAAAGGGCTCTTGGTCTTGGTGCGCTGCAACCATGTAGAACAACGGAGTACGGAGTATAGATATTTTCCCGACACTGGATTGTTGACTCTGATCAGTTTGAGCTGTTGTTTCCGCCGCGCTATGAGTAAGTACTACTACTACTCCTACTAATCAATAATAAGAATCGTCTTGCCTGAACTATTGGGTTGTATAGCTATATAGTCTGCCCGCTGGAATCCACGTGATGACAATTGCCTTCCAAGTGGATCTTTCCACCAGTGGGTCTACGTCATTGAGCCTGAGCGTGGGATGATCCCTGGACTACGAAGTGACAAGGCGACTGTCAACCGGTCAACCTGTCAACTTCTGCAGGGTACTGCTACCGAGTTACTAGTACCTAAATAGCGGGAGCTGGACCCTTCAAGTAAACGATCATCATTCATAGCTGCAAGAGTACAAGTTTCATCAGAAAAGTCATGGCAGAAATCGTCACCGGATCTATCTGGACCCCTTCATCCTCTCAGTTAGAAACATGAGAAACATCGCAAGGCTCTGCATCCCCATTGAAATACAGAATAGTGGATACCCAATACAACCCAAATGCTCCTCCCTCACCAAAGCAGAAATCCTCCTTCCATCGTGGAATCATGGCGTCTAGTATCTCGGGGGCTGAGGTGGTTGACTGTAGGCGCGCTGCTGCGGGGGGTACCCTCCAGGAGCGCCAGAGGGAGGGCGTCCATAAGGATCAGCGGGAGGAGCAGGAGGAGCACCTCCGTATCCACCGTAGGGCTGTCCATAACCGGGCTGGGGGGGTCCGCCCTGGGCGGGAGAGTAAGGAGGTTGATTGTACCCTTGGCCTTGGCCTTGGCCCTGTCCCGGTCCATAGGGTCCAGGTTGGGGGTACCCAGATGACGGAGGTTGATTGTAGTATCCGGGCTGGCCATAGTTCTGCCCCTGATTGTATCCGCCATACTGGCCAGCGGGAGGTCCACTGGGAGGCGGGGGGCCGCCGGAACCACCAGCACGACCAGCAGCCTTTTCGTCCTTGGTATCGTACGAAGAGTCAATGGCGCCGAGCATCAGTTTGGCACACTAGTGATGGTCAATGGGTGAATTTTGATTCAAACAGTCTGGAGGAACTCACCCAAAGTTCGCGAGTCAGGTGGATCGGGGGATTGGCGCGAGACATCTCGTCTTGTTCAACTTCAAAGTCTATCGCCTCTGTTAGCATACTCTTTCCTCTGGTGGTGCTCGCCGTTGCGTGGAACTTACTAGCCGTGCAATCAATCAAGTTTCCGATTTGAGGATCCTCATCGAGACTAGCTAGGAATTCACGGGCCTTGTTGTCGGTTCCGACCTGCGAGAACTGGAAGGAAACGGCACCCCGGCCGTACTGGGTTCGGGAGACCTCTTCGACGGCATAGCGGATGGCATTAGCCACAGTATCGTGAGGTTCGCCGGCAGGCTGGCCGTCGGTGATGGTGATGATAACCACCGGCTTCTGTAGGCGACCTGCACGAGCAGGACCAACGACCATTGGGTCAAGAACCTTGTTCTTCAGGCTGGTGCCAAGCGGTGTCAGGCCAGCAAACCGGACACGCGAGACGAGTCTGTTCACATCGTCCACGCTGCGGATTCCATCGCCAACCTCCATGTTGTTCATGAAACGCACTGAGATGCCATCCTGATCGAAGGTGGATGCAGCAGTTGCAACAATACCGAGAATCTGTCGCAGCTGCTCTTTGCGCATGCCCTTCTCCTCGAATTCGATGGAGCCACTGTCGTCCACGTAGAGAATAACATCGAACAGAGATAGCTTCATCACATCCATTGCCACCTCCTGCGGTACTCCCCACTCATGGACGAGTCGTTCAACCTTGCCGGGAGCATCGTTGGCCAGAGTCTGCACAAGGCTGTCCAGCTTATCGGGAGGGTAGAAGTTCTGAAGATTTTTCTCTTGGATGGTGCCAATCAGAAGCTGTCTGTAGGCAGAGATCTGTTGCTCAGTGGCGCGAGCGGGCGGGCCACCGCCAGGAGCACCGTATCCGGGACCGCCTGGTCCAGAAGGCCCTGGGGGTCCCGGGCGCGCCTGTCCATACTGTCCGCCTTGAGGCGGATAGGGCTGTCCCTATACAAAATGGCCATAGTCAGCAAATCTGAGATCGACAGATAAGAGTGGCACCGAGACGAGAATATGTAAAAACACGACAAAAGAAGCAACTAAAAAGGAAAGGTCTGTACATAGGCCTGCTGCTGGGGAGGATATCCTGCTCCGTAGGGCTGAGCCTGTGGGGGTGGCGGCGGGGCGGTGCGGCCATAGTCCGGCTGAGGTGGTCCATATTGGTATCCTGGATTGTAAGATGGAGCCTGGGGGTATCCTTGTTGAGGCGGATGCGGGCTATATGGTGCTTGAGGGTAACCCTGGGGTGCCGGGGATTGAGAAGCAGGATAAGGAGACTGCGATGCCGGTGCCGGGGAAGGTGAAGGGACAGGCTTGTTTGGAGGTACGGCAGGCGGATTGTAGGGCTGATATTGTTGTTGTTGTTGCGCCGGTGGCTGTGGAGATCCAGGGTAGGGAGACTGAGGCTGAGTCGAACCAGAGCGAAACTGAGGAGGATATCCTTGTTGGTTATAATAAGGTCGAGACATGGTGACTGACGGACGTTGAGACCACCAAGAAAGTAAAAGGGAGCGACGTCGATGGATAGTGATAAAAGTGTTGCCAGAAAAGGTGGGTTTGACAATTTTCAACAAAAGGAGGGGCAGACGAATGATGTGGAGTGACACAGTACCCGGAGGCGGACTATCATTCGGTGGGAAGTTGGGTGCAATAGGCAATGATAGGGTAATCACTCAAGGGAACAGATAAAAGCAGCTCAGGAAGACTTGGGGTAGAGGGGGAGAGACACGAGCAATTAAGCATAGGAATTCGCTTACCGGATTGCTAGGCGTACCAGCTGGCGAAGGAGCGCCTGGATAAGCCTGATATTGCTGTTGTTGCGGCTGCGGCCGCGGCTGCTGCTGCTGCTGCTGCGGTTGCTGCTGTTATTGCGTGAATCCAAGTCAGTACCTAGGTAGCTAGTAATTGCGATGACGCCGACATTGTGCGTCTTCAATGACTTCTTAATTCCAACGAACGAGGGGCAGAAGAAAAGTGGACTCACATATCCACCAGCGCCAGGCTGCAGCGATGTAGGAGGAGGACCTCCCGTGTAGCCAGCCGGCGGCGCTCCCGAGTAACCACCGGAGTTGGAGTTGCTGCTGCTCATGTTCTGCGGGTTGTTGTTTTGGCTGTTGGCGATCTTGGAGGCAAACTAGATTCAATCAGGGAAAATGTTAGATCATCAAATCAGCCGACTGAATGATCACGGTCACACAGGCTACAGAGAAGTCATTCTGTACTGATGTCTTTACCTCCAACTCAGTGTCGGGGGAAGACTTTTTGTGTAGGGGAAGCGGGGCAGAAGACGCGGGGCATTCTTGACTCTTGAGAGATGATCAACTTACCCCCATTGTCGTGGTGTGCACAGAGTGAATTGCAGTATAGGAGGGATTATTGTAGAAGTGGTAAAAGGTGTAGTCACTTGAGGAGAATTGAGTAAGAAGTAACAGTGCAGTCCAGATGAGGCTGTAGAAATGGAGCTGTGGTTGAGCCGATGATGACGATTTTCAGCTGGAACTAGCCAGTCATGAGACCCGCTTAGCCTTGGGGATGGGTTTTAGCACATATGTTTGCTCCATAGTATCAGTCCTCCGACCACCTGGGTCCACGATGGGATGAGATGAGATCAGATAGAAACTTCTCGGGTGTTCGTTGGGAGGGATCTATCTGTATGTCAACTCGAAATTGCTTGATCACAACAAAAATCCCCGCTGGGAGGCTCACGGAGTGACTGTCGTCTGCTGATTTGGATTAATTATAGAAGTCACCGAGTCCATGTCTTTCATCCGGTTCCTCCGTGGTTCTAACATCCAAAGCAGAAATCAAAACCATTCAACCATGGGTGATTTCGAGTCTGAGTCGGTACTTCGGTATCCAGCCTGTACCTGTAGGATGGTTCAGCCAGCGTTTATGCATAGGATGTGTCATATGTATGCACCTTGATAAAAGCACATACTTAGTCCACTTCTGCACAGTAGCTTAATATGATCCCTTCAAAACCATGACCTTCAAAATCCCAAAGCAGCCATAGCATATTCCATAAATTCGGGCGGCTCGCGCAACATGAAGCATTACCGAATACACTAGCTGAGGCATATGGCGGCTATCGGATTTCCAGACTGGCTGGGTGTATCCCGACTCTAGCACTTTCTGATCTCATCGTGCGCGCTTCGTACCGTTCATCATAGGGCCACAATAGATAAGTACGCCTCAACGAACCATCAAAGAAACCCCAAGACCGTCGAAAGGATGCCTGCGTCTACTCGGTTATCTCTTTCATCTATATTGAAGTGCAGATATGGTAGGAAGAGCTGAACTGCCTGATCCTGGCTTGTGTGACTTGTGTCCGAGCATACAAGAGAAGAGATAGTTTCTTCTTTTCTCTATGGCTCGGCAGGTTATTAAGTGGCCAAGTAAAGTCCTCTATAGGTTGGACAAGACGATGACATGATGGTCAATGTATTTGGTGCTCATGGTGTCAAATATTCAACAATTAGATGCCTGAGTCAATAGCTGAAGATATAGTAGCGATAGCCTCAGTTCTGCGTGCAGATAGATAGAAAACCTTCTTCCATTAGAATTGATGACTGGAGAACATATGTTTACCTTCAGGAACCACATTCATGGATCGTATGAGGCTGAATCGTTGCATTTTTCTCCCCATAGATCCAGCGACTACCAGCAATGTGATGCCACTGGCCCATGTCTTCCGTCTCCCTCGACTCACCACATACCAACAACATACTTGGCAAGATCGTCATGCATCAACGAAGATGCGCATCTGACTATCTACCATTGTTCAACTGGACAAGATTGCATCTATATGAATCATATCTAGGCAATGACCATCACTTCATACCGCATATCATATCCTATTGGCCTTGATAAAAAATCTCTGATGTCATGGAGTTGTGTTATTGTATCGACGACCACAAGTCCACGATCATGGATGAGGTCGAAAGAAAGGGGGAAAACTCCTTTCCTATTTTGATTTCTACAGATGACACTGGATCCAAGCCATGCAGATATTCGAGCCCCTTGTGCCGAAACATACTTTTAAACTCTTCGCCTGTTGTTTTGATTTCTCGCAAGAAAATGATCTCCAGTCGTCCCTTGTCAACAGTTATATGCGTCGGTCCCAGCTGATCGGTATCAGATACCATTGAAGTATACCTCCAGGCGATCTCCAGAGGCCTTTCCATACTACAATAACCGACATGGACACTGACTTCTCACTAGGACTAGGACCGTCAAAATGATCCCTACACTCCTGCGCGTGGGAATCCTCGGCGCAGACAGCGAAGCAGTCCGAACGATTTACCTCCCAATCCTGCAATCCCTCAACCAATACTTCGCAGTCACAGTCCTGCACAGCGCGCTCAGCAACGCAACAGCAACCGACACCCCACGCATCACCCCCTCCATCGACGATGTCATCAACGACCCTTCCGTCACCCTCATCCTCAACTTCATGCCCAACGAGTACCACGAAGCGTACACCATCGCCGCCCTCGAAGCCGGCAAACACGTCATGGTCGAAACCCCGCTAAGCCTCAGCATCAGAAGCACACGGCGCATCCTGGAGGCCGAGAAGCGCGCCCCGGACAACGCCAAGGTCTTCGTCGCCTGCGCGCGCCGCCACGTCCCCTGCCTGGGTCTCCTCAAGACCGAGCTCGCCGCCCTCGACCGCATCTACTACGCGCGCTGCCGCAACATCGCCGGCCCGCACCCCGCGCACCCCGCCACAGCGCCACTCAACCGAGCAGCCGAGACGGAGACCGCCGACGCCGGCCCCGGCGCACAGCAGCTCCGCCAGAGCCTGCTCGAGGAAGTCTTCAGCGGGCAGGAGCTGAGCGCGGAGCGGGTCGCGCTGTGCCAGTTCCTTGCGTCGCTGGGATGCCATGATCTCGGGCTGATGCGCCACGCGCTGGGCGCCCCGGACACCATCTCCTCCATCTCGGTGAACGATCCGTTCTACTCGGCGATTTTCCACTACACGGGCCGCGCGGCGGGCGGCGGGCACCCGTTTACGTTGGTGTATGAGACGGGGACGGACTCTGTGCCGCGGTGTGATGCGCACCTGGCCATCTACGGCCGGACCAAGACGGTTAGTGTGTACTACGACCTGCCGTATGCGCGCGACTGGACGATGAGGGTTGTGGTGGAGGAGAGGGATGAGCGCGGGGAGCTGAAGGTGACGGAGAGCGCGAGCAGCTGGGAAGATGGGTATCGGGAGGAGTTGAAGACGCTGTATGCCTTTGTGGTGGAGGGGAAGCCGGTGAAGACGACGGCGGCGGATGGGCTGGAGGATCTCAAGTTGTTCCGCATGATGTTTGAGCAATATGATCGGCAATGTGGGACCATTCGGACCCCTCTTGGTTAAGTGTGTTGTGATTTAATCTTGGACATTTGGTCAAGGCTCTGTGATACGTTTGCGATAGACATTGCCTGAGCGGGATATATGATTTCTGTATCTTCTTCTCAGGTGCTATGTACGTTCCTGGTGGTTAGGCGCTGTGTCAACAATTGATTATAATGATATCATCCGTTGGATTATGGTCTGTCCCCCTGGTGTACTAATACAGGAGGTTGAATATGTCTTAGAAGAGGGGGGGGGGGGGAATGGGAATCGTCTCAAGATCGATCAAACCACAACACTCGCCATGCATAGACCATTGATGGAGAACGTCTCTCGTAAACCTCGCGCATCTACCGCTTTCCCTTCTTCTTCTTCTTTGCACCGGCACCGCCACCTGACTTCTGCTGCTGAACTGGCGTAGCGGTGGCAGCCTCTGCCTTCTCATTAACCACACCACCCTGCGTCCTCTCGGCGGCACGCTGCTTGCCCTTCCGCCCCTTGGGTCGATACGTAGAGCGGTCACGGAGAGGTAACCACCGCTCCGGATCCGGGGTCTTGCTGGGGTCATATTCCTTGGGGAGACGAGACTTTCGCACGCGCTTCGCGGCACGAGCTTGGTCTCCACCCGAGGGTCGCTTTCTTGCTCCAGCGATGGCGGCTGCAGCGGCTGCAGCTGTCGCCGAAGAAGGAGAAACGCCCGCTTGCTCCAGGGCGGCGATGTCCACGTCTGCGATCAAGTCCTCAACAGCAGGGAGGGTATTGAGCTGCGACTCAATCTTGGCGTAGTCCAGGGTGGCCTGTGAGGCGACGTAGCCGGCCACTGCGAATCGGTCGTTGGTGTTCTTCTGGTAGAGGTCCTTGAAGATGTCGCCTGAGAGGGTGAGATCTGCGGGGTCCGACGAATGAAGCAACGATGCTCCAGCGTCTCGGAGGAGTGGCTGAGATGCCTCGGCGCGATTCCGCCAGTGCTTTGCGGCTTTGGCCAGTTCTGAGCGAATCTGAACTTTGCGACCCTCAAGCTTGTACAGGGAGATAAGCACGGTGAGCAGTCCGGGGTTGAATCGAACGTCCTGCTCTTGCTCGGAGATGGATTCGTCAAGATTCTGAAGAAGTTTCTCAAGCGTGCTGATGGCGGAAGTGGTGTTGCCGGCGCTCACGTAGAGTTGGACAGCGGTCAGGACCAGACCAACGTCCTTAGGTCGTCTCTCCAGCACGGGGAGGGTTGACTTCAAAGCCTTGAGCCCGGTTTGTCCCTGTGCATGGGCGGCGGCGCTGTAAACCGAGATAAGGTTCGTGCGTGCTTCAGTGGAGGGATAGGGGGCTTTCGAGAGGACTTTGGATGCAGATCGGATGATGCCATCGTACTTCTGAACAAGAAGATCGGCTGCGTGAGAATTGCCCATCATGACATTATTCTGGTAGTCGAAGAGCTTGTCGCTATCGGTGGAGTCGGGTGTTTCATGAAGAGCTTTGTAGAGAACATAGGGGTTGGCGGCTGTGTCACGAACGAGAGTTATGTTGTGTTGGGCGATTTTTCGTGTCGAAAACTCGGAGATACTGTAATAGAAAGTAAGTTCTCTGGTAGGATCTAAGTTGACGGAGGGGGTTCACAAACTCCTTTACTGAAATTTCCTTGAGGACCGACTCGGCCTCCTCCGACTTGCCTTGGCGAATCAGCACATACAGCTGCTGGACGGAGATCGGGAGCAGCTCAGCAGCTCTATCTTCTGGAGTGAGATCTTCCGAGGTTCGGCAAAGCTCTGGTTATTGTTAGTGGTTGTGTTCATCTTGAATTGTCGCGCGACTGGTACACACCCTTTGCCCGCTTCAGGAGCATTTCAGCCTGGGCGAAATCCCCCTTAGCGATACTGAGACAGGCAGCATTGTAAACGGTTTCGAACGCTTCCAGGTCATCGCGTGTCGGCCTCGTGTGCCGTACGTATTCGGGATAACCCTTCCACTGCAATTGCGCATCCGCGGCCCACGAGTTGATCCGCAGGTCGTTCTCCTCATGACCCAGCGACGCCTTGTCCTTGGCCAAGTCCTCATACAATTGAGCTGTGCGGGTAAATTTCTCGGCGCGGTAGCTCTGTTTGTCCAGTCGGAAGCATTAGCGACGTCCAACTCTGCATTGCATGGATTTTGGGTGATTATGGAAAGTAAAAAAGGAAACCACATACAGCTTGGGCCTCAAGATGGTTGGCACCTCTTCCACTCGTAAGACCAGAGACGACACTGATCGCCTCGTCCGAACGGTTTAGTTTGTAAAGCGCATATGCATATTCCAGAGCAGCCTTCTTCTTCAGAGCTTCTCCGTTCTCCTCGAAGACACGAAGACAATCCTCGTAGCGATCGAGCTTTAACAGAGCCACCACCTTGACATGTTGGGCGTGGAGATCCGACTTGGATCTCGACAGTTCTGCATTCGCCGAGCGGAGTAATTCATCATGATCGTCAATGGAGGCCCGTTGCAGCAACGAGGTCAATGACTGCGTGGCCATGGCGGCGGGGGAAATGTTTCAGGAACTGCGGTCGGGGGACGCAGGCACGACGAAAGGTGCCGCGGAGCTCAGATATACTGGGTAGAAGCTGCAGGACACAATACAGATCTAACACCGGACGTCGTTTTCGAAAGTTGACTGCGAGATCGGAATCCGGGGTTTCGCCTTGAATCCTCCACATGCCACAGTGTGCGGAAGTCTAGATATTCCCTAATTGGGAACTTGCGCTCTTGGTACTTCCTGAGTTCCGTAACAATCTTGCGATGACTAACCATTCCTCTTCCAAGAGTCCTCACAACACACGGGTATCTATCTATGCTCCAAGCCTCCAAGTATTTGGATTCTACACTCATCTGAGCAGGATTTTAGTGATCTTGCTCTACTTTAGGTGTAGTTGAACATGGGTTGGGTGAATTAGAGACTTCTGAATTGTGACTTGTGACTAACTACCCAATGGTATCCTTGACTCCGGGGAGATCACATCAATAGTTTGCTCTCGGGGTGATGGGTTGACGGAAAACCCTCGTTGTTGTCAGCTCCCACTCCAAAGCAAATAAGCCTAAGCGCGTGATCTACGGAGTACGGAGACATCGAAGAGCAATCTTTTTTTGGGATTCCGAAGTCCCAGATTGGAGCATTCTTTGTGCATCGATCAAACCGTAGTGATACCCATTGCCGACTATCGGTCATTTGCCCCGGTCTCATTCAAACGCCAATTGAGCCTTTTTTTTTTTTTTTTTTTTTTTCTGGTCAAATCCAGTGCTTGGGAGCACTTCTTCAAGCACTTCTTCGTCCCCATGCTTGAAACGGACACCATGGTTTCTATTTCGCTGCTCAGCAAGTCTGCAGAGGCCGACTATTGCAGCAGACATAGAGCCGTTGTTCCTGAGTGCTGTAAGATACTGGGTTCAATTTCGGTCCATTGCTTTTATGATGGCGTGATAGATGCTGCTGCGGATGTCCAATCGATAGCTTGACATGGTAGCATCGTGTGTTAAACTGTTGGGGTGCTGGAATGGACTACTGGCTATGGAGAAGGAAGAGCTGACTCGTGTCCGCTCTGGTCACGTGAATATGACTGTCCTACTCCGTAGTACTTCCTAAATCCTTTACACTTTTGATCATGAAATAATAACAACTTGTCTGCCGTACAGCAAGAAAGGATATGACAGCTCATGAAGCCAGAATTCCCTCCCTTGCTCCGATAGTGATGGAGTATCTACTGCGTACATTCTACTCCAATCTCCGCAGCGAAACACAGATGAAAAGTGCCAACTGCCAACAGCCAAGTGATCTTCGGGCATCGTCGTCATTTGCCCCCACTCGCCTTTGTTGCGTAAACCGAACGAGCTTCATCCGATATTCCCAAGGGATCCGCTGGATGGCGCGTCATGATGTCTGTTTTTAGAGGCGATGATCGCATGGACTTCTTTTCTTTTTGATTCCAGTGTCCAAGGGATCAAATATGAAGTGGTTCGATTCGTGAGATACTTATATATATATAGATTCAAGCCAAGAAAGCTAAGTCTGAAACATGATCAGTCCGTCGACTGGATAAGATTTAAGATTCACGACTTTAAGAGCTGAATGTCAAATGGGAGCAGAATCTGATAAGGTCAGTCGGTTTCTTACCAGCACCCGAAAGCATCAAAAACAGACAGACGCAGATGACGCCTCCATGATGAGGAGATGCAAGATGCACGTGTGCTGTGTGCATATGCAGACAGAGATTTTTATCCTATTATTTCCTATTCTTAGATATCTACTGAGTCCTGGCCCTGCTATCTATCTAGTTCTCTAGTTCTCTAGTTCTGATGCTCCGGTTGACTGACTGACTCGACTTCAGGGATCAAAGAAAAAGTCCCTGCTCCACCGGGTCAACTCTGGTCCACTTTTAACTGCTAAAGATGAACGCCAATTCGCTTTGCTTCTAGACAAGACCAAGGGAACAAGTTAGTTAGTAGGTACAGGACCCCAATATCCCCAATATCCCTCTACTCCATACTACTACTAGGTACAACCGTACAACATCCATGACAGTGGTCCAGGCACCTGTACTTACGACCTGCGCTTTCCCCCGAAAAAACCTAGGTTGAGCCGGATGATTTTCCTTTCCTCCTTCTCTCTCTGCTCCTCTGCCGTACACCAACTTGCTTTTCACTTAACTTACCTCTAATAATTACTTCTCGACTGCTGATTCTCTCGCTTCCCGTTCATCTGTATTGCTTCCTCTTGTGGTTCGCCGGCCGCATCGCCACCCGTGCCTTATTCCCCCGGTTCCTTGACTTTCTCATTCTTCCTATTTACTACGATCTTCGGATCTTCACATACGAGTCTTGACCATTCAAAAGCTTGCTCTCAGTCGTCGATATATCGATTGAGATACTAATGCTGGCTTTGACACACTGATCGGTCTGTTGGGAAAGCAACGGGGAAATTTTACAAGATGAAGAACATGTTTTCAAAAATAGAGGAGAAACACACACCGGTGATGGCTCCATCATGGCTGTGGAAGAAGAAGCTGCTGCGCTTCTCAATCGCCTTGCTGCTCGTGGGCGCTTTTTCCTTCTATCTATGGCCCCAAGTCGGACCTCTGCCCGTGGAAACCACCGATGTCATCCACAACATCACCATCACTTCGGATGTCAAATGCGAACCCGACTTTGATCTCCTGCGCCGTCTGGATATTCATAAACTGGCTCAGTATGAGCGACGCGAGATGATTGCCGCGTCAGCCGCGGAGACGAACCTGCCAACGAGGCAGCGCCTCGATATTCCTTTGATGCAGCAACAGCAGCAACACATCTCAAACAGCCATGGTCAAACTCTAGATTCGCAGTCGCAGGATGATTGCTACATCACTCCTCCCATCACTGTGCCCGTCCCCCCTCGACCGGCGAATGTGGACGCATCACATATCGACTTCGGCGTCGCCACTACACTAGGACGGTTGAACGACTCGCTGGATGCCTTCGCTCACTGGGCGGGTTATACTAGAACGCGCATCTTCGCTCTGATCGAACCAGCCAAAGGAGTTGAGGAAGTTCGGGCCAAGGCGGACAGCCTAGGGATCAATCTGTTGGTGACTGAGTCTGGGGAAGAATATCAGACACGGTATTTTTCGCTGGTGGCGCACCTGGCCAAGAACATGCGGTCGCAGACGCGGTGGGCCTGCGTAATCGATGACGATACCTTTTTCCCCTCCATAACGGCGCTGGTCGATGCGCTGGCTCGGTATGATGATCGGAAGCCCCAATACATTGGAGGCGTTTCGGAAAGTCTTCCGCAGATCGGTCTCTTCGGCCTGATGGGATTCGGTGGCGCGGGTGTCTTCTTGTCCCGACCGCTGGTGACGGAGATGAGCGACCCTGAAGTTATCAAAGCGTGCCAGGAAATGCCACACACCGGCGATCGGAGGATCTCCATGTGCATCTACCAGTACACCGAAACGCGGTTGACAGTTGATTACCGCTTGCATCAGCTGGACATGCGCGGCGACGTGTCGGGCTTCTTCGAGGCCGGGCGCGAACCCCCGCTCTCCGTCCACCACTGGAAGTCGTGGTTCCAGGCCGACATGGCCCAACTGACCACTATCACGAACCTCTGCGGCGACAGTTGCTTCCTCCGGCAGTGGCAGTTCGCCGACGGCTGGCTCCTTACCAACGGCTTCTCTATTGTCAAGTACAGCACTGAGCACGACCTGAACGACCGGACCATGGAGGTTTCTTGGGGCGGCGACCACGGCGCTGTCGACGAGTCGTACCTGCACACACTGGGACCCCTCCGCCCCAAGGACACGGGCAAGATCAGTTACCTACTGGAAGACTCGCTGTTCAACGGCGAGCAGGTGCGCCAGTGGTTCGTTCATCGTGACTCCGAGAAGGGAGACCGCATTCTCGAATTGATTTGGAAGAACGCCTGAATGTTTTTCTTCTTATTACTTCCTTCCGCCCCCCCCATTTAATGATTCCATGGGTTTCCGGAGCAGCAAGCCTTCTATTACACTTATTGACTTACGCCATACGGGGCGATTGTCCCCGTACATAATCAATTTTTTTCTTGTCTTTCTTTTCAACAAAAGAAGAGCATGCAGTTTACGGAGTATGATTTTACCAGGGGTGACAAAGCTCGCACACATGCTGTTTATAGACTGTCAGTCAGGGGAATGCATGAGTATAGAGATTGCTTGGTTGGTCTTGACGATTTGAGTCTGGTGCAATATTCCCAGCTTTAATGCTCAGTCTTGCTTCTTTTGTGTGTTTCTGCGGGCATGTGTATGATATCAAATTCCAATTCGAACGCTACGACAGATCAAAGAGACGTTCCGCCCCCCCTCATCCTTATTCGTTCCTTGTTTATGAGTCTCAAGGATAGTCTAGCATGCATCCAACGAGCCAAAGTAATTGATAGACAACTGCGTATTTGCATTGTATTTGTTCTTAAGGGTCATGACCACCAACCTAAACCTAACTGGGAAACAGAAAAGAGAAAAAGCAATCATGACTCAATACCTCTCTGTACATCTATATCATACCGATCACCAAGCCAAACAAGCCCTAAGAAAGTTATGTATGTACATAAGCTCATGATGACAAAAAAAAAAAGATAAAATAGGTATCCACATGAATAAAGAAAAAAAAATAATAATAAAATAAACCAATCATGGCCATGAGAATTGCAAAATGGTATTGAACTGAGACACAACCGGGAAAAACGCCAGAGATATTATCTACATCATGGACAGAAAGAAGAGAGAGAAGAAAAGGAAAGGAAAGAAAAAAACAAAACAGACTGTCCTCTATGATAAACGGGAAGGGAATTTAAAAGAAAAAAAAAGGTGGTTATCTTTAACGTTCAATGTTCGTAATCGATGACCGTTGCGCGCCGCAGGAGATGGGCATGGGTATGGGAATGGGTATCGTGAAAGGTCATATCGGGCATTTGCTGCTGCGCGACAGAGCGCTCTGCCGCCTCGTCTGGTTTCTGCTGCTCGTCGGCCGGGGCGAGGAGGTCCCATCTGGCATGTTGGTTGCGGAAGGGAGGCGGGGGCGCGGCGGCAGCGGCAGCGGCAGCGGCGCCGGGGTTTGCTGCGCTCGCGGCCATAAGGGGGAGGAAGTTGCTTGTGTTGACGGAGCAGTCGAGGCCGAGGATGGATTTGGAGCGCTCCAGGAGGGTGGGGAAGAGGTAGGAGGGGGCGCCGCGGATGCGGGAGAGGGTGCTGAGGATGGCCCAGAGGAGCTCGCGCGGGTCGGCGAGGTGTTGCGCGGCCTTGGAGCCGAGGGAGCGGGTGACGTCTGCGACGGCCATGCCCACGTCGAAGAGTTTTTGTTCCTGAAGGGCAAGGCGTGTTAGCGAGATTGAGTCTGGTGATGGAGGGATGAGGGAGACTTACCATTCCGATGCCGTGGGCGTCGACAGAACCCTGGGAGGCTGCGCTGATGGCATTCATCACGGATTTGCCGACAAGGATCGGGAGGTGGAATGGAAGCACAGCATCGTCGCGAGATCCTGGCTGCGTGGCGTGCGTCATGGAGAGTTTCCACATCATCACCTGCAGCCACTGCTGGGTGACCAGGATGTCGACCCGTTGGATCTCGACGACTCCGTCTAGCGACATGGGCTTGCAAAGGCTGGACTGGATGGCCGAAGTTGGGGGCATCTCAAAAAACGCGTCGCCACCACCGGTCGAGACCCAGTCGTAGAGGTTGGGGGTCAACTTCTCAAAGACATTGATGAGGTTGACGAAGCCATAGGCGAGAATAGGGTCTTCAGAGGAGAGGACCTGTGGTTTGTGGATGGAATTGCGAAGCAAGACCGGTTTTGCTTGTTGCAGTGCGTAGCCCCTGAATCATCACAAGAATGTTAGCACAGATTCCTCAAAATCATTCTTCAGTGCGTGATTTGGGATCGATCGGTCTTTAAAGACACTCACCTTTCAGAGACAAAAAGTAGCCAAAAAACCTTGCGTTTCTCTTCTGCTTCCTCAGGACTGAATTCTGCGTAGGTCGCCTCCCGATGCAGACCAAGTGTGAAAATCATCGACGTGGCTTGGCTCAGGTAAAACCAGGCTTGCTCCTGCTTGTCTTGATTGCTATAGGCAGTAAACACGAAGAAGGATGTCAGAAGACTGTCGATATTGACATCGTCCGTGGGATCAGACTCCTTTCTCGCCCGTACCGCCTCGGCCAGCAGCTCTTCCCCTGACATTGTGCACTGTCCGTCCGTGCCAAAGGCAGATGGGTCGGACACTGCCATGGCTCCATCCAGCTTCAACTGGATATGGGTCGCAGCACACAAGGCTGCTAGCAAGGCATATCGCTGGGGAGTCAGTCTTTCTGGCTGGTGGCAATCCGCCTGCAGTTCATCTTTGCGCACCACTGGCATGATGGGAAACAGATACTTGAAGTAGACGTTCACATGCGCAAGAAGCACCGGCGAAGAGAGACGTCTTGCAAACGGATAGAAATGACCAGTTCCCGAATCCGAGAGAGAATTGGTCGACTCAGGAGAAGAGACCAGCTCTGGAGGAGGCAGCCGTGCAAACGGTTCCATGAAGTCCTGTGGCTGGAACTGGGCATCGATCACCGAGAACGGCGGAGAGGTGGGAGAGGCACCCATCTGGTAGACTCCATTGTCCTGAAGCATCTCCTTATCCAGAGGATGTTGCCTTGGGTCGTAGTGTAGCGCATCTCGAGGCCTGGAGATGAGTGGATGAATGGGAGCCAGAGGATAGAGAGTGCGAAATTTGGGGCCCTTGCGGCGCAGCACATCGCTGTAGGAGCAGGACAGGAGGAGACGCGAGCATTTATCGCATGGAAGCTCTCTCGAGCACTTGATCTTTCGACGCCTGCAGTTATCGCAGGCCTGCTTGAACGATTTGCGTTCTGGCTTGGTTGGGGTATCACTAGGCGAATTCATTGTAACGAGGAGCGCAACGCAGGATCGGACAGATGAAAGAGTGAAAAGAAGACGAAGAATGAAGAAGGACAGATAAAAGAAGGTCAAGAGTTGATGATGTTATTATTGTCACTTCTCACTGTCTTGAGATCATTGTACGCCCAATCTGTGTGAGGCAATGTGTGAGTTTTGTTTGTGTGTGTGCGTGTGGACAAACGATGGGAAATGTTGATCAAAGATTCACCATGACCAGCACGATATGAAGAGGGAGCAAGACTAGGGGATTGAAGTACTGAACTCGTCAGACCAAGCCGGGGCAAGCAAAAGTATAAAAAAGAGCAGAAAACCTGGGGAAATTGAAGCGGGGAGCTGCGAGGATAGAGAAAAAATGAAGCAGTAAATAGATTGCTGGTGATGACTATTATGATTATTATTATTATTTTTATTTTTATTTTTTTCTTCTTGACTAGATGAATTGACTACATCCTGTTGTGCCTGGAGACTGACCCTAGTTGCAGAGTCCTCGACAGGTACCTGAAGGGATACCAAGCCGAAGGAGGGTTGGAGAATACGGACCGACAGGGCTGTAATCAGCGTATTGATTGTATTGTCAGGTGGTATTGAATTATTATGGTGATTACGGGGTGTGTCAGACCCTGAATGCCCAATGTGGTAAGGTGTGTAAGCTATCTTACACCGCCGGTACGGGAATCTTACTGATAGTCCTGACCCCGCGTTGTCCAGCCCAGCACTAACAAACTCACCAAACTACTCCGTAAACAATATTAAATATTCACTAGAACGTTCACGGAACAGGATTATTGCTTCGAAGGCTTCGGAGGAGAGTCAGAAAAGAGTAAGAGGTAAGCTTAGACTTTGTGTATCATTCGCGAATCGGAAAGCCTTTTGAAAGTCAACTTCACCACTTCACCTCCTCTCCTCACACAAGTCGAGACGCCATCTAAGCCGGATGGATCATGAAGCGAGAATAACGCTTTTTTCCTGGCTCGGAAAGAGAACGCAAAAGGCTGAAAACTACTAACACGATTCAAAGACCCTTCCCCAATCTCCAAGCTCCACAGGTCTCACTTTGAAATTGACATCATTTCGATTTCCCCCGGATGCCACCGGCATATGCAGGAGTTAAAAAGGCGAGTGCCGTGAGTCCAGGGTCGAACCCAGGCACCTATGGTAAATGAAAGCCGCATATCATTCTGGCTGCCGGACTGCCAGACATGGTGTCGTGCATGCGTGGTTTTCAAAAGCAAACCTTGTCTAAGTGGTAGGCAACAGGCATTAGATTATTAGATCCATGTCGGTAGCAGTAGTATGATGGCGAAGCTGGGTTAGCTGTCCCCTGAACTAATCGTTGTCCATTAATAGTTGATTAGCTGCGTCAATGGCCCAGGCAGGAATCAGGATGACTCCGTGGCTAGTGGCCAGTGGCCATAGAGTCATTGGCTTCCAGTTAATATCAGAGGGCGACAGGGAATAGTTGTAGTAGCACATACGCTAGCCCCGCTGCTAACCATTGCACCTAAAAACAGTAGCGTAGCTCCAAGCGAGGTGGCCATTTGCAAATTGCATGAGAGGTTGTGCCACTGTGCCGAGATGAAACGCGTCTTGGAGGAGAGCTCGGGAAGCCGAGCAGATGAGAGGATGACAATCGACAACTAGCGATACAGATGCTTTCCCCTCTCATACCTTGAGTGTCTTAACCTAGTAGTAGCACTAAGCCAGTAGTCCTCAGTAGTAGTCATGGCCTACAGAGCTATGGATCCTCCGTGGTTCAACTGTGCCGGGATACGGGCTGATCCTCAGGATCCTGAGGCGATCAGTCAATCAGTCGGCTGCTTCAGAAGTGAGGACAGGTTCATTCGGGGTCTCAACACTCGGCCAAGTTTCATGATATGAATCGCCTTGCATGGCAGATGAGAGAAGTGTGAGATTGTCATCATCATTATTATTATGATTGTCATCAGCAGTAAAAGTGATAGCGTGAGGAGGAACAGGAACAGGAACAGGAACAGAAACAGGGACAGGAACAGGTGTAGAAGCAAAGTCAACAGTGGCAGCATTAACTTTGATCATTACGTCGTACGATCGGAGAAGGGCTTATATTCTCACCGAAGCATGCAAAGAGGGTTGTTCTCCGTGAGTCGATGATGCCAGCTCAACACCTAGATTAGATCGTGGTGGTTGGCAATCTAATAACCATCTAGGAGTCGTAGTCCTCGTTAGGCCTTGTAGCCTGTAGGTAGCTAGAATCCATACTCCATAGTACTACTCCGTAGTACTCAAGCAAATGCAGGATTTGTCAAATGAAGATACGAAGCCTAAGCCAGAATGGGTGTTTCGTCGGGGGATAGTCGGACACATGACCCAATCACGGGTTTCGGATCAGATGATCAGCAGTGGATATTCAGGAGACAAGAGCTCCCACAGTCCCACTACTCAGAGTACTAGGAGAACCTCTCGCAGTTCCAGAGTAGTAGCCTCAAGCAGGAGTAGTAACTACGGAGTACCTAGTAGTAACTACCTAGTAACTACCTAGTAACTAGTGACTACCCTACCACCTTAGGCCTTCACAGAAGCAGTTAATGCTTAACACACCAAATTGCCTCAAGCTTTGCCCTCTCCAACCGAAGGTGTAGAACCCGGCCGGAAAGCGATTAGTGAGCATTCGGTTCCATACTCCGTCGTTGGTCCTCGAACTCACTTGCAGTGGGATTGCTTGAACCAGTACCGAGTAGTTACCTCCTCTCCTAGTACTACTCCGTAGGCTCCTGGTTCAGGGTGGCTCATCGGCTCATTCATCCCCAATGAAACGTGACTTAAGAGTCTTAGATTATTAGATATCACTGGGTACTCCACCCGTGGCAAAGGCTGCCGATTTGATCATCCTGATTCTTGGATCTCTCAGGGTTTGAGTTTGGACTGTCGACGAATTCATGCGACAAAGTGGGCTCCAAGCGGCCCAGCCGTTATGGAATTTGTCGTGCGGTGCCATTGTTCGGTCCGACATGTAATAATCGCGGTACGGTGCCCGACTTCCCGTCAGCTTCCTGTAATTCTGTGTCGTATCAATCCTGTATCTTACTGAACAATGCGATACAACCACCACCACACGGACCACCCACCTGACTCGGGAAGAATGGATTCTCCGGGCTCCAGTTCCCCCCCCCTTTCAAGTTCCAACATAACCATCGGTCCGCCATACTTGATATTACCCCATCTGTCAGCTTCCACGACGCTGCCAGCTCGCTTCCAAAGGTCCAAGTGTGTAACTAAACCTCCGGTTTCGCTTTCCTTCATCCCACTTACTTACCTCTTTCTACTCTGCTAAGCACTAATGACGACTCCTCTTTTTACGGAACCCCCCACCCCCCGCACAGAGGCCGAGAGGACTGAGCAAGGCTAAGCAACCAGCCAACCGCATCACCAAGAGAGGCTTGACCCAATAATGGGTCGAGGCCTCGAGGGGAATGCTCCATCCCCAGATGGAGTAGTGCGACTGTGAGTGGATGTTCCGTCTTTTGACTGGGGCTCCAGATTTTATCAGAGATCCCCATCAGCTCCCCATAGTTAATGGGGTCTTTGCGAGTCAAGACTCGGTCATTTGACGGAGTAAGCAAGCAGATGTCCTCCGTATCGTTGCATCTCTCCTCTTCTCGATGTTTCTGCAGAGCGCACTGAAATGCAGCATACCGCACAGGAGCAATGTAGGTGGGGATCGTTACACAAACTGCAAGTGATCCTCGAGCGGCCATGTTCCGCTTCTCGCAGTCGTATAAATATCAGTAACTCGCACCAGCAAAGCCGTCTGTTTCTTTGGTCTGTAGTAATAGCATCCATCATGGCCAGTCTCGTAGGCCTTCTTGCCAGTGCTTGGCTCCTCCCGTCGACCTACGGAGCGGCGGTTCACTCGTTTGCTCCTAGTACGACGGCAACCGCAGCTTACTCGCAGCATACTTTGCCTTCGTCCATTGACAATGGGGCTCAGTTGATTGCCAATATCGATGACCCCTTGGCAGTGAATGCGCAGTCCGTTTGTCCAGGCTATAAGGCCTCGGATGTGCAACAGACATCACGGGGTTTCACCGCCAGCCTGCAGCTTGCGGGCGAGCCGTGCAATGCCTATGGGATTGACGTTGACTCGCTGAGTCTCTCGGTGGAAGTTCTGGCGAAGGATCGCTTGAATATCCAGATTGTCCCTACCCATGTGGATAGCTCTAATGCCTCTTGGTACATTCTTCCAGAGGACCGGGTACCCAAAGCGCAAGCATCTGCCGACGCCTCCGTCTCTCAAAGTGACTTCGAGATCGAGTGGTCCAATGACCCCTCGTTCAATATCAAGATCATCCGGAAGGCAACTGGGGATGCCCTGTTTGACACAGCCGATTCGGTCTTGGTCTTTCAGAATCAGTTCATCGAGTTTGTGTCTGCTTTGCCTGAGGGTTATAATCTTTATGGATTGGGGGAGCGGATGGCCCAGCTGCGGCTTCTGAGAAACGCTACCCTGACCACCTACGCGGCAGATGTCGGAGACCCGATTGATGAGTATGTGTTAGAATCTATGAATCCTTGATCTCGTTGGCTCACAATGGACCAATAGCAACATCTATGGACAGCATCCTTTCTACCTCGACACGAGATACTATACCAAAGATGCCAACGGCTCATATTCTCTTGTGAACACCGATGATGCCGATGCGTCTGGAGATTATGAGTCCTTCTCCCACGGCGTGTTCCTGAGAAATGCACATGGACAGGAGGTTATTCTGCAGTCTCGCAACATTACATGGCGGACAATCGGTGGAAGCATCGATTTGACCTTCTACTCAGGTCCCACTCAGGCAGATGTCACCAAGAGCTACCAGCTCACCACGATTGGCTTGCCTGCGATGCAACAGTACAGCGCCCTTGGTTTCCATCAATGCCGCTGGGGTTACCGCAGCTGGTCTGAACTCGAGGAAGTCGTAAACACCTTTGAACAGTTTGAGATTCCCCTCGAATATATCTGGTGAGCTCAATTCTTCGTAAGAAAATATGGGCTCTTGGTGTCTAACGCATTTTCCCAGGACCGACATTGACTACATGCGTGGTTACCGCGATTTCGATAATGACCAAGTCCATTTCCCCTACGATGAAGGCGAGGAGTTCCTCGACAGACTTCACAAATCAGGGCGTCACTGGGTCCCCATCGTCGACTCCGCCATCTACATCCCTAACCCTGACAATGCGTCTGACGCGTAAGTCATTGTGTCTTATTTGGCCAGCTTTTCAAACAGATGCTTACAGACGTGACTTCAGGTACGACACCTATGCTAGAGGAGCCAAGGATGATGTTTTCATCAAGAACCCTGATGGCAGCCTTTATATCGGAGCTGTATGGCCCGGATTCACAGTCTTCCCTGATTGGCACAACCCCAAAGCAGCGGAATGGTGGAGCAACGAGCTTGTCACTTGGTTCGAGAAAGTGCAGTATGATGGCATTTGGATTGACATGAGCGAAGTCTCCTCTTTCTGCGTTGGTAGCTGCGGGACAGGAAATCTGCACCTGAACCCCGCCCACCCACCATTTCAACTTCCTGGCGAGCCGGGTAACATTGAGTATACCTATCCCGAGGCCTTCAATGTGACCAACTCCACTGAAGCTGCTTCTGCCTCTGCTGCCTCCGCCAGCCAGTCCTCTGCAGCTGCTGCGACCCAAACCGACGTCAGCTCGACCACGACCTCGTACTTGCGGACGACACCCACTCCTGGTGTCCGTGATATCAACTATCCCCCTTACGTGATCAACCATGTTCAATCTGGCCATGATCTCGCTGTCCATGCCATCTCTCCCAACGCCACCCACGTGGATGGTGTTCAGGAGTACGATGTGCACAGTCTGTGGGGTCATCAGATCCTCAACGCCACTTATCAGGGATTGCTCGAGGTCTTCACTGAGAAGCGACCTTTCATCATCGGCCGATCCACCTTTGCCGGCTCAGGGAAATGGGCCGGTCACTGGGGCGGTGATAACAACTCTAGATGGGGCTCTATGTTCCACTCCATTTCGCAGGCTCTGTCGTTCTCTCTCTTTGGCATTCCCATGTTTGGTGTTGATACTTGTGGCTTCAATGGCAACACCGACGAGGAACTCTGCAACCGATGGATGCAGCTATCGGCCTTCTTCCCATTCTACCGAAACCACAACACTCTCGCGGCTCTTTCGCAGGAGCCCTACCGGTGGGCCTCCGTCACTGAAGCAGCCAAGACTGCCATGAGCATTCGATATGCCCTCCTGCCATACTTCTACACTCTGTTCCACCAGGCGCACACCACCGGTTCCACCGTCATGCGCGCCCTCGCATGGGAGTTCCCGAACGATCCCTCCCTTGCCGCCGTCGACACCCAGTTCATGGTCGGACCATCCATTCTGGTCACGCCCGTCCTCGAGCCTCTTGCCAAAACAGTCAAGGGCGTCTTCCCCGGCGTCGGCAAGGGTCAGGTCTGGTATGACTGGTACACCCAGGCCGCTGTCGACGCCAAGCCCGGCGTCAACACCACCATCCCGGCCCCGCTGGGCCACATCCCCGTCTATGTCCGCGGCGGCAGCATCCTGCCCATGCAGGAGCCCGCTCTTACCACCCGCGACGCCCGCAAGACCCCCTGGTCGCTGCTTGCCGCTCTGGACGGTAACCAGACCGCCTCCGGCCAGCTGTACCTCGACGACGGGAGCAGCGTCAACCCGTCTTCGACCCTCAACGTGGAGTTCGCGGCTACCCACTCGAGCATCAAGGTCTCGGCCAAGGGTGATTGGCGCGAGAAGAATAGTCTGGATAGCGTGACTGTTCTCGGTGTCGCCAAGGAGCCTGCCCGCGTCACCTTCAACCGCCGCAGGGTCCCCCCCGAGTCGGTGGAGTATAATGCGACCTCCCAGGTTTTGACCGTGAGCGGACTGCAGAAGCTGACGCCCCGCGGGGCTTGGGCTGAGGATTGGATTCTGAAGTGGTAAATTGAAATTATTTGTGGTGGTTGGTATCTATTCAGGTCGTGTGGCTTGTAGCCAACCCCGTTGCATTATATATATAAGCGAGTTTGTCAACAAAGTTTTGTTCTCCAATTTGCCTTTTTGACGAGATAATGAACAAATATAATGCGAAAATGGCAATGTATATAACCGGAAACAAAAAATCACAAATGGAATGCCCGAAACCAACCTCATAGATCACATCATTACTAAATATCCTCATGACCTCCAAACTGCATTAATCGTTGCATTAACCACACCACATTCTCTCGGAACCACACTCTCCCTATTCAACCCCTCCTCCCATCTCACCTCTCCATCCCTATTCACACGGACAAATTTAAACTCAAAATCTACACCAGACTGCAGCATCACAGTCCGATACCACAGCGGCGTTACGCCCGAATACGCATTCGCATTCAGCTTTAGCCCTTGGTTCCGGACATCCCACTCGCCCAGCTCGGGAATCGAGCCGACGAGAAGGATATCCTCGCCGAATACCGTGGATGCGAGGACATTGAATCGGACAGCGACGGTGCGCGGGGGGGTCAGGCACGTGGGACGGGGCCATGTGACGTTCGTAACGGGGACGTATGGTCCTTTTGCGGAGGATGGGGTGCAAGTTCGGGGCAGCGGGGGAGGGATTGTAGAGGAAGGGGAGCGAGGTGGTGAGGTGGTAGTAGGATTTAACACTAGAGCTCGCTCTCTGGCTCTATGGGCTGTGAGAAGGGCGGCATAGGACCATGTGAGATCGAGTGCGGAGAGAGGCGAGCCGTCGGAGCGAGAGAATTGCTCTGCGAGGGCGCCGGTAGATGGGGTGTATTTTTGCTACGGAGTAGATAGGTTTTTAGTGAGCGCTTGCATTGGTTGGAAAGGGGGTTGGGTTGAGGCTTACTATGATGCGTAGGAACCCGTCTGCATAGACCTTGACAGCGGCAGTTACGGCTGCGAATGTGTCTGTGCCTCTGGAGTACGTTCCTGTCGCCGTGGATGGGTACAGGTCGCGGAAAAACACAAGACTCATGTCGCTGATGGAGAGGTTCCCCATCAGCTCCCACTGGTAGAGTGCATCATAGAGCTGTTCTGCCGCAGCCAACGTGCATAGATACCACGGATGTCCGCCTTGGTAGACATCCTCCGGATACCGACCTATGGCCACAGCCTGGCCCGGCGAGATGTCCGAGTTGATTGGATATAGCGAGCGAAAGGAGTCAACGACCACCTTATGGTTTGCCAGTGCGCGACTAGAGCATGGCTGGAAGGTGTGCTCGTCGCAGCCTGCATTGGGGTCAAATGTGTGGATGGTGCCTAGCAGGGAATTGGCGTCTTTCCCTGAGCGATCACTGCCAAAATTGGCCAAGATAGATGACCCAGTCCAGAAGGTTTGAAGGAAGCAAAGGATCTGAGGCGCCTGGGTTTGACAGTGTGGGCACGAATCTCCCAGTTTCTGGGCGAGAGACGCACCCTGAACAAGCGCCTGATACTGCACCGCAGTAGTGAAGAAAGAAGAGCCACGAACCTCCTCCCAAAGGTCTACTCACGTTGTTAGTAAAGCAGGTTCGACATTTCCAAGTATAGGGCGAGGGCTTCACCGAAGGTTGTTGCGTTCCAAAACTCCGTAACATAAGAGAGATCGTTTTGAATGATTGGCCATACGGTCGAGTATGCTGTTGAAGACTTCCCGTGATCCTATGCCAAGCTATTAAACACCGAGCATTGCCTTTTTAGAAGGCGATACTACCATGGACGGCAGATGAACGTACAATCAGCAAATTGGCATAGGCAATCAACGCTGTTGCTCTCAACGCGGGTCCATCTCTTTGAGGACGACCCCAAGGACCATGGAATGCAGATCCGTCGGCCCTCAATTTGGGTTCCCCCAGACCCCCACTTGAAAGACTCCCAGAGGGATTTGAAATGGTTTGTAAATGCGCCTGCGACGTTATGTATCGCTCGATGATTCTCCGAAGCCCGGGATCGTCGTCAGAGGCGAGAGACTCAACCAAGTATTTGATGGTAAGGGCAGCATCTCGAGTCCAGGTGTAGTAATCTATCAACGACTCAACTCCGAATTCTCCGACAGCCACAACCATCATAGGGGAAGTAGACTAAACATCTAAATTGACGATCGACGAGACAAAGCCACTTACAATCGGGATTACTATGACTAGGGCTGGCGATGACAATGCCTGAGCCGGCGCCGGTCGCCTTGGCACCATCCGGACCAATGTTGTTCAACACGCCATCAAAAGCGTACGGAATCTCCATATTCAGCCATGACTCGATAGGATCCGTTGTTTCAGGTATTATTGCACCTCCAGCAATTACGATCTGAGCGGGGTTGTCGTTCAGATGGCCGCAGACAACGGTCAGGAGACCGGAACTGATCGTCAGGAACTGCTTCATTCTCATCGTGTCTTTCTCGGGGACGGAGTTTCATCGTCCAAATCATCAAACCAGGCTATAATTGAGTCATTAGCACAGTTTTCACATGTTTCACTGATTCTGTGCTCTTAATGGATGGCTATGTTGGTTGGAATTTGGAGGAGTAAGATGGGGGAGGGAAGAGAGAAGGGGAAATGAAAGGAAACAAACGAGGATCTCAGCTGGAAGAGCTGCGAGTCTGTGACTGACTGACTTGACGCGTGAAAGCATCAAGAGACCAACCAGCTCACGCGTCCATCACCAGCACCATCACTTGTTGCTTCTGACCTCTCACAATGCATCATTATTGCTACAAAAATAATCCTTCACATTTCTCTATGAAGTCCGAATTCTTCCCCGCATTGAACACATGGAATCCCCCCCTGATATGACTAGGTTCCGCCTATCGGTGCCTCATACGATCGGTCTCTTTTTCCATGCACGATGCCGAATCAACTTTCGACGAGAGATGTCGATCTTCCTCTAGCTGGCCGGCAAGGGAGCTGAAATTCTCCTCGAAGTGAATACCGACCGCAGATCCTCGTACCGGACGACCAGGGGCGGGAATTCGCAGGGGATTTCCTTCACTCCCTAATGGCACTCGAGTCCGTTTCTGAGGGCAATCATTCTGGAATTCTTGCTTCTCGAGGTTCCAAAATGGGTGTGGATACGTAGTGTGCTTTGATCCATACTGCCCGCCAACTCTTCAATTGCGACTTTCTTCACGAGCGAGCGAGGGGAAAGACATATAAAAGCCTGTCCAGGCGCCCGCTATTCCGCTCATTCAAACCCGTGATAAGGAACAACATCTCAGAGTCGCTTAATACACGCGCATAATGCCTCGGATTTGGTCCTCGTTAGGTCTTGCCTACCTCGCTGGAACGGCTCTCGCAGCCACTCCAGCGGAATGGCGGTCTCAGTCTGTCTACTTCCTCCTCACGGATCGATTTGCGCGCAGTGACGGTTCCACGACCGCTCCGTGTGATACCAAAGACCGGGTTAGTCTCTCGAAGTCTGTCCTCCAGATAGCATGGTCCATTAACACGTGAAACAGGGGTATTGTGGTGGCACCTGGCAGGGTATCATCGATCAGGTGAGAAGGGCTCTCCACGAATAGCTGTTTGTTATAGCGACTGACCCGTGTGCTTGTCAATGTAGCTTGACTATATCCAAGGAATGGGCTTCACGGCTATCTGGATCACACCTGTCACGGAACAATTGCAAGAGCATACGGCGTATGGCTCAGCCTACCATGGATATTGGCAGCAAGACATGTAAGGCTTCTCCTGCTCCTCAGCGCTGTGGTGTTTTCTGACCCAATGTGAATAGTTTCGCGGTCAATTCCAATCATGGAACTGAAAAGGACCTGAAAGCCCTATCGGACGCTCTTCACAAGCGCGGCATGTATCTTATGGTTGACGTTGTCGCCAATCACATGGTGAGTGGTTTGTTTAGCTTCGTGACCGACCCTTTACTAACGAGACGTAGGGTTACGCCGGTGCAGGCAACTCGGTAAACTATAGCGTCTTCAACCCTTTCAACTCGCAGGAGTATTTCCACTCGTACTGCCCGGTCACCGACTACAAGAACCAGAAGCAGGTGGAAGACTGCTGGCTTGGAGACAATACTGTGTCTTTGCCGGATCTTGACACCACAAAGGATGAAGTCAAGAAGATCTGGTACGACTGGGTGGGCTCTTTGGTGTCTAACTACTCCAGTATGACTTTGCTCGCTTGATAGCCCCTAAGGATGCTGGCTGACCCGACACAGTTGACGGCCTTCGCATCGATACTGTGAAGCACGTCCAGAAGGATTTCTGGCCAGGCTACAACCACGCAGCGGGCGTCTACTGCATCGGAGAAGTGTTTGATGGAGATCCGTCTTACACTTGCGCCTACCAGGAAGTTATGGACGGAGTCCTCAACTATCCCATGTGAGTCCCGAAAGCAAACGTCTAGTGATAACATAGCATTCCTGACCAAAGCAGCTACTATCCACTTCTGAAGGCTTTCCAGTCCACCAGTGGCAGCATGGACGATCTTTACAACATGATTGGCACCGTCAAAACCGCATGCGCCGATACAACCTTGCTGGGCACCTTCATCGAGAACCACGACAATCCCAGATTTGCATCGTGAGTTCTCCCCAGACCCCGCCTTCGTTTCCGACAGCAAACGCTAATGGTTTGATTCGCAGATACACCGACGATGTATCTCTTGCTAAGAACGTCGCGGCATTCACGATCTTCGCAGACGGTATTCCCATCATCTACGCCGGCCAGGAGCAGCACTACAAGGGTGGCGAAGATCCCGCAAACCGCGAGGCAGTCTGGCTCTCCGGCTACTCGACCACCAGCGACCTGTACAAGCTCATCGCCGCCTCCAATGCCATCCGCAACCATGCCGTCAGCAAGGACAAGGCCTATGTGACTTACAAGGTACGTTGATCATCTTCCTGTCAAATCCCATCGCCACAGGCTAACCCGTGCCATGCAGCAAAACGCCATCTACAAGGACACCTCCACCATCGCCCTGCGCAAGGGCACCGATGGATCCCAGGTCATCACCGTGCTCTCCAACCTCGGAGCCTCTGGCAAAAAGTACACGCTCTCTCTGGGCGGATCCGGTTACAAGTCCGGCGATAAGCTGACCGAGATCTACACCTGCACCAAGGTGACCGTGGACTCGAACGGAAACATCCCCGTGCCCATGGAGAGTGGCGAGCCCCGGGTGTTCTACCCGACCGCCGGTCTCGAGGGAAGCAAGATCTGTGCTTGAGCCAAACGAAGTTGGCCTCGAGGATGAATTGTTCTTTAATGAGGTCTCGGGCGGAGATGTTTTGTTTCGTTGTGGATATCATTTTGAGTTGACTACTGTATGAAGAGTTTTGTCAACTTCGCTTGTTGTACGTACATACTTGTGGAGCTTTTTGTTCTTATACATATATATATGTATGTGTGATAGAGTATATTCCAATAGACAATTATCATCTCAAGTCTTGTCCTTTCCCCTTTCCTTTGATTTCCGAATTTCCCAGAACTCCCTTTGATCGATCATCTTTAAACTCGCAAGTCCGAGGAAGTACTCAAATCCAAAAAAAACAAATCCCAGTGGTAGCTTAGCTAACTTCCACTTTCCGCTCCAGAACCTCACCCTGAAATTTCCCGTTTTTACTTGACATACTCTGTACATACAATCCCCTACTATTCCTACACGAGTCCCTACCTCGCACCTAGCCTTCATCCCATCTATTCCCCATGGGAGTAGATAGGGTGAAGATACACCATGCAGAGAATTTTATCATCCTCAATCACTAGCTCTAGTTCGCTTTGAGCCTTAGAGGCCTGAGCTCTTAGCTCTATCTAAGCCTCTACCGGGGGAGGAGGGGGGCTATAAAATGGCCGTGCTAAGCCTTAACGTTCTCCAGGATGCGAGACATTAATGTATGTATATAGTAGTGGCGTGGTCTCAGACTGAAGGATTAGGACTAGGAGGACTACCTAGTACCTAGGGGTGTGGTTCCGTAATGCATCTGACTACTATGATACTATCCTATCTCATCTCTCTGCAGAGTGCGTAGTGCGTACAGCCACAAAAAAACAAAAAAAAAAGACTGCCAAGGAAAGACTCGAGATAGGTATAGTGTTTATTGATTGTCACATGTGATTGTCTTAGTTGGGGGTTTAAGGTTTGGGTTCAGGGTTCAGTACAGGGAATAAACAGCAAGGAGGAGAAAGACCTCATGATGCGCAGTTTTGTCAAGGTATCTGCTTTGTGGCTTTCTGTGGTTATTTCCGGGAGTTGAGAGGCGACGGGTCCAGGCTTTCGGACACCCAGTATCTTCTCGATCATTAATATAGCATAGATTATCACGTCATCATAGCTAGCTCAAGTGAAAGACGAAATAGAAAGGAGAAAACATGATGGTGGAGATTGCCCACTTCGAAGGGGGGGAAAGGCTAGGAAGCTCTGCTTCACACCGGAGAAGAGAAGAGACCGACTACATCAAACGCCACAACTGTCATAAAGTTTTTACAACCATTATTAAGTCCTGTATCCAACCTTAGTACCTGCAAAACACCTGCGCAGGCTTATCACAGTCAAAGTATCGCTGTCCGATAGCCCGCTTGTAATTCGCCTGTCACATTGTTGAGCATGTCGGGCAAGGAGTGAGGGGACACCTCGGGCATGAGCTGCTCCAGGGCGCTATAGTCGCCCATCATGGTGTCCAGAACCTGAGGCATGAAGTGTAACTGGCCCAGATTCAGTTTCCGCGCATCCCCAAAGGCGCCCTTCACTGCGCTATTGGGGTTGGGGCACGCAGTGCACCGCCGCTTGAGTTCCGAGATAGTATATGAGAACCGATATGCGATATGATCTTCGTTCGGTGAAAGATGGAGCAGAAATGTTTGGACCTGATCAATGAGCGGATCCATGGGGTTGAAATCGCAGAGGTTCAGGGCTGCGTAGCCCACGATGTAGTACGTCTGGTCAACGAAGCCCAGAGCGGTAGAGAACCGAACGAGCAGAAATTTGGAAATGATGAGGCGTGCATTCCGGAGTACTTCTGAAACAAGAGGTTCCGACTCCCATTGACATTTCATCGCAGTTCGATAGAGCAGCAGTTGGCAGTACCAGAGATTCAGCTCAAGAGTAGAGTGTTGTTCGCCGGCTACAAGGTTCTTCGGTTAGTCTGCTTGTGTACCAAGTTTAGCATAGAGCCACCTACTGAGTAGATGTGCCCACTCCATCTTCCACCGTTCGATCTCCTCGTATTCGATTTCTGCCGACCGCATGCGATGGGGGTCGTTTTGCAGCTTTGATGTAACCAAGTATAATTGAATTTCTGCGACCATTTTCCCATCGTCAAACGTCGCGGCGGGGTGTTCAAGAAGTCGCGGGCAGTGCTCAAGGTACCTCTGCTGTATATGGAAGGGGCGGGCGTTTCCAATGGCAAATCTATACCAACGGGTTCTTAACACATATCACGGGATTGAGGTGAATAGGGGCTATACATACTGCAACTGCGTCAAACATAAAGCGTTCCATAGTCGTAGCTTGGCGACCATATCATTATCAACAATCAGCTCAGCAGGAGCGTGGTTGAGGAAGTCAAAGGAGATGATGGCATGGTTGATTGAGATCCCGCTCAACAACCAGCTGTCCATGGGTGCCTCCTTTTGAATGGTTGTTGGCCATAGAGAGAGAAGAGTAAGTGCTTGCAATGTCTCGTATTTCATGGGTTGGGAATTCCAGAGAATATTGACTGCTGCATGCCGGATTTGAAGGTATTCAGCCTGTATTACCGACGAAGGTATCCCAGGAACGTAGCGGGAGGCTAACAGACAGGCCGTACGGTACAGTAGCGGATCTGTCGGTCGTAAATCGTTATGAATGTCTGACGGGCTATCGATGGAGACCCAAGAACCGAAATGCTCAACGAATCTAGAAGATCAAGCCGTAGACTATTAGCCCACATTCCACGAAGTTCAGATACTCCAATGAGGAGAACGGGATGACCCACAGCTGAATCAGTTTCAAAGACAACTTCGGATCTAAAACACCATTGCTGAAAGATTCACTCAGTGACCTCGACTCAGCAGGGAGGACATTAGGCTCTCCAAGGAAATCGGACTGGAGTTCCTGGATCAGACGGATTGGTCGTGGAGCGATGAAGGAAGGCTGGCTTCCTTCGACCGAAGCAGTCTCTTCAGTGAGCCCGCTCCTTGTTAATAATGAGACAGAGCTGCCAGAAATACTGGGCGATCGATCCACCATTTGCCGCATCATGCTGGTCATTTCTGTCATGCTGCGTTCGAGGGAATTCAGACGCTCCTCGATGGACGGAATAGCTGCTGTGGCATCAGACCACATGGAGGCGTTGTCTTGGAAGCGTTCGGCTGTATCGGGTAGCTTGCATTCTATCCTGTGGAAACAAAACCTTTAGTATTTTGAGCTTGATTTTTTTTTTCAAACCGATTGCTGATTGTTTCATGCCGGGGAAAGTCTATTTCAACTCGTCGGTGCGTGGGACATGCAGCAAAGCACACTAACCTGAGCGAGAGACAACGACGGCAAGCATGACCCCGAGGATCCAAATCACATCTGGTTTTGAGCTTGCGGCAAGTATTGCAAGCCGTCATGGATCGTCGAATGCGACCCTTTGGACGAATTGTGTCACCGCTTGCATTGGACTCCGATCGACCACTGCCATCGGCGACTTCAATATGATTATTGTTGTCCCACGTGGGGATCTCAAATTTGACCTCCTCAAGGGTAGTAGTGCGCGTCATGGCATTAGAAGTTGGCTCTCAATGGATAGATGGATTATTGATTAACAATTCACAGTGACAAATGGGTGGAGAGCAACAACAGGGAGTGGAGGGAACCGAGCGAGAAGTGAAGATCCAGCGCACATCACCAGAAGCTTGGATATGTGGAGAGAGGTAAAAGCCCTTATAACAGTCCCTGATGAGCCGAAGGGGAGGGCAATGGTGTTAGCCTGCTGGCCGTTGACGAAATAGACTCTGGCCGTCTGGCTGATGGGGGCTGCTGCGGGCCTGCGGCCAACCAATCCATCCTAGACCTGGGGTAAAAGCTAACCAAGGGGCGCGATGCAACCAAGCGGCGCCTCTAGCGGGCTTCTAGAAAAGTAGAGAGCCCAGAAAGAGGTTGTAGCGATACTGCAGGCTGCAGTCAAAGAGGGGTTGATTGACATGCGCCATCCTTAGTCCCTGTGCATCCGAGGAGAACCGGATAGTGAGAGAAAGCCACCGCCAACAAGACGATGAGAGGAGTACATTGGAAATTGAAGGGGCAAAAAAAGGAAATCCAGCACGGAATCAGTAGGAAAAGCCCGATTTGAGACACTTTGATTTGTTGATAGACAACTGTTGCTTATCATGGTCGAAGATTGCGGAGATTTTGAAGGTTGGATAAGGTGGTTGGGCCTGATTTCCCCCCAGTGGAGCAATGCTTGCTTTGCGATGGCCATTATTGATTTCTCCGGATGATGATGATGATGATGATGATAATGATAATGATAATAATAATAATAAAAATAATAGTAATAACAACAATAATAATACGTCGCGGTCAGCTTGATAATAGTATTTCAGATACCGCTCAAGTTGCTGGCCCGTCTCCAGTTTGCGCCATCATGATGGTTGATGCGAGACAAAACTCCAAAAAAAAAAAAAAAAAAAAAAGGGGACCGAACATTTAGGTTTAGGATAGCCAAACGGATCAGGCAGATCATGAGTATCAGACTCAGACGCCTCAAAGTATCGTGACCATCGCTCCGAAAGTCGTCTGTATCTATCGGTCCAACCAGTGCGATGATATTCATTATCTATTCCAAACCCTGCGACTGTTGAGGAAACGACGGTGGATTCAAACGGTTATCTACGGTATTAATGCGGTTGATTATTGCATCGTCGGAAATTAATCTCAGCCCGTCCACGTTCAGATCCGTCGCAAATGATACAGCAGACGATGCACGTCCTCTGGGAGCACGGAGCAGCGACAAAAGCCACCAGTAACCAGTCAGTCCCTGGACGAGCTTGTACTCTGTACTATGAGGCGTCATTGTCCACTCATGTTGTCGAGGCCCATGGGCCGACCTGCAATGTTGATTCGCTTTCAACCTGCTTTCATGGTGGAAGCAATCAGGTAATTGCTTCCCATAGTGGTGAGGTGAGAACGATTACTAGTTAGTATTATTAGTGGGAGGCATCCAGACTATCAGTAGCGCAGACCGGGGATGTAGGTATCTTTAGTGTAGAACCACGTCGTGATCGGACATTGGTTGATTTCAGGGTCATGACCGACAAGCACCGGCTGACCTTGTGGATCCAAAGCCGTGAGCTGAATTGCTGAAGCCTGAAAACCATCTTTGTAATGGGATGTTCCAAAAGACTTAGTATATATGGATAGTGCCGATACCGAGTTAATCCCATCTGGGAAAATGAACCCATTCCACTTCTGCTCAAGTCGCAAGCCGCACTCCTTTTCCCTCAGCGATTGACATTTGCCAAGTCACCTGTCCTGTCTCGAGACGCTGTTAAGCAATCCTTAGCGCCAAATTTTTACCTCGGCCACCGGGCTATGGCTCTTTCTGGAAGGTAACATTGTAGTAGTAAGCTAGCTTGTAGCTAGCCACGACGGCATTGGTCTGAGCGTTGGGGTGGGAAGTATTCCGATCAGTCCCTGCCGCTAGTAGTCTATGATGCACCAATGCCCTCGGCTTCCGTAACTTGTTCTGTTGGACTTTGGACAAGACCCTCAAAGCATGAACTGGCGGTCTTGAAGAACAGGGGTCAGTGGCTAGCGCGCTCACAGGGACAGCCATCTTCTAAATGGTTGAATGTCAGCCAATCAGCCGTCAACTCTGAAGTTGATGCCAAGCCAGCCTTCGTTTCTTCGCCCTTGTGGTGCGGCCGTGCCGCTCAAGTGGTCCAGTGGGGGTCTACTGACGGCCCATCTTGGCAACTGGCCGAACCCCACTAGCCTGATAAAATGGTTGCATCGGATGTGCGTGTCTCACATGCTATCGCGCCATGATGCGTCCAATCGAGCCTTCGAAAAGGAAGGTCGACCATCACACCACCACGATCGAGAGAAAATATCGCAAATTAGAATGACAGAGAGCTTCGGGGAGCTCCGAGTCGTGAAACTCAGATAACGCAATTCTTATCGAGGATTGTACCTGCAGCCGGAGTATCAATTTGCGATTGACCTACCAGGGCTTCGTGAGTTCTGATTGCTGAATGCTCGGATGGGTTCGTCGATATGTTCTCCTTGAAGACCGCATGGCAATCGGCAACAATAGTTCTTCCTGCATCGAGACTCAGGAAAGGAATACAAATTGGTGATCCTGCCTGCCCAAGGAGGCACACACAGATGGAATCTCAATCTCTGTGTCTCAATCGCTATGAGGGAAATAATGTCTGTGGCCAACCTCGCAGATTTCACCCCATCAGATTCCACTATGGATCTTGCGGTGATGCTCCGATGATGTGATCAAGCCCCCGTGTGAAGTAAGGTTTTCGAGGCTTTTGGCCATTGATCAGGACACAAAAAAATGTGGAAGACAGGGCTCATCAACGATAAAGTACGTAGATCACCTCCTGGATCGAAGATCTTCGGAATAGAGCGAGAGGCCAAAGAGCAACGATAGTATCGCTCGATCTGATGAACAATTGAGAGAAGAACGACCTCTTCATCTGTGGTTCTGTGAGCTGTATAAATACTGGGGATAGCTGCGAGAGGGCAAAAGGTTCTAGGCACATGACATTCGCTTCCTCAGGCAGCCGACGAGTTCCTTTCTTGCGACCAGTGTAACATAACGAGTACCCCTGGGCATGTCTCGCCTTGTAGGAATGCATTTACCTAATGCTTTTTGGAAGAAGCAGCTCCCAATTCGTTCCAACTCTCTCACACCCCAGCCAGAGTTGAAAATTTCACGTCAATGAGGACTTGAGTATCCACGCCGAAATTGCTCATACGCAGAGTCAAGTAACGTTTTCCTCGGCCTCCGGCTTGAAAGACACTAGTCCATGAGATGAGCGATGCTAACCTTCACGCAAAGGCGGTAGTGACCAATTGGCCGTTCTTCTACGTACACGGGGTCCGTGGGACCTTTCCCAGCGCGAGGAGACACTCCGAACAGGCGGTTTCTTCATGATCGCAACCTTGTTATAAAGGGGTCACCAACAATAATATGGGTCGGCTGCCTCGGAAGGCTGAAGTGTTCCGTTACGTCTGGACTTTGAGTTCCACAGTGGAGTCATACAATAGTTCTGAGACAGGACTTTGGTGATCAGATAAAGTATTCTGCCACTGGGTTGTTTGGCACAGTGGTGTGCAGCGTGGCGAGCATTCCCTCAACAATCGAGATGTGTGGAAACGAGAAGCATTTGGAGGATAGAGGAGATGGTGTTCTCTGAGATGCCAGCTATGAATTCCACCCACCTCGAAAGTATCGTGGTGGCTTTCAATGAAGCTGGCTGGGAGGAAAGGCTATATCCCAAGGTTGCAGAGCTGATGACCGCTGTGCATGATGACACAGATTGGTGAACCGGATCGAGTCCCGTCAATTGGTTGCAATGATGACCGTCGCCTCTCTACTCGGAGCATAGGCCCGTTGGATCGATTGCTTCTCGATAGCCGCTATCTTGATCAGTAAAGATTGCAGGATTTCTTGTTCGCATTCAATACATTAAGGGACCGTAGGGCACACAGATGGTCCACACCCAGCCGGACAAGTGGCTTGTATCTCTGCGCCGACTCCTAGTAATTGACGAGTCGGTTTGGGCTCTAACACGTTGCTCTGAGAGGGTGGTCCATTGGTGTCGTTCTTGATCAAGCCGCCGCAGAGAGCATGAGCCATTTTGTGGACTTACAGACTGTATAGGACCAGGGGCAGCCGGGAGCAATCAGAACCATCGCCTGCGCTGCCATTTACTTACGAGACCAGAGTCCCTGGAACGTGTTCCCACTCAGGAAGATGGCACTGAGAGGAAGCAGTGATCCAGTCGCCAAGCGAGACTGGACAGGGAGTAAGACCTGATCTGGATGACTCTTGTAGGACCATCGTTCGAACCTTCAGTTCGGAGATTCTGATGTGGAAGTGCTGAAATCCAGTTTTTGCATCCCGAGATCACTCCGAAGTAGTGATGAAGCTAGATCACACGGCCTCCTCAATATCATAGTAGGGGGCCCCCTTCCATGGCCAAACGATCTCAGATCTTCTTGAACGACATCAGACAAAAAGAACGATCTTCAGGCCCTTGTTGCACAGGAAATTTCACAGGCGAAGAATGTGGAAGCGCGATGCATCATACTTGGAGATGGAGACAGCGTCCGGGTACACAGTGCACCAACAAGCGAATGTCGGGACTTGCTTGCACCCATGATCAATGAAACATCCCGCGTCTCAATGAGATCCGAGTCTGAGTGCTGTGATCATGAATGCCATGTCCCATGCAAGCCATCGATGCCCGACCGCCCGACGCGGTGCATCTGCAGACCTGACCAAGCGCTAGGCAGTGGAAGTTGTTTCCATCCCCCGCGATGGCTTCTGTTTTGCCACCTAGGCACTAGGACATGTAAGTACATAGTCACCTCCCCACCACTAAGGGAACAGCACGGTACTCACCAAAGACATTTGTACGGTGAGCCCAGGATCAGCAACTGGAAAGTGCAGCGAGGCGCGGCTCGGGATTTGCTCTCATCACTGGATGTGGTATGAGCATCGAGGTTCGAATGGACTGTGTGACTGTGGGCATGCTGTGGTATGCTATGCTATGCAGTGACTGCTGTACCTGTGCGGTGCAGGACAAAGGCGAAAGATGTCCTTGATATAAACATGTGATTGGCTACTCGGGACGGGTACCTGTGCAACAGGAGCAGCGACAACTTGTATGTCTTTCTGAGGGGTATCTACACATTATCGATTCAATAGTTGGATCTATCGTCCGGTACTAATCGCAGAAGCAAGGCCTGCGCTCGGCTATTGGAGGGGAAATCTATCCGTGTGTGACGGACTTGCATTCACAGCTGCATCGTCGTCCACCAGGGATTGGAGCATACTACGTAGGTGTTGGTTGGTATGTGCTGGGGTAATTCCGATCGTATTTGTCGACGAGCATGCAGTAGATACTCTGTATTACAATATCTGTACTCTGTATCTAAAACAAAAAAAAAAAGAACCATATTATGATGAATCATTGATGATAGAAGCGAAGGTCATCGTGGTGACTATTAAGATCGAGATGCCCGATCTGAAGCCCAGGTGGCTGGTGCAGGCCTGGGGAGTGAGAGGTGGGGAGGTGGCGAAACTACCGTAGCCGCGCAGATAGGCTGTGCTGTATACTTCAATACCCCATTACTCAGGGTAAACAACCTTGCAGAAACATTCTGCAAATATCTAAGTACAACCAACACACACAGACATACCGTACTCCCTTCATCCACAGATTAGGAGGAGGAGAGTCAGTCTATAGGAATGGCTGTCAGTGCCACAAAACATCGGATCTCGGTGGGTATCCTCGTTCGTTGAAAGCTACCTACTTGATATTAAGATACTATCTACTTAGTATTCACAGTTTGAACTATGTCCTAGCTAGTAGCTACTCATATAAACAGGTCATATCAATTAAGTAGATTAGATAGGTGATTACTTTAGCATCTAGATAGCACTTCCTTAGCCTCCTACTACGGAGTATATAGTTATTTAGATATCATTAAGATACCAAACACAACCCAGATAGCGTCCTAATCTACTAGTATTATTGATCCTGGCGATCCCCCTAACCTTCTCTGGCATCTGCTGCCCTACACACAAAAGTGGGGTGCGTCAAGTCCTGGTTTCCAGGTTTACGCTTGCAGGACACTCGGGTCTCCGGAGTAAGGGTGGTATTCAAAATGTCAAAATGTCAAAATGACAAAAATGACGTGTCATTTTAACTTTTTTTCTCTGACAAAAGTAATTAATCTTTTGTCAGAGAAAGTTTTAACTATAGTAAGTTATTAACTATCCAATATATATTTTGATAAGGTGTGGTCTCATCTCCTAGTTCATTCTGGTTGGCTACTGGAATCACGTGATAAAAATTATATAATCTGATTGGTTAGATTTTAAGATACTACTCTCCCATTAGTTATATAGTGGTATCCACTTTTATCATGTGATACTTGTCATTTGACATTTTTGACATTTTGGCCAGATTTTTGACATACACCACCCCTACTCAGGACGGAGTCAGGACACTTGACTCCTTGATTCTTGCATTCGCAGGAGCAGACACGGTGGAGTGATATCTTTAGGAAGTGGAGTAGTTGTGTATCTAGGCAAGAGAATTTAATAAAGTACGGAGTATGCAGGCTGAGCTGAAAATCTCCAGTGCTCGGTAATAGTTACAAACTTACAATGTCTTTGCCCACTTCTCTACGGAGTAAGTACTGTATAGTGACTAGTAGCAGTAAGTATTAACTGTCCTGGTATCCACAAATGCCAATAAGAGTAAGGTAGTCCGCGCTCTCAAGCCCGGCGAAATCGTTGGTCAACAGCTAAGCCAGTGAACCACACATCCCCTAAAATGGTAATTGCACCGCCTCAGAATGTGTCAAACAAGACTCGGCTAGTCGCAAACTTACCACCTAGACGGAACTCTATCGGGAATTCGGGATCGATGCACTATCGGACCTCGTTCCTTTCTTCGACAGCTCGACTATCAGGGCTTCGGAATGTCAAGCCCCCCACGGACTCAGGAGCTGAGGCCTGAGGTTGGTTCTTCGTCACCGCCCCGGTTCGCCACCGAAAAGGTCTCAGATGCTAAACGCTCGGGCGTCTTGGTGTTTCTGATCACTATATTGGGTTGGGAAGGGGGGGTGGATGGGGGCTAGAGCTTGTCCATACTGCAACTTACAAGTTACAACAGCTTTTAAGGGCGCGAGTAAACGATAGTGCAGTCGTACCAACTCGGCCGTACGGCCTAGTAGTCAGTCTCGGTGAGTATACTGTATAGGGACTGTCTATCCCTCGCTTTCTGCATTCTGAGTGGCAAGATACATAGAGGACGCTCAAAACAACGAAAGACTTCACCGCCATGTGATAGATCGGATGGGTCGTGAATCGCCGCGTCCCCCTTATGCTTTTCCCCCTGTGCTTCTTGCAGCAAGCATGGTCGTGACTGGCTGCGTTACCCGCTCCTCCGTGCCGTCCATCTTGCCTAGTTGGTCGTCATGTCATGGGGGTTGCCATTGACAGGGCGATGGATCACAGCATATGCCAATACGATACTCCGTATGCATTCAACCTCTGCAAGGCTTAAGGGAGACACAGAAAACGGTCGAGCTGCCGCATCTGCCAGCTCGCTCTTGCATGGGGTTGGCAGTGGCATGTGTCTACCTGCCTAAAATCGGTGGACCAGCCAGCATGATAAGGACTTTGGGTACCGGCATTCAGCCGAGCCCGTTTTCTCAGCCACATAATGCGAAATGGCAAATGGTTTTCGTCGTGCAGAAAGAGCATGGTGCACTTAAGAGTCAGACAGTCTCAGGTTCTCCATACTGTGGCCCACAATCACGAAAGGCTTATCCACTTGGCTCAGCCTCGCCAGTCTAAATCATGATCGTCAAGACCAATGCCGTGAGTCACGTGGGTGTTTGTCTCAAAAGATTCAATTTGGAGAAACCTAGGTTAAACTGGATGGTGTTCAATGACAAAAGTCAATCGTGCTGGCCCGAAGACGAATGTAATCTTCCAAACTAAGCTCCCGGAATCAACTTGTTGCGGAATCAGTAAGCACACCAGTCGGATGCTAGGGACATTGAATCCTAATCACAAAAGAAAACCTTGAAAATTTCGGCATGTATTCGTGGCGATACAGCTGTTCCGAGTTCCGACACTTTGGATCCAGGGATTGGGAACTGGAAGTGCCCGCCGTAGATCTGCGTGAAACGTTTCAGCAAATCACGACAGAGGATGGCTCTGTCTATCCAGATTTCCAGTTACCAGAGTTGAGTACAGCACGATCCAGAGTGTCAATTACTACCTCGCAGTGGACCAATCTGACTCAGCATGGATGTGATCTCTCGAACCATGGTTCCTTCAGCAGCAGGGGAAGAACCGGGCTCCTAATTCTCATAATCGGGGCATTCTGGAGTTCCATGGTCTTCTCCTCCCGAGTCCATGCACAGCGGTAGAGGCAGAGGGGATGGGGGTTACGTTGAACCCTCCTGTTGTGTCACAGCTCACAGGCTCATGGAGGGATCATAAGAATCACGGAAGGTGGCTGCTGCCATGGTGGCACTGCAGAGTCTGTGCACTTGCTATCCTCCTTCGGGTGTTGGAACTGCTTGGCCTGCAGAAATGTGGCAGTTGTTTATCCTAGAGGGAGCCCTGCAGGCATACTGTTGCAAAGTGGACCGGAAGTAAAATCTTCAAGATTATTTCTCCAAAAAGGGCATCACTTATGCCATTTGTTTGGTACCAGGAAAAGGAAAAAAAAAATTTCGCACTTGTCTAATTTATGAGACGGATGTAGAAACGGAATGCAAGAAGGGCGTAAGGGGAAGGGGACGGGGGCGAAAGGTAGTGGGTAAAAAATTTCTAAAATGACATGGTCACATCATCCATATTGGTACAGATCGTTCAGATGCACAGACGTCGCTCAACGTTGCAACTCATCAGAACCCCAAACAACGAAAAGAGGGAGAAGAAAAAGGAGAGGGAGAGGAAGAAAAAGTAAAAAAAAAAAACTAGCAGAAGAAATCAGAGAACTTAGAATGGAAAAAAATCATGCGAATGTTGATGAAGATTAGATGTAGACCAGGTAAATAACAATCCATAAAACACCTGAAATGCATATCCGTTGGAGGTTTGAAGTTCGGGGAAGATGAGGTAAGAAACTCAAGGCCGGGCCATTGGTTCCAGCACTGACATACAATGCGTGCCCGTTTTATGTTGACCGAGTGGAGGATCAACAACAACGTAGGAAGGAAAAAAGGCTTGAGGGGTATCATGATTAGATGTGACTAGTCTCACTCGGGCTCGGCTCGTTGTATTCTGCCAACATCTGCGAAGATAAAAGCGTAAAGGAAGAGATTCGTATACTTGTGATTGAGCATGCTCAATGTCCATTGATTCGTGAAAAGACCTAGGTCTAACAGCCCCATTTCCGGGCTCCCCTATTGGTCGGGAAAGATCAATGTTTATTCGCAGCGTTGAATCGATGGGGCGAGGGCATCGACTCGGCAGGCGTTTGTTCTATGTCGCTGAAGGGTGACTGTCGCTGAGATTCAAGGTCACTGGCACCATTTCGCATCTGGTTCCGAAGAGCAGGCAGCTGTCGCCTCCGCGCGTTGATAAACCAGTTGCTAATCTGTTACAGGGGTTCTAGTTTAGCAAGACGCACGTTACAAGACCAACCCACTCGATGGACTAACCTGGCTGATAGTGAGCCCGGTGCGGGTCATAAACATTTGTTTATCCTCCTCACTGGGATACGGGTGATCCAGGTGCTCATGGAACCAGGCGCGTAAGATATCAGTGACTGGCTTAGGCAGGTTTCCCCGCCTACGCTTATTCTTCGAGTCCACCGACTCGCCTAGGATGCCAAAGTTGGACTGCTGTGATGGTGGTAATAATTGCGGAGAGGCCTGCTCTGAATCGCTATGATAGATCATCCCCGGATAAGAGTGGTATGGCGGCTGATTGTGCATGACTGCTGGCATGCCGTTGGCGGGATAGGAATCTCCCCCTCTTCTTTCGCCCATATGGCCCGACAAGCTAGATGGGGCGTAATTAGGCGCGCCGACAGCACTACCGCGGTATTCCTGAGTCACAAACGCATCCGAGCGGGATGGTCCACGGTGCTCCGGCAGTCCTGCAGTTGATGCTCCCAAAGCGCGATCGGGGATCGACTGCAGATCCCGAATAGATGGAAGAATAGGACTGGGACCGCGACCGGCAGCTCCCTGTGCTGCATTTCCAGATAATTGTACCTGCACTGGCGGACGCTCCCCCAACATGCTATGATGGGGCTCGCTGATTCGGCTTCCGGTCATAGAATAGTCGCGAGCGTCTCCCATTGCGAACTTTGAGGGGGCGCCGTAGGGTCTGGACCCAGATCCAAACTCATGGTGTGCTGATAGAGGACGCTCGTGAGACGCCGGTTGCCGGGAGAGATATGAGCCGGACTCGATTTCGTCGTGGAGATGAGGAGGAAGGAGCTTAGAAAAAAGTCAGTTTCTCAGTGCCCCATGAGAGTGATGTGAAACAGAAATCAGAGCAAAAGAGACTAGTCATCTTACCTCTCGAAACGAGGGCAAGGCCTGGGTATGATCGGCTGGAAGTCCGCTTGCGTATGAAATGGCCATTTCCCCCGATTTCTCGTGCACCTCACCGTACTGGGACATAGACAACCACACTGTGAGTTTGGCGTGGATGGCGAAGACCCGAACTTAATTCGGACAAGTCAAGTGTACTGCGATGGTGAGAACCTGGAGGAATGAGACGGTCTTCGAACCACAGCCGACCCGCGGCTTTTACACAGCACTCGATGTTTGTGCTGGTCACGATTCTTCCAATACAGACACTTGTGACTGCCTGCTGGTGAATGCAAATAATAAAAAGGTGCAAACAAAAACAATGCTGTAGTCGATCTTGACGCCCTTGATGTAGGTCTGGGGACGGCCAAAGAGAGAAAGGGAAAGAAAAGCAGACAGAGGAGTCAAGAGGATAGTTAAGTCAAATAGATAGATAGTTGGAGAATGCAACATCCAGTAGAGGAGGAGAGATGTCGAAAAAAAGCAAAAAGTGACGCGGAGATGCGATTTGAAGATGACGATGAAGAAGAAGATACTATTATAGAGTACTCTGTAAGTAGACGGAGGGGATTGGGCGACAAATATTAATATTAATATAATTACCTATTAATTAATTATTACCTTTCTAGTCTCTTACCAGAACTCAAGAGTAGTCAGACAGATCGGTATCTTGACATTATTGCCGCTCACGATGACGATGGAGACAGCTGAACCAAGGTTATGCAAGGCAAAGAGTATGAGGCATAGATCGGGGCTGGACAAGATCTGTTCTTCCTGGGGTTCACACCTTTTTTTTTTTTTTTTTTTTTTTAAATCTTTCCACTCTCCTTTCCTCTGTTTCACTGACTAATGGTACTTCCACTAAAGGGGGATAACAAAACATATAGAATGGATTCAATCTAGGTCGAGTAGGTAGTCCTTCATGTAAATAGGCTGTAGGAGAGTAGGTACAGAGTGGTACATAACAGCAGTAATAATCATAATACTACCAGGAAGTAATACTACTCACATCTGAATAAGTAAATGAATGCATGCTGGAAATCTTGCAGGACTACCTGTATTATTTGTAAGAAAGTTGGTATTGTTACTTTAACTTTTTTTTTTCTTTTTCTTTTTTTCCCCTTAATAGGCATGAGTCTTTGGAACGCAGGACCCATCAGCTGTTCCATTATCCATATTGGCTGAGCCATCCTTATATGGAAGCAGGTAAGAACCAGGGGGGAGGGTGGGCAAGAAGAGGCGGATCCCAGAAGACTGATGATCGTGGGTGGAAAGTGGGTCCTGTAGCCACAAACTACAGGAGACCGTCACTCGCTCCGTTGCAAGCCAAAAAAGCATGCATAATTAATACAAGTCATCCATATTATTATAGATGGTGGAATTTTTTTCTTTTAAATTCATTACTATCTCATCATCATACTCCGTAATTGTTGTTGTTGGTTTTGTTAGGATTAATCAGCACTAGGTCAATAAGCTGGCTGGCGGGGACTGATTGATGAGGGGATGGATGATGGAAGGAGGGGATTGAGGGGGGGTGGGAAGTAGACAGATTTGGAGTTTGGAGTTTGGCCTTGGGAACACTTGGAGTCTTGGGCGGAGGCTTAGAGCTAATGCACAGGGAGGTACGGAGTAGAAAAAAGAAAAGAAAATAGGCAGGAAAACAGAGTTTCATCTTCATGAACATTACATTTCATCAGATCCCCCTCATACAAATTCTGATCCCAGTTGTCTGGTCTAAGGTTGACTGACAGATGGGGCCAAGGATCTGGAGTCCGTCGCCTTTGCAGTTAGTTGAAATCATGATCAAAGATCACAGATGGAACATTTACCTACCTGCCTGCCTGCCTGCCTGCCTGCCTGCTCGAATCTGCAGTACGTAGATGACAATGATCTATCTATCCATTTATCTACCGTCAGGTCACGCTGCAGGGAGACCATAACCCCTCAATGAACAGATTAAACGGCGACATGACATGGAGGCTACACGCTGCAGGGTACATGGATATCTGTCTACTCCGTGCAGCCTGCATCCATCATGACTTTGGTGACTGTGTGTCCAAGGTACCTAGGCCTACCTGACTAAATATGTGTGTAATTTTACGCACGGTATTGTAGGTTGACACCCCAATCAATGGAGGGGATCAGGCCATCTTGGAAGAAAGCGCAAACCTGGTCTAAGATGCACAATTGCCCCAGTGCCACATTATTGCTCTAGACATAGAATATCATTGTTGGATCTCGGTCAAGAGAAAGTCTGCCCTGTTCTTTGATCTGCTCAAGAGGTTGACAGGTGGGCAATCAATCAATTAATCAATGGGCAGGCTAGGCTGAAACTTTCCATCAGTCACACCAACTGATTTGTTACTGCCTTGCTTGCTAGCTGACCTTCCAGAAAACAGCTAGAGCCTTTTACGAAGCACTAGTGATCCGTCAATAGATGTTGACTTTTTTTTGTCTCTTCCAAGTAACACTCTCAGATAATATTGTTGACATATGGTAGGGTGACCGAGGCTATCTATCTAGGCAGCATACGACTTATCTCGTATCTCCAAACTCGCTAGTAATACCCAGAACATTGGTGGTCTTCCCTGGACTCCTGGGGTACAGCGGTACGGATCCACAGGAGTAAATCGCAAAATGTGGTGGCGCTTTTGGTATTTACATCCCAAGTGAAGGTTGCCCCCCCCCCCCTTTAACAATCTTGTAAATTTGAATACTTACTTACTAAGATGATAATAGATATCTATCTCCCGGGGGGGCCGATTTGTAAGTTTTACTTTCTGGAATGAATCATGAATCAATATAGAGTGGGGAACTGAAAGGGAATATCTTCCAGAAGAAAGTTAAGCCAATAAACGTGGTACCTTATCGAAAGGTAGTACTACACAGTACCTCGATACGAAGAATGGTGGCTGAGATCTGTTTCAATAACAAATGCTGATAGTACTCCGTACATAGGGACTACGGAGGGGGCGTACCTAGGATCAAAGTCGGGATAAATTGCTAATCCGACATACTGACACACATGTTGCACCCCAACTCAGCTGGGCGCAGCTGAGTCGATACTTTTACACTGGAGACGCCTGGCTAAGGTTCAGTTGGTGTGAAGACTGGAGTTGATTAGGCGGCACATAACTTATATTAGGGGAGATCGAGGTAACTATGCTGATGATGATTGTCATTGAGTGATTATTATTATTATTATTAGTATTATTATTGTGATTGTTATTATTATTAGAATAATTCTTATTTTTACTGCTCATAAATTTGAAAAGGCGATCGCTGAGTGTCCCTCACTGGGTTGGCTCCACATGGTGATCGTGTCAGAAGGACGCGGAGGTTGGCCACTGGCTGGTGTCAGGAGTCAGGACTCACGACGCTTCTTACTGTATTACCAATGACAACGGGGATAGTGTACCACTTTTGACTGTTAAACAGATTATAGAGCGATCTTTTTATTAAAAGAAACAAAAGAAAATTCCGAGTCAACTCCAGGTCATATCGCGATAGATGAAGTGCAGTGATAGCAAGACAGAACCACGATCGAAGAAGGGGAGAGAAAAAAAAAAGCATTCAGAACTCAATTCACTACCTATGATGTACAGACTACAGAGTGTCACTTCGAAGTCAAATCCCAAAGCCCCAAATCCGATGGAGAGATGGTATCCAGTTGGAGATGTGAAAAAGCAACAGGCAAGAACCGATCGACGGCTCAGAGCGTCACATCGAGATCGATCAGACGAAATTGGCGACTGATGAAAGGGAAGTGTGAAAGCCCAGCTGGGTGACAGGGAAACCCTAACTAACTTGACATCGCAGCGGCTTTGGGCAGCCCGCCTTCTCCCCCGACTAGACCGGAATGGGGTGTCCCAACTTCCTGGACAGGGAAGGGTTGATCGCCGAAGAGTTCCGCTGCATGAGCCCCACCTTCCCTGAGACGGGCTGCAATCGGTGCATGCTGAATGGCCGTACCAGATCTGCCGACGTTTTCTTTTTTCTTTTTCTTTTCCTTTTTTTTGTTTTGTTTTGTTTTGTTTTGTTTTTTTTACCCCCCCCTTCTCTCTCTCTCTCTACCTGTCAATACTTGATGGTTACGGAGTACTTTGCAAATTGTCATCGAGCGCTAGTCCCCATCTGCACATCATTCTCGTTCACATCTTCATCCCGCCAACCCCAATTATTATAGCCTCGGAAGTTGGGGGACTCTCCAGGACAGAGCAAACTAACCTGTGATTTCCTTGCATCCAGTTTCTAATTATTTACTGATGAAGGGGAGCAACAAGGAGGGCCAGGTGATTGATTCAATTAATAGATCGATTGATTGACGAATTCCTCCGTTGGCACTTGGCATCTGTACAGCGCGTACATACTCACTGTCAAGTATCTATGAAGTACTGTAGGAGGGTGCTGCTTTGATCCTCGGACTACCTAAGTTGTAGCCTCGCAGAAGGACCAACCATCGATTGGCGTGATCAGTGGGCGCCCGCCTTGGTCCGCTGTCTGGTGCACCAACTGTCCAGCAGGTAAACATGAAAGATCCATTGCCCCGTGCATATGACATCTCAGCTTGTCGGCTAGGGGGTGGATAGTGAAAGCCAGCCTGCCATGGATCGGGAGGAACCACATATTCCAAATATTTCTTGGAAAGTCTTATGGAAGATGGCGAGGAGCCGGTACTACATGCTCGGTCCGACTTGTGGAAACACTTGTCCTTGCTCCATGGCTGTGGAAGTAGCAGAAAATTCGAACTGGTTTGTGCATTGTCGCAATATTGGACACTGACACAGGAGTGACTGACAGTCTATCCAGAATCATCCAGAGTTCGGGCCACTTGATTGAGGATCCGCTCTGAACCAAGGATCACTTGCGCTCTTCTCATCGTTCTGATAATTTCTATTGACAGGAACCACACGAGGCTTGCAATTTTTCGTCCACTAGCCTGATACTTGCAAACATGGACGGGCAATCACTAGTTAATCCCCTGAGCCTCTGGAAATCTCAGTTTCGTGGTCCACATATACAATCCACACATATTTGCGACTGCAAAAGAAAACCAGGCCAAATGAGGACCCGAGTGGGTAGTATTGGATTTGACCTTGTTTTCTGTGGGACAATCAAGTCCGTCTAGGATAAGCTCATTTGCCTCCTTGGGGGCTCGGGCTTGACGGCATCGGGCTTGCAGCTAACAGCAAAAAGAAGAGGAGACTAAGCGTAGAACTCAGGCCGAAAATTTTGACCCTGGGCGCCGCCACGTCCATGCTAAGACAAAGACGACGCAAAAATGATATGGGTGGTGGAAAAATCTAGTGGTATTAGTGGACTCGGGTGGAGAGTTGTCAACCACGAGTATGGGTGATATTTAAGGAGTAGTTAGATGGTACTAGTGAGCTAGGATGGCTAGGACATGTCAGATTGCCTTTCTACTCGCTGGTTATATCCTTAGTCAGGATGGGCCCTGTTTTTGGTACTCTTCGAATGAGGTACGCTAGTTCATGAGCGGTACATTATTGACTTCGGCTCCATCGAGATCGAAGACATGAGCGACACAGATACGGAGTACAATCAAATGAGACGTGCTGTCAGGGCCCAAGACTAAGAGCGCCGTTGTGTATCCCAAACCTGCCCTGAAACCAGTTGATTGAGTGAAAACCTGGTAGTTCGCCAATCTTCCCCAATAATAGGGCGAGATATGGGCGTTCAAGTATTTGAGTGCAGTTGACATTTAACTATTATTTTGAATCGGCAATTCAGCACTCACAATGCCGAAGACTCAGCTACTTGACTGACATTGCCATGCTCTCGTGTTCTCAAAGCCCAACGGCGATCTGGGTGTCAGAATTAAGCTGGCTGATAATATCATATAGTAATAAGAAGCAGTGCTTACTACTACTAGACTAACTACTTACGTAGTACTATCGGAGTCCGGAGGGATATCTTAAAAGAGCATTGTCCTCTTACTGAGAACGGTAGTCAACACCGCGCGCTGAAAAAACGGAAGTTCTGGTCCGGCCAAAGAAGCCAGTCAACGACATTGGATGGGTAAGTAGAGTTTTGGCTGGGTCAGGTCAATCTAGTACTAAGAGTCTAAGTCAGTAAGTAGACCTAGACTAAGATAGTCCCAGTGACAGTTCCAGGCAGATCAGCAGCCACGAGGTAGATAATTCGCGTGGGTTATTCATTGTTCTTCACAATTCTTCGGTATTATTATTATTACAGGGGTATTCAAATTAGTGGGAGAGATGTCATCAAGTCTGAAATTTTCAATCTGGAAGTCGATCATGACGACGTCTGTTCACAACCTTCAGGGTTCCAGAGTTCTGACATCTACTCAGAGTACAGTACGAGGGTAACATCAATTCCACCTCTATCACTGCGTCTACACATACCTAGGTGGACTAGAGCCGTCTTTGCCCCCCCTTCTTTGCAAAAAGATCCAATCACTGTACAAGTCAGAAGACTCGGATCGTGCATGAAATGGAGCAAGGGCGTAGATCAATTCTGGATCTCGCAGAACGGGTTCATGGAACGTCTAGTCTATCTGAGACACGGTAGGATCGGAATGTCTGTACCCTGTAGAGCGTAGCCTGGATGTACCTCCTACCTGTACTGTGCACTTTGCATCTGCATCTTGTGGTGTACAGGGTACGTACATGCTATTATTGAGCTGTTTCATATGGGTGGACGCTGGTCGGAATGTAGTACGAGTTGTTCTTAGCTCTTGTGCTCCGTCCTGCGAACTGCGGACTGCGTACAGCGTACAGGCACAGGTACAGGTAGGCATTTCATAGCCCATGCGACAGACCAGGAAGCAATCAGCACAGAATCCATCAATCAATCAATTATCTTATCGAAGTGAGTGACGGGAATCGGCCTGGGTTGCAGCTGGGATTTGTCATGGCCGGCTGTCGTGTAACCCGCATCGTTTCCTGGTACTTGGGTTTCGCTTTTAGATACTCCTCTCCTCCTCAGAGCCACCACAGTCACACAACATTTGCCTGTAGCCCCTGTACAAGGGCAGTGAGGAGTCGAACTGTTCGCATCTCTTTCAGTTTACGTTCAGTCTGATCGATGGAGATGTCTCGATCTGAAGTAGGTTTATGTAAGTAAATGCACGGCGCTAACCGGCCTAACTCTCTCCCATCTTGGGCGTGGGTGAGCCCTCAAGTTTACCAAATTAGGTAGGGAACTTCATCCCCCCTACAACCCCGGCTAAAAGCCAACATTACCATCTCTTCTCGTTTCTCCAACAACTCTATGACTGACTCCTGCCTTCCCCTGACATCATAGTCTAGCCATTGACATCCCCCCGAGATTCCAAATCGCCGTTGCCACGCTCAAAGGGCAACGAGGGAAAAGAAGAGAGGAAAGATATTTTCCGACCTTTCCCGCAGCGGCTTTGAATTCAATAGTCTGACATTGCATTCTATAGTTCCAAACCTAGCCAGCAACCCCGGTTCGTCGACTTGTCAACTGACGAGTGACGACTCCCAGACTGGCGGAGGTTCCCCGTCTAGCACTTCTTGAGACCGACAAGAAATATAGAGGGAGTCCTCCCATACTAAAAATGAGTCTCCTGGTTCCCTGATACTTAGCAGAATTCCAGGAGCGCAACGCCGCCGTTCCAGAATCCAGCCTCGTTTCATCTCCAAGCCAAACCGACGGGAACTCCATTCCGCTCTGCGCTTGGAAGGTGGAAAACTAAAGTGGAAAACAACTTACTATTGAGACGTTTCGCCTTCGTCATCCATCATCCATCATCCATCTAAGAGAGTGGATGGATGATCGACAGCTGATCTTCCCACAGTGCAGGAGTTCATGCCCATAGCCATAGTTAGACCACGGTTTGACGTTTTGCTCAGCCCATGTGTCTCTTTCTTTTCCCCTTCCTCGGGCAAGGATCCAGACGAACGACGGTGTCAGCTGCAGTGGTTGCATCAGACCGTTTCACCATTGCCTGGGGCTGAATATTGACGAACGACAATTGTGCCAGGGAATTTAATTTTGGAGAAAAACACAGCTGACCGGGCTTGCGGTTAGGGCTTGTGGCTTTTTGTCTGAATCATTCTGCTACACCTACGAAGTACTCCGTACTTGAAGCGGTGATTATTAGCCGCCGCCGCCGCAGCAGCAGGACTCGTTGCAGCGGAGAAGCGGCTTGGTGTTCAGGCAGGTTTCTCCATGGGTTCGACTTCGCTGATACTCATCTCTTGGCGACCAAGGGAATTTTATCTATATTCTCGTAAAAGTCTGTTTCCTAATTTTAGGACCGTTTCACATGGTTGACAGGGCGCCTGCTGGTCACAGTGATCCATACCATGTGGTCCCAATCGTCCGATGCTTGGACCTCACTCTGCAGTGAGGTATCCGTATCATCGTGGTGTTATCCGAATTTCTTGCCTCGTATCACACTCGGAAACCTTGACGTGGAATCGAGTGGAATGGCTATAGATACTCGGCTCACTATGTTGGGTACAATCTGCCACGCGATGCAAGCTGGACGGCTTCTCCCTCTTCTTGGTAATGGCTGGATGGTGTGGGTGATTGCATATCCGGTACTTAGTCGATAAGTATTGATTGATATCAACATGCGAGCCTCTCTCGGCATAGAGCAGAGTCGCAGGCCGTAGGGTTCATAGCAAGTCAGTCACAGTAAATAATGTTTTGGTATTGCTACCACTTATGTTAGATCTATGATGTAGATACATATATACCCATTGTAGCCTCAGTAACTGAAGTCGGAGTCAAATGCGAACAAGATCAAAAATGAAAATATCAGAGCCCATCCCGCTAAACCCAACCAGATAGATCTTTAGAAGAAGAAAAAGAAAAGAAAAAAGAACAGTGTACTCAACCAACTGCTTTTTGCGACAGTTAAAGAACAGTAAGATCGCGAGTGTTTAATTTTGAACAGGAAAAAAAAAAGGTATATGCCACGAGGACAAGCCGAGATCAACTCGGCGATGCGTGTCCAAGATAGTTGAAGTGAATGCAAAGAAGAGACTCAAATGTACATGTTTAGATCACCATGTCTCCTAGGTAGTCATTAGGTCATTAGTGTTTGATGGTCATCCAAATTTAAACAGAGGAAAACTTACGGCAATATATTGACCAGCTTCCTTCTTATTCTCCCAGAAAAGCTTGGCTTCCTCCTGGTTTAGGTTTCCCTTGGCCATGGCCACATCGACGAGGGCGGCCTCAACACCCTCACCCATGCCCTTCCCGCTGCCGCAGACAAAGACACGCCCGTCAAGAGCGTTGATAACGAACCAGACTAGATCGGCCTGGTGACGGACCTCCTCCTGGACATACTTGCTCTCGCCGCGACGGCTTTGGACGACTGTGCGCACCTTGTCCTCCTCGACACCCCACTCGCCGCTGTAGAGCTCGTCCAGAAGCGAGTCGCGCACTCCCTGCAGCACCCACACCTTGTTGGCACAGTTGGCCGACTGCAGACGTCGCTGGACGAACCCGCGGAAGGGCGCGATACCGACACCAGCGCCGATCAGGAGCATGGGTCCGTCGGACGCGAATCGCTTAGCCAGAGGATTAGCCATGAGTCCGCGGAACATGGGGAGATGAAGATTGAGGGAGCGCGGGTCAAGACCCTTTTGCTCGGCCTCAATCACCTGCCTGGCGAGGCGCTCGAGGTACCCCGATCCGACGCCCGTCCGGAAACCACCCTTCCAGTCATCGGTCTCAGCCACAGATACCGCGATCTCAACGAGCTTGCGGCATTCCGAGCCTTCCCTTTGGCAAGAAATGAGAGGGTCCTGCGACAGAGAGTAGAAGCGAGGCATCAAGGTGTTAAGCACGGAAAGGAGATAATCCAGAGGTGGCTGAGAAGACGGGAATGCATGAAGCAACTGAGACACGGTGATGTATGATCCGGTGCGAAGATCACAGAAGGCTCCCTGGCCTTGCGCTGAAGAAAGGAACATGAGAATCTTCTTCTCGTTGGGCTCGCTGGCATACTCGGCGAGCAGTCGGAAGAGAGGCTTTGTGGGTGGATAACTCTGGATATCGGAGCACCAGCTGAGGAGCTCCCTACGGGTGGTGATGAGATCACGAGCTTGATCATCGCCCCAAATAGTGGGCCACCGGCCCTTAGTGGTGTGCAAGGTGACCTTCTTGTCGCGAATCGACTTGGGAATACCAAGCATGTTGAAAATATCCTCGATCTCCTCTTCCTTGTTCCTGGGACAGACGCCAATTGCACCCCCAACAACAAAGTCCACGTTTCCGCTTTCGGCGGGATAATCGGTCACGTCAATATCGAAATGGAACGTCCGCTTCTCTGCACCGGGCTTGGTAAGTTCGCGTGCATGATATAAGGGTGCTGCATACACGTTGTAGGGTGGGTGTGGCTGGACGAAAGTGGGTGGATGGTCGGCAGAGCCCAGCTTCATATCGACAGCAGAAGCTGGAACAGGAGAGAAGGATACTGTTTTCTCTGGGAGGGGAACAATGTTTGTAAGTTCACTGTCCAGTGTGAGATAGTTGATGTTGAGATTCAATTGCTTGAAAGCTTCGTTGTCTGGAGGGCTGACAACTTCAACCCCCGAAACCGGTCGAGCGATCTTAGTCAACGGCTGGCTACGGCAACATCCACCGCCGCAGCAAAGAGGTTGGACCTTCTGTGTACCCGCAGTGCCAACACTTTCTAGCACCCTTCTCATATCTTCAGAGTTCTGAGAAATGAGGACAGTGGATGCCCGTCTCTGGCGCCCATTGGCGCTGTCATCTGAGGACTTTCGCCGGTCTTGAACATCGGGCTGGGTTTCTTCGAGAGGAGTGAGAGGTGTTGTGGGTGTATCTGAATCAGTCGACGACTCGGTTTGCTGGGAAGGCGAGGAGCCATCGAAGCTCATAGCAGTAATCGATAGTGATCGAACGCGAGGTTCTTCCGGCACCGGGTTGTCCGGATGTGAGGTAGAGGAGACCGGAATGGCTCGATGTTCTCCATTGGAGGAAAGACTAAACTTCGACGCCATGGCCGAGGACAATGTTGGAGGAGAGACGGCGTGAACTAAATATGGCAGCGACAAATTAGCAGCGAGATCAGTCTCAATTGCGATCCGACGAGCGGTTGGAAGGCCAACATACCCATTGGAACGGTCAGAAGATTCCGCAAGTGAAATAAAAGAGGCTCTTGGCGAGAGAAGGTGGTTGAGAGAATAGGATGGGGAGGAGGGAAGATGGCGCTTGACGAGTAGAGACAGGTTGACTGGTCAAGATCTCCAGCAAGTTGAGATGAATGATAAGGTGGTTAATTAAAACCGGCGATTAAGGGACGAATACTGTCTGACTGGGAACAGGATGGGAGCCACAATCGCCGTGGGCATGCAGGAAGAATATGGTCCGCGGAGGAAAGGATTGGGACTCAACCAAGCGAATAATTGTCGGCCGGAGCGAGTGGAATGATGGCGGGAGACGAGAGGCCTGGGGGGCGAAAAACCGATGCCGGGATGGTGGTCCCGCTGGTGCGCTAAGTAATGGTGCGTAATAATAGATAGGTCTTCAGAGATCGAATACCAGCTCCATGACTGCTCAAAATCGACAGTCGGATCAGTTTAGATGCAAAAAAGACGCACATCCAAATCAAGGAATCCTAGAACTGTTATAAATCGAGTGGAAGAAGGTAAAATGCGCGAAGAAAGAATTGGAGTCTTCAAAATCGCCACTTGCAGTCGTCGGTAAGGTGAAGGTATCGTTTCCCTGTTCTGTCCTATCTCGTATTATTGGTATGTAATTCTCCTTCTCGTAATGGAGTCTGGTCTGACTGTGTCTGAGTAGTATCTGGATGTGAAAAGACACTGCTATCGATCTTGTTATGAGTAGATCAGATACCATGAGTCAAACCACCGGTACATGCCCCTACATTTCTATCATGATGTTTTTACTAAGATATAGTTGATCCCCAGATCTGAGGATCTGATCTTGACCACTTCCCCTCATACTAAGATCCGCCTTCTGCAGCTGAGCGGAGAATCCGAGCTGATACTGCAACCAAATAAAGGTCAGATAGTAATCATCAGCAGCTGAATGGATGACTGAGCATACACGAATCTAGCCCAATTATAGTAATCGTTTATCTTGACGGTTGGCATAGCCCATTGAGCACTCGAAGGGCTATAGCAAGGCAGTTGTTCTGATTCTGTAACCGGTCTGTGATAATACGTCTTTACCGTCCATCGATCTAATCTGATCCGGCCGCAAACATCCCTTGGCCCTTGTGATCTTGCAAGCGTACGAAACAATTACGTCGGGTTCTCGGCTGGGATATCACTCTCGCATCAGTCTATTTATCTTTCTCTGAGATATAAATATATATTACCCACTTGAATTACATTAGCGAAATACTGATCACTTGCTTTATATTACCCTGATCCCCATCAGGAAGCCGATCATGTCCATCCGGTGATAAAACGGTTGGGATTTTGGAAGAGACCCTGTCACCCTTCCGGGCGGTTGGTATGTGGGTTATCTGATCCGGAAATGTCCGTATTGCCATTACTTCATTTTTATCTAACCGAACAGCTCGCTTGTTGGTTTCCATCCTGCAAACGAAGTCACTTTTTTTTATGTGGTTTGACTCACCATTATTGTCTCATTATCAGCTGTTAATGGTATACACAGTAGTAGTCCTCTAAAGGCATATGGCAACTCATGATCTCCCTTAGACATCAGTGTATTTGTTGGCATTCCGACTCCATTCATGTGACACGCTACTTCGGAAAGTGGAGACATGCCGATGTCGGATTTGATCATATCAATCAGATAGCGGTGCTTTAGGTCCATACCCCATGCCTGCAATCTGCATCGAAATTATTAGCGGTATGTAAGCATTTAGTTTGAAATTCAGTGATTGATAAAGGACATGCAAGAACATCGAAGCTATCCTCCACATACCCAATAATAAAGGGGAAACATACTATACCATATCACCGCCAGCCATCCCAATACTCCCGAGAGCAGGCTATTATCATCTCGTAATCTTAGAAGGTACATTGACATCAGGCACAAGATGTTATTGTGTGCGCTACATCCTCATTCCTTGACTGAGAGAGTACATCTGGTCGAAGCCAGTTTAATACAGGGGGCAAAGAATCACCAGAAGTAGACGACTTGTGATCTCCCGCAAGATGCAACCCATCAGAAACTATCGACCTCTTCCTCCCAGCCCCAGAAGAGGAGGCGGAACAGATCAACGCTGTCAACATTTTCTCCCTGAATCCCGCCACCAAGGCCTAGGCTCCAATAGTTCCATCGAAGCAACATGCACCAAAACGACGAAACTTGCTCTCTAAGTTAGCTCTAGAGAAAAGAGGGACGAATAGGGACGGTTTTTCCCCTTACACCAGCAGAGACTTAGCTGATCTTCGTCAGTAACCCGATAATCTGGCTTATTATTTACCTACTAGCAGGTATTGGGAGTAGCGGTCTTTCGAATTGTACTGAGATCATAAAGGCGTTTTCTAGAGTACATCTACAAGGTAACAGAAGGTATGCCCACTGGCAAAGTTGGTTAGGATGTCTATAACCTGTCCACGCTGTGCACAGGTACAATATAGGTGCTTGTTAACAGGGCACGGTAAACTGACTCGCAAGGTGGTGGCTCCATATGGTTATTAGTGCTACAGAATGTGAAAAGATGATGATACAAGTGCCCAAATTGATACTAAAACAAGATCTTCAAAGCTGTTACCGGCCTTCTCTTTTCACCAGTGCCACTGGGGCAATAAAAATATATCGTCCCCAGATCACATAATAAACCGATGCAAACGCTACCACCCCAACGTAAATGACAACACCCCAGTTCATCGTTCTGGTATCTACTGTTTTTGTCAAGGGGAAGAAAGAGAAAACGAAGATGGGAAACAAGAAGGCCAAAGAGGCAATATTGATCGCCATGCCGAATCGGCCAAGAGTCCACCGACGAGGCGGCAGGGCCTCCCCGCGCAGACGTTTCAGGAGGACGCAGCCAATTGATAAGATATAGGCCGATATTAGAGATGTGATCGTCAGGGAAATAATGGCGTTGAGGGCAACTTGAGAGCCAATATTGATTAACGAGAGAAGGATGGTAACGGCGAGAGAGACCATGACACTATTGAGCGGGATGTTCCATCCAGGTGTGACCTTGATCGAGATTAGCAACGTTCTCGGAGCGTGGTGTGGAGCTACGAGTATGAGCAAAGAAGCTTACATATGCAAAGAAGGAGGAGAAAGGTAATCCTTGATCACGAGCAAAAGACCAAAGCTGGCGAGATGCTGTTGCAACTTCGGTGATTGTGCTAGCCGTGAGTGTAATGACTAGAACTGCAGTCATTGTGTTCGTTGCTGCATAGCTGTTGGTGGTGTTATAGAAGATTTGGATGAAGGGGTATCCAGTCGGAGTATTCAGGACGCTATTTACGTCCCCGAGCGTAAAGCACAAGGTAACAATCATGACGAGTCCTAGCACTGCATTTACTCCCACGGCAGACATCATTGCTTTTGGAAGTGTCTCTGAAGCATCCTTAATCTCCTCCGCTGTGTATCGATTTTAGTGAGACCCAGAACAATGTAGGATTCTGGATGACGGAAACACCTACACATGTGCACAGAGCAGTCATATCCGATCATGGACGTAATTGTGGTCGAAAGACCGACCAGTGTAGCAGTACCATCGCCACTCCACCCTCCGGCGTTGTTGAACTCTGTGAATACAGCTTTGGGGTTGTTTCGAGGAGCAAGAACCCACAGCGGAATGATAATAGCAAACAACCCGACGACATGGATGATCAGAATGAGCCCTTCGACCATAGGAAGATTCTTGGCTAGGAACGTATTGAAAAAGATTGAGAATGTGGTGATGGCTATGACAAGTAACGTTCCGTGCCATCGCTGAAAGTCATATGTCGGGTCGTTGAGTACAATTAGGCCCTGGATTATTGTGCCAGCGAGAAATGCAATTGACACAATAGCACACTGCCATCCAGTTGCACAGAGCCAACCTGTTCTTTGACATTAGCAGTGCAACTCCCAACTGCGATTGTTCTTGATTTACCAGTGATATAACTCAAGAACTTTTGGCCTCTGCGAGGAGCGAATTCAGACACCCAATGATACTGTCCTCCCGAAGTTGGAGCCCTGTGACCTATCAGTGAGCTAAGAACAGAGAGATAAGTGAAGTTCCAGTACTTACATCGAGGCCATTTCTGCGATACTAGCAAAAACAAGAGAAAACCCTGCGGTGACTATGAGGAAGCCCCAAATCAATCCTGCAGTTCCCCCATCGGTCAGGGCAGAGCTCAGTAATCTATAAGGCATGAGTCAGTTACTTGAATCAAAACCACATGGCGCAGGTGAGGTGACAGACGTCAAGACTACTTCCCACGTGCAGATAAGTGTACAGGCGAAACCGAGAATTGATATGAAACGGAAGTTCCTCTATTTGAAAAGCATCGTTAGAGTGCCTATAAATTTTGCAGTCAGAAGCAACTCACTCGTAGCACTTGAACTCGTCCCAAAGCGCTCATATCCCGTTGATCTGCCACGGTGCCCATGTACTTCGGGGCAACGAGGCCCTTTGAAGCATATCCGGACCCTTGAGCACAGTCATCATGCATCTGATCTTCGTTAATGTTGTCTCCTAATTGGCTGTCTTGCGGTGCCATAGCGATCAGGAGGAGACAGGCCCTCGAAGAGATTCAGATTTCACCCGTCAATACCACATTGAGGTCAGTTTAGCCGCATACAGCTCGGATTTCAAGCGAGCACTTCTTCTTTGATAAAGAAAGCTTTTGACTCTGCACTTGTTTGCATCAGATGGAAAAAGCCGGTTCAGAAGCACGGAGCAGACATAAACCAATAAAGTCCATTTTTGAAGCAAGGAGAACGGTCAAGGTGTCCAGCCATGTGGGAAGGAGAGCAGAGACCTAAAGTAGGCTGGAGACTGATGGGACGCACCAGTGCAACATTGCATAATTATGTATCCCTGCATCAACTGCTTCGAGAAAGTACACGATCGTAGTAATACCTCATTGTGCTCTTTTAGAATATGACGGCGATCCGTTGAATGCACTCTGGGTTTGAGTTGTGGTTTCTTTTGCTGAAAGGCACCTTGCATGATGCCAAGGGGTACAGGGAGCCATAACAAACGACCAGGCCAAAGAGGGAAAAGAAAGTTGAGTCTCCATTCCATTTTCCATTGAGTTTAAGCAAGAATGCCGTACTTGTGTGTTTTGAAGGGTGTGTACTGTGTTGGTTTCCGATTTATCCCAAGTGCAAGCTGACTTTGATGAGAAATGTGTGGCCATGTCCCAGCGCGCCCAAAAAGTGACAAGGAGGCAGACTACCAAGTACCAAGCTTGTATCAAGTAGTTAGAGCTCACATCCCCCACGTAGCCTTTGTGTAACATATCTGTCTATCTGGTCATATGGTGATCACACGGTCATCCCCTTTCGCCAGATTCAGCAGCAGTCTTTTCACTTTTGTTCCGACGGTGAGGACAATAATAAAGACCCAGCAGTCAGCATCAGAAAAGATAGTGAAAAAGAAAGATCAAACAAGGCGACCATATTTGGCTGAAACCACGAGACCGGCTCAAAGCCTCCAATACAGCACCTGCCACCCTGGCTAGAGGTGCAGCCTGCAAGTTCCCCCTTGGTTGAGCTTAATCACTCGGTGTAAACGGTAGATGTGGCTTGCGAAGGAGATCGATGATGGTCATCGAATACAGTCCCAGCGCGCAGAGACACAAAATGTCTCGTCTCCTCACGTCGTTGTGTGCTCGAAATTGAGTCACTTTCCCACATGGCTCTTCTTCCTTTCCCTCGTTTGATCGAGTCGTCCAGTCAAGTATGGATGATCCTGCCTCATCACAGCCCATCCCACTGGCTGCAGGCGTTGCTTTTTCTCTCCTGCACCGATCCATCGACGGGATTTGTCTGAAAGCAATGCTGTTTGTGTGACAAATGGAGTCTTGAGACCTGCCAGCCACGACTTGCTCTTCATGCGTGCACCACATACCTGATAGGACTTTCTTTCCCCTTGGTTGAGGAAGGATGACCAGCCAAAATAGAAATAATCATGCGTCTGCCCATAAAACTGCCTGCATTGAGTCAAATTTGAGAGATTCCTTTAAGAGAATTTTAAAAAAAAAAATTAGTCGCCGTCATCAATGCGTTTGTTTGCCATGGTCAATATCCCTCCTTTCTCCAGCTGAGCTCCATCTTGAGCTTCATGCTGCGATGGGCCCGTACGTTCCTCCTGGACAGTCGCCGCCATTCCAGGTGGTGGATGACCTGCACCATGGCGCCTGGATCATCATAACGGCCGCCTTGGGATTGGTGGTCTCCTTGGTCTGCCTATTCATTCGAGTCTATGTGCGACTGGCACTTTGTCCTCCTTTCGCATCTGATGACTATGTCTTGCTTGGAGCAACTGTAAGCTTCTGAATCCTAACTGTCAACATGTACTAGCATGGACTGATCTCGTCCATCATGTCTTCAGCTTATCGCAATAATACAATCCTCACTTGTCTTTGAGGCTGCATCGCAGGGGTTCGGGACATCGATCAAGCTGCTAGAACAATATCAAATCGATAAGATCCAGACGGTAAGTAAAGCCCAGCTGCAAGTCGCAAGACCCAACGGTGCATGTTTCCATCTTTTAACACCACAATTTCAGTTGATCACAGTCAGCGATGTTCTCTACCTTATCACAATCTATGTCTCCAAGTGCTGTGTTGTAGGCATTTACCTACGTCTCACCCCGCAGAAAGTCCACAATCGAATTTCATGGGCTACTCTCGTCCTGTGCACCCTATGGATCATTCCGAGTGCCTTCATCCTCGCTATTAACTGCGAGATGAATCGGCCTTGGACGACCTCAGGAGGGCAGTGCCGACATCTGGTAAGCAGCCTCGAGAAATTTTCAAGGAAACATTGCACCGGGGACATACTGATTCATACGAATGGAGCGCAGCTCGAACGATGGGCATTCATCACGGCAATGGACATACTAACCGAACTAATCCTCTTCGCTCTAGCAGTCACATTGCTCCAGGGCCTCTTCATGCCCGTCAGGCGCAAATTCACCATTGGCTCTGCTTTTTTCTTCAGGCTCCCGTAAGTCTATCCCAAGGCTGTGATACACACAACCAAAGACCACTGACCAAACTACAAGCCTAATCATCTTCTCCGTCTTCCACATATACACCCTGAAGGGCCACTATCATTCCCCCGATCCCACTCTCTCCGTCGTGACCTCCAAGATCTGGTCCCAGGTCGAACTCAACTACGCCCTCACCGCGTGCAGCGTATTCTGCCTGCGCCCTTTCATGGCAGCCGTAAGCACCAACTACGGTACAGCCGGGGATTCGAACCTGAAGAACAGCAATGCCTCCGGCACGCCGAAGGGTGATAGCTCCGCGTCCAAATCCCAGGGCGGTTCTGCGTCTGCGCCACGGACAAGAGTCGGTCTCCCGGGAGAAGAGAGAAGGACATGGCGGTCCTTGTGGTGGGAGCAGATGAAGAAGGAGAAGAACCGGGGGGATTGCGAGAAGGGGCACCAGGTGACAGGGGGTCTTGCTTCTGATCAAGCGGCCACGGAAACCATTGAACTGGTGGAACAACAGGGGATAATCACCGCGGAATGTGCCAGGGGCTCCAAAATGATCATCCGGAAGGATGTCCAGTACTCGGTTGAATATAATCGAAAGAAATCGGATGCAAGTCTGAGTACCGAAGCACAAGGTTGGGATCGTTATCTCGGTAGCGGTCCATGAATCTGCATCTTGTACTAAAAACAACCGTTTCCTTATAAGTTGCGATACTCGTTGAAGGAAGGGATAGATTTGTAGGGAAAATCGATGGGATATTTTAGCATCCCCATGCGAGATGATACTTCTCTAGTATCAGTAACTCAATTTTCAACGATGGGAGAAATAGAACTGCCAGAGTTGTTCTCTCCGAATGTACATATGTCAAACGCCAATTCGCCAGAATGCAAATTACAACTTGTGATCAAGAGACGAAAGGGGATATATACGGAAGTGTAGTTTCAGAATCAGACTACGTACGAGTTGATGGACGCTTGAATGGATGGGCTTCCGTATTCCTGTAAAGGTATTAGCCAAGTTCAGTTCTCCGCGAAAATAATAGCCAGCACATACAGCACGTATTCATCGAGGCTGACAAGATCTGGCTCGGAGAATATCAGATAGAAATACTTCAAAGTCTCTGCCAGCCAGAAACTTTCCATATAGTCCAATTGGGCGGAATGCGCGTTCCGCACGTCATCGATTGCTGCATGGGCATACTTGGTCCGGGTCATCTTCTCAATGTTTTGAAACATCCTCCACGCATCGTCCTGAAGTTTTTTGTCGCCAGTGATTCGGTACATGATGAACACGGACTCGATAGCCTCAGGCCTAGAACATGTTAGCAAGACTGTGTTCGGGATCCATCGGTTGTCTGCATACCGTAACAAATATCGGCCATCCGAGACTTCTGTCACGCCTGGCTGAAGTCCCTTCTCCTTGATGATTGCTTTGGCCTCCTTCACAGTATCGTCCGCCTTTGAACCTCGGGCCAGACGCCGCCTCACATCCTGATACCACTGCTGCTCATCCCATTCACAGGATTCCATGCTTTGACATGGGCTAACCTGCAAAGTTTCCGGCATGATACCGGTAGGCATGACATCATATGCCCAAATGCAACCATCTGTCAGCTTTCGTGCAATCGACAGCTCTTCTGGACGGTCAAAGACCTTGGCACCAATCCCCACAGTGCCTCCGAAGAAACATTTCAGGTGCTCCCATTGAGGCTCCGGATGGATCTTGGTTGAAACACTTGTGTGAACATTCCCAGCGAATAGGATATCTTGGCCGTCCTTTGTCATTGGACGAAAGAGCAGGTACTTCTTGATCGAGTCCATGGAGGCGGCATACATCTTTTGAAATTGGTTTGTCTGAGCGCCCAGTAACATGTGTTCTTTAGGAAGATATTCGTATGTCGAGTCGGCCATTCCACCAATGGTAAATCGAGGGTCGGTGAATTCTAAATCAATCGCATTGACCATCATCGGCCATAAGCCTGGGATCTTAGTGCGATTCTGGGCGTCCTCGAGAAGGTTCATTATCCGCTGAACAGCATCGTAGTACTTAGGGTCCTTTGTCAGCTGGGATAATCTGGTGAACTCCAGGTTCAGAGATCCCAGTTCCGCAAGAATGGTATTTCGGCTAGGTTGAATGGCTAAGCCTTGTGCCGACCTGTGGCCTAGTCAACAAAATCCTTCCGGACACAAAGGCGGAGATTGGGATTTGGTAGTTCCAGTCGCTTGCTTTCAGAAGAAAAGGACGGAATGCGACAAGTTTCCTTACCTGGTCCATTGCCAGCGGGACTGTGGCATTCTATTCTTCGTGTCAAACGCAGCGTAGATCATGTCAGCTAGTTCTACTGCCTTCTTCAAGAGAATCGGATATCGTCCGTCGGTTAAGTCGTAGGCGCCGAGCAGTCCCCCTACGTATCGGATTATGGTTTCAAATACATTGATCTGAGTAGCGTCGGTCATTGTAAAATCGATCTTCTCCAGCGCATGCAGCGCGTCTTGGAACTCATCTTCCATACCCATGATAACCAGCGAGTCAAGGGCGTCGACCAGAGTAGCAGCCCAACCGGCAAATGTATTCCGATGGCGAGCACTTAGGGGTGACAGCTCATCACGCAGCCAGGCATGCGTCTTGTATCCTTTCCAGGCATGTTCAAAGGCTTCCTTAACAACTTTCTGTCTATTGACCCTCTTTCTCCGACCCAACCATGACTCGCTCGGGAAATCGTGCTGAATGCGAGGAATCGGAGAGGGCGCAGATGTAGGGAGCGGAATGAAACTGGATACAGGGTGCTTCTCAGCATGTTTCGTCCAGCGCATGCGGTTCTCGCTCTGGGGAGGGTGTGGGAGATATTCAGCGGAAGCATTTGTAAGAGGAGGTTCCGCGCCAGGCGGCAGACTAGAAAAAAGCAAGTATATTAGGAATATTGAGAGAATTGCTGGCAAGACAAGTCTCCTGCGAACGAAAACCATGGCGATAAGTAATACGGCGCTCTATCAGTCGAAGCTCGTCAGGTCTAACAAGGAGAGGGCTGAGCAGTTGAAAGCTCAAAATCAATTGAAAACGAGGAGGGACAGCATTTGGATATACTGTTGCAGCATTGCCTAAGCAAGAGAGATATTCCTATGTAGTAGAAATCGAGTAAAGCGCAGCATTTGGAGGTGTATGAGGGACGAGACCTTCAAGGGAGGGGAGAGGAACTTTGTATATGCGCGGTTGCACACACGACAAGTCGACAGCTCTCTTGTAAAGTGGAGTCATAAAGGTCTCTGCGCCATGATCGCCCTTGTTTCGGAAACCTCTTGATAAATCATTGGAGGACAAAAGGATGGATTATTATTTAGCTAAATCAGCAAAGTACGAAGTGGTGCTCGAAATTTGGAGTAAGGGGAATCAAATATAGATAGACCTCCTGGTCCCCGCAATGACCTCGAATCTTGACTTCTTGAGCTTGCTGGGCCCCTGTCCCTTCAGATTTAAGAACCCTTAAGGCTTAAAAGCGGGAAACAAGGGGTCTGCACTCTGCAGTTGTTGGCGTGGAAACTGGCAATATTGAACTGTCAAATAGGATTCATCGAGTTGGAGAACTTGACGGCAAGCATGTCAATCGAATGAACAGATCGTCTTATTGCGTAAGACAGGTGGTCCCCTAAACCCTAAGACCCTAAAGGGTCTGGAGAACTTGCGAAGTTGCGAGAAGCAAGTAAAGTTCTGGGCCCAGTGGGTGCAGGTATTCTATTCTCGAGGTGACCATCACAAACCAGTGAGCATTGGGCATCTGACCAGTTGATCCAGACTAGAGACACTCTTACGAGTCCCGCATCTTGGCATGACCGGAAATAAATGGTGTTGATTTATCCTTGATCCTTTGAATCTCAAAATAGAAAGACTCAAATGCTTCGAGATGCCGCCTAGTATGTCGAAAAGGGGTTTCTAGCGCCATAGACACATCCCTGCATGTAGCATTCTTATGAATGAGAGATGGTATCATGGTAGTAGTGTTAGGGTGGAGGAGCATACGTAGTATATGGCTGATAGGAGGCTGGTCCCAAGCATCCTTCAATAGTTTGCTTTGTTTGATTTGTTGATGCCTTGACACCTTGACATCTGAGCAGTGGATTTGCTAGTAACATCACCATTTAGACAGGATACCCTCAATTTTCCGTATCGATATCAATAAATTATAGCTACCATTATTTTCAAGGTGAAGGCCACTACCTCCTATACTGGCAAACTCTGCCAAATCTGGAATAATATTTTCTTTTGGAATTTGCGGCCTCTGATAGGTTGCCGGTAACACATCAGGTACTCCTCGGCCATAGGAAGTTGACTACACAGTACATACGTGCTAACAAAGGAAGTGAATTTCGAGAGTCTATGGACTCGTATCTCGTTATAAGGCTGTGCTAGGGCTTTGTAATTGGAGAGTATCCTGCGCAGGGCCGCTAGCCGTGTCCCCTGTTTTGAAGCCTACGGCATCGAGATACTCTGAGCATTTGATAATAGCGATACCCATTTCGTCTTTCATGAATAGCGTGCTTGATACAAGGGACATTGCATTTTCTCGATCGGTCTTCTAGTCGGTGCTCGTCATTTGTTAGAAACCCTCTACGCCTGACATACAAAATGCCTATCACAGGGTATGTGCGGCTTGGGCTTCATTTAGCTATCTGATATTAACAGCCCCCGCAGAGTCTTCTTCATCCCATCAACTCCAAATTCGGCAACAGCGTTTGCGACTGTTACAGAACGTCTGCACTCTGCTGTGGCAGATGAGCCTCTCGCAATCGGCCGGTGGGCCTTGGAGCACAAATTGATGAGGGACACCCCCTCCTGTCTACCTGGATCGACACCGCAACGATCAGCTCAGCCCAGATACATGCAGTTCCTGTCACTATCCTACTACCCCAATCATGGCTTCATCTACACCTCACCAAACCCCGAAACCCCCGGTCTGAATGGCGGGAACAACTCTAACGCTACTGCTCCTCCAGGTGCAACGCAGCCCGCACATCCTGGGACGCCCAATTCAGCTCCCGCAGAAGGCTCTGGATTGGTGATGGCTACTGTACCCCTGCCGTCGTGCGGGACACTATTCAAGCATTTTGTCTACGCATGCCAGCCCTTCTGGTGCCATCGGCATACGGTCGCTGTCCCCGGAGGCACGGTCTACGATGTCGGCGACTTCCGAGTACGTATCGGCGATGTGCGTCAGACACAGCCAGCGGTACGGCCCCGAGGTACCGTCGTAGAAATAGAGTGGAGGGGTCCGTCACTGGTGACGTCGATCTCGACCCAGTATTCCCAGTCTCGAAGAGGATCCAGCCTTTCCCAGACTGACAGTTCTGCTGGTGACCACGACTCTGCGATTGATCTCGCGATGTTCAGCAGCATCGAGGACACAGATGTTGATGCCGAATATGTTGCGACTGCCGCACTGATCCGCGAGTTCTGGTCCAAGCTAGGCATTGATGGGGCACGCGAAGCAATTCTCGTGCCAGACGTGGGAAAAGAGGTGAAAAAGCAATTAAGGAAGCTGAAACAGCAAGAGAAGGGAGGAGATTGGTCGCCAACTAATGATAATGGTGATATGGTGCGTACAGATGAAGATCCAGACCCTGATGCAGGAACGGACTTGGCGAGACAATTCATGGAGATCTTCAGATTCAATAGATAAGAATGAGCATGTGGGGGCTGCATGTGCATGTGCGTTGTCAGAAAACCCTTTTTGTGAAATGTGACCATCTGTATGCTTCCATCGAACCCGTGTAGTATCATTAAGAAGGATCTTTATAGATGAATAGTCCTGTGGCATTATTGAGTTGATACAGTCTGCAAGCCGAGCGTGCTGCACAAGTCAAGCGAGACTCAATTATCTGGAGTTACGATGAATGTTCAAATCCTGAACCATTCCAACCTCTGGAATGAATTTTTCTCAAGCGAGGGTTGAAACTCAATTAAAAGCCAAGCTGATAGGTGAACAGGGGCGAATCGTGGTGACAAGAGGCAGACGGAGAATAAGCACATCAAATAGAGAAGAGCAGAAAACAGAACCAAACACACCGGGGAATAAGAGGCCCGATGGTCCAACTCTTACTGAGGCGTTTCATCATCATGTAGATTCATACATAAATCCAGAAGTTCCAGCAAGAAATGATATTCAAGAAGAGAAGAGCCGCTACAGCCGTCTAAGCTGTACTCAAATCCATCAACTACAGGCAAAGGTGAAAATCGTGACGGGACGAGATGACATGGTTTATTGACACCAGACTAACTGAAATGAACACACCGACCAGAATAGGACGCTTATTTTTGCATCATGAGCTGGACGAACTCGTTGTCTAGGAATAGTTAGCCGTCAGGTCCGCTCCACATAGTTTGAATCGCAAGGGTCAACATACAATCAATCCGGCCGTCACCATCCTGATCCGCCTCACGGATCATCTCATCAACCTCGTCATCGGTAAGCTTCTCACCGATCGAAGTCATCACGTGGCGCAGCTCCGCGGCGGAAATGAAACCGTTGTTGTCACGATCGAAAACCTTGAAAGCCTCTCGGATTTCCTCCTCAGAGTCGGTATCCTTCATCTTCCGAGCCATCATGGTGAGGAACTCTGAACGCGGGTCAATATATATTCATCTCTCTGAGTGATTCGGGTGGGAAGTATCGCATACCGGGAAAATCAATGGTGCCGTTGTTGTCGGCATCAACCTCATTGATCATGTCCTGGAGCTCCGACTCGGAAGGGTTCTGGCCCAGAGAGCGCATAACGGTACCCAACTCCTTGGTGGTGATCTGGCCTGCAGGTCGACGAGAAATACATCAGCAAACATGGATCGCTTCCTTTACGGAGAATAGAAATATCGGTGGCCGGAAGTAGTCGCATAGAAGGTGGTTCTTGGAAGAGAAGGCCGAACTAACCATCACCATCCTTGTCCTGTACAGATCGGAGAATCCCATGTAAGTGAATGCCTTCAAGAACATAACATGGCCCGAATTTCACTCATAGACCATTCGAGAATTAGGCAGGATCACTTACGAAAAGAGAGAAGGCCTCCTTGTACTCGGAAACCTGCTCCTCGGTCAAAGAATCGGCCTGAAAATCAAGCAGTCAGCAACTTTGATCAAAACTTCATGTAGGTAGATCTGCCCCGCAAAGTGGGGGATTCTCAGCAGAACTGGGAAGAGCAAGTATGGGTTAATGCATACCATTGTGAAAATTTGTTGGAAATAATTTGCAAGTGCGAGAGGAATAGAATTCAACAGAAGTCCAGAACGACAAGGATGCAAAACGGATGGATAGCCGGTGGTTTGGTCGGAGCAGTGATGAGGAAGAGCAAGCGTTGTTTAAGGGGAACTTGAGCCAAGTCGACAATAATAAACGGGACCCGCCAGAGAACAAGCCTGGCGGCCTAGGTGCCTGGTAAACCAGGCAGTCGCTTACGTGACCTGCTAAAGCCACATGGTGGTCAAAGCGCCTGGAAAGAGGGCTGAAGGGCTGAAGGTCGAGTATATTACTAGCATCAGCCACCAATCACCATCCCATCAACTTCATGGCCTTAGTCCATAGTTAGTCTGGGCAATACTGAATGAATCAACTAGACTAAAAAGCAATCTTCCAATATCGGCGTCTATGATCTTGTATCGCTATTCTATTACCCCTGACTGCCTTGAAGTTTTACCAACGTGGTGCTCATGAGTGATAACACTTCGGGAATCCTTGCCAAGTGTGGATGCTCTACCAGTTCACCAAAGGCAACCAGTTTTCTAGCTAACTTAGCAGTCAGCAGATATGAGTGGCGGTGCTCATTCCAGTATTGCGTTTCCAGCCGCAGTAGTAGAGACAGAGGCTGTGGTACTAATTCCTACATGGCTTGCCAATTTGCAATCAGAGTCGTCTTTCAGGCATTTAGGTTCATTTGTCAATGTTTGCTATCTGGGCGACTGGGATGTTGGACAAATTTCTCTATATGGTAGCCTTGGTACCTCATTGCTGGATCATCCCCTCCATAGATATAATAAATCTTCGCAGAAAGTCAAGCATCAATCAAAACTCAGGAACAGAAGCTTATCTATGTAAGGCAAGTATGAGATTCCCGAGGGCCATGATCCAGACAAAATTCATGTTACTCCTTTGCATCCAAGAGACAAACTGGTCCCGTGGAGTACATCATAGCCTAATATATTTATCCTAGGTGTGAAGCAACATCTCCAGAGTATTGCCTGGCGGGTAGGCTATGCTGGATGACATTGACTAAGGCGGTTATCAACACGCTCTTACTGATTCTGCCTTGTTGACGCCTCATATCCGAAGCCAAGAATTGTGAATCATCTTTCTAGAACTCTTTGCGATGCGGGCGAGGTTGCAGCTTGACACTTTCCTGTGAACCAGGGAAGAATAAATGCTCATGACCATGGATGATGTGGGGAGAACACTGTACAGGACGGTTACGGGTATCGAAACGGCTTTACCCCATCGGGACTGGTGTCATTTAGCAGCGCCCCTTCACGTGGGACATGTTCGGAGATGGAGCTATCTGATAGATGGATGTACCTTGATGGGATGAATAGCGGCTCTAAATCCTGCGCTGCGAAGATCCTTATGCTCTGACTGTGGTTGATTGACTTCTCTTAAGACTATCCAATAGCATTCCCTGTTGAATTTCCGACCCTCGCAAACGATGACCAGGTCAATCTAGAGCAGCATCCTCGGCCAACAACAGCTCATAGAAACAAGTCAACCCCAGATTGCCTTTCGCAATGTGGCGGGATCGCACGAATCTGTATTGGCACCTGAGCTCTAACTCGGCTGATAGCTAAGCTAACAATAATTTTCTGGTTCCTAGTTATATCTCCTACCGTCAATCGTTTGCGCATCACCCAGCCAAGAAGCCACGTTATATCGGCCCGTCGAACGGCTTCACCGATACATCATCACAACCAGAAGAAAGCCGCCGACTCATCTCCGAGACCGGGGGACTAGAAGACGATGGCGATGCGATTATCGAAATGGACTTGTTGCCCCCGCGCTGGGTGGATGTGCAAGACGAGGTAACGGAGCTGCTTGCAGACATCGCACAGAAATCAGCACAATTGGACAAGCTGCATCAGAAGCATCTGTTACCTGGCTTTGGCGACGAGGATGTGAGGAAGCAGGAGGAGCATGTCATTGAGCGACTCACACAAGACATCACGCGCGGGTTCCATGAGTGTCAGAAGGCTGTCCAGAGGATCGAGGTGATGGTGCACGACGCCAAACAGCAGGGTGGAGTGAGCGCGGGTGACGAGACCATGGCCAAGAACATTCAGATATCACTAGCTTCCCGGGTGCAAGAGGCCAGTGCTCGGTTTCGCAAGAAACAGAGTACTTATCTTAAAAGTATGCCTTGCCGCCGTCCCGCGCTCTTTGAAGAAACTGTTCTAATCCGGTCTTTGAACAGAACTACGAGGACTCGAGGGTGTAGCAGCGCCATTTGAACGCGCCCCTACACCGCAAAATCCTTACATGGATCCTTCCTTGATGGAGTCCGACGCAGACAAGTCTTTTTCACAATCAACGCTCATGCGAACATCACAGCGGCTTGCTGGTCAGCACGACGAAGCCATAGAGCACCGCGAGCGGGAAATCAACGATATCGCCAAGAGTATCATCGAACTGTCAGACATTTTTCGAGAATTACAAGCCATGGTCATCGATCAAGGAACTATGCTGGATCGGATAGACTATAACATTGAACGGATGGGAACAGAGGTCAAGGCCGCTGATAAGGAGTTGAAAGTGGTATGTCCAACACTAACAGCGCCCCTATTCTCTCTTCAAAGCCTGACATGCACTACTCCTAGGCTACCAACTACCAACGACGGACAACCAAACGCAAAGTCCTTCTTCTACTGGTCATCCTAATCGCAGGCATGATCATCATATTACTCGTGAAACCAAAGCGGCACAGTTCTCCAGCACCCGCTCCTCCCACCCCTCCACCAGTTGAACAGCCACCAAGTGTCTTCGCCCGAATGCCCACGTCTATTTACCGCCGTAAAAGGCCTCCGTTCTCAATCCCGTCTACAGTAGACAAGTTTTTTGAACCGGATATACATCGATAGTCTTGCGTGATGGTCATTGTCATGACAAGAATAATGCATAATATTTTATCGTCTTTACCTCAATCCGCCCCAGGCCTACGTATGTAGCTTCTAGTAGACAGGTATTACAGTGGATGGGACGATATCTGGACTTCAGCCCATCTTCCCGCAATATATAGACCAAGGGAACTAGTTCGGAAATGTACAATTAACAAGCCTTGAATTGTTGGCCACCACGCTATGGAATAAGATGAAAAAGAGACATTGTTTGTAATAAGATATGGCCAAAATACCCACCTATTGGACATCCAGCCTAATACTTAGGACCGAATGGGTTGAATAAAAAAAAGTCGAAAAAAGCCGTTCACGCCGATAACTGATATCAACCTTTTGAAGGACCGAGTATATTCTGAATGAGACTGAGATACCACGAATAAGGTTCGCGGTGACGATTCGCTAGGGACAAGAGTTCGGTAACAACTCAACATATAGCGAGTATTTGCTAGTTTTGTGCATTGCCCTCCTGATTCAACAGTTCTGCGATATCCGCGTCCAGGTCACCGCTTGCAAATTGTGCATAGTCTTCCTCGCCGTGAGTCGCTTTTCGTTTCTTAGAGTTGATGCCATTGGGACTACCTTGCTGAAGCTGGCTAGAAATAGTGGATAGGCCAGGGAGTTCGGTACCTGGTAGGGCAATATCGCCGGACTGTCCAAAGCCTGAAAGGTTGAATTTGCCATCGACTTGTGCGTCCTCGATCGTCGGTACGTTTCCGTCTTGAGGATCTTGCTTTGGCGAGCCGACAGGAGTAATCGCCTCCACAGGAGGGGGTGTTAAAGCTTCAATTTCGGGACGTGCCATGGGTTGCCCTTCTGCTCCAGTGTCGCCAAGGTAAGCCAAGCCCGGGCTCTCAACAGACAGCCCTCTCATAATGCTATCTTCAACATCTCGTTTCTTTCCTTCTGTCTCGGTCTTCCTTTCAGACAATTGTGCAAGGGAAGATTGTTCTTTTGCTAGTGCAGAGCGATTGTTTTCAAGGAGCTTCTCAAGACCTTGAATAAGTGCCAGACGCGATTTGATCACTTCGGAGACAGAGCTTTCAGCGTTGGCAAGGGTTTTCAATAGCTGGCTTAGACGTGCGGCGTGGACCGGGGGTGTGGGGATGGTCGCAGTGGGATCGTTCATCTTGTCGTATTCCGCACTAGCTACAGTAGCAGATGCGCCGGATGTCATTGTCGCTTTCGACAAAGCCAGTTGTAGAGGAACCAGGGGTTGAATTTCAGACGGGACTGTGCCAGAGGAACTCGAAAACAGGGAACCGCCTAAGAGCGGCTTTTTAGTGGTCGACCGCGACTTGTCGATATCTGTCCAATAGATCAGTTAAAATGAAATGCTTGATCAAATGTACAAGGGAGCATTTACCATCTACGCGAGCCTCTACAGCTTCCTGAATAGGCAGTTCAAAGATGGATCTCTGCCTCCACACTTCGACAACGCGTCGAAGCTTCTGTTGGATATCGTTCGAAGCACCTTTGTAAGCGATTGCCATGGCCTCCGCAATGACCTAAATTGTGTTAGCATTTCACCTTCAACCATAGCCGATAACACTGACTGGCGAGAATGCAATGATGAAATCATCCTTCCGTCTGGCTTTAGACTGTTGCGCGACCTCTAAATCACTCGTTAGTCCTATCGTGAGGACTTCCTACAGGCGGATATTATACCATTTGCGAGATATATCAGGTTCAGGCGTTTGGGTGCGGGTGAATCGCGAAGCTTCTGAAGCCAGAGCTGGGCTGTTCGTTCGGCATGTCGTCTGAAACACAGAATTGGAATCAGTATCTAGAACTTGTGTAGGTGTCATCTTGATTACCTATGAAACATGACCCATTGCGCGACAGTCACAATGCCCTCCTGGGTCTCATTCAGCGCAGAAAGCTTGGCCTTGACAGCATCATCCGTATATGCCATGTTGATAACAAGCTAGATCGAGTTTGCTAAATGGCTATGATGACGAGGTAGATAAGGTCCAGGGAAATTGCGCTCCTGGTAAAGCTTCAGGGGTCTGAAGATTGGCGTTGAGATTGTGTTTCTCGGAGGCAAAACAGAGTACTCACAGCAAGGTGCGCATTAACAGCCTACAAGAGAATATGTTCAAACAATTGTCACGCTTGTAACGCCTGTAGAGTGAAAGTGAATCATAAAGTGAAGCTCGTCGCAGCTCTAGACCAAGCTCCCTGACCGCTTTCCGCGGCAGAATCCCCGGGCTTCAATCAACACTCAGTGACACCTCTACTAAACACCAGCCGGAGCCTGAGATTCAACCACATCCTCATTTCGCCCATCCCTATTGATCTACGGCACTTGTGGGTTGTTATTTCCAATTTAAAAGCTCTAGACATTACAGAAGCATGGCGGACCGTTTCCCTTCGTTGGAGGAGTTCTCTGCGGGTGAGTTGCCCGCATCCATACCACTAGTAGCCCCATGATGCTAACTGGCGGACATCCAGGTCAGACGGACGTCGTCGAAACCAACGACCCATCAGACGAAAATGATTTCCTAGCCCGGGAGCGCGCTATGCTTGGAGACGATGCTGAACAATTCGCCACTGCTCAAGACCACGTTGCTACGGCGGAGAGTTTAGATACCGGTAACGATCTACTGGGTGGTGCGGAGGAAACCCCGGTTGGCGAATCCGCGCATGAGGAGATCTCCGGATTTGAGTCGTCGTTTCCTGCTATTGAGACACAAAATGAGGTACTATATTCTTCCAAGTACAATGTGGAGTATGATGCACTAATATGCACCTCTATCACAGCAAGTTGCTCCTGGCGGTACAATCACCGGAACCGGCGCCCCATTTCCGCCAACTGGATACGCTTCCTATGGAGAGCCATCGGAAGAGCCAGAGCCCGTTCGGTTCGTATTCTACCTTCATCTTCTTGCTCGTCAATCCTGCCGTCACATACTAACGAAGGACATGATAAAAGGGAATGGCGTGAGAGACGAGACGCAGAGATTACCCGGCGCGCGGAGATCTCGAATGAGAAGAAGGAAGCGACCATTAATAAGGCACGCGAGGATATTGATGATTTCTACGTATCCTACAATAACAAGACCGATAAGCTCCGGGCTCAAACCCGTGCCGATGCCGAACAATTTCTCGCTAACAGAGAGGATACCTCTGCCGGCGGTACCAGCTGGGAACGTATCGCGAAGTTAGTCGACATTTCCGGCAAAGGCACAAAGGGCGGGGCTAGCGGATCAGGCAAGGAGCGTTTCCGTGAGTTGCTGCTGGACCTGAAGAAGGACCAGAACGCCCCTGGCGTCACTGGAATTTAGATTGCTCGAACAAGCGCAGTCACATGGCGCGGATGACACTTTTACTTGTCGCTAGGCTCAGGGATCGGGAAAAAGGAGGGAATAAAGCATCTAATGACAATACACACTGTCCTATATCATTCTAGGGCCTTCATCACGAACTTCATCACACAAGCATTCGGTTGAGGTGCCCATTCTTTTCCTATTATGCTCATGCGATTGGCCCAGATCCAAGCACCAGACTTTCCTCTTCTAACGATTCTGTACTAGCCACAGGTGCAATCTCAGCATTTGTCTCTTTTGTCGTTGCCACATATTATTCTAGCACTTGTGTTTCTCTATTTTGACAGTTCCATCCTCTTATTCATTTCATCAAATGTATGTAGTAGACGACTAGTTCAACAATTATCTTCTTAGTGCTTCGTCCTTTTGCTCTAGACAGCCAAATACATTTGTGAATCATATGCCCAGGACAACGATTCAAAGTATAGTGGTATGCTTTACAGCTGGCGTTTCTAGTAAGGAAAGTAGATGCCTGCGACTAAGTATGTAATAAAGCACAATGAATTGAGTACAGGTAGCTGATATACGTTAGTTATCTTCAATCCAGCTCTGTAATATCCCCACCAGGTTCTCCTATGTCTTCAACTTGTCTTTCCTTTCTACCTTCAGCTTCAATCTCTTCCAGCTTCTTCCTACCCTCCTCTGTCGTTGCGTCAACAATTCCCTCCTCAAGACTCAACATACCGCCAGCCCCAAGCTTCTCGACAACGTCCTCTGCTTCGCTGACTGACATCTCACCGAGCACCTTGTTGACCTCGTCCAGCGACTCCGAGGCCAATGCCTTCTGGAGTTCCTTCGAGAAGGATTCGAAGATCTTGCGTGCTTCGATATCTACCGGGTCATTGCTCTCTGCAGGCGGAATGTTGATCGTGATCTTAGTATTCGGATCGACGGCATGGAGTTGGATTTGCTCCACTCCAGCAGGATCATTGGCCGCCGAGCCATCTTTAGAGAGTTCTGCAGCACGGGTCTTGATCTTGTTGTAGGTCTCGTTGACGTCGTTGCGGAAGAGTGTTGATGCTTGGTGATCTTTTGTTGTAATCCTTAGTTCGAATTTATGTCAGTGATATTCGTCCATGTCATGTAACTGGACGGCATAACTTACCGCTTGAAGAAGAGGGAAATGCCATCCCGGCCCAGAGAGCGGCAGTATTGCAACAGCAAACCCTGATGAACGCATTGACGAGCATAATCTTCCTTTCCTTCCATCTGGCTATTGAAGGCTTCGACCAGCAAGCCATCCGTCTCCTTTTCTGCGACAATCTCCGGGTGCTCAGTGATGAATTGAAGTAGCGATCTGTAGTCATTCGGGTTGATGCGAGCAAATTTCTTCGCTAAGTCGCTGGCTTTGATATCATCCGGATCGACGGGCTCATCATCATCAGCGTGTTTCGCGTCGCTTTGAACTGCACTAGGATTCAACAGTTCCACCGATCCCAGTTTGGCCGAGGCTGTAGCCGGTGTCTTTCCCTTGTCGGCTGCCTTCGACACATGAGAGGTGTCGAAACCGGTATGCAGCATGTCGCTCGTGATTTTGCTGGCCTCTTCTTTCTCTAGCTGCGCAAGCCGAGCCAACAACTCTTTCTGCAAGCTCTCTACTTTGTCCTTGTGAACTCCTACACCCTTGATGTATGACTGGAAACGATTTTCAGAGCTCAGCTCGCCAATCTCCTTCTTCACTTGGTCTACCAAAGAGCTTAGCATCTGCGAATACTTCGGCTGCTCTTTCACCTGGGAATGGACACCCTCCGGGGCCGGGGGGGGCTGATCCTGGGCAGGGTTGCTTGCACACTCCATAACAACCTGGAAGACTACCTCTTCGGGATCCCGCGAGGAACCATCATGCTCGCGAAGCGATGCAAGAAGCTTGTCTATCCGTGAGAGCAGGTCGTCATTGATGATACGTTCATACTTCAGAGTCTCGATCTCCACGCGGCGCTGATGCCGTTGCTGATGAATCTGAGATTGTTTGGCTCTGATAAAGGAACGCTTATCAACATTAGGGTGGACTTCAATATCCGAATCATCGGAAAGCTCAAGGGCATCCCATTTGCTGTAGTCTAGGACCATTGGGGCGGTTCGTGACGATCAATAGCTTGTGAGACTGGGGTTGGTATGCTTCAAGGTGGGATAAGCGGGGTAATATAACAAAATATATGACGTTCAAGATGAAGGAAGAGTGCTGGTGTAATGATCTAGGAATAAGGGAAGTAGCTCGTTTTATAGCCCTAGGTTCAGATTGAGCGAATCAAGAGCTGCTCTCGAAAGCAGAAATTCGAACCAGTAACAATTTAGGGATGAAGCAACGAAAGCTCCAAGATCGAACACATCGAAAGCTCTCGATGAGCTTCGATCCCAGCAGAACATTTGCGGAAGGCGGTTGACAATGGCAGAATCGCATGCATAGGAGCGCCGCTTTGCTGACTCCGATACCCTGTCCGATAGACCGAACAAGCAAATAGTTTCTTTGCCAGCTGACGCTCGCATTTTCCATCGCATCAATCCTTCAAGCGCCTGTCAACCCTTTCGGAACAAATCGACACAGACAATCCCATGAGTTGCACATCATCAGCGTTTCTGTGACGAGAGAATGGCATCCTGCTTCTCTTCCGTGACATCATTCTGAATCCACGTCCGATTCCGCTTCATCTCCAAAATTCCAGATGCGCGGGATTAGGTCGCTCCCCTCCTGGGCTCCAGGGTTGACCACGAAGCGAGCCGCCCTATCTCAACGAGGAGCCTTTCAAGATGTATGCTCAGACTTTTGTTTGACTTTTCCTGGGACCGGCCATCTCAGTGGGCTCAAGCGACAGTTTTCGGGTATCGCCGGGTCATTAAGCAACGGCTACAGGCTTCGCCAACGTCGACCTTTCGAAACAATACGCTCGTTATATGCCAATAATTATGGCATGCACTCTGCTACACATCAACCAAAACATGCAAATGTATCACGTTTCTTCACCACCCAACGAGCATTGAATGCAAAATCGACAACCGAGACGAAAAACGAGCCACAAGCGAATAAATACCCGGTCCAAGAACAGGAGTACGAGGACATTGAAAAAGGATTTGAGCTCTCGGAAAGAGCTGCGCAAGCAGCGCAGGTAAATCTCCGGGCTAAGCTGGCCAAGGATGGTGCTGCTGGGAAGAAAGCTGGGTTTGGGGAGATATGGAGGCTACTCCTGATTGCCAGACCGGAGGCGAAGAAGCTTGCTTTCGCCTTCTTGTTCTTACTGGTCTCGTCTGGTATCACAATGTCTGTTCCGTTTTCCATCGGAAAGATTATAGATACGGCCACGAAATCCAATGAGGATGGGGGGAATGAGCTCTTCGGCCTTAGCCTCCCTATGTTCTATGGTGCATTGGCTGGAATCCTCACTCTGGGCGCTGCAGCGAACTACGGTCGCATTATCATTCTGCGCATAGTCGGTGAGCGAATTGTTGCCAGACTTCGCTCGAAGTTGTTCCGTCAGACCTTCGTTCAAGATGCGGAATTCTTTGATGCGAATCGTGTCGGTGACCTGATCTCTCGTCTCAGCTCTGACACCATCATTGTCGGTAAAAGTATCACGCAAAATTTGTCTGATGGCTTGCGTGCGGCAGTCAGCGGTGCAGCTGGTTTTGGTCTGATGGCATATGTCAGTCTCAAGCTCTCGAGTATCCTGGCTCTTCTGCTCCCTCCCATCGGACTCGGTGCTTTCTTTTATGGACGGGCGATTAGAAATCTGAGTCGTAAAGTTCAACGAAACTTAGGAACCTTGACGAAGATCGCCGAGGAACGTCTGGGCAATGTGAAGACGAGTCAGTCTTTCGCCGGGGAGGTACTAGAGGTTCACCGGTACAACAACCAAGTGCGAAAGATTTTCGAACTTGGCAAAAAGGAATCCCTGATCAGCGCCACGTTTTTCAGCTCTGTATGTGATTCTCTTTTCTTGTTTTTGACTGTGATGATCTGACTGAACGTAGACTGGGCTTGCTGGTAATATGACTATACTGGCACTACTCTATGTTGGAGGAGGCATGGTTCAATCCGGTGCCATCAGCATTGGTGAATTAACCTCCTTTTTAATGTACACAGCATATGCGGGTTCCAGCATGTTCGGTCTCTCAAGCTTCTATTCAGAATTGATGAAAGGTGTAGGAGCCGCTAGTCGGCTTTTCGAGCTTCAGGACCGTCAACCAACCATATCCCCAACTAAGGGTGAAAAGGTTGTGTCTGCCCGTGGCCCTATCCGCTTCGAGAACGTGTCTTTCAGCTACCCTACTCGGCCAGCAGTCCCCATCTTCAAGGATCTGAACTTCGAGATTCCACAAGGAACCAATGTTGCTATTGTTGGCCCATCTGGTGGAGGAAAATCGACTATTGCGTCCATCCTGCTCCGATTTTATAACCCTACGGAAGGCAGAGTTCTCATCAACGGCAAAGACATTAGTGGGATGAACGCCAAATCGCTTCGACGAAAAATTGGTGTCGTTGCACAGGAACCAGTCTTGTTTTCGGGAACCATCGCTGAGAACATCTCTTACGCCAAACCTCAGGCTACGCGATCTGAAATCATCGCGGCAGCGCGCAAGGCCAACTGTCAATTCATCAGCGATTTTGTGAGTTGCTCAGAGTGCTGAAATCCTATTTAATTTTGAGCTAATTGTGCATCTAGCCGGACGGCCTCGATACTCAGGTGGGACCTCGAGGAGCTCAGCTCTCTGGTGGACAGAAGCAGCGTATTGCAATTGCGCGTGCTCTAGTCAAGGACCCCGATATCCTCATTCTCGACGAAGCAACATCTGCACTCGATGCAGAATCCGAGACACTCGTGAACAGCGCGCTTGCTGTACTTCTCCGCGGCAACAATACTACCATCAGCATCGCGCATCGACTCTCAACAATCAAGAGATCCGATACCATTATTGTTCTGGGTTCTGATGGAAAGGTAGCTGAACAGGGATCCTATGAGGAACTAAGTGCCCGCCCCGATGGGGCGTTCACCAAGTTGATGGAGTGGCAGATGAGCGGCGGGGAGGGCCCTGATCAGCCGGTCAATCCTTTGACAGACTCTGTAGCACCGGAGGAGACATGGGATGCGCAGAAAGAAGACGCCGGAGCTGACGTGTTAGAGGAAAGCAATATCTCCTCTGACTCTGAGACACGGGAAAAATGATTGGAAAGGCTTCTAACAGAGTTGGCAGCAAATCAACCCACTTGCATTTCCTAGCATGTTTGATCTCTCACATCACCCCACTCTCCCTGTGTTTGAATTATTGGTGTTATAGAACGTTTTCTTCATTTTTGTGTCTATAAGCTTTTTTTTAGACGGGTCATAATCCCAAGGACGGCAGCATTTGGCGACGACCAATTCCTGCAGGGTCCTGACTGTGAATAGATGATTTGATACGTTCAAGCCTAAGCAATTTTGGTATGCAAGGACTTCAAGCCATCATGCACAGGCTTTTATTGATTCAAGCAAATTGTAGTCTTGGACGGAAGACTCGAGCATGAGATATCTACATAACCTTCCAAAGTCTGAACATTTATACTTACAGCACAAAACAAAGTAAGGGAGCACATGACGCTAAAAGTCATCGGTCTTGGCAGGTTTCCTCCGGACAGCATCAGCTCAACCAGTGATTACCAGCTAGTACCCCGTCGTCAAGGAAAACCGAAGGTTGTCACGTTCATCAATAATTGTGAACATGGATTAATCTATAATTTCGTTCCCCGTTCCTTTTCCGTTGTTGGGAAGGAATCAGAACACTACAAACTACACAAATGGATCGCATCCGGCAGTTACTTGCTCGTCCGGCGGCTTATGAGCCGATAGAGCACCCAGTTGAGGTTGACAACGAGGACCATGAGTCGATCTGTTCTCGACGACAAAATGAATCTCCTTTCTCCAGATACGAATATGGCGTTTTCTTCCTTCTTGGGGTTTCAATGCTGTGGGCATGGTATGTCTCTGGATTGTCGCGATTTGTTCCCATATCCTGACCATCTGAATGGAATAGGAACATGTTCCTCGCTGCAGCGCCGTATTTCTATCTGCGATTCCAATCGGACAACTGGGCAGTAACCCACTTCCAACCTTCGATTCTTACCGTCTCGACCATCACCAATCTGGGGTCGTCATTCATCCTTGCGAAACTGCAGAAAGGAGCTTCCTACCCAAGACGAGTAACGCTTTCCCTGCTGATCAACATGGTTGTTTTCTTGCTGTTGGCATTTTCGACGGTCATCTTGACAGATGTCGGAGTAAGATCGTACTTCGGCTTTTTGATGTTGATGGTATTCGGCGCCAGCTTAGCAACCGGCGTCAATCAGAATGGTGTCTTCGCCTATGTGTCTAGCTATGGAAGAGAGGAATATACCCAGGCGATCATGGCGGGCCAGGGTGTTGCAGGGGTTCTCCCCTGCGTGGTACAGATCATCTCTGCCCTGGCGGTGCCGGCGAAACAGGGACAAGACTTGCCGCAGGCATCGTCGAAATCCGCGTTCATGTATTTTATTACAGCAACATTTGTCGCTGCTCTGTCACTGGTTGCGTTCCTTTCTCTTGTCAGGCGGCGGTCGAGTGTGTCCCTCCCGTCGTTGGACGGACAGAGTGACACCATTCCTTCTGACTATGCTCACAAGACAGTGAGTCTCTGGACTTTGTTCAAGAAACTTCAATTCCTCTCACTGGCTCTATTTCTGTGTTTCGCAGCCACGATGGTATTCCCCGTCTTTACGGTCGGAATTGAGTCTGTACGGCAAGATCCCAACGGATCACGATTATTCTCTCGAGAAGTCTTCATTCCGCTGGCTTTTCTCATATGGAACGTCGGCGATTTGATCGGAAGGGTGTCTGTCATCGTCCCTAGTCTGTCACTAGCTCATCATCCTTGGGCTGTTTTCATCATGGCAGTCGCGCGGCTCGGGTTCATTCCACTGTACCTGCTTTGTAACATTGGCGGAAGAGGGGCCATTGTGAAGAGTGATTTTTTCTATCTCTTTGTGGTACAGTTGCTCTTCGGTGTCTCCAATGGGTACCTTGGAAGCAGTTGTATGATGGGAGCTGGCCAATGGGTCTCTGCAGACGAACGAGAGGCCGCTGGTGGGTTCATGAGCATGGTCTTGGTGGGTGGCTTGGCTGCAGGGAGTCTCATGAGCTTCCTCGTTGCCAGTATATGAATGTTCCCTGGAGGAATTTTGACTATAGATGATTAAGGTGGGCTTTGCTTACAGTACATCGGAATCTCGGTATCCCATACTTGACTGAAATATTGCATTTTTTTTTTTGAGTTGAAAGCCAACAAGGATCCAACTGAAGAACAAAAAGATGAATGCCTAGAATTCTTATGTTGACTTGGTCCCCTTGTTCTCATTGTTGTCAGCAGCAGTAGGCCATTGACAAGAATCTCTCAATTGCTCCTTGTCAATACATGTGTCTATTAATGATACCCAGTCTAAGACCAGGGCACTTTCCTGCTCATCATGTGTTCAATGCATTCATCCTAGCGTTCATTGGCCATCGCAAAATGGAGACCATTTCTCCTTGCTTAGGGTTCTAGACATGGTAATGGAAGTTTTTGCTCTCTGCCAGCTCATAACTGACTCACGAGACAATCAGCTTATCAATAGAGATGGGGTACCCAACTAGCAAGTTCATTCATCATACACCATATTGTTCAAGCTTTGATATCCTTCTAAATGACTATTGTGCTTCAAGTTTACCCTCAGGAGATTTCTTATCATACCTCCTTATAGTCTCTATACTCAACGTCCAACATCAGACGAGAAGATCTGCTACGAAGAAGGTTAATTCATACGAGTGGCATGGCTTTCTGGCTACATTACATCTTAGAGAGCATATCGCTCTGGGCGATATTCAAATTGGGGCTTCTAGTAGTTCGTACACGAGCCAGGGAAAGAACTGCTCAATCATGCTAATCGCTCATAGGCTCTAAGCTATCTTGCTCCTCATTCAATATATGCCATCTATTTCCATCCTTTAAGTCAATATCCGGGACCAAAGCTTGCCGCTATATCCCCAATACCGCTCCTTGTGTGGGAGATTCGTGGTATAGTTCACTCAAAGGTCAAAGATCTCCATGACCAGTATGGCGACGTGGTTCGCATCGGCCCCAATGCTCTAGTGTACCGGACCCCACAGGCATGGAAAGAGATATACGGACATAGGACGAGAAAAGGTCAAAGGACATTTGCGAAGGATCCTGCTCTCTATGTCCCTACTCCTAACGGGGTGAATGCAATCATTACAGCTCCGGAGTCTGATCATATTCGCATGCGACGGCTAGTCTCCCATGCATTCTCGGACAAAGCTTTGCGGGATCAGGAGCCACTATTACACACGTATGCGGACTTGCTTGTCGAGAAGCTGCAGGCATGTATTGAAAGCTCGCGCTCGGGGGTCATCGATATCACCAGATGGTACAACTACACCACCTTCGATCTCATCGGCGACCTTGCCTTTGGAGAGCCATTTGACTGTCTCAAGGATAGCAAATATCACTGGTGGGTATCCATCATGCTCGACGCCGTGAAGCTGAGCGTCTACCTCAAGATCCTTTGGTTCTTTCCTTTCCTGGCTCCCCTGACGAAACTGTTGGTGCCGAGGTCCCTGCACCAGCGCCGAGAGGCAAGCTTCCAGTTGGTCGTAGACAAGGTCGATCGTCGGCTGCAGCGCCAAACGGACCGTCCGGACTTCATATCCTACATACTCAGGAACAAGGATGACGAGAGCCGCATGTCGCGCGAAGAGATCGATGCCAACGCTGCGACCTTTGTCCTGGCTGGTAGCGAAACCACGGCGGCGTTGCTTTCGGGTTGTACCTTCAATCTCCTCAAAAACCGGCGTGTTTACGAGCGACTGGTGAGCGAGGTACGGGACAGGTTCCAAGACCCGGCGGAGATCAGTCTCTCTTCCATCGCTACGCTCCCTTACCTCAACGCCGTCCTCGAGGAGAGTCTACGGATATATCCTCCTATTCCCGCAATGCTACCACGCCTTGTCCCCGAGGAAGGAGCAATGATCAACGGGGCCTACGTGCCCGCAGGTGTAAGTTGACGGCCGCCCGCACGGCCCACCAACTTCCATCCCCTCCTCATCTGACAGTTTGGTAGACCTCGGTCTCGATATCCCTCTGGTCTATCTTCCATTCGAGCACGAACTTCGCGGAGCCGGACGCTTTCGTCCCTGAGCGTTGGTTGAAGAACCAGGCAGACGAGAACGAGGCAGATAATCCATTCGCAGGAGACAAGAAAGAAGCGCTCCAGCCGTTCTCGTACGGGCCTCGTAACTGTCTAGGTCAGCAGTAAGTGGCATTTTCATACCAGTCTGTGCTGGCACGCTATTGACCGAAGCCACTGACTCAGTGCAGCCTCGCAAATGCCGAGATGCGTCTTATTCTGACTAAGGTTCTGTGGCATTTTGATATGGATCTGTGTCCAGAAAGTGAGGATTGGGCGGAGCAGGAGTCGTATAACTTGTGGTGTCGGCCTGCACTAAACGTGAAACTTTCTGCTGCTGATGGAGGGAACAGAGAGACTATGATGTGATTTGCTGACCAGTAGTGGTAGCTAAGTAGTGCTGTTCAAATGCTCAAATGATCTGTTCTACTTTTTACTTTATTTGCTCTTGAACTTCCTTGGTTCAAATGTGTTTCGGATTTTTGGCATGACTGATCTCTCATTTTCGGAGAACGAATAAATATATTTCCCCAAATTTTAACATCACACCAGAAGTAACATCCATCGCACAACTTATAGCACTGGACATACCTACGAGCTTGTGTTGGAATATCCATTCTCATTCGGTATAAAGATCGAAATAAAATTGGAAATGCTAAGTCTATCAAAATCCAGCCAACTCCAGACCACATGCAATCCAGTCACCATGAGATGACTCCCAGTGCTCACCGATATTATATAAGGATATGGTATATAGGTAAAAAAAAAAAAAAAAACTCCATGCTAAATCCAGATAACACCCCATAATGCAAGATGCAAGTATAACGGTACAGAAAAACGCTAGAAGAAATCCTCTTCGCTCAACCATTGCGAGTCGATGGCATAGGCCACCAAATCTGCAGCGCAGCACATATCCTCATGGCCATTTTCGAGATCGAGAAGGGCCAGGATGGACTTTAACCTCTCTTCGAGCGTCGTTTTCAGCTGCGTGACCTTCTGGGCGGCAGTGGAATTTAACTGGGTCACGAGGGGCTTGGTTGCTTTTACGCCGGATTTCGTGGCAGCTTTGGTTTGTAGGCTCTTGTTGGGAGTGCACGGAGCTAGAGCTTTCCTCGTGGTTCGTGGTGGTGGTGGAGAGGGCTCGGCCTTTCGGTTTTTGAGGAGATTCTTGAGGATGAATAGCAGCCAGACAAGATTCGTCCTGGGCGCATATTCAGCCCAGATGCCCGGGATATCGGGGGTCTTTTGGGAATCGGTGGGGTTTCCGTGGTAGACTTCCGCGCGCATGCTGTAACATGTTAACATCTCCGCTGTCACTCGATGGAAAGGGAGAAGATTTACTATCTATATGTGTTTCTCAGCAAGACCTCGTCTTCGTCGCGGCCAATTGCATCGAAGATTTGCTTCTTATCGAGATCTGATGAGGCAATGTCCACCACCTCGTTCGTCTCTCCAACAGCCCGCAATTCTGCACGAGAAAGCGAATAATCGATGATGGTGGTCTCCAACGTGCTGAGTCCGAAGTCACTCGTCCATGATTGATGCATAATATCCGTATCTGTTGGGGGATCCATGCAGCCATCCGCGCGAGTTGTCTTAATGCACACGTTTCCAAGATGGAGATCCCGATGCTTCAGAAAGTCAGGCCTGAACCTCAATTAAGTGGATGTTCGCAAGAAACCTACCTCAAACAACGCATATTCTTCAGCTCGTGCCAGAGCCATCGCAACCCCCCAGAATATGTCGTAGATCTGAAATATTGAAGACCACGAGAACTTCTCAAGCTCACAGCCAGCGTCATCCATCTCCACGACCGCCCAGAGCTGCGAGTCCGGATATGCTCTTTTACTCGAAGGATTGGGATTCAGACAATCATCCCTGGTCTTCTTGTAATGATCCCAGGCACTCTGGAACGACTCCGGAAACCGGCCCTGCACAACGTGAATTTCCCGAAACCGAGCGAAACCCGGAATGGGATCCAAGTATTTGAGCATCTTGACCTCAGAGACTATCTCCTCAATGCCCGTGAATTTCTTCGAACCGGGACCGCTTTGCGCACGCAAAGGGACAACCTTGAACACGCCATCGCCATAGGCCCTTAAGCGAGCAAGTCTTGACTTGGACATCTCTTTCTTGCAGATCTCCTCGCGCAAACGCAGTTTGTACACTTCTCCGTAAGAACCTTCCGCCAGTTTCACGACCTCCAGCATATTGCCGGCTCGGGCTGCCCATGAGCCGAATTTCTGGACGCCATGAGCGGCGACTGGAGATAAGGCCTCATTAAGGACAGCACGGACGTAGTTGTTCACTTTCTCATCTTCGACGCATCCCGAGGACAGACGTGGTGTAGGCTTTTTCTGCCTTGTTCTCCTAGTTTTGCCTTCTGTATCGGTTTCCTTCACTTCCTTCTTCCTGGGTGGGGTAATGATATCAATGCGTCTCGGAGTAATTCTGACTTCCACCATAGTCTCATAGCGTTTTTGCGACTTGGGCGTGCTCTTCACGGGTGATGGCTCGGGAATACTCTCCTCCTCTGGCGATTGAGACCCTGGTGATGGAGCCGCGTTTTGTTTGTCCTCCTCATTTGCGGCTTCCGGGGAGCTCTCGGTACTTTCGCCTTTTTTAAAGCTCGCTGATGAATCGTCTAGTGTGACTTCGGCCAGTTTCTCTTGTACCTGGTCAACGGCATTGCGCACTGCTCTCTTTGTCGCCTTTTCCAGTCCCTTGAGCGGGCTTCTTTGATCGAATACCGCTCGTGGTGCGTCCGCCTTTCGCTTGCCGTACACCCTCCTCTGAGCGCCGCGTGTCTTTGTGGCTGGTTGGGAGTTCCATAATCCTGGTGGTGGGTGAATTCCAGGAGTCGGAGAAGGCGATAACGGCATGGCGAGGGTCTGGTTTTTCTGCTCCTAGCTCTGGCACTAGTAAATCCGAGTCCTTGATTAACGTAAAATGACCGTTCTCGACAGTGAGTCGCTGTTTGCGAGTGTTGAAGGACGACCCTGAGGTCCACCACAGCTATTGACATTCTTCCCAGAGTGGATTAGTGCCACGGTTGCTGGGGCATATGTGTATAGTCACGTGAGGAGTATGGTTTGCATCATCGCATTGACTGGCAGTGTGCACCTCTGTCGCTGCTCTTCAATAGTGGTCATGTCTGGATTGCTCGTTACAATCTATGCATGGGTTATACTTGTATCCATGGAGGCCACAGACCATGGCCATGGCTACACGTGCTGACAGGCTGGTGCGAGTGCTCTATCCCACAACCGCTCTATCCAAGCAGTTATTTCGTGACGAATGGAAAACCTTGGATATCACCATCCCGTTGGACTGTTCTGCATGCTTATCTAGCTTCACGGGTGTGTGTTCACCCCGCATTCGCACCGTGGACCGAGGAGCATAGCCTGATGGTGCAAGCAGTCCATATGACACATGTCCATGCATTGCATGTTCTTGTGTGTGAGGCTTTCATGGATGAGTTTTTAGGAGGCTATAACATTGAGCACCAGACGTTTTCCTGCTTTTAGGACGAAGGTAGACACGGAAAGTGATCCCGAGCGCCCTGATCATCTTTCTTTCCTCCACGAGATAGATAATGCTCGAAAAGGCATGATGTATTTGTATTGGATCCATCCCATGTGTGAATGGGATAACTACTCCCCAAGGCTATGGAGTCAGGTGCTGTGTTCTACGCCTTGGTAATTGATAGAGTAGCCATACAAAGGAGAGTTGTCTGCTATGGCCCTTCCAAGTCCGGGTTATCACGGTTGGTGTGCATGCCGAGACATCATTATTACATGCTGGTCGGCTTAAGACTCCAACAAAACCGGCGATGCAATGATCGATTGTCTAGTACCTAAATAAATATCGCCATTTGCCACTGAGTCGTCTACAACTCAGACAAAGACCGTGGTCAAAATTCGCCATTTCAAACAGTAATAATAATACGGGGGAAAGGGGTCGTGCGATCCGCGAAAATTCAACTGTCTTGGCCCATCAATTACTTGAACGGGAGGCTAGAGTCCAGACATTCCAGAACCCATCTTAGACATCGGCAAACCAGTTAGAGACGACACATCATTGATGGTGATACGGGTGGGTTGAATCAGGATGTGGGGAAGAGAAAGATTGGTATTACGGAGTAGTAAGGGGTATCAATAAGATCGATGTTATCTAGTTATTATTATATTATTGTTGGCGGTCGAGCGGAGGAGAAGACTGTTGTTATTTTGTTACGGAGTACTTAAAGTAGATAAGGTAGTCTGTAGTCTGTACTGATGGTTGATAATTGTAGTCTTGGGAGTCTTGGGTCTTTGTATACCATTATTATCAAGATAAAATCATAGTGGATGATTGATGGAGAAGATGGACGATGTACGGATCCATCATCCTCTATGATAAACAAATTTGATTGTTCTCTAAAGTAGCTGGACTCCATAATGGTTGCAGATTCACTGCATATCATCGCAATCATCCAGTGTGCAAGTGACGTATTATTTTCCGGGTTGCCGCTTTTCTCCAGCTGAATTTTCTCTCTTGTCTTGCTATTAACGTACAGTAACGGATAGTACCTACTCCGTATTATTATTATTATTATTATGATTTGCCTTATTGACTTCCCGCCTCCTTGGAGAATCGTAAGATGAGTACGGACGACGGAGACCTCCAGCAACTCCATGTATCGATTTCATCCCTGAAACATCGCATCAGCAACAGCTCGAGTAGTCTTCTAGTCTCCAGATCAACTGTAAAGTTCTAAGTAGTGATATCTCTGAAATATAGTACTCTTGACATATGAGTGATCATTTATCTACTTTCAATTCAGGTGTCGCGTGGATCACGCGAGTCGTCTTACCTTTTCTGTACTGACATTACCAAATACCCACACTGAACCGCCGGGAACGCCTGCGACCTCGGGAATCTTCGCTTCATCATTCAGTCTTCTTTTTTTCTCTTCCCTTGACTTCCTCCTTCCCGGTTCTCTCGCAGCCTCTTTAGGCTTATCACAGATCAACTTCCCTCTTTTCTTCCTTTCATCTCTGTTTTTTTCATCGCCTTGTTATTCTCCAACTCCTTTTCTCTGTTATCGCCGTTATTTCCATCATACGGCGATAGTCTTCTTTTTTTTTTTTTTAACTCTTAGCGCACCCTGGATTACATCTAAAACTCCGTACTCTCAATGCTTTGCCATGGCGTTCAACTTCAACTGGTCGCCGCTGATGGCAGACGCGAGTTTCTACACTCGTGCGCAAGATCTACTAACTGCGGCCCTCAATAAGTCGCCAAAACCGCCCATTATCGTCGACGACATCATCGTAACGGAGCTTAACCTTGGGTCCATTCCGCCTGAGCTGGAAATCTTGGAGATCGGGGATTTAGCAGAGGACCGGTTTCGAGGCATCTTCAAGATGTCATACTCGGGTGATGCCTTTTTGACGCTCAAGACTCGAGTTCAGGCGAATCCGCTGAATACCTATCTCCTCACAAGACCGTCCTTCGCAACGCCGCTGCCATTAGCTGCCGCGTGAGTAACAGATACTTTGCCTTCTGCTTTGGATCCATCTAATTTTCGTCTTGCTACTCTCTAGTACTCCCCTTACCATCCCCCTTCAGATCACACTTTCCGATATCAAACTGTCCGGCTTCGTAATCCTGGTCTTTTCGAAGCAAAAGGGCATCACCGTGGTTTTCCGGAATGACCCACTCGAGTCGCTCAAGGTTTCATCCACCTTTGATTCAATCCCATTTGTGCGCGACTTCTTGCAAAAGGAAATCGAGGCGCAGCTCCGCATTTTGTTCATGGATGAATTACCCGCCATCATTCACCGACTGTCTCTCCGGTTATGGGTTCCAGAATACCGTGCTGGGGAAGACTTCGAGACGCAAGCTGAGAAGGCGGAAACCGCGAACGGGGAAGGCCCTGGTCAAGATCCTCTGGCTAGTCCACCGCAAGATCCCGTGGACGCACTCGGACATGCCCTGGATGAATCGGATATCGCATCGCTTTCCCTCGATTCTTCCGTCGAGGCCCACTCGTTATTCTCTCAGAAGAACCTTCTGCGCCTCGCAGCTCTTACGGATTCTCAACGAACCTTGTCGCTCTTCACACCTTCCATCCGAGAGGTCGTATATCGTGCATGGACTTCGCCGACGGACCAGACTGACGCCGCTGGAAGCGTGACGTCACCTGTTCTCTCGAGAACACACTCCCAGGTCGGCAGCATGTCTTCCTTCCAGGATTCTGCCAGTATCGCATCAATGCAGACTCGATCTTCAACACCGTCGCATACCTTCAGTGGCTACGGCTTGAGTTTAGGAGCCGGCCGTCATTCCAAGGCACATTCACGGAAGCGGAAGAAGCGTGTTGTGGACCTTCGTCGTCCAAAGACCACCGACGATGCGCCCAGTGTCAGCGACGAGAGCGCATTTACCGAATCTACCAGCGCTCCTTCTGTCTGCTCAGCTCCATTGCCCATTTTGAATGAACAGTCGGATGATCCAGTGACACCACCATTGTCGCCCGACAATGATCTACACCTCCCTATCATCCCGGATCGGCACCGGATGAGCATTTCTCGACCTGCGCCCCGTCGCGACATTGCAGCTGAAATGATGCGCGATATGGGAGGACCTTCATCCACATCGGATCCGGCCACGCAGGCTACTCAGAGCGAGGACACAAGTGCAACACCCCGAGCTACCATGCGCGCGCAAATTCCGAGCATTTACCTCAACGAAAAGCAGGACGCTGGCTCGTCTACCGGCGTTCCTCGACAACTACCATCTGCAATCCTTCCCTTCCTCAACGACAATCCTATGAACCGTGTGGTCGATCAAGCGCTGGTCGAGAGACTTGCCGGAGAGATTGCCCGTCGCATGCGAGACGAGAAGTTCATGGCGACCAATGCATGCGGGAGCTTCTGGGACCGCCATAGCCAAGAAGAGTCACCACCGCCGGCCTACGGCCACTGATTGCTTCTCTGGACCTCTCTCTTATTCTTCCTCCTCCTTCCAAAAGGCCACAGCCACCCAGTTCCAGCAAGTCTGGGACCTTTAATGACCGTTACGACATTTCTTTTAATGCTGTTCATCTCGATTCATCTACCTGTCCCTTTTATGTGTGTTTGGGAGCGAGCTTTAGTTCTTGTGTACATTGGTCTGTATTCCTAAAAGGGTTCGGCGTTAATTGTCTCTGCCATGAGGCTTCTGCTATTTTCTGTCCTTTTATTTTCTCTTTTGCGCGGGATACCACTCCTTCACTCACTCGTTTGTTTCATTACTGTGTATCTCTATCTTGTCAGCCCACTCTCTCCGTTCTTTGATTGATTTATGTGTGTTTCTTTTATTATCAAAAAAGGTTATGGAGGTATGCGGGTTGGGATGGAATGGTGGGATCAAAAATGGTGTGCGTAGATGTTCTGTCTACCTCACCTCTGCATCATAGTTCTAATGCATTAATTGAGGTTTTCTCTCTTTACAATCTGTATCATTGCATGCATTCATTATTTTGTTCATTCAAAATCTAAATAGCTTACACAGCTCTGTATTTTTACTTGTCCCCGGGCATTTCTGTCAACGGAGCTAACCCAGAATCCGGCTCCACAACCTAAGGTAGCATAGCTCCGATCGCTTTGCGACGAACGTCAAATCGAACCCCAACCCTTTCCCAATCCCTCTTCGCTCCCTCCCTCGCTCCTTTCTCCGCCACGTTGCTATCATTGCGGGTTCGGAAGCCAGTTTGGTTTTTGTTTTGTTTTTTCCCCCATCAACCATGGCTGGCGTGTTCAAGAATATGTTTGGCGGCTCTCAACCCTCAAATCCAGCCAAAGTCGAGGATGGTAAGTGCTGCTGCTGTCCATCTGATGGGGCACTACTCGCTCCTTTTCCTGCTTGACATGCGTTCGACTAACTTAATCTTGTCACTGTTCTAGACTTCGCGGACTTTGTGAAGGCTCCTGAGCCGTCCCCTGTGTCCATTGTAGCGGCTTCGTCGTCGTCGGTCCCTGCTCTCGACACCCAGGGTGCCACCGCCGTCCCCTATACAAAATGGTACCGAGTCTGGGAGCGGACCTCGCCCAAGGACTTCATGCAGGAGGCAATGGTTATGCCACTACTCTTTCTGATTGTCGTCTTTCATCTCTGGGGCACACGCAAGAACAAACGGAGAGCTAGAGAATGGGCGCAGGCGCATGCGCCAGCTCTGCAGAACGAGTTCGCGGTCGTGGGATTCGACGGCATCCACAAGTCGACTGCCGGGGGTGATGCTGCTGCGGGCGAACTCGCCTCGCCGGAGAGTATTCTTAAGGAGAAGTCGGCCCAGGAGTTCGCGTCTTATGCGACGGGTAGACAGAACGTTGCTTTTGTGGACATGACCATCAAGCTGCCCAAGCGGGCCAATCCCATCATCTACTGGTCGGATTACGCTCTCAGCTTCTTCTTCGACAGCTGGCAGGCTCCCACTGAAACCTTGGATGCGATCGCCTACACTTTTGATGGCAAGGAGAAGGATGTCGTGCCTGTTCCCGGCAAGGATACTTCGTCGCTCAAGGTGAACAATTCGACCTACGATGGATTCATCTGGGCTGTTGTGCACAAGAACCACATGCGCAATTTCCGCCAGGACCGTTACGATGCTTCCATGACCTTTACTAAGGACAACGCGAAGCTGCCCCCCTGGGTGACTGTGATGACAGAGAGCGCTGAGATTACCGAAACTCTTCTCACTCCCGAGTTGATCCAGGCCATTGAGAAGGCCGGTGACAACTTCAAGTATCTCATTATTACTGATCAGCCTATCGACAAGCCCACCAAGTAAGTTAAGAATCTACCTCCCAAAAAGACAATTTATCTGTTTTGAGACTAATGGTGGGGCTGTTCCACAGGATCGAGGAAACGACCCCCCGCAAGCGCGTTCACCTTTGTGTCACTCTTCCCTCGTCTTCTTCTGGTTACGCAGCCACTCTGCCATTGTTCAACCAGTTCCTCCGTCTTCCGGACAAGCTTGTTGCTTCCGCTCACTTCCGTCCTGAGGTGATGCGCAAGATTCGCAACGTCCGTGAAGAAGAGATCAAGAAGCTGCGCCGCGCCGATGAGGAAGAGAAGGCGGAAGAGCGCCGGCTGGCTGTCGAGAAGATCAAGAAGGAGGAGCGGGAGCGACTCCTTCGCGGCATGACCGCTGAAGAGCAGCGGAAGTTCCTTGAGCGTGAGTCTCAAAAGGGACAGAGACGCTCTATGAAGAAGTACACCAAGAGAGCATGATCTCCCGGGTATTTTCCATTCCATTTTTTATTTTTTTAAGGGCAACCAGTTCGATGCACATTTGACCTTTCTATATCATTGTGTTCATACGTCCATTTGTTTATGAAAGGGTGCGAAAAGCAGCGGGAGGGGTTTTCTCCTGGTGCAGAAGATTTGCTTCAATGTTTTGCTGACGTCGCAGTAGTAGACTTGACGAAATCGTTTACGGAGAGTATGAATTTTGCTTCTTTTGCTTGATATTATTATAATATTCACTTCGAAATAAATGTGTCCATATGCATAATGTTCTCTCCTCTACGCTTTCCCGCTCTTGAGACGTTGACAGAAATTGAATGCCATCCTCGGCCTGAGCGTCCTTTCTCTGTCTAACATCTCTCAGTGCTCTTTCCAATCTAACCATCAGCTCGAATTCGGAACTTAGAGTCTTTCAGGTCGTGATATAAATGTCAGAAGATGTTTCTCTCGGTTCATCGTCCTCCTCCAAACCTCTCAGTCTCTACTACCTATACACACCCTCTCTCACGGTCCCCTCTTATATATTCGGTTTATATTCCAGTTATAAATTGCGAACATTCTTATCCATTCTTATCTGTCCCTTAGAGACCAGTCCATTATGGTTTTCACCAATTGGTGGACCGCGTTCGTTCTTTTCATTACTCCTGCCTCTCTCTTTTACCAAACCTGGGCATCTCCTCTGAATCTTACCGTTGGGACGCGTGGTTCCTTTGTTCCTTTCGGGGCTCTGATCGACAGATGCACCGTTTCTGGTACAGTTGCTCTGACCTTTGACGATGGGCCGTACATCTTCACCCCCGATCTCCTCGAACTCCTCAGTGAGTACGGTGCTCGTTCGACCTTCTTCCTCAATGGACAGAATCTTGGTAGTTTATATGGAGACGCCGCTGTCGTCCAGCGTATCTTGGAGGAAGGTCATCAGGTTGGATCACATACGTATGTATCAATCGCTGGCCGTCGGGATAACGTGAACTGACTATTGTATGCGGCAGCTGGGGTCATCCGTACTTGACCTCCTTGGACTACAATGCCATTGTTGCGCAAATGACCCAGCTGGAAGCAGCGTTCATAAGCGTCCTTGGTTTCTATCCGACGTATATGAGACCTCCCTACTTTGCCTACAACGAACTGGTGTTGTCTGCCATGGGTGATCTAGGGTACCATGTTATCATGGCCAGCATTGACACGAAGGACTACGAGAATGACCATCCGGACCTGATCTTCCGCAGTTTTGAGAAGTTCCGCAATGAACTCAATGCGGGAGGGAGCATCGTGCTAGCCCATGACGTGCATGAACAGACGGTGACTACTTTGACAAGAGCAATGCTCGAAGAAATCCGTGCCAGAGGATTGCAGAGTAAGCGTTCCTGATCTCCACACGCTGTGATATTGCTGACTCATGACCCAGCGGTCACCGTTGGACAGTGCTTAGGCGATCCTAAGGAGTACTGGTATCGGACATCCCGTTAGGCGACGAGCTGGTTTCCTTGGAATTGTGCTTCTTGGCTCTTTTTTTTTCCCCCTTTTCCTGCGTAGTATTATCTTTTTTTTTCCCCTTTTCTTTTTTGCATTTTGATGAAGTATAGTAATCAGTCTGCTTAGGTAGTGGTGAGTAATTGCTGATTCTCGAATGATATTTTGCGTTATTTACGACGTTCGCTGCCCCTGGGCACTGGGTGTAGATAGTTCGGTGATATCTCGGGAAACACAGCTTGACTGCGTTTGCCACTCAGGAGAATTTTCGCAATGTACCAAGGACATAACTCGGTCCAGGCCGATATATATAATGACACTTCCAAAGAGTAGTCGACAAACCGAGATCTCGAGAGAAAGCTCCCAGAGTTTCAGCTCACATCACTATAGCATTTCTGATCGATCGATCTATGCGACGTCTACCTTCATATCCGACATAGCACTTCTTCTTCTACCTCAATACATTTCAAGTCATTCTATATCAAGTCGTTCGATACCAAGTCCTCCTATATAGATTGGCAAAAAAAAAAGAAAGAAAGAAAAAAGGATCCACCAGTACCAGAGGAAGCATCCGCTCTCGCTGCCCCACCAACTTCATCTACTATATTCTATATACAACGAGCAGCGACGCTTGACTTGACGACGAATACCCCCCCAATATCTACGGAGTCCCTGCCTACCAACCTCAAAACACCTCTCTCAATCGCATCTCTCAAGAATCAATCCAATAATCAAAAACAAAAAATATATCCACGGCAATACCTCACCATGAGCGAATTCAGCATCAAGGTCAAGAAGATCTTCGATCTCAAGGGCCTGCGGCAGCGACTCTCGGACTCCGGGTGGGTGCTCGCCGCCAAGGAGGATCTGTACGATCACTATAACTTTCCCACGGCGCGGTGTGCTGGGCAGGGGTATGAGGATTACTATAACTTTCCGAGGGCGAGGGCCGCAGGGGAGGGCTGTGGACGGCGGCCGTGAAGGTGGTCACTGGGGTGAGCGTGGGTGGATGGAGTGATGAGGTTATGATTTTCCTTTTGCTTCTTATCTATATATCATATCTAATTGTATATACTTCTTATCTATATATCTAATTGTATATACATGTATATATCTAAATCTAATTTTCTTCTGATATTTATTTATTTATGCCTTGCCGAAAATCTTCACCCGCTCCTCAACGGGTTTCTGCGTCTTCTCGCCGGGCTCGCCCTCGCGGCCGCCGAAGACGAGTTGCGCAATGAGACGCCAGTCGGTGGGGATGTCCCATTTCTTTGCGACGGGGGCGTCGATGAGAGGGTTGTAGTGTTGGAGGTTTGCCCCGAAGCCGAGGGATTCGAGCGCGGTCCATACTGTTTTGGGCAGGGTTAGTGGAGGGATAAGGGGAAGTGGGCGTGTGTGGAGGAGGGGGAGGAGGAGGGAGGGAGGGAGGGGGTTTTTGAGACGTACGGAAGTACTGGTGCATGGCGTTGGAGTGTTCGGCCCAGGACTGGAAATGATCTTTGTATGTTGCGAACTTCTCCGAGAAGGGGGCGATATGTGCGGGGTCTTCGTAGAAGAGGATCTAGGAGCTTCATCAGTAGATGTTTGGAGTCGGAGGAAATGGAGGAAACTAACCGTGCCAACCCCATTCTTCATCCCCTGCAGCTTCGGCAGCGTCTGGTTCTTCCAGATCTGCTCCGGCACCGCGCCGCTCTTGACCAGCTCCATGAAGGTGTCGATGACTGTGTCCCAGAGCTTCTCATGCTCGGCGTGCAGGAGCACCACGAGCCGCGTGGACTGCGTGTTGAAGGCGCTGGGGACGTGTAGGATGGCCGTGTTGACGAGCTCCTCGATCTTCGAGTCCGGGACGGGGCTGTTCTTCCCGAGTTTATAGATGGTGCGCCGGCCCTTGGCCAGCTCGATGAGGGTGTCGGTGTTTGCGGTAGACATCTTGTTTGCGTGTATCTGCGAGCTCGAGAAGGGTCTTCTATATGATAGGGAAGCGAGGGGAGCTCTTCGGGAAATGAGGCGGAGGGGTGGTACAGCGGACCGAAGAAGTCGGGGAGACATCATTAGGACTTATGTATTCTCTTGCCCTAGTCGATCTAGTCTCTAGATCCTTGGAATAATGGGATGACCCCGCAATTATATATCATCCCTGTATGTGGTTGTTAGAGGATATTGGTGCGGATGCCCGAGATCATTAATTTGTAGTCATCATTGTATAAGCGCAGAAAAATGGAACATTGGCTTATTAATGATTTCTCACCAGTTCGTATCACATTATCGAAGACATGAGGGGAAAGCATAGAATTTCTTTGTTTGGAGTATATTAGTCTCATATCAGGATGGAAAAGACGAAGGATCTGCTGAAGCTCTTCATAGAATGAGCTTGGACGATCAAATTGCAGGATGGGTGGGTTTTTCAGTGCACAGTCTTACAGAAGGGGATGAGGTCAAAAACGGCTCAGTTATCGCTCAAATTCAACTTGCATCGAGGAAACCGATGCGACTCCATTATGGCCGGTATACCTACACAATTGTAGCTTTACCTGGTTTAATAATTCCACTTTTTATAGAGCACGGTGAATGATAAACATGAATGACATCATTTAAGAGCGGTAAGCTTAATGAGCATAAGCCATTCATCACGTGATATAATACTATGAGGCCTCAGGCATCAGTAAATTCTCCAGCCTGCAGCCTGAAGAGTGAAGAAAAAGATAACAACTCAAAACATCAGACAAGAATGATTTAAGATTATGAGCAGGAAACCTGCTATATTAGGTTAAGTACTTTCTTTCTACCCCACATCGTGAATAAGATGACAAGCTAACGGTAAACAAAACGCATGGAAAGAATATGAGCGATAAAGGCTGGCGGGAGAAATTATAGTCAGAATGCGTTGATAAAGTTCCAGATCAAAGCAAGTGGAATGAGTAGAATTCTTCAGATCGAAGAAGCGGACATAATAGTGAGAATGTATAAGTGGGGGATGGTGAAGTCGAAGAAGAGAATCAAGCTGGGTATCATAGTATTAAGGTCGAGAAGGCTGCAACGCACACTCACTCGAATGTAAGCCACTGCGAGTGCCCAAGTACCAGCCATCAGTAATCAACTGGCTTTCTAGGTCGTGCCAGTATTGTGCCTTGCCCCCGGCGCCGGTCTTGAGATCCAAGTCTCCGAGACGGATCTCAACGGGTCCTTTGCCGTCCCGCGGCATCTGTATGAGATTAGCCTCATTACTCGCAGATAAGCGAAGTAAAAAAAACCTTGACAAACATCGTACAGTCCCTCAATGTCATTGCGAGGGACTTCTCTAGCGACTGCGCCGACGGGCCGTTGAGCCCCACGTCATGAATGCCTTTCTGATGGGCTAGGAGCTTTTGCAATGTAGGATTGCGATAGAGAATCCTTGCTAGTCGGGTCTGATCGCTGCAGCCTCGCACATACTTGGTTGCACGTAAGACATTTTCGAATTTGTCGGAAACCAGGTCTAGCGGACAGAATGACCGCTCGCCGGATCCACCCGCTGTCCGTGCCTGATAATTCTTCATGTCCCGCAAGGCGCAGGTACGGCATCTCCGAGAATTTGCAGGTGCCGAAGGTGATTGCAGGAGCCACTTGGGCTTCATTTCAGCAAGCACTGTTCCAGGGCTGCAGAAAGTTGTCATGTCTGTGACAAGAAGACCACAGGGTTCCATATCAGAAAGATACACACCATGTCGCTTCGTGGGCCGCTTGCCAGTCATCTCCGCCGCTCGGAGTTTCTCGTTGCAATGTTGAATTAGTCCTCTCGGAAGATATACGAGCGTTTGGTCTACCAATTCATCTGGACTAAACAAGGGCCGGATGGTGTTGTCAAAATTCCGCACAATCTCATGATAGGAGATTCCCGTCCTGCTTTCCTTTCGAAGCCGAAGTAGCTTTCCCTTGAATTCAGGAGGCACACTGGAATGACTTCCATGATCATTGTGGAGCTCCGTGGAGTCGTCTTGCAGAGAGTGAGATATTGTCACGATGCGATAGATGATGTTAGCACCGCCTTCAGCTAGATAGACGAGCTGGGCTCCAGCAGGGAGCTCCAGCAGTCCGGGTTTCGTCATTCGTCAAGTCGTTATTTGATGTATTTCACTTCGTTTCCGTAAAAGAATCATTGTCTGTTTGACGATGATATGCCTGGGCAGGACGAAAATGCCCCCCGGTAAGAACGAGTGACTGCCAAGGGCAACAATGCTCGCGGCACTATAAGTGGAATTTGTCTCTTGAAGGATGCTAAGCAATGGTGGTTAATATACTCTGAGATGTCAAGCATGTGAGCTCAGCACGGATAGGAGGGTCGTCTAGAGCAATGAGCCAGAACTTCAGATCTGCAGCATTTCCAGATAGGTATCATGAGCAAGCAAGGTCGTCAGAGGCTTAATATATGACAGTTTCGATTTACTTCTTTTTCCTGGATTTGATTGAACGCTGAGACCCCAGTCGGACAGCGGAATCGGGGATCCTAATGGGCCTATGACAACCTCAGCCTACTGCTTTACACTTTACAACGCATTCGCGAGCATCAATGAAAGCGCGAAGGAAGCAGTGTCACAGGATGACAGGTCGTAAACCCACCGGATAGGATCACCCCTAAGCCCGGGATCGTTTTAGTCCAAGAGGGGTTTAGATTTAGAAGATCGAAAAGATGGGTTGTCGATGTAGTAGCATCTGTGGCGCTTGGCCCTGAGATTCTTAGGCAAGTTCCATGCCAATCAGATTACTGCCAGCCAGGGTAGTGTCGTCAAGGAATTTGAAGATCGTCCCAAGGGAACGCGTCAGATATGAGCCTTGATGAAGTGTTCCACGTGTATTCTCGAATAGTCCTTGAGATGAAAAGCAATGAGACGTGGTGGTAGCTGGTTACTGGGCAATAGTATGTTGATGCTTTGATCAAATGCTCAATGGCAAGGCGTCGGGCACGCCGACAGACGATGGCGTGCCGGTTTGAACGAATAGGCGGTCAATGAAGTGGGAGAAAAGAACGACAATTCGCTACCGTCAACCAAAGTGGATGAATTGCAACAGCGTGATCACAGATCAATCAAGCCAAAGCCTGAAAAGGGAGAAAAGGATTCGGACTAGGATCATGCGCGTAATACGGAGGGCGGAAATAATGAAGATTGCATGAGATGGACGCTCAGTAGACTAGTAACCACGATAAACTTCAGTTTGAAATGGTCCTGCACCGTCCCATGGATCAACCCGCCGCTTTTCTCCCTAGCGAGCGGATTCAAGCAGCCGCAAATGAACTTGGACAACTTTATGAGGCACGATATGATACCTCGTTCAAGTCATCAAGTCTATTATCAAGTCACAGAAAGAGTTCGCAAAGAAAGACGCAGAATTAACAGATAAAGCCAATGATCGTCTTTCTTTGTGTCCCAGTTCTGTTGCTCTGGATAATTGGATGATGATGGCTCACGGCGGTCAGTCATATGAGGACCCTGGCCTTGCTTATCTTGCTCCTCTGTCTATATTTCTTGCTTAATATGCAATAGAAAGACGCTGGAACAGCCTCGGCTGGGATCAGGGAGATGTTTGACGACGAAAAGCTGCAGCGCGATGTGTCGAATCCCAAAGAGGACCAGCTCGGAAATCGGGGGAAGAGAAAGAAACAAAAGACAAGGAAGCGAGGAACAAGAATAATCAGATCACTTCCGACTTACCTACCAGCTCAGCCTGGTGGATGAATCCGTCGTCTCGGCTTGAGCAAGGAAGCATCCATCATCAAATGGTACCAGGCCGCCTAGTTGACGAAGATCCTTCATGATACCAACACCACTACTCCTGTACATATTGATCAATTGGATGGGCTGTTCCGCAACGCATCAATCGGAGGATTAAGCCGACATCTAGTCGTAGTTACACAAGTCGCCTTGTTGATACAGAAAAGGGACACGGCTCCATGTACCGAAGCTAGAATGGCAATCGCGGTTGCCATCAAAGGCGATATGGAAGCTACCTATTGGAGTTTGCTCAAACAGATTGAATGCAATAATGCGAGGCTATTAAACCTCAGCTCAAATGTAGGCTGTAGTTTGTATGAGTCGAAATCCATACTCAACTAGTAAATTATAACTCATCTTGTTACTGAGACGATTGCCCCGCTACACTTCCCAAACCCCGCATTCTGGACACATGCAATTTGCACTCATCCAGAGTCCGGAGACACCAGTATCCCGTATTTTAGCCTTTCACTCCCACGGAAGTCTCAGCTTTCAAGTCGACAAATATCCAGATATACAACCAACCAGAACCTCATTCTTCCACCATGGCCTCTGCAGACATCTCCTCCATCCCGACTCCCGCCCACTGCACGGCAGACTTCTGCTTGATCCCGGTAAGTTGCCCGGGTCATCCTCCATCGCATCCGAGCTATCAAAGCCAGCCAGCACACACCTACACATGCTAGCTAGCTAATCGCTCATGCTAACGCTGTCCCTGTTTTCTCCGGCAAATTGCAGATCGGAACCTCGTCCGCCTCCGTTTCGTCCCAAATCGCCGACGTGCAGCGCCTGATCGAGAAATGCGGCCTGAAATACGTGATGCATTCGGCCGGGACGACGCTCGGTACGTGTCTCTCCTGCAGTCAAATTACGTCGTTGGCGTTGGTTTGTGCTGAGGGCTAATGCTGTGGTGTTTATGGGAATATTAGAAGGTCCTTGGGACAAGGTTCACCAGGTTATTGGCCAGGCGCATACGCTGTTGCATCAGCAGGGTGTCGTTCGCATTCAGACTGATATTCGGGTTGGATCGAGGTTTGTGCTTACTTGTCCCACGTCAGCGTGCTTTGTTCGGTCATGAGGTCTAACTATTATTCCGTTTTTAGGACTGATAAGGAGCAGTCGTTCGAGGACAAGGTGAACAAGGTGCGGCAGCTGTTGGCGCAGGATTGATGCAGCGGCCTTGGCCTTAAGGAAAAAGTGTACGAGCATCGAGCATTGCGAGGGCGTTTGGGCATAACGGTACAAATCTGTTTCTATACTACTTACATCGGATATCGTCTATGGACACAAGATTTTGACATCCCGAGCTATATATTGCAAGAATGATGATTCCCCCAACGCCGAACCCATGCATGATGTTCCCAGCAATAAATCCGTCCGTAATGAATTTCAGAACGGGGCAGAAAAGAACGCACTGATAGCAAATACCAAAGCAGCTATAATGTGATGCCGCCGCCGAGCAAACTGCCCCAGTCACCTCCAACCCAAACCCAATCTGCCATACTGGGGTTCGCGCCGGATCGTGCCTTTTGAGCAACTTCAACTAATCCCCTGAAGACATTCGAGTAGGTGGAGGCAGAGCTTGTTTGCGTGCTCCCGTTTGATGAACTCGATTTCAGATCCTTTCGTCCAACAGGCGAGCTTACACCGTTGAGTTTGTCCACGGTATCAATAGCTGGGCCCTTGTCGAAAAAGTCCACCAGGATGAAGGCTGGCTGACGGCCGTAGGCTTGCTTGCATTTAGTCGCAGCGTCGCCGAGGTTTCCCGTACCTCCAGAAGGAGCGTTTGTTGTCGCCACGTAACTGGAGTTCGGATATTGGATGTCTAGGATGGTCGTGGAGTACAGGAAGTGATTCATGAGCGGCAGACGATTAGACGTGACCGCAGCCGAAATATCATTCTTGACGCTCGATGGGCGGTCGGGATTGCACGAGAAATTGGACGGCGATGTCACGTCGTACGGGTTTTCCCATATATAACTAAATTCGTCCATGAGGTAGGGAGCCCCCGTATTGGAGCTCAAGGACGCAACAAAGACCATCAACCGAGTTTTGTTATTGATCAATGTCTGCAGCGTAGGCCAAGAGCTCGGTGCGGATGTCGACGATGGTGTATATGCATAATCAACGATTCCCGCAGCCACGAACTCCGAGTTCAACTGGGAGGCAGAGGCGTTATCAGAGTTGACCAACAGAATTGTGACCACTGGAAAGATAGAAATGTCAGCTTGGATCCAGCTATGGATATCAATCGCATGTACATTACAAACGTACCATCGTTTGGATTTGCGTCCAACCAGTTCTTGATCTCAGTCAACCATGTACTTAATTTCCCTGCATCCAACAGCTGACAACTCGAATGGCACAAGCGCCACTCCGAGTCTTGCTGGTGTACTTGCGCCGTGACCATGCGAACTCCCGCGTCGAGCTGTAGTGTAGTGTTATAGTATCTACAGAACCGAGTCAGTCACCCCCCAGACCCCTGTCGTAACCTTGTCGGACTTACTGGTTGGCAGCCGTCGATTGACCCGTCGATGCATCTCGAATGAACGGACTGTCATGTGCTCCCAGATGGGTGATGTTGCCGTACGACTTGGCGCAAAGATCTGGAGAATTGTTGCATGCTGTTTGCCGTGGAAGCAAGGCCGTCGCGGACACGAGGGGTAAAAGCGCGAGAGCACCGAGTCCTAACATCCTGACTGCAGTTTGCTAATGATAAGAAGATGTCGGTCAAGAACGCGATAGATAATAGATGATCTTCCCGCGAGAAGATGCAAAGCAATGTTATTCAGGCAGGAACTATAAAGGGGCAACACGCTAGGTATTGTGAAACTTTCATGGATTAGAGGGATGCAAGGTTACAAGTCTGAGAATAATGGAAGATGGAGTAGATAGATGAGAGTTGAGAAAGGGGCAAATCATCCAGATACTGAATGAGTTAGCTAGAGATCCGGATTCACGAAGTCTGTTTATTATGGTTGACTATTGAATACATAATTCTGCGCCAGGAAATCGAGAATATCCACCTAGTCTGTGAAATTGTCAGCTCAAGTTACTATGCAGCAACGACCACCATGGCTGACTGCTCTGACATTACAAGATTACGTTGTGATCTCCACCTGAAAGTGAGAAGCTTTGAGCAGATTGGAGGTCTTCTGTCGATCTGACAGTGCTGGTGGGCCAGTCTCCCGGCAGAGAGACATTCAGAACTCAGAAAACCATGGATATCGAATAAAAACTAATCGGACAGCAAGTGTGAGTCTGGGCCGCGTCGCTTCTTGGACTCTTGTCTATTCTTAGAAAAAGCATCGAGCTCATTCTGTGGCTCAGCGAAACCATGTTTGGCCATTTGTCTGTTTAATTTGGCTGTTGCCTGGGTCGCGTTCACGTGCGGACTTGGCATGCTATCAAGGATTCATCTCGACAAGGAGGAATCAAACAGTTTCAAGATGGTATCGATCTATATATGTACAAATTGGTATCTATATTACAAGTTCATTTAGTGGCGACGAAGGCTGTTCCTTTCAAGCATGCTTCTCTCCACAACGTTCGCCTTGTCCTGCGTTGCGACATCTTCGAACTAGGAGGATTGATCAGTCGGTACATATCGTCTTCTCGGACATCGAACAACGCTGGATCCTTCCAAACACGGTTGATGTCGGTAATCACACGCTCCGCGTCGTATGGGTTCTCTCGCCGTAACATACGGTTCATATGTCGATTAGACTGCCGCGGTTGGCCGAAGAGAACAGCCAAGCGGTGTCGGCAAGCCCGTTGGATCCGGTTGGTCCACAAATGGATGCCGCTTTGCTCTAGTTCACGTAGCAGAACTAAGCCTCTTACCCAAGGAACTAGATCTTCGAGTCCTAGAGCGCAGTACCCCTTATGATTGGGATCAGGAGAGACTCGCATTTTGAAGCCCCAGGCGACGATAGCTGCCTGCATATTTCTGTCGAAGACATTTTGTAGAACTGAATCACCATGGTCGCGGGACTGATCAGCATGCTTGATTTTGGGCTCCTCAGTCAAAGACATGACGACTGACATCGCACTTCTCTGCTTTTCAACAGAGGAATATTGTTGGGCTAACCACAAGCAGCAATTGCGAAGCTCCTCCCACTCGTTGGTCATGCCAAGTCGTTTCAGCATTTCAATCCAAAGCTCGGGAGACACAGGTGTGCCCGCTGGGACGACGCGCCGCAGAACTCGGAGGACGAAAGCGACTTCGTTGGTAGGGGACGAGTTTGTCCCTTGCGCCGGCCCGACGCCAGGTCTGCGTGGAGTAAGCGTATGTTTGATCATGAAATCCACGCTTTCCTTGGAAAGTGCCCTGTTGTTCAGTGCGATGTCATCCACGACCCTGGATGCAGATGCCCATTCACCGGAGGCGATAAATTTCCTAAAGTGGATGTTGGATAATTGGGGATCATCATGGGATATTTCGCTAAGTATAGCCAGCGTCATGTTGTAGGGACGCCAATCGCGGGCGATATAATAAGATATAAGCAGGGACTCTTGCATCTGTGCATCTTCGAGTACGTCGGGATGCTGGTCGCTATGGAGTAGATCCGACAGAAGTATGTCACGATTTTCCGAAGCTAATTTACGGATCAGTCGTGCAAAAACTGTATCACCGATAGAGATGCCAGCTCTCTGAAGTTCCTGTAACTTGGCCAGGAGATCCTGACTCCCATGCACTCGAATGGCCATTTCTCGCAATGACTGCGGCCCGATCGCTCTTACACCAAACATTCGTAATCCAGCCACGATCGTCTCAAATGCTAGGGCTTTGGTCGCAAATAGTCGTGCCCCAAACTCATCTTTGAACGGTTTCTCCTCCAGCCAAACTTTCCTGGACAGCTCGATTGTGTCGTCAGATTTAGCCGAATCGGTATCCCCGGTCAGTTCGCCTTCAGCTGGAAAGCGCTCTTTGGTGTAATCCTGGAGCTTTTCAAAGAATTTGCGCGGTTTATTTTCCTTTGCACATTGGAGTAAGCGCTGAATTGCCTCATAGGTTCGTGGATGGTCCTGACGTTGAATCAGGAACGTATGCATTGAAAACGCGTCCTCGATCCGATCTGCCCGCAACAGTTGTCCGATGGCATGATCGTATATCTGGTGGCCGTCGGTGAGACGACATATGTTCTTGAAGGCGTTGATGCCAGGAGACACAGGGCGTCGTTTGACACTCGATGCCATTATAATTCTCGTCGGCTCGTCGGAAAGTGCCAGCGCCGGTGTTAGGACTTTCGCAATATCATCCGGGGACGATAGATGAGGATGATGAAGTTTCTTATGCCAGCTAGAAGCCTGCTGTGTCATGCCGCGCTCGAGAAATCCGCCAATGACACTCTCATAGAATTTGTCCCATCGCCTTCCGGTCCTCGACCACAGTCCATGTGCATAATCCACAAGCTCCCTCATTATGACCTCTCGTTTGAGCCCCAGGTCTATGAAGCTCTGCCAGAAGAGATCTGCCTGTGCTCCAACAACAGGAAGATCCATGCTATCAACTCGATCTGTTACAGCCACCCATATATCCAAGGTCCCTCTGTCACCATAGTGCCGTTGCCGGTAGCGCAGCAATTGCTCCCAGAGATCGAAATTGTTGCGATGAGCAGGATCGTCTACTAATCGGGAACCGATGTTCTCAGTGTGGCCAATGTCCGATTCAAATTCGAGCTTCTCCGGCTGCAGATCAAGACGTAATGGAATTTCCTTTGCAGCTGAATTTTTTCCCGAAGCGCATATAGGCCCCGTTTGTTGATGTGGTTGTATATCATACACACGAAAGCTGGACGGACGCGAGGCGGATGTTTGATCTTGAGAGGAAGATTGCTCGTTGACGGGTTGAGCGAGCTTGCAACGTTGCGCGCCCGCGCTTTGGTGTACCCTCCGCAAGTGACATCGTAAGCATTTGGACCGGAGCTCCCATTGTTCAATCCCAGCGGGCGTTGATATTAGGGAGTCGAGAACCGAGACAGCGGATGGCCTCTTCAAGAGTCGAAGGAGAGCCGGGCGCATGAGTCTTGAGGATAGGAAAGTAAGATGACGGAGCAGGCCCTGAGCATCCTTCTCATTGGCATTCCAATGATCGATAAACCGAGCACATCGAGGACAAGGCAAAAGGTTGAGATAGATTTACCTGGTCACTTTGCATACAGCTAACTACCAAGCTCCGAGTAGCCAGTCACTTTTTCTTGGACTGGAGCACTATTCAGTTCCAGGATAGACCGTAAATGTTGTCACGTGAGAATTACTAAGCCTTTAATCCGGATGGCGGAAGAATGAGGGAAGTCACCTGAGGCTCGAGTTGCAGCTCCAATTCGGATCCACAATTCACGACATCGACTGATCATTGCTGCTGGTTTCTGTTCTACCATTACTCCGTCCACCTATCTCATAAGTTGCGAAAGAGCATCTTCACACCGTCAAAATGTTCCGCACCGCTCCCCGCATGGCCGGGTAGGTCTCTCTGAATTCAATTCCCCTCGGTCGTCGACATGGCTTTGATTGTGGTGGTGGGATGAATGCCAATTTGTCCGGCGATCTTTGCTGGCTCTCGCTCGAGTTCACTTCGGCTACCGCGCAATTGGGCTTGTTTGGCTAATTTCCGCCTCATTGGTATTCAGATTCGTGTTCCGCGAAAACCGTGTCCCTTACTACCAACGTCTGTTCCAGCAGCACGACGGCAAGCGTCAGTGGTGGAAGGTCAGTTGATTGTTGGATATACGCGCACACTATGGAGTGACTATGTTTTCTCTGACTGGTGTTTTCTCTCTCTTAAAGACTGAGCGTAGCGGCTATGTCATGTACCCCTACCTTATCTCCGTTTATGGCATGGGCATTGGTAAGTTTGTCGAGACGAGATGAAGTCGTTCATGGCTAATATTGTTCAGCTACCACCTATGCCATGTGCCGTATGGTCTTTGTCAGTGTCCCTTTACTCATTGCGATATCACCCAAACACTATCCTAACATCTTGGGCGCAATATTCGACTAACCTACCCACAGGGCCACAAGACTTGGTTCGGCAAGGATTAGATGAGATCTTCGCCAATTCTCACAATTGCGGGATAGTGTCCCTTGTGTTCCACTGGCGGTGTATTTCTATTTCAACAGACGGATTGGTTGAGGAAATATTACGACGTTGTATATAAGATCAGCCAGGGCGTCAATGGAAGAGGTCATCAGCATCTTATTATTGAGACATGCAACATTACCATCATTTGGTATGAGGAGTCTGGATTTAAGTCCATGTCACATACGTACAGTAATCGTTGCTTCATCCATCGCCGCGAAAGGGGTCTTTGGTAAATCCTTCCAGCACAAACACCGCTTGAGTTGCTGTTCTATATTGCACTATGCACGGATAAGCCCACTGTAATTATTCTCATGCCGTAACGCTCGGTATCCTACAAAACGGTCTAATAGCTTGTCCTACTCATATAAGCTATTCGTGCTTGCTTGAGTGAGAGCAGCGATGGTGGGATTAGTAATCCGATCCCTCTTATTCCACCAACCCAAGATAGTGAACTCAGTCTTATCTACATTTGAGTATCATTTGTATGAAACTCGGTGGGCCATCAATTAGATCTTCGAATCATACATGCGATAAAGAAGAGTTTGACGTCCGATCACATAAATTATATACAATCCTTGGTGGGAAGATGCTTCGGAACACTTCTGTAGGGAACCGCAGATCATCTAGGAGGGAGTCCATGCACTGATAATTTGAAGACAAACCCCAGGACAACAAGATCTCAATCCTAGCACATAGTTGATATGAGTCAAGCATCTGCAGAACGGCCTCATAAACGTGTACGGCAAGCATGTGAACCGTGCAGGTAAGCTTTTTTGAACATATCCAAATGATCATAGTTGATGGTAAATGCTCTTGGCTCACTCGGCACACAGGCGCAAGAAGGCAAAATGTCCAGGAGAGCAGCCGGTCTGCTCCCTTTGCGCGCGATTACGCCAGAGATGTGCGTACGCTGGAGAGACACGGAGGTTTTTGACAAACGTCTCGTCAGATGAGACGGCGCCTCCTGTGACTCTTGCTGCCGTCGATGCTCCAGAGATGCAAATGTCCCGAAATCTGGTAAGCTCTTGAATTTATCTCATATCGTTGTCCATCTCGTATTCATTGATAATGTCTTAGGAGGATCGGCTAGGAAATCTTGAGGCCAAGATTGGGGAAGTACTTGATGTCTTAGAGCAAGTTCCACGTCCTATCTACATCATGACGAGCACTAAATGTTGATCTAGACGGGATAGCCCTAGAAATGGACAACGAAGGACGCCTGCATCCTCACATATGCCGACTTGTATGAATCATCCAGTTACTTCGTCAATTACTAACCCCATTACCCCACTTCCAACATGGGAGAAAGTTCTCACCGTTGCGGATCTTTATCTGTTATACTGCGAGTCTCAACCCCTTCCTCTCTTTCACAGGGAAACTTTCCTCGGTAGTCTCAGCACTCGTGACCCCGAGATTCTCTATGCCATTCTTGCACTGGGCATTCGATTTTCCGATGAAGATTGTCAGAACTCTACCGATCTTGCGAATCTCATTAGCGGCTATACCGAGGTAGCCAGAGGATTGGTTATGAGAAGAGTCTCAGAGGGACCTGTTGAACTATCCACTCTCCAATGTCTATGTCTTCTCAGTTTGATAGACTTTTCGAGTAAGTTTTCTTGTTTTGAAATATTCCAAATTCTAATTGTTTTAGATGGCAACACGCACCGGTCCAGCATACACAGCAGTCTTGCAATGAATCTAGCACAATGTGCCAATCTCGGATCCGAATTTCATATCACACTATCTCCGGTGGCCCGGGAAGAGCGTCGACGGTGCTTCTGGAGCATTTGCCTTCTGAAACGATTCCATGGCGGCGAGTTCGATAGCGGAGGGTTTCCGGATGGGACCTTCCCTCCTTTTCCGAAAAGTCCTGAACGTCCTCGTCCGCCATTTTCGCCAAGTAATGCAACTGACGACGCTCGGTTCACTGATATGGAGGACCAGGGTATTCTCGCCTACGTGATAATCTTGACTGAGATGTTTGCAAAATCTGCAATGTATGTCCGACGGCATGGAAGGCCCAGCAATCTTCCCCCTTGGTCTTCACAGTCAGAGTATTCCAAGATCATCACGTTACAGATGGATCTGGAAACACGCATGCCTTATATTCATCGATTTAAGCCTGCAAATCTCAGCGAGAGGACGCCTGAGGAACTTCAAGCCAATAGAGGATATTGGGGCCCCTGGTTCTTGAATCAGTTCCTCTACCATACTAATCTGTGTCTTCTCAACCACCCGCTTTTACTATCCCTCGGCCTCAGAAACTTTCGCAGTTCTATCCCCGAAATATTTCTGCAACATACTTCCGACCTGATTTCATCGCACACAACATGGATCATCCATTTCATAAACTATTTCGAGGAAAAATCATTTGTTGTCTCAGACCCATTACTCGGATATAGTGCGGCTGTAGTGGCTACGATTGAACTGCAGCTGAGCTTTACTGAAGACCAAACAATTCGACAAGAAAAGAGGGACCGGTTTTATAGATGCGTTAGGTTTGTGGAGGGTATTGGGCGAAGATGGCCACATATGGCCCAGCTGGTTAGTTTCGTTTGATTGCCCTCCTACCAATTGCAACCGCGACTGACGGGAGTCATGACACAGGCAGACAAACTGCAGAGATTGGAAGGGGCAGTATCGGCCTCTTATCAACCGGAGCCGGGCGCACAGAATAAGAGCCTATTGATCGATTTGTCACGGTTCTGGGAGATACTTGAATACTCTTCGAACAGGGATTTGGATTCTGCTCGTCGCTTGTTTGGCGACTCCTTATACTGTGAACCTCCTACTCTCGATGTTGAAGTATCGCAAACATCTCCTCTGCCAGAACCAACTCGCCTAAACTCACAGTCAGAGCAGTCACATTCAGGGTCACGATTGTCAGAGTATATCTTTCAATCTACCCCGCCTGTTGGGCCACATTATACCGCGAACTCGGCAATCTCCCCTCGGCAACCAGATTTCTTCAACGATGAACTGTCGATCTTGGCCACAAACTTCTTCTCCCAAGGACAAGAGTTCTTGCGTAGCAGTGATAATAGGGAAGGAATAGGAAATTTCTGATCTCTCCATCAATCATCAGCGAAAGACGTGCCAGGAGCATAGGATGCGATCCCAGATATTGAAGGAGAGACAAGCAGCATTGATTCGTTATGGCCCCATCAAAGTATCCCATTGGCCCCTTCACTAAAACAGACAGAGCCTAAGGACCGAATAAGATTGGACGATGCCGCTATGATTCAGTCAAGCGCACGGCCACCCAAAAGGCGGGCGTCCACCAGTTGACATTATCACGGTGGATGATGAAGAGGGTCAGTACACACGTGTATGGATCCATCACTGATCTAGTTCGAAAAAAATTGTCGCGACCTAGCATGCTAGAACATGCGCACGTTGGGACATTGGATGCTTCAAGATCGTATCAGTGGTCATTCCGCGAGCCAGAAGATGTATCCTCCTTGGGTGGATGTAACTGCCAGATTTTGTCCAATAATATCAGGCTTATGTTGGGCCCTTGGATCATGATGAGATGTATTGGAATGGCAATATTTTGGATTCCTTTCTATAGAGGTCCTCTATATCTATTCGAGACGACTATCATCTATGACATTGTGCAATGAAACAACTGGCTGAACACCGAAAAGCCCAGGAAATCATGTTTCATAAAAATTTACTCTTCCAAAGCTGCTTTGAGCTGCTCAACAAATGTCCACACTTCAGTGAATGTGTTGTACAGAGGAACGGGAGCGACGCGGACAACACCTGGCTCTCGCTTGTCACAAATGATTCCTGCTTCCTGCAATCGCTGCGCAACCTTATGCAGTAGCCCGGGCCTAAGGAGAAGACTGAGCTGAGCACCTCTAGCGGCAGGCTCGGAAGGCGTGATGATATCGAACAATCGTGATTCATCTGTGGTGTCCTTCAGCAGAAGGTGCTCTAGATATGCAGTCATTAGAACGGATTTCCTGCGCAGCTCAGCCATAGATGTCTCATCGAAGACTGACAAAGCAGCACACAAGGATGCAAGGTCAATAGCAGAAGGATTGGAGATCTGGTAGCCACCAGCCCCAGGAATAGGTTTGAAGTCTGCCACCAAGTTAGCCAGGTTCACCAATCCAGTGCATTTGCACCGATGCAAGACTTACTGTTGTCCATCTTGAACCGCACTGATTTGTCACCACCATACCATCCAGTCAGACGATGACGGAACTTTGGCGAGTCTTCCCCTTCTCTGTAATCAACTCGGCCGTGTCTCTCGTGGACAAAAAGACCAGCCATCGCACCAGGCCCAGCATTGCCATATTTATACGTGCACCAGGCCGCAAAATCGACGTTCCAATCGTGCAACTTCAGATGAACATTGCCGTATGCATGGGCCAGATCCCACCCAACGACAAGTCCCCGGGATTGGGCATATTCGGTGATCTTCTGGATATCAAACAGTTGCCCTGTGTAATATTGGATTCCCGGAAGCAGGATAAGGGCCGCATCGTCCGCATGCTGGTCGATATAGGATAGGATCTTCTCGGTGGGGATCTCAAAAGTTCCTTCGTCTGGGCCAATGAGCACCATAGACTCCTTAGGATCTAAATCATGCCAGGCGATGTGTGATTCGATAGCATACTAGGACGGTGTTAATGAGGTTGTCATGGGAATTAGGTACGTTCATTTTCAAGCTCACATGGTCGCTGGGGAACGCTTTCCAATCCATGAGAATCTTGTGCTTGGTGGCAGTTGGCCTGTAGAAGCTCGCCAGCAACAAGTGCAAATTCATTGTCAGGGTGCCCATTGCGGCAACTTCTTCCGGCGCTGCTCCTACAACCCTCGACATGGACTCGGCTGCCTGCTCAGCCAGATTCTGCCATTCCCTCAATGGCGAGTCTTCAACATTGGTGAAGTGCCCGGATACACCAATGGATGACCATGTGTCTAATTGAGCCTCTAGATACTTCGCTGTCGCCTTGGGTTGAATACCGAGCGAGTTGCCGCAAAAGTAGATGCATGGCTCTGATGAAAGACCTGGGAAGTGTCAATCAGAATCAAGGTCGCTTCACCAGGAAGAATGGGAGAACCTACCGGGCTTTGCCAGCTTTTTCGAAGCAATGTTTGCCTTTGAAGGAATGATGAATTTCTCACGGAATCCCGCCAGGGGATCTGAAGCATCCAGAGAGGCCGCATACTCCTTCGTTGCCGCATCTGCAGGGAACTCAGGTTTGGATGATGTAGTGGTAGTCGACATGGCGAATGGAATTTCTCTGCCAATTTCAACCAGATTGGGCTAGCAGCAATCGAACAGTGTTTCTTTGAAGAGAATCGACCAAAATTGTCTTGCTTTATACACAAGTCTTTTCCATCCCTTTCGTTCAACCCTGGCGGATCCCGGATGTCTCTCTCCGCTTCCGCCTCGCATCCGTTCTCACGGAAAGAACGATTTGCCAACAAAGATGACGGTCAAGGTGTTATCTGCAGCCTGGCTCTGCAGGTCGAATCTCATTATCCACCGAGATGGGCTTTTTCTTTTTTCTTTGGCTATGAAGCCCACAGCAACAGATCGTCTTCATTCCGGGTTTGATCCGGTCCAGTTCCGCCTACACAGCGTTTGTCCATATATTCCAGCCTCGACATGATGGAGTGAATGTTTCTCTCTTTTCAATAAGTACTTATCCTTGTCTCATCCCCAATTATCTCTTTATCTTGCCACTCAACCCTTGCCCTTGAAATCAGCACTCGATATGCTTAACTTACCGGAAATCGCGCTCGATCAATACGGCCTTTCTTCCCAACATGCCTTTCTTCCCGATATTCCTCCTCTTCAAAAGTTACAAGACCCATATTACTCCTCATGGGAAGAAATAGTCAATGACCTACCAACTCGTATCGAGGCCGGAACTATACGACAGGCAGTGGACAGCCTTCCCGTACTCTCAACTTCTAGGTTGCAAGAGGATGCAGATTGGCGGCGTGCCTATGTTGTGCTTGCCTTCATCACCCATGCCTATATCTGGGGAGGTGGGCGGCCGAAGGATGTACGTTGCTCCCTCGAGTTTAGCTACGTTATTCTTATAGTGTCCTAGGTTCTGCCACCCGCAGTGTCTCGCCCATTTCTCGAGGTATCGGAATATCTAGAACTGCCACCATGCGCAACTTATGCTGCTCTGAACCTCTGGAATTTCAAAATGACTTCTCCTGATCTCGATATCACCGATCCTGACAATCTATCAGTCATCAACTCTTTCACTAGAACAAAGGACGAAGAATGGTTCTTCGTGATCTCGGTAGCAATCGAGGCTAAAGGAGCAGAACTAATTCCCCTGATGCTCAACGCTGTATATGCCGCCACAATAGATGATTCGCAACGAGTCGCGACATTGCTACATCAACTCAGTGAAGGTCTCAAGGAACTTGGGATACTCCTAGAACGGATGTATGAAAAATGCAGTCCGCCGGTGTTCTTCCATCAACTACGCCCTTTCCTAGCTGGCAGCAAGAACATGGCCGCGGCCGGTCTGCCGAAGGGTGTTTTTTATGACCTAGGAGGTCATGGGGAGTGGCACCAGTACAGCGGTGGGAGCAATGCACAGAGCTCGTTGATCCAGACGTTCGACATATTTTTGGGAATTGAGCATTCGGCTACAGGGGAGGCCAAGTCAAAAGGCCAGTCCAAGGGTGCAGTTGGCTACATCCAGGTATGTGGATCAAAATTCATCCTCTCGGCTCTAGATTTCGCAAAATTGACTCTCTTCAAACTCAGGACATGCGGAATTACATGCCGGGCCCTCACCGACGTTTCTTAGAAATGTTGACCCGGATTTCCAATGTGCGTCAGTATGCAATGGGTCACAAGCCAAACACGGAGGTGCGCGATGCATACAACACAGCTGTAATGGCTGTGGGTGCATTCCGGGATAAGCACATTCAAATGGTGTCACGATACATCATTACCGCAGCGAGGACTAAGCCGACTCACAAATCATTAGTGGAAGTCAACTTGGCCACTGTCACAGCAGCATCTCAAGCACAGCGCTCGGATGAAGCCCCTGCGCCAGGATATAGTGGAACTGGTGGAACTGACTTGATTCCATTCCTGAAGCAGACCCGAGACACGACAAAAGCTGCAGCGAACTACACAGATTGAATCGCACCGAGGCGCCCAGTAACGACATATTATTATTGATTAGTACTTCGCTCTATGCATGGGTTGAGGCGTTGCAGGGTTTATGTATGGGAGGCGCATTGTTATTGTTCAAATGATCAGGCCTTTTCAACAGAAGGTCACAGAAATATAGACTTGATACTGGATTTTGGACACATCGAATCCCTTACTTCATTAAGAATGCCAATAGTAACTTGAACCACGGCGCACATGATAATCTGCAGATTCTCTCACTCAAACCTTTGGGACGGCGCGGTTCCCAACGGAGCATGAAGCCGGAAGCGGATACGGAAGCGGAAAGCTATCGAATCGAGCTTCAATGGCCCTCAGCAGAACCGGAATGATCACAAATAGTCAATTTGGAAGGCTTTTGAGGATTTCACCGAGACAGAACTGGATAAGTTCCCAATCTCCAGACCAGGCCTGTTCCTAACTTCGCTGTATACATTCTTGAAGCTTAATTTCTGTCTATCGAGCTTAGAGAGCGCCACCTGGCCTGGTACACGAAGCTATTAATGGCATGGATTTTGGGTTGTATCATTGGCTTAAATGTTTAATTATTTATCTGACACCGTGCACTATGTACTGGCTGATACTGTATAGCATCCCTATCTTGGGAGCACCAGGAGGCTGTGAATACATCAGCTCTTCGTTTGTTATCATACAAACCCTGCCAATCCCAGTACGCCGAACAAGTCAGATTGGAGACGAAATTAGGATGACGCATCACACGTAATACCAAGGATGCCACATTATTTCGATGGCCAAGAGCACGCCTTGCCCATTGCTTCCTGAGCCATTGCGTTATTGGAGACGGCGTTTTTTATGAGACTGGCGAAGTACCCTCTACTCGCAGGGAGTGTGTGTGGTGTGGGAATAGCCCAGAATATGCTACCACGCCATAGGACGAACGGTTGACATGGCTCAAGAGAGATGAACGGGCTTTTTTCTTTCAATACGCAAATTTCAGAGTAGGGCGATGATCATCTCTTCTTCGTAGTGGCGGGGAGGCCTTCACTTTCTCGCAGCTCGGCCAGCTTCTTCTCGCGTTCAATGAGTTGTTCTCTCTCTTCTTTGATCATTTGCTCCACTGTCTTGTTAGCCGCTTCCAGGCGATCCAATTCTTTGTTCTCTGTCGTCCTGCTGTAGGGATTGTCGGACGTCTCATTCTGCGGGATCTCGGCGGATCTTCCACCACGTTGCTGAGCAGCCTGTTTGGTATTTTTCCCTCCCTTGCCCTTCAGCGGCTGCTGTGCCGCCGGTCCGCCAGTGAGAAGATCGTAGAACGGTTCCATAGGCTCATTGAACACAATCTCCTCGTAGTTTTGGCTGAATACGAGCTCCCTGCGCTCTTTTTTGCCCTCCGCATCAGGGCCATATGGATGTAACTTCAGACTGTGCCATAGCGTCTGCGGCTTCTCGCCCGACTCGGGGACAAAGTAGAGTTTGATCTGGATCTCGAATTCACCCCATCCAGTTTCGGTCACCTCGAACGGCGGTTGTTCGATGGTGCGCACGTTCTGCGCGTATGTTTCGTGTAGCTTGAACTGCACTTTCTTAAGCCAGTAGGATATGTCTTCGCCGTTGACTCCTTTGACGAACACGCGCCATTGATGGGTATGGTCGGCAGGGATGTTGGCGGGTTTCTTTTCGGGGTCGAACGGTTGCGCTTCACTGCCGAATACTGGGAACAGTCAGAAACAACGCCGGGAGAAAGGAAGTAGCAGGAAAGCAAAATGCCATACCGAACGGCCTGAAGATCGAAACACCCTACAGAGACAAAATGTTAGTACTCATTCCACATTCAGAGAAAATTCACAGGTACGAACCCTAACGCGCTTCGATCCCGTTGCCGAGGGCATCTCTGCACTGGATTATTGAAAAGCTGGATGTGAATTGTGGCAAATTTGATGGGATGCAGATGAAGCGCGGAGATCTCGACCTGCGCGTCTTTGTCGCGAACTGGTGAGAGGTTCTTCCCCCAGTACGCACGTGACATTATCGGAGATCGATCAATCAATGACGATCGTCGGAAACAGGCGTTCCGCAGCTCTAGCTTGGCTAGTTTCTCGGATTGAGCTCCAGAAAATGACCATAAAAGGCACATCTTTTGTTCTTCTGTGATTGAAAGCGGACCTGACAACACTTGCCACGGTTAGAGCTGGTGTTTAATAACTACTCGACAAAATGGCTTCGAAGAGATTAGTGGTTGCGGGTGGAAATGGCTTTCTAGGTGTGATATGCATACGGCAACAGGAAAACAACACTATATTGATACATGCTTTTCTGCCAGGATCACGAATTTGCAAATCAGCAGTCAATAGAGGCTGGATTGTAACGTCTTTGAGGTACCATTTCCTTTATAAAATGAGATTATCCACAATGTCCCTTGCTGATACACCACAGTCGATCTGGAGAACCGCGATGGGAGACAGTAACCAGTTCTTATGATCGACCAAACTGGGCAAATTCGGTAGAGTGGGCCAAGGCGGACATATTGAAGCCGGAGACCTATAAGCCGTTTCTGAATGGTGCCACTGCCGTGGTGCACAGCATGGGCATCCTTCTCGAGGCGGATTACAAGGGTGTGGTACGGGGAAAGGAGCCCATTGTGAGCGGTCTACAGAGAGCTTTCTGTTCATCGAAGATGGGTAGTCAAAACCCCCTTACAAGGCGGGAGGGAGAGCCGCTGGAGCCCAAAGAAAGAGACGGCCGGCTAACGTACGAGCTGATGAACAGAGATTCTGGTACGTTCTATTCGAGTGATCAGATTGCCAGGATGTGTGAATTTGAATTGCTGACTGGCGACAAAAGCAATTGCACTAGCCCAAGAGTCATCCAGGGAACATGTTCCAACATTTGTGTACATATCTGCTTCTGGGGGAACACCAATCCTTCCTGGCCGATATATCACGACCAAGAGAGAGGCCGAGTCAACCATAGCGTCTGAACTACCGGACCTGCGAAGCGTCTTCATCCGACCACCGTTTATGTATGATTCGAGCAGGAAATTCACGCTGCCGATCGCATTGGGTGGGTTTGTTGCCTCTCAATTCAATGCGCTCATTGGCAACAAGCTTCGGTTTCTTGGTGCTATGGTAGATAAGCCATTCCAGGTGGATCTTGTGGCCGATGCTGTCGTGGAGGCATTGGAAGACGAATCCGTTCGCGGTGCAGTGGGAACAAAGCAAATAGAGAATCTGGCAACCAGATTTTGGAGAAAGAGCATGCTTTGATGCAGCCTCAGCGGAAATAGGAGCGAAGCATTTGGCCAGATTTGTCACATCAAGTTGATGCTCAGCTGCCAAGTAACACGCGTCCGCAGGAGTCTGTGCAGGTTGACCTTTCATGGGTAATGTCTGAACTCACATTAAGTGGTCCAGCACTGTATAATAGACTAAATCGGGTAAAAATGGATCAAATCATTGTGCCTCGTTCGAAACTGTCACGAATCTCCGTGGTGTACTAAGAATATGTTAGCTGCAGATCAAAAGACTGCGTCAACGACCATACCTTATTGTAGAAGCGAGCCAACTTCTGGTTGAACTGCTTGTTCTTCTCGTTGATGTATGTGACATCGGCTTCTTCTTCACCGCGACGCTCCTTGCGCTTTTTCAATCGTACCTCCTCGGCCTTCCTGAGATCTGCTACCAGTTTGTCAACACCAGATCGATCAGGCTTATTGTCCGTAAATCCGACTGTATCTGCTGTCGAATAGAAGGTCCCATTTTTGTCGACTGCAATCATTTCACCATCATTGGTTTCGACAATCTCCAGGTCGCCATTTGCAGCTGCTTTTTCAATCGCGGTCATTTTGTCCCTCTCATAAGCTTCAAGGTCAGGCTGCATTTCGCGCAGCTGCCTTTTGTACACCTTGCGCGCATCCTGTGTGTAATCCTGGAAAGCAACATTATCACGATGGCGCTGTTTCTTTTCCATCCGCTTATCCCACTTCTCAGATTCGTCAACAGTCCAGTCCCATGCTCTCTTGCGCTCGAAATCTTCCCCAGACGCCTCCGTATCAGCCTTGAGGAGATTATGTGATGCAAATGCATGTTTGCGCGACAACGAAGAAAGTAGTGTAGGATCAGTGGCCAGACGTTGGGTTTCGGCAGCAGTCTCTTTCAAATTACGCTCGGTTGCATTTTTCTGGGATTATATCAGTACATAGGCAGATGATTGATAGCATCGCAGGCTAAGGTTTTGGCGACAACAATGACGATATGTTAACTTACCGCACGAGCTTGAAGGGCCTTGAATCTTTCTTGTCTCTGACGAGCTTTGGCAGCGGCATCATTCTCTTTACTCTCTTCTTTTAATTCAGCGGGCGGCTCTTCTGACAAAACTTCAGGTTGACTCTCTTTTGACGATGCAGGTTGGTCGGCGGCGACGTCGTCGGAAGGCTTTGCTGCGGACTGTTCGTTCCCGCGTTCGAGAGGCATAATTTTGGATGCGCCCAGAGACTTTGGAGGAAATCTTTTGCTGGTAGATGCCTTTGTGGGAATAAGTCGTCGGTCTCTGTAAGCTTGACGATGATAGCGAACCTTTAAGTGGGTGAGGCAAAGCTGGTAAATGATGGAGAATCGGTTCCGGGATTGAAGTCGGTGATTTCCAACACCCTTTACCGCCTTCACGATGGGCTAGTGTTTCTGGGATATTGACTCGCAGTTCACCATGCAATTATTTCGAGCTCCAAATTCCTTATATATGATATCCTAGCGGAGGTTGAGAGGACTATGGCTCGCCTATCCTACAGAATTGGCCTTTCACTACAAAGACACGCCCTCCGGCAGAGCTATGCCTATGTTCCGCAGCAACAGTCTCGTCTGGTGTCAGTAAACATTAAAAGGAAAATACCAAACCACGAGCCAACAACATCGCAAATACTCCGTTTTGCATTGACGGGGACGACAAAGACTCTGACACAAGATGTGTCGAACCCGGACTTGGACGAACATCTCAAGGAAATCTTCCATGGGGAGTGGCCCCTTAGTGCTGTACCTCCGCCCTTGTGGAGCTCTTTCCACTCCGAGACCGCCCCAGTTGATAAGGAGGTCTTCTTCAGAGGTCTCAAACACGATGTTCGGAATCTCCGCCATTTACAGACATTTATTGAACGACATGTCAATGGAGGTAATGCTTGCGTACTGTTGCAGGCAAATCACTGCCAGCCTTTTGCACAAGCTCTTGAACGCTGTCATCGACAACATCCAGCCGGGGAGATCCTAGCTGTGCTCAATGCAATCATTTCGAAGCTGGAGAAAATGCGTGTCCCAGTCTCCAAGGACTTATATGTTCTGGGGCTGCACTATGCTTGCCTCGCTTATTCCGCAACTGCAATCGAGCGGCATGTCCAAGGCTACCTTGCTGTAAGCTACAAGCGGTTGGACCTGGATTCCAGTATCTCCCTGGTCGATGCGCTTAATGCCTCTCTCCAATCCTTCGAGCTTAAAGGTAATTTCCCCAACACTAAATTAATGCTCAGTCAAGTGTCTGGAGAGTCCAATGACGGCTCTACTCCGCGCTTCACCTTGGACAGGGTACTTTACTGGGCCGAGCCTCATCGCTCCACAACATTCATGAATCGATATTTTTCATTGCTCGTCAAGCTCGGCAGTACAGACTTAATCCAGAGCATGTGGAACCGCTTCCTCAGGCGTTTATCTTCCAAATCTAAAGAGCACGAATTTCATGTCGCTTATACATGTGCTTTAGCCCTGATCAACAATGGCAATTCCAGTATAGCTGCCAGTTATCTGAGTCAAATCTCGCAACACGCCAATGGTACTCTTCCGTATATCTCGAACTATGAAGACCTGAATGTATTTCTTCAGGAAAGACAGATTTGTGAAGTACTTCCTCGGCTTTCTGGAGAGGTAGAATACATTCAGGTACTTCAGGTTTCGCTCGAGCGTATAGAAAGAAGACTTGGCATAGAGTGGATGCCTAGAAAAGAACTGCACACTAAAATATCGGATCCTGATTGCATTGCATCAGGGCAGCCTCTGCTGACTATGGATGGAGACAGTGCTGGCTATGGAAGCACCGAACGCTTGATTGCTGAGATTCAAGCGCTGGGTCGCTCCAAATCTCTGGCAGATTTTGGAAGGATTGCTCATGCATTAGACGAACACGACGATGGGGAGATCCCCATCGTTCTATCATCTACTGGAAACACCTCACTAGAGTTCTCCTGGATACCTCATCGCTGCCCGATTGAGTTTATGGATTTCTGTCCAGAGAGTACTGATGGTACCATCTTATTGCCACCTTCTACCGTGGGCTTGTTTCGACTGGACCCTCACAATGCCGGATTATCCTCTGCAGATACACGCCCACTGCACCTGATGCAACTGGGTTCTCTGGTCATGCGACCAAAATCGTCCAGTGGTAACCCTTTGGCAAATGCGCTTGAGTGGAAGGAATCAGGATATATTGCAGCCTTGGACCGAACTTCTGGCCAGCTGTTGGCAATCTTTATAGGGAAGTCTCAAGGACCCATCAGCTCGGGTTCCCAGTCACATATCCCTCAACCACCACCTGGTCTCAGTGCAGTGATGGCCATTGAACCATGTTGCGATGGATACGAGCCCCAGCACTGGAACTTTCCTCCTTCGCCAGGCATCGATGTGGGCAGATGCTATGTTGACGTAGATCCATGCCTGGATCTGGTGCCATGAGAATCATCAACATCTAAATACGTACTGCAAGCTAATTGAGTAAGCGATCATGGACCTTCAGTCAAGACGCAGCAGTGGGATTGTACCAGCCAGAATCAGATCCCTGTCTATTAGCCAAGGACAGTGTCAACCTATTTATCAAAAGTCATAGGTTTGGTCACAGGGTAGTGGCGGGCTCACATCCCCACATCCTCACATACCAACAGAGGATCCTGCACCTGGCGTCGGCAATGCACCTAGACTGTCATCTGTGGCTTGAAGCAATCCTTGGCAACATACATCAGGGTGGATTTGACAGTGTGACAACCACCAAAAAGGCAGTCTCTGTGACCGATTGAATGTCAAGGGAGCAAGGGAGCAAATTACCGTCAGAAACCCCCAGCGCCATTTTAACGGATCCCTATTCGGCGGATCAATTCGTGAGATCTGTCCACTCACCTTAGCGCGATCTAGATTGGCATCTGCTTTCGATCTCGGACGATGTCATGCGGCATGCGAACCTACAGCTAAACTGCTATCTGGGACTCTGGTGAGATTCCGAGCTGGTTCGCTGAAGGCTGGAATCTGCTACCCCTTTTTTGGGCTGTTCCCGTCTGTATGGTTCTCTTTTTCCTGTTTGGGTCTTCCTGCATGGTGATCCACGAGATTCAGGGCAAACAGTCCATGCCAGCAACGCAATTTGGAGTGGCTCATGTGAAACCCCGAATCACTAGTTCACTTTTGTGATGAGACTTGATCGCTGTTTGTAGATGCTCTATCCTGAGCTTTCGGGTTGGCTGATCACGATCCTCGATTCGTATCCTCATCTTCTATCTAGTTCGTAGAATTCAGCAGGAAATTCAGTAGAGAGGGATGCAACTATCTACACCGATTCCTATTGAAAGAGAGGTTGTGAGCATTTAAGAACGTCCATGGAAGAACCGTAGACTCTTTAAAAACGTGCCCCGCAACTCACCATGAGTACCACGATCTGCCAAGGCATTCAAAAGAGATATATAAGAAATATTTTCCGAGCCCTTGGGTTGGCCCCCGGAGGCTGTCTACTTGATTGCTGGAAGGTCGGTTCTTCAATGCAGCCTGCTATGAGGCTATTTCCGTTTTGGGCCACCCACGAGGCGAAGTTGGAACCCCTTTCTTCTGCTTTGTCTTCACAACTCACCTTCCTGGAACTGCAGTAAGGAACACGCTGACCTATCGACTACGCCTCTTCCAGAGAAGTGAATATATATTCCCAATAAGGTGATTCAATTCAATAGCGAAGTGATAGTGAGCCGGTGATACAGTGCTATCGACTCTATTTCGAGATGAAGATCGACGCCATCCAGTCATCTCTTCGTTCACTTGATCGCCAAATTGAATCATCACAATTAATTACTCAAATCCATCGACGGACTGCATCCAACGGCGACGATCAAATGAGATTCCCTTACATACCCTATCGAATGGGATTGACTCGCTGTTTGCTCGAGGCGCAGGGTGTCGTCGAGCCCAAAAAACCCCCTAAGCTCAAGCATCGGCAAATCGTGGCGCACTACGGAGTACATTGAAGCATCCTGCGGTATGTCTCTATCAGCTGAATATCGTTCTACAAGACCGGCTTGAAGTGAGGACGACAGTATTCGCCGTGCCGATCCGAAAAGACCCAGGTTTCCCTCTAGGGTTTTTACAGTCCTTACTGAACGCCAATTGTCGCCTGAGTCCTCGACCTTACGTTGATCAGATTATAACACAATCTATCTAGATACATCGCAGCGGATCTGCGAAACTAGGACCCAAGGTTACCCAAGCTTCGCAAAAGTCCATGAAGCTGTGAACACGATGGAGATATTCTACATCCTCGAGTGCAGTAAGATTTTCTCAATCACATACTGCATAGTGTGCAAAACTGCAAATGTATTCTACATCTTAATCTTCGAGGACGGAAAATCATCGTGGTGATGCAATTGTTCACCGCCGCCGATCTCGCTGTGGTCAAAAGCACCAGGATATCATGGGGACTGGTAATTTTTGCTACCTACGGACTACGGAGTATTGCAGTTGCGCCGTCGAACATTAGCAGATACAATCGTGAAAATCGTCGAATGAACTTGGACTGAGCCAAAGATGTGACTTATCAACCTTTTTTATCAGACAAGGCAACCTTGCATGAATTAGTTCGCTTACATTACATACATCCCCTAGACCAAGGAACAGGGACACATGTGAGGGACAGAAAAAATATGGTGGAAATGATCACTCCCAGCACCGCCTCTACAAGATCTGCCTTGTCAATTACAGGGTCTGACCAGTTGATGCAAAGGAACAAAGATGGAGATGATCTATTTCGTCTGAAAAGCTCTCATATCATGCATGTTGTTCTGCTGGGGGGGTGGAAGATGGCACTGATGACAGAGCGATAACCTACTACTCTGACTGTGTCAATGCTTGGACTGGGGATCACAGAGTTAACACTATTGACTTGCTCCAGGACAATTCAAGGTTACTCGCATCAACCTTGCTCTTGCGGCTTGGCTAAGTGGACACACTCCGAAGAACACCTTGCCACCCCTCTGGGATCTGCCAGACTGATTTCCAGGTTTTCGCGGCTGTGGGGAGATCAGTCAAGCTCGTCTTGACTGTCGTTATCCTCAATTTGTGGCACAATGATTCGATCCTCTAAGACCCTCAATGGTCCGTGCTGGGAACACAGGAACGTAGTTCTGGCATTTCGAATCATCCGCTGCATGATGATTTGACAGAATGACTGTTTATAGAACTAACCATGCGCCTAGCATCTAACCCATTGGATATTCTTGTCCGGACACTCATCAGCTGTCGGTTCCGCGACAAATGCACTGATGAGAACCAGACTCTCCGCTGGACTGAGACAACCCTTGAGGCGCCTTTCAGTAGACTGATAGGATTTACTCGGGATATTGCTACATTTTGATTTGATAACACGCATCGGAGTGCAGGGAATTCTGTTCGCAACTTCCGCATCGACTATTGCTCAATGATCAGCGACCCGGCTACTCAACTACGAGTAAGATCAGACCGAGATTGACGGATTTCCCGACCGCTACTCGCTAGTTCTGTCGGAGACATCCACATTCGATATTGATGGGCAGTGTGCACGACCAACTCTTCCTGGATCCTGATATATCAATCGATCACCAGGGCTCCGAGCATTTCTGCAGCTTGGGATCGCGAGGAAACCATAGATTTTTGTGGAGAGACGTCTGTGTTTGCATGACCAATCAATCAATATCCCGTACGTGGCATCCGACGTACCGGTTACACTAAGATCGCTTCTGTCTGCTCCATGATCCATCGTTGACTGCAGCCTTTCCAACTTGCAACTGGGTTTCAGAAGTTCAACCCCCTTGAGCCTTGAGTCGACGCCCACTGGCTCGTTTTTTCTTCTCAGGCAGCCAGGGAATTGACCCAGCAGTTGTTCCCACTGCTGCCGACTTCCGGTTCAACTTGGCTGCACAACCCTGGAATAGCGGCACAGAGCAGAGATATGGGATTAACTCTTCCCATGCTGGCTCCATGAGCCAGTTGAACGTGCGACGAAGCGGCCACCCGAGGGGTGCAGACCAGAAGGATAGTCCGACCCCTATCAATGCGGAGCCCCTGCCTCAAATCAGAGTGCGACGAAGCGGTCAGCCTAGGAACGCAGAAAATTTCCACCTCCCACACTATGGATCTTCGAGTCGCGGCCATGGGCGCAGTTCTATTGGCCCTGGCGCGTATACAAACGAGGCAGGGTCTCGGTAAGTCATTGGCTCCTGTACCCGAAGCTGGAAAGAAAGCAGTTTGAAACTGAACAAGTAATCAGTATTCTCTAACAATGTATCTTTGGTTGGTCTAGTAGCTCTACGGCCTTGCCTAGTCCTGTTCATCCCGAAGTTCCTGGTAGCAACTCCACGACGCCAAAAGGCAGTTCCAATCTGTCAAAGCCCCAGCTTCCAAAGACCCAACGCCAGGGCCCTCCAGGTATACCCCTGGGGTTCGACAAATTGCTCCACCACTCCCCGGAGCCCTCGCCTCCTCCAAGGCGGGCGTCAGCCTCCTCGCGATACCATTTATATATTCGACAGCAGCCCATAGCAGCTCGAGCTTGCGGTGCTGGCGATAGAGACAGGCGGCCTGTTGATCCGCCGCCAATTGTACAGATATTGCTTACGGACTTCAATGCACGATCTCAAGTCGATCTAGACATTCTCCAAGATCCCCGGCTGACTGTGGGCTGTCTTCTTCTCCCGGTGACGGGTCACTCTTGGCCAGGGTCGCCTGAAGCGGATGGAACAGGCCCCAACCGAGAAGAACGCTCTGTCACACAACGAGCCGAGGAAAACGCTCCAGGCCAATCGACACCGTTGCTTTCGGGGAAGGCTTTTGTCTCCCCCTTCTACGTTGACGCAGACCCAGACTCCGAGACGGCACCTCTTCATCCCACTACTCCGGATTTGAAAATCGAGAGAAGATCCAGCTCCACCACCGGATTTGAGTCAGCTCAAGGGCGGATTCCTGCTACTTTCTTTGTCTTTCCTGATCTTTCAATTCGGACCGCCGGTGTCTATCGGTTCCAGTTCCGGCTGATGAACTGGGGGCTTGTAGAGGACACGGGGCAATCCATGCCCATTCTCGCAGAAGTATGGTCAGACCCGTTCCGAGTATACTCGGCGAAGGACTTTCCGGGAATGAGAGATTCGTCGCCTCTCACTGAGGCCCTGAAAGAGCTCGGGGTCGTGGAACTCAAAACCAGGGGGAAGGGGAAGGGGAAGGGAAGAAGGAGATGAGTTACGTCAGAACGTTGGCCTTGCGAAACCAAAATCAATGATACAGGTTTCGGTTGGACATATGGTGCAAGATGGAGTTTTTTTGGGCGTCGGATTCCTGCTTCCACCACTTTGTGGGACTAGCTATATACCATTTCCGCTCAAAAAGCGTGCATTAACGAATTTATGAGAAGTATGTCAGTTGTTATGATAATTGACCACTTACAAATGACTTTTTTTTTTTTCTTCGGTCAATGATAGCTTTTGTTCTATAGTAATCCTTGCGATGGTATACAAATCACACTCTTTTGGTAAACTGGTGGCAGAGATGCACCAAGGCATTCGATGGCAGACCACCTTCCTGAGCATTTATTTAACCTTAATTGTTTTGCTACTGCTAATAGCGACCTGTATACGAAGAGGTACGAACAATTGAGCTGACCGGTGAACAACAACGCACGCAGAGAGCAACACCAGAAACAATATACTTTATGTATGGGTATCAACAGCGTATATAGATATGAAGAAAAGAGCCTTACGAGAAAAGCGATAGATCAAACATCGAGCATTTCAGCAGGTATATCGACTGCATAACGCTGACCGTCCCAGCCCGACTTGATCTTCTGAGCGAGGGGCCCAAGCTCGGGCGATTTCTCAATCTGCTGGAGGAAATGCAGCCCGCGGCTGGCACTGCCGTCTTCCCGCAGGATCACGGAGAGGATCAAGGCCGCGGCGAGGTTGCCGTGGCTGAAGGCCAGCTCGTACCATTCCAGAGCTAGTTTGCGGTATTCCTTGTGCGACTGGGGTCCGAACAATGCGGTGATAGAAGACCAGAGACCCCGAGGCTTGTCCTCTTCTGCGGGCGTCGTTGCCTCGGCGGACGACACAGTCTCCTTGGTGCCACGTCGCGGGTACCGGCCCAGCGAGGTGAGATAGTAGAAGTTGGCGAGTTTGCGGCACGCGTCGGCGTTGCCCGCCGTCGCGGCCTGGCTCATGCATTCCTCGTACGTCTTCAGATCCCCGCGCCGCATGCAAATGGCCGCATATTCGACCAGCGCCTTGGGGTCGAGGTACTTGCGCGCGGCGACCCGCACGACCTCCTCGCGGCCAGCCAGATCGCCCGTCTTCTCCTTCAGCCACGCGTACACCGCCCACGGCGCCTCAATGTTGGCCATTGCGAACCCGCCGTCGCCGGATTCGGGGGTCTTGCTGGGCCGGATGGTGCGCATGACCTGCTCGATGAGCGCGGTTGCCTCTGTGTACCGGCCGCGGCGGCCGAGGACCCGGGCGTGCACGACCATGGCGCGTGGATCGCGGTCGTGTAGGGCGAGGGTTTCGACATTCTCGAGGACCGGGGTGCGGACCGGCGCGACGTCGCCGGTTTGTCTGAGGTAGCGGGAGGCGGTCATGAGGGTTGGGATGCGAGCGCCGGCGCGGGTGGAGGAGGCGAGGACCCATTCCTTGAAGGTTGGGTCGCCGGCGGAGACGATGTAGCCGATTTGGAAGACGAGGTCGACGTCTGTTGAGAGGGCGGTTAGCTAGCTGCTTTCTCTCCTCTCAGGGAATATCCCATGTGGGTGAAAGCTGGATGGGATAGAATCTCACCTGGAGAGATTTCCTGGATCGCGGCCCCGGAAGGGGGCTGCTTGTAGGCTCTGTCTAGCAACTTCCTCGCAATCTCCATGAAAGTCTTCTGGGCGATATTTTTATCCAGAAACCCTTCGCTCAGCGCCTGCATCCATACGAGCGGGCCGTTGGCGTTCAAGTACCTGAGTCGCGCTGCTTGGTCGCCGTGTGCGGGGAGAGTCCACATCGCATCGCTCGAGTATACGGGTCGACTTCGTTGAGCCTGAGCTCGGTCCTGGGCCCGGCGGACCGCTGGAGATCGAGCGGCATAGCGGGAGGTTGAGGTTTGAAATGACCTGGTTGTTTGTGAGGGGACGGCCTTGTAGTTGCGGATGTGAGGGGAGCGATGGTCGGAGACACGGGCGTGTGTTGATATGCAATAAGTGGGGGGTGAGAGGGTAGGCTGGCGAAAAGGCCTTGACCAAGTGCGAAGAGAATTGGACGTTCGTGGAACCGACATGGTAGAAGATGGGTTTCAGTCTGCGGAAGAGTTGATGATTTGGAGATATGGCGGAGAGAAGAAATTTGGAGCTCTGCCAATGTTGCGATACCCGGCGCGCTCTAGAACCCCGGAAGTATACTACTATCGCACGGGCAGAAGGAAGAAGAAGAGTAATTGAAGTAGATATATAGTTTAAGGAGAAGATTCGACCATAGCTAAAACTTGCTTTTATGCCAAAGAAGCAGTTTAACCAACTAACTGCTTGTATTAGTGCCTAAATAGTTTGTTTTATATACAAGACTACCCAGAAACTCCGTAGAGAACCACACCTGCACCCTTCCTCTACTATAGACGGCACTGAACACCCAAACAAGCGAGTACAAAGTATAGGCACTACTGGCCCGAATGTTCGACACCCGCGCAAGTCAAACAACAAAAGCCGTTAGCCCCCTCCTAGAAGGACCTGCAATGGATGTCATCCCAGAATGGAGAATTCCCGCAAATGGAGGCCACGATCGTGGCCCTTGGGTTTTTGTAAACATTCGCATAATACTTTGGAACAACTGATGTGAGGGGAGCGGAGTTGAGTGAAGAAAAAAGAAGCCGTACTATCAGGAATCCCTTTCTTGTATATTGGCTTGGCCATATATCGGTCTTTCTCATCTAACGGCAGAAGATCGAAGTAAATGCCAATAGTTCGCCCTTCAGGAAGTAATCTTTGCCACCTGCTTCCTGCTCAGTGCCAAATGCGTTCGAGCGGTCTCGAATGATGCAGCTCCAGTGGGAAAACACCTACTACTTTGCTTGTCTGACGGTGTGTTGATGTGGATGCTGATATTGAAGATGAAGATGGAGGTGAGAAACGGAAGGAGGAGAGTATCAGGCGTGCGACTTACTCGTGGGAAAAGTGAATATTGACAGATAATGTGGAATGAGGGAGATTTCCCCAGCCTATACAGCAATAATAATACATTTAAGAATCCCATCTATCGCCGGTATCTAAGACAACAACGCATAGGCTCATAGTCAACATACAGGACCGACGAGAAAGAGAAACTGTCCTTCCATCTTGTATCCAGATTGTCCAAATCAAACAGTTGATAATGTACATTTGCCGCCTTTTTCCCGCTTTCCAGCTGAATCAGAAAACCTTGTGGAGATATATGACGGAGGAATAAAACACACAAAGAAGAGGCGGGGCGCGAGACATAAACTCCAGCAGGATGATGCAGTCCAACCAACAGCGTACAGATCCGTTACAAGTCCCTCCTTCCGCTATCACTCATTCACCAGAGCAGATAGAAGAGAAAAGAGGAAATGGTCTGGCCTGAATTTAAAGCAAGAAATATTCCATCTGACACAGACAAACCGACCCCCATCGGTTGATTTACTCCATGATGACTTTGCCGCCGACGGCCTTGAGGGTCTCGATGATCTTCTCGGCCTCTTCCTTGGGAACCGACTCCTTCATGACCTTGGGTACCGACTCGACGAACTTCTTGCTGTCAACGAGGGAGAGGCCGAGCAGACCCTTGATCTCCTTGATGACCTTGGCTTTGGAGGCGGCGTCCACGGCCTCAAGCTTCAGGTTGAAAAGAGTCTTTTCCTGAACGGCGGGGGCGGCCTCTTCTTCTTCAACGGGGGCAGCGGCACCGGCTCCAGGGCCGGCAGCCATGGCGAAACCGCCCATGGGGAGGTCGGGGATGTTCAGGCGGGACTGCAAAAAAAAAGCCAATCGTCAGTATTGAAGCCACTTTTCAAATCACTGTCATGCTCGCAGCAGTCCTCAATCAACAATTGTCGAGTTGTGACAAAAAAGGATGGTGAACTGATGTGCGACATGCACCGGGAGTTCTTTCATATAAGGGACATCACAAACCTTCAAGCTGGCAACAAGATCCGCCGTCTCCAGAAGCGTCAATTGGCTGATCTGGTCGACAATCTGGGTAATCTTGGGGTTGGCAGGAGCAGCAGCCTGCGCTTCGGTCGTCTGCCACCTCCGGCTGGGTGTCCGCTGGGTCAGATATGTGGTGGAAGAAATGCGAACGGAGGGCCGGGCAAGGTATCTGCAGCAGCGAGCTGCAATCTGCGAAGAGAGCGACATTATGAACCGCGAGATTGACTGTCGAAATGGGACGGACGGAGGGGAGCGAGATGGACAGGGACGGTGGAATGCCTTGATAAACGCGATCAACCGATGCTCATGAAAAAGAAAGTCGAGCTTCGGCCCGGAAAATCCAGACTCATCACGTGATACACCTCCTTGATGATGGATACGATAACGACAAGAGCACGTCTCTCTATAACTGATAATGTACTTAGAAGAAAAGAAGAAGAAGAAAAAAAATATCGAGCAGACATGATAATTCTGAATATAGATGATTATGGTTTTATCAAATTTGGTTTCGACCGAGTTCATATCAGTAGGATTACCGCCAGCTCTCGCAGACCTCAATACACACTCTCCTAAAACTTCAATCAATGGACTTTTCATAAGATCGTGTCTCTAATGGCATTCTGCAATATGATCCCATTATAAACAAAGCATTCGTCATATTACTGCAACATTTAATCCTCATCCCAGTTGGGGTTGGGACCCGGCGGCTTGGGTCCGCCTGCCTGTCGGGCAACAATGATCTGATCAACACTGAGAACTGTCCGGGCAGACTCGCTAGCGAGGCGGATAGCCCAGCTCTTAGATGCCATCAGATCCAGAATGCCTTCGTCGACGGCATCCAAAGTGCCGGTCGAGGAGCCGGCCTCCAGATCAACACCGGTAGTCCAGTAGGGCTCTTCCTCCTCAGAGCTGCCTTCTTCCGATTCCTCCTCCGACTCGGCACCTGTGTTTGTGCGGTGGTGAGCTGTGTAGAGACGAGAGAGAACCTCGGTGGCATCTAAGCCGGCGGATTCCGCAAGAGTACGGGGGATGACCTCAAAGGCTTCAGCGTACTTGCGAATGGCGTACTGCGGCAACCCCGGGGTCTTGTCAGCAAACGCAGAGATCTTCTCCACGAGCTGGATCTCAGTAGCGCCAGCGCCAGGAACAAGACGGGGGTCTTTGGTGATGGCCTTGACGGCATTGACACCGTCGTCGATGGCACGCTCGACGTCGTCGAGGTGGTTTTGAGTCGCTCCACGCAGGACGATAGTAGCGGTCCGGGTGACGGTGTTGGCATCTTCTTGGCGGAAAACGGTCACGCGGTCACCTCCAATCTCCGTAGTCTCAACGATATCAACGCTACCCATCTCGTCGGGCATCGGGGCACCCAGACGAGCAAGCGGCGTAGCACCGACAACACGGCACAGCCGGCGCAGCTCGAATTTAGAGAGAATCTTGATCACGAGGATGTTGAACCGGTTGAGGTAGTGCAAAGCCAGATCACCGACAGAGGAGCCAGCAACGACAACGCGAAGGCCGGAGTCATAGAGCTCCTTGATAGCGGCCTCCAGGCGGTCCTCCTCGCCCTTCGAGAAGTCGAGCATCTCTTGAGCGTTCTTCAAGAGCACAGTGCCCTTGGTTTCGGTCTGGGAGATATCAATGGGGCAGCTGAACACGCCGACCTTGGCCTTGCGGGCCTTCTTGATGGTACCATCCGGCTCTCTGCCGAAGACCATACCCTTGATCACGCGCGATTGTTCCAAGCTACCACCCATGATCTTCACCACACGGACGTTATCGACATTAAAGTTGACGGGGTTCTTGGGTAGAACGGCGAGAACTGCCTCCGCGACTAATGATGCCAAGAGGTCCTCTGTTCCGGACTGTTTGCTCGCGACCACTGTACGGAGAGCCTTGCTGAGTTCCGTCTGAGAGCGCATTTCCTTCAAGCGATCGACCTCGAGTTCTGAAACAATCGGAATATGATCAGTAAATGAAGGCACGCACCCGCAAGGAGACAATCGATGTATAGCCCCTGAGCATGCGGCGAGGAATGGATAAATCAACTCTCTCACCTTCTAGTACCTTCAAAGCATAATTCTGTGCCTTCTCGTAACCCTGGGTAATATCACTAGTCTTCAATCCCATCCGCAGCAATTCCTCGGCCTTCTTCAACAACTCTCCCGCCAGGATGATCACCAGGTTAGTACCATCGCCCACCTCCGCATCCTGCTGCTGACTGGCCATGACAAGGAGCTTAGCGGCAGGGTGCACGACATCCAGCTCGCGGAGAATGGTAGCGGCGTCCGACGTCAGGACCATTTTCTGCAGGTGGTTGATCACGATCTTGTTGCGGCCGTAGGGACCAAGCGACGTCTGGACCGTCTTGGAGATGGCCTGGCAGGCCTCGATGTTACGGATGACGGCGCCATCTTCTGCGTCGTGACTATAATGCCCGTCAATTAGTTACAGGAGCCCGTACGAGACACTTGATATAATCCCAGAATCTTCATTTCCCCTTTTGATTCGTCATGCGCACCCGTTTCATGGGACGTCCACAAATCGAACTCGCTTACCTCTGATATCCGGGCTTGAAAAGACCCGCCTGGCTAGGTCCAGGCATAGACAGCGACATGATGACTGAAACTACCCCTCAGGACAAAAAGGTAGATAAGAAGGGAAGAAGAAGACAAAGAAGTGCTGTTGGACAAGCTGCTTGCTGTTCTGGGATTTTTTGATGGAGCTTTCGAGACGGTCTGGCGGCGGGCGGGTGTTTGGTTAGTTTGCATCTGGAGGGGCTAGGGCATTTCCATTTCGGGATGTCTACCAAGGCATCCCGCCCGCATATTACTTATGAATGAGTACTCTCCTATGGCATAATTGAGATTATCATATCTTGTTTTACATAGTCGTAACCTCATGACTACAGACAGATTCATGGTCTGCGATACAAAAAAGGTCTTTCTGTTGTCAACTCATGCTTACCAACCATAGTAGTCATTGGAAGCTTGGCGGAAGCCAGGCACTATCATAATCATTTTAGCTAAGTGGCATTCATAAAGGAGAGAGCCTGGGAGTTGCTTACTGTAGCTGCCGAGAGTATTGCATCCACTATCTTCATAGAGAATCTCGGCCTTGTTCAGCCTGCAATATGGTTAGAGTATTGCAGAGCAGTTTGCTCAAGCTAGGAAGCTTACCATCCTCGGATTGCCTCCATGCGGTTGTAGCTCTGTGAGGTATGTCAGTAAATTCTATGTTGGGAATGAACCACGGCATACCGATGGATGTGTTGAGAGGAATTGAGGTGGTGATTGTTCCTCTGCTTTCTGCATACGGGCCCAACTGTAATATTGTCAGTGCTGTAGGCTAATGTCGACAGTACTGCCGTAAAATATCACGTTGGGATCAGCATACAGTCCAACAGCAGCTTCTGGATCGAAGCAAGCTTTCGCCATCATCACTGGGTTGGTTAGCATTGTGGAATCAGGGCTAGCAAATCAGACATACTCAAACCGATGTTATCTGCTTCAGCCTGTTCAATCATTAACTTATGAACATACAGTAGACCGTCCACAAAGCTTACCTCTTGCGTTCGCGAATTGGGCAAGCTGTACATCAGATTAAGCAGCAGCGAAGGAATCTGTCCCGAGATGTCAAAGAGCAGGGATATAAGGAACACCGAGCCGACTGTGATGAGGTTGTTACTCATACGTTCCGCAGGATGATGGGCGACCACATGAGCGATTTCGTGGCCCAGCACTGCCGCCAATCCATCTTCATCTTTACAGATAGGTAGGATGCCCGTGTAGACGAAGACTTTCCCGCTATATATGCAGTTAGCCGGTTGACCGCAAAACCGGGTACCACCGTGAGAATTGCATACCCTGGAAGAACGAAAGCGTTGACCATGTCATCATCCTTGATCACATGGACTCTCCAATCGGCATCCTCAATTGGTGCCTGGGGTATCAACCTACGAAGAACGCGGTTCACCGTCATCGTAAGCGGATGGTTCTCCGGGAGGATCTTTCCTCGAGTCGATCTCAGAACCTCTTCATAGCTCTCTTTGCCCATATTGATCTCCTGCTGGTGGGAGATACAATTGAACCGCCGGCGACCGGTCATCTAAGCAAGACAGAGAGTCAGGGAAAGCGCAAGACTAGAGCCCAACGTATGCATTCCGAGCTCCTTGTTCCGAAGCCTTATCGCGGAAGTCGATGATCACCGCAATTCGGCCTGTGTAACCTTGAACCAGCAATCGAAGATGGGAGCTTTTCTCACCTCTACGGTTTCAACATTGTGGGTGTACACGCCGCCGATCACGACGCCTATGATGACAAAGTGGTATGGCTTCGCGTTTCGCAGGAATCGCTGTAAAAGCGACTCACGCCTTGGGCCATTAAATCGCTGGTATCTGGCATTGCCGAATCGTAGCGTGGCAGAGGTGGAGAAGGATCGATTTGGGAAGCACAATGAGGCTCTTGCTGAGAACTTGAGCGTCGTGAAGGGGGGACACGGCTGTCGGAATGTTCGGCCGGGTGAGAAGGCGGGTTCGAGTATAGAGGATGCGATGCGCGGTATGGGGTACGATGAAGATGTAGCCGGGGCGCTGCGGACAAGAGCGCGGGCTATCGGTAAGCGGAACATAGCGACAGTAACAGCATGCTACAGCATGCTAAAGACGTATGCAATCCAATTCTGCAAGGGAGAGATAGAGAGCTGTAATTCGGCGGGGATGTGCTGGAACAGCGGGCAGTCGGAGCTATCCAGGGCATATTCAGTGGAGGATCGTCCAGTAGTCATCCACTGTAAGCCTTAAACTTGTTGCATGTGACAAGGCTCCAGGCCCGCAACACACCAGCTCAACATCTCACTCCTTCAGCATCCAACATCTACGGCCATTTATTCGATTCTAATCGAATTGTTTGAGCCCGGGAATTATTTGTACTACTAACTCGATATCTGCAACAATATGTACTTTCTGAATCTTAACAACCTAACAGCAGCGAACATCTAGAACCTTACGTCATGATATATATATATATATATATTGACCATTGACTCGACGAGGGGTTATGTGCTTGACGATAAGTAACCTGCTAGAGATTGAAGGATGGATGAAGAGGCTAAAGCTAATTAACAACTCTAGATCACTCGAGACAAGCAATCCCATGCCTGGCTTACTGCTTGCCAGGAAGAACGTGACGTTAGATGCGCCTGCAATAGCGGCCGCAGCAAAATTGTTCTCGAATCTTTCCAGTGGTGGAACCATCGAGATATGGATTTATCTTAGCAAGATATATAGGATATTAGTCTACTTACCAGATACCTTCATGCATGATGTCTGGACTCTGGAGTACTGGGTGAGCTGGGCATCCCTATACTTAGATCAACATTCCACAGATTGGACATCTACGAAACAGATCCAGACTCCAACTCAGAAGGCACCGTGTGAAGCTGTCTTGAGGTATGGCTCTCAGCCAACAGGATACGGGTCATCCTCCGGCCATTAAAAGATCCAGCCACAATTTCTCTACCCTGATCGAGAACCGGTCAACCAACGGATGAAGCATGAATTTCAGCATCTGAAACAGCAGAATCCGGAATATCCTCATGAGCATCGACATAAATAGGACTAGTTACTTCTGATTTGATCATGCTCAGCCCGGGGGACTTGCCTTCTGATCAGAGCGCTTAGGGATTCAAGCAGAGAAGCATCGTGGCCCAGGACGAAGCATGGAGGAAGCGCTGAGGATCCCTCTGGCGCTTAACGACATAGATCGAGCCTCGAACGGGGGATTCTGGAAAGAATCCTCACGTTCTAGGGGGAAGGGGATAAGCATCTGGAGAGCAGATGATCGCACATGGCTAATTATGGATGCAAGGCAACGGCCGCAACACAGTGCTAAGGTTTGAGCTATGATTGTAACCTACCCTACATTGAAGCGAAGCATCTTGATCTCCGAGAAGATCGAGCGTAGCAGATTATCAATCCATTCGTTATTGTCAACAGTTGTCTCCTTCGCTACTGTGTTGGGTTGATCAAAGCGAATCATACAGCGTCTCGTAGACTGAAGACTTGACGCCCCAGGACATCGATACTGACAAGAATGCGGCTTTTTTTGCATCCTCTGCCTATCAACCTGATCGTCCGATGCGCGGAGAAACACCCTACGACCATTACTATGTCCGCTCCAACACCGAGATACGGAGTAAGCAACAGAATACAGGTTAACTAACCGCCAATTTCCCTCTGTCGAACTCTATTCTGCTATAAATATCAACCAGCTGAATGGATTAACCGCACTGAAGAGGAAATGCGTGATATCAAGGATAATTGAGAAGTCAAGCAGGTATTTTTCGGGGTTGAGAGGTAAATGACCGGACGTGGTTAGTGTTAATGTGACTTGGTTGCAGCAGGCCGCATATGAAGATGAAGATCTTGACAGTCAGTATGTACAGAGTAGAGAGATAGTAAGTACCTATCGGGACTATCAGGCTATTTCCGGTGGGCCGATGTTGATACTCGAATGTCTTCTTAATTTACAGTAGATGAGCTCTCATAAGCACATGCAGTAGATATAACAGTACTCCTTCTCCCCAACAGAATCGAAGGTGAATTTGATGATTGTCGCTCAGGAATTGCTGAGTCCAACACTTTGTGAGAACCGAGAGATGCGTAGACTAGATACTCCGCGGTGCGCTGTGTACATGTCACAACTTGGCTTGTGCGTCCGACCAGGATCCTGCAGCAGCGTCAACTAGGGATTGTACGCTATGATTGGCCCAGTCCAGTATATTGGCGTTCGTAGCATTGCGCTAAGGTTCTCCAACGAAGATGTGCAGCTGCAGGAATGTGATAAGAAACTTCACAAGCGGGTGACACTTGGGGGACTCTGAGAGCGAAGGTAGGATGAGCTCGGAAATGAAGGAAGTGAGCTGGTCTATGGCTATCTTTGTGTGAAGCGAGAAATAGGAGGTCACTCTTCCTTCCAGTTAGATAGGCGAGAGACCGTCAACTTCTGTACGACAAAGAGAACCAAGAATGAGAAGTCTACTAAGGGTACAATGTACAATGTAAGTGAGTACAAGAAGATTGTTTGCGTGATTGGGTTGACGGTGTGACTCGAGATCGAGTGTGCAGACCAGCCACAAGTCACTTCATCCTTCGAGTGTTAGTGAACAATCCTCCGGTGCTCCAACCACTTGGATTGTTGGTGTTGTTGGGCAGGTATTATTATTGCTCACTAATTAAGACTTGTGATGGACAGGGATCACGAGTTGATGACTTGATGATAACTTGATATTAATAGCAATTGATACGGAAATGGCTGCAATGCAATGCAATGAATGGGTGACAGATGATATGGACTTGGGAGAGTTTAGTCACTTTTTGGTGCAGACTGCAGACTGCAGCAGATGTGATAAAGAGTAATTAACCTGCATTTACCCTTCTTGCGCAGCGGCTAATTGTTGCTAATTAAGGAGCTGTTTCCCACCTATCATCCAATGAAACTGCTCCAATCCTCTCTCCACCTGGCACGGTTGGCTGCGGGTTTCCCGCTCTGCACAACACAACTCTGATGGCGGCCACTACCTGATCACATCTCCAGCCAATCGATACCGCAGAAGGGAAGCTTGGCTCATAATCCGCTAAAGATAGCCCCGCAAAGCTTCCAACTGGTCATTCTGCCAGAGGTTCAGAGCACTTCACCTACTAACAGACTACTGTCCTTGGGAGCGTTTATTGGCCAGACGGACCAGATGACCCTGGTCTGGACTACTGCCAGTCCTGCCACTAGATATCAGTGACGGGACCATGCTAATCTTCCTTCGGAAGACCAGCAGAATCGAATCACCTCATCGAGGGGCTTTCATTGGTGATTGTCGCTCTATCGGTTGGCCCTGTCAGTTAGTTAGTTGAGATGGAGTGACTCTGATCACTCCATCTCCTCAACGAGCCTAGACTGGAATACGATGAATGGCTATGGATGACTGCCATCACATTTTCCTAAACTGGTAAACACTAAACCCTAAGTTCATGAGGGTGGACGAGTCCGTATCATTGGCCGGTCCAGTTTAATTACTCTCAACTTACACAGGTCACGGAGGGAGAATGGGACATGTTCTCCTTTCCCACCGAAGCAGTCGCACAGTATCTATCTACAGAGTACAGCGTCCGAAGCATGGATGGACAGCCTGGGCCGTACCTGCTTCTGTCCTCCCCCCTCCCAAGCAGCGCTCCAATGTAATCGGGCAAAACAACATATCCCCGGCAGAAAAAAGCAAAAAGCAAAGAGCAGAAGCAGACTGGAGTCATGATATTAACCTGCCTAAGAGTTGCACCAATTTTTCCTGCTACCAGCATGGATTGATGGGGGCACAGACCGTGAGAGGAGTCGCAGTCCAATCAATCCCCCAGCCATGAAGCCAGAGTCCTGCATGGGCGCCAAAGTCCCAGGCAACAAATGTCCAGATTTGACTATCGCAAATTGTCCAAAATTAGCCATCAGGGCCCTTGTCCGTGCAGGTCTATTCTCACCATTTCTCCCGCTAATTCCTGTTCGTCCCCTGCTAGTGTCCTGCGCCGGGGATGATCTCCCCTGCCATCCTCTGCCCCCCGCTCACTGTGAGTCTTCGCTCTCTGCAAATCCTTCCGCCGTGCTCGGCTATCTGAGCTGAGTCGAAAATAGAAACATCATGGCGTGCCTGTCCGATGGGTTCCTGGGTTTTAAAGATACCTCAATCCCGCAGACTCATCGCCGAATGTTCTATAGTTGCTTCACCTCACCAGAGTTATCCCATCGCCTTGTCCTTTGCTTTTACCGCGCCTTTCCTTTCTTTTATATCTAATATAGATAGCAAAGGCTGCTGGTTCGGCTTTGCGACTTAATACTTCGCTCTCCACTTATACCCAGCAGGACTCCAGTCTTGTACCTCGTGCCAGACCAAAAACAATCAATCGATTCATCCAGATTGCGCCCTTTTCATATCCACATACAAAATGCCGGCCGCATCGAAAAAGAAGTCGTCAGCGACACCCAACACCGCCAAGGTGATCGATTCCCAGTCGTCCTCGTCCGGTGAAGGAGCGTCCGTGGGAACGCCCGAGAAGATGATCAAGTTGCACAAGCGTTCGCGTTCTGGTGGGTTACTACTCCATTGACCTCGACACGGTCCTCCGGGTTTTAGCCTTTTTTTTTTTTTTTTTTTTTTTTTTGGAATGGTTGTCTCATGGTAAACTCAGGTTGTTTCACATGTCGTCTGCGCCGAAAGAAGTGTGACGAGAAGCACCCGTCTTGCGGTGCTTGCAGCAATCTCTGTGTCAAATGCGAATACAAGCGGCCCATCTGGTGGGGAAATGCTGAACAGAGGCGGATCCAGAAGGAGCGCATCAAGAACAAGATCAAGCAGACCAAGATGAACGAGCGCAATGGGTCGACTACTGGTAGGACTACTTCTCTTGCTTTCTCTTCTCGCATTCTTACCAACCATCGGCGTCCTTCTTAGATCCGTTAGCCCGCAGTCGCAATATGCCTGCCACCTCGCCACTATCCCCCGTGTTCGAGTTCAATCGCCCGGGCTATACAGAGACCTACGATCTATTTTCATCACACTTGCCAACACCTGGTATCAGCCAACAGACGTATGCGCCTTATGCTCCCTATGAGATTGATGTCAAGACAGAACGACAGACATTCATCAACGATGCACCGCTGCGTCACGACTCATCTATCTCGACTTTCAGCACCTTTGCTGCTCCCCAGCTGAATGCGCCGCTTCCCACATTTCCCGGAGAAGAATGGTTTCAAGACGAGTACTTCCCACAGACCTCGGCCCTTCCAGGTATCGACCCTGCGCTTTGCGAACAGAGCATCGGACAAACGTACACCTTATTGCAGTCGAACATCCCCGTCAGTGATCATGACCGGCCGCTCCTGGACCACTTCATCCACAATGTCTTGCGCATCATCTTCCCGGTGGTGGAGGCTCACCAGCGCGGCCACACGAGAGCCCAAGCCATTCTGCGCGCCCTGGAGACCAACAAGTGCTACCTTCACTGCTGTCTTAGCGTTGCCGCCATTCACCTCAAGACCACGGAAGGAATAGTGGGTGAGCAGATCGATCACGACATCATGCGCCATCGTTTCGAAGCCGTTTCTCACCTGTGCCAGGCTCTTGGCGAAGATATCAACCATGAAGAGATTCTGGATGCGACCCTGGCCATGATCTTCTTCCACTGCTCCGTGGGTCCGGCGGACGACTATCTCCCTGATATTCCTTGGTTTGATCACTTTCAAGCAGCATCGAACCTTGTGAACAGGCTCGGCCTCCCGACAGCAGTTCCGGACGGCAACCCGTACATCGCCCCTCCCTTCAGCATGACACTCACCTCTTGGATCGACATCCTCGGCTCGACCATGGAAGGGAAGACGCCACAATTCGCGCACACCTACCGTTCAAAGCATCTGAGCGGCTCGTCATCCGGCCTGCGGGAGCTCATGGGGTGCGACGACCGGGTCATGTATCTCATCTCCGAGATCGCCTGCCTGGATGCCTTGAAAAATGAAGGCCGCGTCGACGCGATGGCGGTCTGTTCGCACGTCTCGGCTCTCGGACGACAACTGGAATTTACCGAACCTGCAGATCGAACGCTGGAGCACCCATACTCACCCACCACAGGAGCGATTCGCCCCGATGTCCTCTCCAAGAACATCACCACGGTCTTCCGCATCGCCGCGAGAATCTACCTATGCAGTCTGGTCCCTGGGTTTGACCGCAACCAGCCCAGCAACCTCAATCTGGTCGCCGCAGTCGCCGACACTCTGAACTACATCCCCTCGGGCCCCAACGGCTTCGACCGCTCTCTGGTATGGCCTCTTTTGATTACCGGAGCGTTCTCCGCACCCACAAGTCCATTCCGAGCAGTCCTTGCAGAGCGCGCTGCGCTGCTGGGTGATCACGCCGACTTGGGCAGCTTCGGCCGCATGTACCGCTTGCTGCAGGAGGTTTGGAGGCTCACGGACGATCATCCGACGGAGAATCCCTACATTCCGGAAGAGACCTCATCCTCGTCATCAACAACATCGTCATCGGGTAGCCCGGTTCCCAAGGTCGAGAGATCAGCATCCCCGGAATCCAGCGGTGCTGGGCTAGGCATGAGAGAGATTAAGAAACAGCAGGTCCACTGGCGGGACGTGATGCAGCGCAATGGCTGGCACCATCTGCTGATCTAATTGAAAATAGAAAAAAACAAGAAGCAAAAAAAAAGACCATTTCATTTCTTGACCTACTTCGTTTTCTTTTTCCTTTTTTTTTTCTTCTCTACTTCTATTCTTGCATGGGGTTGCATCTCATGATGAGCTGAAGATCCCTTGATGGGACTCATGCTTTTTGGTTACCCAACTTGGGGATTCCGGACTACACTTGATGCAGGGAAATGGGGGATCGTCACACCGATGCTCGTCCGGTGCTGGACTCCGAAGCAAAGTATTCTCATCGGTTCGCGTGGTGGTGTCTCCTTGAGAGGAAAGGAACCAAGTGTTTCTTCTTCCATTTCTGGAGAGTGTTAGTTTCGGCTTTGGTTCCATGGAGTCTCCTATTCCACTCTCTTCTCTTTACTCACAGTTGCTGCGGAGATCCCTCTGCAGGGCAGGCGGGAGCTCCAGCATGCACGCATTTTCCCACCAGGCAACGTGGGCATTGGACATGCGGGATAATTCCAGAGGCGCAATTATATACAGTCATTTCCAGTCCGTTGGAGCACATGGATGTGGAGTCTGGTGTTGTTGTTTGCTGTTGTTGTTTGCTGTTGTTGATGATTCTTGTGATGGGAATGATATCTATTGACGATATGATTCTGGTGCTGATATTGTGTGACGATTTGGATGATTTTGTTGGTTTTGCTTTGGTTCTTGTTTGCGTGCAGCTATCACTACCTTACCTATATTCCCCCCCACCCAGTTTGTGGTTCTTGGGATGAGTCAATGCAGATTTCTGGAGTTGGCGAGTATACATGTCCTTTGATTGTATTGTGTAGGACTATCTTAAGCGTTCTTGTGGCTCGCATAGTAGAAGTGTTTCTTAGAAGCAGTAATGATCTTGTTGCCTTTCAATTGACGCACTCCACATGCTCGAGTCTATCAATCCCCCCTCCGGCCTCCAGGCAGAATCCTGTCCAGGCATCGTGATATCTTACATCGGTTGACACTTCCTCATCTCATCAGATCTACAGGTGCTTCACGAATCCCCATCCACCCCATCCTCGGTATACCTTACCCGTTCTCACCTCCACAGAAAAGCCTCATAGAATGAGCACACTGCATAGCTAGAAACCAACAGGGTGGTACTAGATTCCCCGCGAAGAACGAATCCAGGAAACATTCCGCAGGAATCATACAAACCCGTCGATTCGTCGAGACTTGGCCTTTGCAAGATTATCAGAGGAAGCCGTTCATGCTTAACAGCATTTGCGATGGTAGTTGCCAGACAGCCTGTGGATGACTCTACTACATGAGCGGAGGGAGAATGGCCGGCGCAAGGAAGGTGGGGGGAAGAGAGGAAGAGGGCGCCGATGGAGTAGCTCGCTTGGAACAGTCATATGTCTGATACAGCAAGCCCCGCGTTGACAAAACGAGGATATAGCATCTGGCACCGTTCTGTGTATGCATACGTGCAGTTGTCTTTGACTCTATGGATGTGCTTCTGGTTGTAGGTTGGGATGTTGCAGACTATCTGAAACGGATTGATACCTTGCAGGGGGGGCCAGTGTGCGAAATTCAAACGATTCCTGTGGTTGTCATGATCCTTCAGGATGGTCACGCTCACCGGATCCCTGGATAATGCCGGGGTGATCCTGCCGAAGTCGTCTCCGCAACAGAGATGCTTACCAGCCAGCCAAGTCAGTAGATCCCTTCAATGGCAGACGGATTGACACCAGCGCGAGGGAGCGTCCCTGGGTCCTCGACCGTCGCCGTCGTGAGTCAAACTGCCCGTCAACCGCGCGTGCTGCTCTGCGCTTCTCTTCTGATGCAGAATAAGGGCGTCTGGGATGAACGTCTCGTCTGTTTCTGACGCAGCGGTTCCCTCCTAAGCTCCTTAGCAAAATGTAAATATAGCAAATCTGCACCACCGAGCTGCGCAGCCAGGGACAACTCTGGTCCAACCACACAGTCTCAACATTGAGTCCATCAAGCTTGAAAGCGTCAAGCATGATTTTATTTCCCTAGCGGCGAGCCCCCCGCGCCCTCCCCCCCTCCCGAAGAGGTAGACAATAGACACACCACATGTAAACAAACATATCGGCTATCGAATCAACGCATTTCTGCACGGAGTATTGCGACACACTCATCGGCGCCAAGCACGTAGCAGCGTAGAAAGACGCCCGCATCCTGCAGTTATTCTCCGCAGCAGACGGGGGGATAGAGCTCGCGCCGGGGCTATCTTCAAGCTGGCAGAGCTTGCCTGAAGAAGAAGAGGAAAAAAAAAAGGTGGTGAAGAAACTCGGAAGCGCCGATCTGATCCACAGCCGCCCTGTAGCTCCTGGGGGGAAGAAAGAGGGGGGGGAAATGCGAGCGAATGGGGGAGAAGGAGAGAGGAGAGGGGTCATGCAGGCTTTGTTATCTGCACTCTGCAGTTCTGCACAAGTCAAGCAGGATGAGGGATTTCCGCCACGGAGGATCAAGCCGACCTGTCAAGCGGATGTGAGTGGGCAACTCTGCTGACCCTGTTGGGCATGTCATGTTGCTGGGCGAGCCGCCACCAGGCCTGAATGGGACCCTGTGCGCGTTAACGCTCGACGAACCAGGGAGGGCAGGTGGACAGCGAATCCCAGGGAGGGGTTCTCTATGGGTTGGGGAGCGCGAGACGAGAGGAAGCGTCTCCAGGTCGACAGAAGGGGGCCGTGGATGTTGTTGCGGGTAGATCTTGAGTCGAAACTGGTCCGAGGCTTGATTCAGATAGCGCGCGACAATGCGGAGGATGCGCCCAGCATGGACCGGGTTTGGGCATGGCGTCAATATTACGATGAGGGGGAGAGACATTCTATATAAGAGAAAGCAATGGAGCCGATTCTATTCGGGAAAAATCTTGTTCACGATCGTCTTTCCCATCACTGTTGCTCTTGGGTTGTGAGGTATAGTCAGGTCTTGCGTGGTAGCAGTGAAACGAACCCCTCCCTCTTCTTCCTGTCCTCTGCATTCCTCATCCTCCGGACTTTGGAATTCGCCATCCTCGTGGGACATAGCCCTCTCTACCTGACCTCCTCCATATCAAACAGTGAGTATATCTCCCAAGTGTCAATATCGCGCTGTGATTCGCAGCCGACGTGTTGCGTTGTCGCAGTCTCACAGACTTGCAGCCGCGCACTTCGGGCGGAGGATGCCGGGCTAGGCTGTTCTGGGCTTAGCGTGTGATGTACTGACACGGTCTTGTTACAGCCATCGTCTGTATCGTACGGATACGCCCGTCAAACGTCATTACCGCGTATCGTACCGGTAATCCGTCTGCCTCTCGAGCGCTGTAGATAAATCAATCCTCGTCCATCTTTCGCTCCTCTCCCACATCCTTCGGTGCTGTCGCTGCAGGCCAGTCAGAGATCAAAAGGAAAAGCATATCCTCCTCTGGATCTCCCTCTGCTTTCTCCTACAAATTTTTTTTGGTGTTGACTATACCACCAAGCTTTGCGTTGCTTGATATTGGTCGTTGGGTTCTCTCACGCCTAGCCGCCTTGACCAGATATCTACTCTACTCTATATCTACTTCCACGCTCGACTCTCCAGACGCGACTGGGTGATTTTGCTTGACAGAACCTTGGACCCGTGATATCACGTTTGGAAATACTCGCCAGAGCGTGACTCTTTCAAAATGCCGTCCGTGAAGCCAATACTTCACCCATTGAAGACCCCCAAGACCACAAAGTTCCCTTCGGAACTCCATAATGAGTCGTCATCAAGCCTTTCAGACGGTGTGAAACAAGAGGATGGCATCTCCACACCGATCACGCCCCCTGCGGCCTACACCGAATTCCTCAAGGCGTTCACACCCGTCTTCTCGAGCCCCGCCAGTGCGGGGGTGAGCTTCTCAGGCTATCATTTTGACAGAGCTGCCTACTCGCCAACATCACAGCCGGCCAGCGCAATCAGCGGCTCCTTTGTCTTCAACGATCCCGTGCGGTCTGCCACCGCGTCGCTTCCACCACCCACGCCCTTCACGGCACCAGTCTCGGGGCCGAGAAGAGACCCAACGAGTCTAAGACGCTTGCGCATACCCCAAACACTGCGGTATTCGCCAACAACAGAGTCCCCTCGCAGTGCGACGACCATGCGCTCTCCCTACTCACCGTCGGATTGGAAACTGCGCTATTTTGATGCGCCGCGGAGCGCGAGCGGCAGAGTCAGCGTGCGCCATGTGGTGACTCGCACTGTGACCTATAAGAGGACGCAGCTCGAAGCCCCGCCGAAGGGGAAGCGAAGGAAGTGTCAGGAGGACAAAGAGTCTTGAGAGCTGGCATCCTTGCTTATGGTTACTTGGGTCTAATTGGGGAATGGTCGGGTCATTTAGCGTAAGGGCTTGGTGTTGGGGAGTCTGGCGAAGCACATGGTCTTCGAACTTCATATGGTGCAAATTTACTATGTTGAACTTCTCAATGGGATAATAATATGACACTGTCTATTGCATATACGCTGCACAGTAATCAGGCATACCCCGTTATCTTTGATGTAGTAGTGTAACCTTCGTACTTGGTATCGCGGACCCTCCCTCCATACCTTCGACAACCAAGCTGCTGTGTGAGTGATGGTCAACTGACTTGACATTTCCAAAGTCTAGGTAGTCTTGTTGCTGATCAAAGCTGAGCATGTCTTGCGGACAGTATGCCACTACATTCCCTGCCAGACATCCAATCCACCAAAAAATCTTACCAACCGATACAAAAAAAAAAAAAGCCAGACCCAACAGCCAATCCCCCTCAACCAACAACAACCGACAGCCTCTGATTCCCAAACAAAGAAACCCAGGATCGACTCCGAGACCCAAGAGCCTCATACTACACAAGCATGCCATCTATCACACTGAACACACCATCCTTCCATCTACACACGCAGACGCGCCAGTCGCTTGGTCCCACGGCCTCCCTTCCCCCCCTCGGTTGGGAAGCAGTCTCCCAATCCTCGACTCGTCCAGCTCTATAACATACAACCACAAGCCTATCGGATCCATCCGGTGCGCCATCTCTCGCTCTACAGTCTACACTCGTCCCACGTGTCCGACAAGGGGGAGATTCAGTGATCCATGATCCATCCCGTTTGGTTTCCCAACCCCGGCCAAAAAGAAAAAAAAAACCCACGGAAATCGAGGGACCCCCCCCCCCAATTCCAACAGCGCTCAGAGGCAATAACTGGCCGAGGGACTCTAACCGGTGAGCACAGAAGCCGCCACGCTTGTTCGGATTTTTTCTTCTTCTTTGTGCGAAGATACGTCGATACGTAGGATCCGTCTGCGTAGTAGTGCACACCTTTGGGCCCCGAATTCAAACAAAGAGCCAGACACCCGGGCCCCGGCGACCCAACGTCCCAGGTGTGCGGTAGGCCCGGTGATTGGACCGTTTTGCTGAGGCTCTCGGACTTCTTTCTTTCTTACCCATTTTCCCTGGCGCGAAGGGGGAGGGAGAGAAAAAACGGTTTAAAACAGGCGCGCTGCCACGCGGGAAAGCGAGTCCTTGCGAGTCGGCATTTGGGAGGCCTGGGAGGGGGGGGGGGAGGGATCCAACAGCGTTAGGTGTGATCCTGGCGGTAGTTCTTGGGGGCCATTCTCAGCCATTTGTATGTATTCGGACCGTTGGGACTCGTTTTGTTGCGGAGAAGTTGGTTTTGGTGCGAGATGGCCACGCATAGGGCCTGTGGTGAGCTTTTAGCTGCGCGATGGACAGTGGGAAGACATCTTCCAGGCTGAACCAAGTTCCAAGTGCATGGATGGGTTGATGGTGGTTGTTGTTGAAGCTTTGACGCTCAATACGCAGGTTTCGTTGTATTACGTACCGTTATTTACGGATACCGTCGATTACAGAACACGAACAATGATGATGATCCCAGGATGAGCACCACTATTATTGCCCGTTGCTCTCGCGCCCCCTTCATTTCGATAGTCAGTAGTAGTCCTAAGAATCTAGCAGTTGTATCCAGAGTAGCTACAGTATCTTCTACGGTCATTGTTCTAGACCCGCAGCTTAGGGATTAGCGCATCTACCCTCTGTGGCTGTATCTGCTCTCTGTCACAGCAGCAGCTGGCCAGTTGCGAGCACCTCTGTCGCGAGATTCTCACTCGTGATTGGGAGTCAAGACGCGCTGAATGTCTTGATTGTTGTGACGAATGCAGTCTTGCCGGCTCGGACATATACCTTTCCTGAGGCAGGGCTCTCCGTACCGGAGATTGTTGCCCTTTCTGTATGTGCCTGAAGCCCCAGGCCACCAGGAGAGAAGGGATGTTCGAGACGTTTCAACCACACAGGCCTATCTCCATGGTGCGTGCTAAACATAGTCTGATCAGAGACATGCAGTCTAGTCTAGTGATTGACTATTGAGAATGTATCTTGTTACAAGACGGTTAGTACATGTGTACGTGACAGACCACCTAGGTAGCAGGCTCTATCCAACACAATCACTCACTACTGAATCAACTTCATACTTAGGAAGGGGATTTGAGTTTTTTTTTTTTTTTTTTTTTTTTTTTTTTCGCAAAGTACGTCCCCCCTATCCCCCTTCTGCTACTTCCTCCGTCCCCATGCCCCTCCATCCATTCGAAATCTCTGTGTTAGTCACCATCAACTCATCCAACCCACCATGTTCTATATCACCGGCGCTCCCCATCACCCTGCATCCGCCAGGCTACAGCCAATTAGCGCCGAGAACGGGACTGTTCCAGCGCCATGGGGTATCGTGGCAGATGCAATTAAGCGCCGGCGCTAACCTCGAACGAGCTGTAAATGGACCCGCTAAATGGATCCAATATTGAACTATGGGGATACATTCCAGCTGCGATTGGCTGATGGATAGCTGGGGGTGGGATTTTGTCTGCGGGGATTGGATTGATGTGTGGGCTTTACAGACTACCTACAGTCCTTTTTTCAGCTTGTTCTACCTCAAGGGTGCAAATCGGTAAGCGCTGGGGAGCTATTCTTGGATACAATGTATCAGGACTCAGGACTCAGGAGATACTGAGTGTTGATCTGCTGCGCAAGTGTGCTAGTGTGGTTTTCCTTTTGTCCTCCGATTGACAGACTGACTGGAGTATCCCAGAGTCGAAGCACATCTTGTAGAAGTGTCTATTTCGACGTAAGGTTACTTGGTAGATGCTTGATAGCCAGTCAAACAAACACAAACTTTCAAAGGAAGGCAATAGAAAAAAAAGAGTATATGCATGATATCACACAATGTAGCCGCTTTGGCGCTGTGATCTAAAAAGCCCAAAACGAATCATCTGTTCAGTCCAGGATCACAGCGCGTCCAGCAACCACTCAGTGATCTTCCTTCTCGGCCATCAGTGATTGACAACAAAAAAGCAAAGAGTCCCAGTACTGTTACTCGTGTTGTAGCTTAAATCTGTGACGAATTTTGACCGGGATTGAAAGCATTCTTTTGGGTGATGGAGTGACTCCCGGGTCTTACCTCTTACCGACAAGATATTTTGGCAATCCAGGCAGTGATCTGCTCGATGACTGACAATAGAGGAAGAGGTTAGAAGAGGGGTTTCTGAAATGCCCCAGCAGGGATTTGAGCATATGTGTACTGTGTAGTTACTCAATGCGAGGCTGGTGGGGACAATCTGCTGACTGTATTATGTACTATTATTGCATCTTGTTCTATTCTTATCACACAGGCTTCTCGATGCTATTTGTGGCTTGGCTGGCCGCGAGGAGATAAATTTGGCAACAATAGATATCAAGGTCAATGCTATATACTGCTGAGATATCTTCCATGACAGAGAATGAGTCTGCAGAATGACTTTACGGATATTCAACTAAAGAAGCAGAAATTATTTTTGCTCTCGAGATGTATCATTGGATTGGCCACACATCGTCATCGTGCAACCAATATCACAGCCAAGGACCAATTTATTGACTCTCTATCAGTCCACTCGGGTCCGAATCAGGAGATCCCAGATCTACTGGCTCTCGCTGCCAGCTGGAACCGGTCGCCTTGTCCATCACCCGGAGCGACAGACAGACAACATCACTCTTCACACGAGACTTTCGGGCTGGTGATGCCTTTTTGTGAATGGTCAATCCCGAAGCGCGGATTCTAATAATAGGCCATTCGGAGGAGTCCTTGTTCTCTTCTGAATATACTATTCCCTAGGGAGCCGAGGTCGTCACTTGCAGGTGAGAGCGGTAATCCCCAACACCAGGTGTGATATCGATGCATATCTTCAGCTTGAACAGACAGCATGCAGTGGTCTCCCGCATCGACTATCTCTGAAGCCAATCACCTTTTGTTTTTCTTGCCTCTCACTCGAGATCTTCATGACAGATGCAACAAAAATAGAACTTTCTTCACCCCCCCATAGGAGAACGGTTGCTGGATGATGCTCCATCAAGCACTTCTCCTGCCGGGGATTTCTTCACCGTCCATCTGCAACATCTTCTCGATCATCCCCTCCAATCATTCAAGAAATCGCCGTCACTCGTCATGCTCATTTGTGACTATATCTTGACCTCACTGGCCTGCAACGGGTTTGATGGTTCTGCATTTGTGTATGGTATTGTACTATACGAGGCGCTGTTTTCGCTATGACGGTGACAGACCATGTTTCTACGAGATATATAATGAGTATATATATACATATTGTCCATGGGAGACGGAGGACTGGCTGTCAGGAGCAGCTAAACGTTGTGCTTCACTTGGTCCAGGGTCTTCCAAGCCCTCGTCTTCAGTGTGTGTCGCTTCACTGACTTCTACTGTGAGTTCGTCCACTTTGACAGTGCTTATACATCGATAGCTAACCATTAATTTATCTAGTCCCGCTCTTAACAAGTCGTCATTCTATGGCGAGAATCTCGATCAGCCCAGCCATACAGTCAAGTCCCGACTCGACGGCTGAACAGCATCTATCTATCTGAAAACCGGATTCATGATCCAAACAGTAGTGGCATGCGGCATGAAGTCCACGGTAACACCGCTATGACACCCGCCGGCAAGAACTGATCCAGGCCACTGAGATAGAATCAGGAGTTGTAGAAGAAGGCGAGAGGGGCAGTGTGATGTCGTAGGCGTAAAGAGTCAGACATCCAGCGCCAAGGCCATTCTTGCAGGCTGTAAATCTATAATTAGAACATCCCCCTCAAAGGTCGAAGAGAAACGGCGACTCCATGCGTCGTACTCGTCCCCCCCAGCCTCTACAGAGGACATTCTCTCTCTCTCTCTCTCTCTCTCTCTTGCCACCAAAGATTGGATGATACGAGCGGAGAAGGAAGTAATAGAGAACCCAGCTAACTGACCACTCACTCACTCACTCACTAACTAACTAACTAACAAGAGTAGCCGGGAATCATCACACTCACAGCCTATTATTGATGCAATTCCTCCCCTCCACCTTCCCGTGATCCACTCTCCTCGCTGTCTTCTTTACTTACTTTCTCCCTCTCTCTCTCACTCTTCTGCCCTTCAGATGTACCTCTCACGCTCACGACTTGCTCTGCCCGGCTGACGGTCAGTCTTCCTGTCATCTCCCATCTTACGCGCCTGCCCATCAAAAGTCTCCTGAAGAACGAAGGAATCAAAAATAGACACAGCTCTTTTTTTTTTTTACACTTTTTTCTTTTTTCCCTAACCCCCCCAAAAACTCCCCTAACTTTGTTCCTCCCAATCAACCTCTCTCATCCCTATCTTTAGCGCCCTGCAGTGATGTATCCCTCCCACAACAAGTCTAGCCTCGCCATGTCGCACACCATCTCGCCGCCTTTCACTCCGGACACTGAGTTCGCCGGCCTCGAGACCCCCCGCGGACCATCTCAAGGCCTGAACATCACAGCGCTGGCCCGCTTCGAGTTCGAGGCCGGAAAAGGAAATGATGGAACTAAGATCCTGATGATCGAATGGGAGGACGATGACCTCGGCCGCTCCTCGACCTCCCCCGGGGGCTCCTGGCACGTTGCCTGGGAAGGCAAGAAGGCCGTCCTCCCTGCCGACGAGCGCACCAACGAAAATACCCGCCGCTTCTACTTCCTGCTGCCGCCTCATGTCACCATCCCGCCGGTCGTGACCCTCTCGTACGAACCCCCCGCCACATCCTCGACCTCGGCGACAACGATCACCCCGAGGACGAACTCGCTGCAGTTGAACCCGCTCCCTGCCATCTTCCCACCGGAGCTGGGCGCGACAGGCCGCTCGGCGGGGAAGAAGGGCGTCTTGCACACGATATGGGCGAAGAAGCGGCTGCAGGTCCTGGAGAAGGAGATCCGCGAGGAGTGCATGAGCAACGCCGAGGGCATCGCGCTGCACATGGCGCTGCAGGAGAAGGAGTGGATCGAGAGCAATTTCGGCGTGGGAGCGAGATCAGAGGCCCAGACGCAACTTGCCCAGGACTCGCGCTATCCGATGGGTCCCACCACCCCCGTGTCTCCCAGTAGTGGGGGAGGAAAACTGGGCGAGAAGCTCCGCGGACTGAAGTTGCAGACAAGCCAGCGAGAGCTGTCTCCGAAGATGGATAGTATGACCTCCTTCCCCTCCGGTTGTTGTTATGGCTTCCGCTTTGTGCCAGAGGGTATCAGAACTAAACGGTTGAAACAGCATCCAACACGCACCATCTTCTTTCCCCGCAGTCGCCCGACGTAGCTGTCTCGTCCTTCAACTCCTTCCACAGCATCCAATCCATCTCCAACCTTGCGTCCAACTCCCCCGCCCCCGACTCCACCGTGAAAACCGTAGTACACTACCCCCCGGACTTCATCCAAGCGCAGCAGAACACCGGCGACCACAGCAGTGGCTTCGCGTCCATGACTACGCTCGCGCGCACCTCGAGTGCCGACTCGGGCGAGGACCTGTTCGCCAAAGCGCTGAGTCCGCGGTCCCCTGATCTGCCGCGGAGTCCGTTTTCGTTTGCTCCTGAAACATTGCATATGTGACATCATGACCCTTTTTTTCTTTGCTTTTGGCCTCCGCTGCTGATGGTCTCTGGCGGACTTGCTGCTCATTTCCCGCTCTGTGCTCTCTTTTCTTTCCTTTTCCGTATGATTCCCCTCCTTGCATCTGCACTCTGAAAGTTTCGTCCCACGTGTTATATGATCCTCATGAAATTCCATCACGGGTGTGGTTGATACATCCCATATTCATGTACATAGAACTAGCCAAGTAGATATAGCCATGGCACGCATTCATACACCTTTTGAACTCAACACTCTTTCCGAACCCTCGGTTTCCAAACGAGCGACAGAAACACTCACTCCCCCATCAAAAAAAGAAAAAAAAAAAAAGCTAACAAACACAACCACCCTCCCTCCTCAAGAAGAACACCCAAAACTTCCCTAACCGCCTAATTACTCTTCTTCTTCAAACTCCCCTGTCTCCCAGGCTTCCCAGTTGCAGCCCCAGTCGCACCCGCACCCGCACCCGCACCCCCAGCCGCAGCCACAGCGGCCTCCTTACCCGCCCCGGACACCACAACCCGGGCAGCAGCGTCCTTCCCAGCCAACGACTCGACTTCCTGGGCATCCTTCCGATCGGCATACCACTGGCCGGCCTGCAGGACCAAGACGCCGACCAGCACGAGGGCCAGGATGGTATTACTAGCGGAGAGGACCTTGAGCGAGTCCTCGCGGCCGAGGATCTGGCCCTTATCCTCGTCGGCGGAGGCGAGGTCCTCGCCGTAGACGCCGGCGGAGGCGAGGCGCAGGCCCTTGACGATGTTGGCGATGTAGACGGTGACGCCGCACATGTAGAGCACGAGCGAGGCGCCGTCGAAGAGCATGTTGGACTCGGAGGGTTTGTAGAGCTTGCTGACGAGGCCGGCGAGGCCGAGGAAGATCACGATGTGCAGGATGCGGGGGATGAGCGGCGGGGAGGCGTGGAGGAAGCGGAGGTGGGCTTCGAGGTAGTCGTAGTGCGCGGCGGGGGTGGGCGCGGTCGACCAGAGGATTGGGTAGTCGTAGGGGAAGAGGGAGAAGATGATGCCGAGGAAGAAGCATGTTGCTGGAGGAAGGGGGAGGGGTTGTTAGTTAGTTTTTTGGGGGGAGGGGAGGAGGTGGTGATTGATGGTGGACTTACGACAGACGATTAGGAACGTCGCGAAGGACCCGTTCCAGGCCATGGTGGATGCGGTTGATGGGATGTTTGGACTAAGCAGTGAGGGGAGAGTTGAGGATTGGGAGATCCGTAAATGGAAATGATGATGCGAAAATGTTCGCGATGGAATGGACGGAAAACCTGGGGAGAGTGAGGCCAGGGGAAGGAAGAGAGGAGGAGAAAGCTGACAGCGAGAGAGAGAGAGAGTGAGAGAGAGAAGAGCCAAGTTGTCGCTGTGGCGGCTTAGAGACGCTGCCAAGCCCAGCCTGTGGGAAGCCTAGTAGTAGGTACTAAAACCGAGGCTGGGGACCGATGGAGGAGATAGTTCCTTATCTTCATGAATTCATGATCATATCCGATTAGGAGGCTTTTAGTCCTTTGAATTGTTTTCTGTCCCAGAGATAAGACACGATTCGATTATGCAATCCTTCCGACATCATGATAACTGCGAATGATGCTCCCTATCGACAAAATAATAATGCGGCTCAGAATCCACGTTCAACTCCCACCAGTGTGCTGGGTTCGTTTTCCCCCAGATCCCCCAGACACTGAATAAAATATTCCCTAATAAAATAACAAAATGGTATCTTTCCTAACGAACCTTGAGGAGAACAAATAGAGAGAAATCAAAATGCAAAGATCGAGGTATATCCAAACCCAGGCTGAAAAAAAAAGTCACGCAAGAACACAAATACAAACAATGAAAGTCATACATCGTCGTGGACGGGCCTGATATGCAGCCTCCATCATCTCTGGTACCGCGGGAGTGACTCGTCTCCATGCGCGGCCCCTCCCACCAGCTGCTCGTCGTCGTTGTGGTGGAAGACCGGAGCACTGGGACCTTCAACGGCGGAGTGTCCATTCGAGACATCCATGTCTTCAGGAGCGCTTGCTTCCATCAGGAGACGCTGTCGCTCCAGTTCCTGCTTGTCTTCACCCGGAACTACTGGAGTCCCGTTCGACGCGGTCGCACGGCTCCTGGCAACCACAGTCTGCACGGATTCGGCAGGCACGAGCGGCGGCGGAAGCCCGTTCTCCACCGGCGACGGAAGATGATGGTAGCCGTGGATGTGGTCATCTTCGGGTAGCACAGGAGCCGTGGGAGGTTCCAGGTGACCCCGCGATGGCCCGGCTTCGGATTCGTCAGGTGGTTGACTGGGTAAGAGCGTCTGCTCGGCGTGCCGTAACCGCGACTTCTCATCCGTCGGTTCTTCCGAACGTGGGGTGGGGATCACTTCCCCCAGGAAGTGGTATGGTTGAGGCGTATCGAGTCCATGCTCGGGCCATGGCAGCTCGGGAGGGAAGCCGTAGTCGGATTGCCGCGAGAATTCCGTCCCGGCACTCGGTATCGGACTGGGATCGATCGGCAGATGGTCCCGCTCGACAAAGAGTGGCTGAGGCTGGACGTCAGATCCGGCGGCAAGGGACGACGGGCGTTCAGCAGCCTCCTTGCGCCGTTGCGAGTCACGTGTTCCGATGACGATCTCGAATGCGACCGCCACGACTCCCTTTTCGCGACGGATCTGCGCGGTATCCAGAATATTGCCGGCCCAATTCGTGGTGACCGCGTTCCCGTTGGCGTCGCTCGGGTTGAGAACTTGGCCACTGGGAGAGAAGTTACTCCCCGACGAGACCATGTGGAATCGGGGGAGAAACCGTTCCGGCGAGGTAAGCTTGCCGCGCAGGTCGACCACCACCTCCACGTAATACCGGAAATTAATCATACCGCCCGGCGTGCGCGTGATGGTCGGGAAGGCGTCTTCGGGAATGCGTATCGAAGTCTTGACGACCGCGGTCATATTGGTGGGGTCCACCACCAGCGGAGCAAAGGTCTGGGTCAAATCTTTTCGGAAGACGCTGCTCGTGCGACTGGTGCCGATGGAAAGCCCCCCAAGCCCGGTCCGTGACCGTGGGTAGTAGTCCTCGTACACAGGCTTTTTCCCTTCGCCTGTCGGGCCGACCGGGAGGGCAGGATGGAGATCGATGCGCCCCTGGCGGTAAAAAGTAACAATGATCCCATGCGCGCTGCGCACTTGCTTGCAATGATTGATGGTGATGATAATCGGTAACGTGTCGCCCGGCAGCACGCCAGCCCGCAAGACTTCGGTCTTTGCGGTGATGGTCTTATCACCGATCGAGGGTGTGATGCTCCCATTGCGGACCCCGGTCCCCGAGGAGCTTGGGTCACTGACGAGTTGGAAGCTCTGGCTGCTGTTGCTGAGGCGGCTCGACGAGCTGACATTGCTGGGGGCCGGGCTCAGGGGAGGTCGACTGTCTCCAACCGTCCCGCCACTGGTGGATGACGACTTCCGCGACGGAGTATCCGGAGCCGTATCCGATTCCAGCGATTTTGCCTTGCCCTTCGATTTCGAGCGTTTGGAGACAGGTTCGAGGGTGACGATTCGAGCCTTGGGGGCCGGAAAGGGAGCGATGTCGATGTTTTCGAGAAAGTTGATGCGCCTTCGGCAGGACAGCGTCGGGTTCATCGTGGTAGGTTTCGTTAGGGTGGATGTAAGCACGTAGGAGATCGTCCCTCGCTCGAACTAGAGGTCGCGTCTGGGGTTAGCCTCACTTGCAAGCATCCAAAAGCACTGATCGATGCCAGATTGGGCAAGTAAGTCACGCACGTTGATACTGCTGGGGAGCGCATACGGAGGGAAGCACATCTCGAAGCGAAATTTGTACACTCCCTCCTTGAGGCGTCCGTCACCGCAGAGAACCATCTCATCTTCGAACAGGGTAGCCAGGCCATTGCCCAAGTATTCCGGCCCTCGACGTCCGCGTCCCGGACCCAGGCTCCCGACCTCGGCATCCAGCTCTCCCGAAGCCACCGTGTTCTTGAAGACCTTGACGTGTCCATGCAGCGAGACCACCAAATGTGTTATGCGAACCGGTCGTACGACAGTCAGGACCACGGTGCCCTTGACCACATCACCGGGGAAGTAGGAGCGCCACGGATCGTCGGGTTCGACATAGAAGTCGGCGATGCTGCGATTTTGGTGACTGAACGGCGAACGGATCTTGGATAATAGCGAACTTCGATTCCGACCGAGCGGCGAAGAGGAGGACGGGGAGGGAGCGGAGTTGACTGACATGGCACACAACCGCGTTGCGCTCAAGCCATACACGACGAAGCGATGGGAAGTTTTCGAGGGGAGAGATAAAAGCAACCCGGGGAAAAAAAAAATAAAGAAAAAAAAACGAATCTAGACGAACGCAAAAAGGTACCGCTAAAAGCCGCAAACCCCCTATAAACAAATCCCAATTATACTAGGAGTAGATGTCGCCGACCCAGGATAGTCGAGCGAGATAGACGGAGATATGGTCAGACGACTAAGTCCAAGCACCTTGGTATCACAGGAACCTCGAAATTCTCCCCAAACCTGAATGTCCCGACACGTCCAGACGCCGGCACGCCGGCAGGTTCAGGCAAGAACCAAATGCCAGTAACCCCGATATCCCCGTTGGGCGCAGATGCGATCTTACGCGGAAATCCAGCGGAAGGAGAATCGCGCAGGGGAACAAATATTGTTGGTTGTTGCTTCGAGTCCGGAGATGCAAGAGTCAAGAGGGAGGGGTGACCCACTTCCAGGCGCAACGAGCGAGGGTAACAAAGGGAGAAATAAGGGGGAAAAGAGGGAGGGAGAGAAGAGAGAGAGAAAGGACGTCAGGAAGTTATAAGCATATACAACGGAAAGGCCTGCATCATTTCTCGCGTTTGTGGATCAGGGACAAATTGATGACCTTGAGTGACGATCCGACGATAGACTGTCTTCTTCGGGGGGAGGCGTGGAGGAGGTGGTATGAAGGGGAGACAGTAGACACAGTAGACACAGTACAGAGTAAGCTAAGCACGATGGGCGAAGCTGGAAGCACTAAGCACGCAGGCGGTACAAGCGAGAGACTTGGAAGCGTCGAAGCTTTTTTTTTTTTTTTTTTTTCTTTTCTTTTCTTTTTTTGGTTGGTTGGGTTGGTTGTATCTTATTACTTTTTCCCCCTTCGCACGGTCGGGGGGCCTGGAATAATGGAGGAAGGATGAAGCGAGTCAGTGGCAGACACGCCAAAGAAGAGGGGAGATCCAGTCGGTCGGGGATGCGGATTTGATGCAAGACACGGGATTGGGCACAAGAAACTCAAACAGGAGGTTTCGACTGGAGTGGGCCGGGGGAGGATGAGAAGAAGAGGGTACGAGCGAAGGATAGTTAATATGCAGAGTAATAATCAATATCATGCATCAAGAAGAAGAAGTTTGGGATAAACCAAAGAGAGATTAGAGAATAATACAAATAGACAGAGGGGGAAAGAGAGAGAAAAGAAGAGACAAGACAAGTTCGTGATAAGCAACGGAGGGACGACAACAAACCAACGGGTTTGTGTGCAGCCGACAGTCAAGCTTCTCTTGGGGGACTTTAGACCGGGTCTAGTTTGAACTGCTCTCGTGTCTCCTGATTATTAGGATTAGGATTATGAAATTTATGATTATGCAAACACCCTGAAAAGTTACTCTCTCCACATATGCATGGGATCAAAAGAAGAAAAGAGAGGGAAAAAAAAAAAAAAAAAAAAAAAATAGTCAGATTTTGATTGATTGAGTATTATTGATGATTAGGAGGAGCACGTACTGTAGTACTCCGTATATCCTCGCCTGCAGTCCGCGGTCCTTGTACAATGTACAGTCATGTCAACAGTCAAGGCACATACAGAGTAGTCAAAGGTCCAGAGAGAGATACCTCACAACTCCCTGTATAATAATACTAAATAATAATTCTGAATCAACTGATCAACTCACGCAGTCCCTCCCCCTCCACATACTCGTCCCCGTAATACTCCCTCTGCACCGCCGTCATGATCTCTCGGTCCCCGCCGGTCAACTTCCCCATGTACTCCTCCAGCACGTAGATATTATCCGTCCACATAAGCGCTTGTTGCCGAAACGTCTCAGTCTCCTCTTTCATCTGCGCTACGCTTTTTCCTCCCACCGTCGTGGTCGCCGTCAGCCACTGCGCCTGCAGCCGGGTCCGTTCCGTCTGCAGCTCACTCCTCCGATGCATCAACTCTCCCCTCTCTGCCCGATTTTCTCCCTCATCCCCTCCTCCCTCCTGGTCCCATTGCGCCCGTTTCGCCGCCAGATCGGCCGCGGCTTCCTCGTAGCTGGCCTGTAGGACGCTCACCTCCTTCTGGAGCTGCTGCAGTCGCCCTTCCCTCTCGCGTGTCTCGTCCCCGCCGAAACACCAGTACCAGTTCCCACTTCCGATTTTCTCCACCCGAATCTTGTTCTCGTCCGTCAGATTCTGGATGTATTCCTTGACCTGCATGCCGTTGATCGAAGCCACCGAGGGAAGCATCTTCTCGAGGTCTTTGAGCGTGTGGCACGTGCGTGTGGACCGGAGGTGCGCGACAATCAAGTCTTCTTTGGCGCTTTTAGAGAGTTTCGGTGGCTAAGAGCCGTTTAGAATCAGTATTTTTTCTTCTTCTTTTTTTTCTATTGTAGGATTCTCTTTGAGTATACGGAAGTATTATCACATTGTGTAGAATGCATTGACGATAAGAATGAGCCGGGGAGCAAACCATGGTAGATGATGAGTCGTCGATTCAGACGTGTGAGAGGATTTAGGGCTCGTTTTAATCTTATTCAAGCAAGTTCAAGCGTGATTTCGATTCAAATGAGGATTTTATGGTGCATCATTGGATGGTTGATGGCATACAATTCTAGAGACACTACAGAGGAGTCGTCAACGAGAGACAGAGTACCTGATGTCAGGTGAAGCTGCCTCAGGTCCCAACACAACAGAAACAACACCCTCTCGACGACCACAGCAATATGGTTTCATCTCATTCCATTGCTAAGAACTCGGCTTCTACAATATCGTCAAATTCAGTCCTTGTCTTTGGTAAGCAAAGGAAATGTCACTCTTCGCCTCCTGTGATGGTATAATAGACGACCACTTCCATATCCCCTGAGTTTCAGGCCATATAGCCACAGATCATAGCATGGCAAGAACACACAGAGAATATTCATTTTTTTTTCTTCTTCTTTCTCTTTTCCTCCAAAAAAGCCACCTCCCCAGAAATCGCATCCTTCGATGCCAACGCTAATGCTAATGTCCAAGCTTCCTGCACAAAGAGCTTTGCCAAACCAAGCATCACACGCGTCGGGCGTAGTGGAGACCGAGAGGCTTGAAGAGCCAGGATTGGGTTGATTAAAATCCCTCACCGTATATCTGTCGAATTTCACACCGGACGTATCGGAAGACTAGCAACCTTCACAACCTGTCATCGACCTCCGTATCCAACTCAGTAGTCGACGCCCTCTGAGTCAATCGGCGCCTCTTGGACCGTCGTCTCTTGACAACACTATCCAAATCGTCGCCAGAACTCGCCATGATCATGCTCTGGCTCGTGTTTGCTCGTTTGCGGCCGGACCGTCGGACCGCCGATTTAGAGGGGCGGCGATCCTCGTCAGTGGGGATGTCCTCTCCCTCCACCAGAACCAGATCCCCGGTTTCACCCAGAGAGTCTCGCGCCATCTCCTCCAAAAGAATCCCCATGGCAATGAGGGCCGTCTCGTCCATACTCTGATAATCGTCCTGACCACTGTCGACCGTAGCATGCTCATAGAAGTCCGCTGCGTAAGAATGGATCGCTTCTAGCAGCTCAGAACTGGGGAGAGGGCGATCAACGGGTAGAGACTCGTTTGCAAAGTAGAAGTCGTTTTCTTCGTAGCGGATGGGCGCATTCTGTCGGCGGAACAGAACTTCTTCGGGCCGGACAGGGATGATGCTGGAGGATGCCGTATCGCGAAGCTTCGAGGCGTACGGAGCCGACGGCAGGAAACCATGAGCATTCACCCGAGCTGTCACATGTCAATGAAAGGCCATCGAGGAGTCGAGCCGTTACACTGACCAGCTACCGCATCGTAGACATTAGCTTGACGCTTCTGTCGCTTGAGCGAGGTCTCTTCGGACACTGCACGCAGCACATCGTGCTGATCGGGAGGCTGGACAAAAGCATTTTGGCTCAACGCAAGGGATTTGCCGTAGGACATCGTCCTGATGTTACCAAGGACGCCCGTGCGCGAGCATCAGGGGACTTTCCAGTGACCCATTCGAAATTTGCACAGCACAGGACGAATGGATGTCGATATGTGTCTGTCTTTTTTTTTTTTTTTTGCTTCTTGTGATGATCCAAAAGTGGAAACTCGGCCTAACATTTCTCCGTCCCCGCAGCACGATAAGAGACGATCACCACGCGACTGTGCCAATTGCCAAGTGCGTCATGAATGTTGGCACACTCCAGTATCTTCCTGATGATTGTATGCGGTTGATCCCTGATGAATGAATTCATATCTCTTGAACAGGACTCTTGGGTCCATCACCCCGTCAACCTTCCATGTTGCGCAAACCACCCGATTGGTCCATCAGCTTGAACCAGCTCCCCGAATCCGCTTCTCGAGCCAAAAGACTGTTCCTGGAGGACAATCTGATTATGACTTGGGGGCATTTGACGGTGATATCGTCGCTCATAGAGCCGGCGTGAATGTCCTTGCCGTTGATCAGAACGATGGACGATTGTATGGGTACACCAAAAAATGACATGGGTCGGTTATATGCTAATAAAACAACAAAACAGCATGGTATCTGGTGGTGCAGACCCCACAGTTCATCTCTGGGATCTCGAAAGTAGAGGCTCCGAGTTGGACTACGTCCACAGGTCGGTTGCATCCGTTAGCAAAGGATCCCACGAGGATGCTCATACCCACGCCATCACCTCGGTCTCGATATATCCGTTCGATCCAACTCCGTCTACGATCTTGACTACCGCCCGTGATGGGACACTCAAGCTCTCTGCAATAGGGCTGGATACTATCACTCCCGTGCATACTTTCACACTGGATGCCACCCCATACTCCCATTCTCTATCGTCGCACTCTGGTTCAACACTTCTTATTGCGGTCGGCACATCAGACAGAGCTGTGCGCTTACTCGACCTACGGTCTGGTCTATCTACCCATGGGCTTCCGGGCCATAGCTCCTCTGTGCTCTCCGTTGCGTGGGCCCCCCACCGGCCGCACATTCTCGCCTCGGCGTCCGCCGACAACCGTGTGATTCTGTTTGACGTCCGCAGGGGCGGCCATAACTCAGCCATTGCGACACTTGATATGGACGACGCAGTTGGTCTTGTCCCTCCGCAATGTGCTCCGGAGTCATACAAAAGCCGCCCGGCGTTCGCGCCGGACGCTCGCGCCCACAACGGTGCAGTAACAGGCGTCCGCTGGACATCAGACGGTGCACACCTCGTCACTGCCGGCCAGGATGCTCGGGTCCGAGTCTGGAACGCCTCGACAGGCGCTAACACTCTCGTCCATTTCGGGCCGCGGATACGGAACGGCGTTTCCTCACATCTGGCTGAGCGAGCCCCACTCGTTATTCCCCGAGGACTGACAGCTCCGGGCCAAGAGACACTGTTGTGGCCGAACTTCAACGAGCACGACGACCGCGGTGAGATATTCATGTTCGAGCTCCGCGAGGGCACGTTCATCAAGCGTCTCAAGGTACCTGGCCTCGTGGCTGGACGGCAGCAATTTCGTGGCAAGTCGAGCGCGTTGAGTGCGGCTCGCATCAACTCCCTTGTATGGCGCGGGAATGGGGGCTCGGGAGAAGGGTTGGAGATGTTTTCGGCTCACGGCGATGGGACCATCCGCGCCTGGGTGTCCCGGGATACAGAGGGAGAGCCCGATGAAGCCGAGGAGGCCGAGCAGGCTGACCGAAAGAGGAAAAGAGATGTCCTTGACGAAATCTACCAGGGATTCATCACCCCTGTTACACCGGTATAATGGTGTCAAACCACAATGGAGTTCTAATGCATCTAGACCAATATTGCAGATCAATTATCATAACACATCACATCAAACTGGAAACAAAGAACCTCATCAAATCACTCATTCCGAATCTGATGCTCCCCGATAAAGTCACCCGCATTCCCATCCTCCTTCGCAAACCGATCAAACGCACTCCGGTTCAGATTCGCATGCTTGATCGTCCTCGAATTCCCCCTCGCGCCAGGATCGATCGCATCATACGTCATCCTCTTCGACTCGCCCGTGGCCGGGAACGCATCGCCCGTCCCCGTGACGACCTCCCCGGTCGCACCGATCTCCTTGGTGCTGCGAGGCAAATCAGTGGCGTTGTCCGCCGCAAAGGCCTGCGACGGCTCCGCGAGCCCCTGGTTATCGAACTGGCGGTTTTCGGCCCTCTGGTCCGGCCGCGGCACGGAGGGGATGGTGTTCTGGAGACCCGCGTCGTTGGGGATGGAGGTGCCGTGCTGGGCCATCTCGGAGAGGGTGCCTCCTCTATGAGCGCCTGAAGACATGATCTTCCAATCTGACCGTTGTATGCCTTTTCTCGTTTTTTTTTTTTTTTTTTTATTATCGAATATGTTTGGAAACAGGGCAGCGTTCGCAACCTGTCTTCGATAAATCGATTCTATCAAATCCTAAGACGAAAGTTCCCAACCGATCCCCTCCAGCGCCTTATATACTCACCACCGACCCGAGATTGATGTCCACAGGTCCGGCGCGATGATGGCGGTATGAGATCAGAAACCAAACCGAGGGGGTTGATTGAGCTCATCCGCCCCCCAGGGCCGATCGGCTTAGCTTAGTCATGTACATTATCTTATGTGATAGGCGATGAGCGCATGTAGCGGTATCAAACCCAGCCAGCCATGATGCGCGGCGGGGGTAGTAATCTCGACGTTGGTTTCGTTTCGTTGAACGGGCCTTTTTTTTTTTTTTGGCAGTTGAGCTGAAGTGGAGGCGGGGGGTTTGGACTTGGCTTTTCTTGCATGCAGCATGACATTACCCCGTGGGTCTTGGGTGGGGACCTTGGAGTCTGGAAGCTGGATACCAAGATGAAAAGTATGTTCCGTGGATTGGAAGGTGTGAGCATGGGAAATTGTGATGAGTATGGGTGTCTTTGGGGTACGGGAAGAGGGTTAGGGCTGGTGATGTATTGGGATGGCTGGGAGAGGGATCCAAATAGAAACACTTCTGTCTACAGGTTCAGGGTTTACGGACAAATGGAGATTTCAAAATGAGGAGAAAATCATTCTGCGTGTATACTACCACATAGGAAATTATTACATTCAAGCGAGCGGCGTGGACACAGGTCACCAAACATTACGGAGTCAAATTCTTGCAAAACGAGTGACATGGAGAACGAAATGGAGACATTAAATTTCAGAAGGCCCGATCAACCCCATTACAGGGCAAAGGCCAGCACAGCCACGAGACCAGCGACGGCGGACATGACACCCGCAGCTGGGACAAGGCGGCCGGCAGCACCGGTGAAAAGCGGGCTGGAGCTGGGAGTGGCCGAGGGCCTGGCATGGGGGAACACCGACGGGTCCGGGTTGCTCCAGGGGTCAGCAGCGCTGGGGCGCTGGAGCAAGGGGGTGGTCGCGCTTGCCGAGGCCGCTGCGCTGGGGACGTGCACAGGGACCACGGCGAAGGACGAAGGACGGCTCACAGTGACCGTCGAAGTAGAGGCGTACTGGTGGCTGGCTGACGGCTCAGCGTGGACTCCAGAATGGGGCACAGAGACGTGAGCGGGGTACGAGGGAGAGCTGGGGGATCCGAAAGAACCCTGTGGGTTGGAATATCCGCCCGTTGGGATAGAAAACGACGGGGCGCTCGGAACACCACCTTCCGGGGCAGCGACGGTGGGTTGATGCACTGGGTAAGATGGAGCAGTTGGCACAACGTGTGAGCCTTGACATCCGCTGGGGCAGGGAGTGTTGTGCGCCGGAGGCTTCGAGAATCCGGGTTCATGGACAGGATGAGCAGGGTGACTCGGCGCTGCGTGAGAGCCCTCGGATTTGTGGGTCGGGCATGGCGTAGATGCGGCTTCGGGCTTGGAGAACCCAGGATCGTGGTGTCCATGGCCAGGGACACTCGGCTCGCCCGTCGGCGACACAGCAGTTGGTACCGGTGCTGACGTATGGTTGGGGACCGATGGGACGCTAGGATTGAGGCCGTGGCCTGGGATGGAGGGAACACTCGGTTGCGGCGGGTGATGAGGAAAAGCGGGTGCGGTTGGCTTATGATTATCGTCCGTGACGACCCTGGTGATGGTCTCACGAACAGTCGCTGTGCTGCATGGCTTGCTTGACGAAGGAGCATGATTGGAGGGGTGCCCGGGCTCGTGAGGCCCGCCGGGACCACCAGATCCTGGAACCTGTGGTTGACTAGGGACGGGAGGATGACCCAGCTCGGGGAAACCACCAGGGCTACCGCCAAAGCCTGGGGCGTGAGGCTGGGCAGGAGCGGAGGGGTGCGGAGCAACGGGGGGTCCACCAGGGCCGCCTCCGATCCCTGGGGTATGCGGCGGTTGAGAGCCAGTCGCAGGGGGACCGCCGGGGCCACCTCCGAATCCCGGAATCTGTGGTTGACTAGGGACAGAAGGATGACCCAGCTCGGGGAAACCACCAGGGCTACCGCCAAAGCCTGGGGCGTGAGGCTGGGCAGGAGCGGAGGGGTGCGGGACAGCGGGGAAACCACCAGGGCCACCGCCGAGGCCTGGGGCAGGGGGCCCGCCAGGGCTGCCGCCAAATCCAGGGCCGTGTGGGAGCGGGGGCGGGTGAACGACGGGCGGAGTCACGATCGTGTTGTCGGAGCTGAACGAGTGGTCGTCTTTGTAGTCTTCATTGATCACGGACGAGTAGTCACTGTCAAACTCAATGTTGGCACTGTTCCCTTCATCGTTGCCACTCGGTCCTCCAATCGCAGTCGGGCCGACACGCTTCACAAAAGGCATCATCGGCCTATGGGGTGGAGTGACCACATGGTTCTTCAGATCGAAGGAATGGTTGTCCTCATAGGACTCGTCGATGCGGGAAGTATAAGTGTCATCAAAGTCAAGATCAGCACTGCTGCCGCCGTCATCCCCGACAGGCCCACGGATGGCGCCGGGAGTGTCATCCTTTTCCTCTTTCTCTTCCCCTTCCCCCTTGTGACTGGGACCGACCGAGTTCCCTCCATCACCTCTCCTGCGGAAGCCAGGAATGGCAGGAGGCGTGATGATTTTGTTGTCCAGATCGAATGAGTGGTCATCCTTGTAACTCTCGTTGACCTCAGACAGATAGTCATTATCAAATTTGATGTCGGCACTGTTACCACCGTCATCGCCGGAAGGGCCTCCGATGGCAACACCACCACGGCCACCTCGCTTCCGGAAGCCAGGAATGGCAGGAGGCGTGATAATTTTGTTGTCCAGATCGAATGAGTGGTCATCCTTGTAACTCTCGTTGATCTCAGACAGATAGTCATTATCAAATTTGATGTCGGCACTGTTACCACCGTCATCGCCGGAAGGTCCTCCAATTGCAATGCCGCCACGACCACCTCGCTTGCGGAATCCTGGGTGCCCGAATGGTGGCGGGGGAGGAGTGACGATATGGTTCTTGATGTCCACGGAATGGTCATCCTTGTATGACTCCGTCACAGTCGATGAATACTTGCTATTGAGTCCGATGCCTGCGCTGTTACCCTCATCGGCACCAGATGGGCCGCCGATGGCAGTGCCACCACCGTGGCCTCTCTTCCGGAATCCAGGCATGGGAGGCGCCGGAGGGGTGATGATTTTGTTGTCGATATCCCACGAGTGGTCATCCTCGTACGATTCGCTCACTGCGGACGAGTAGAGGCTCTTAAAATCAACGTCCGCGCTGTTTCCACCATCATTGCCGGATGGGCCTCCAATGGCGGTACCGCCGCGGTCACCCCTCTTGCGGAAGCCTGCAATGGGAGGGACCGGCGGAGTGACAATATGGTTCTCCAAATCGAACGAGTGATCGTCCTTGTACGCTTCGTTGACGGCGGAGGAGTAATCACTATCAAATTCGATATCTGCACTGTTTCCACCATCATTGCCGGACGGGCCTCCAATCGCGACGCCACCGCGATCTCCTCTCTTGCGGAATCCGGGCATCGCAGGGTATGGAGGAGTCACGACATGGTTCTTCAGATCGAACGAGTGGTCGTCCTTGTACGCTTCGTTGACGGTGGAGGAGTAGGTGCTGTCAAAGCCGATGCCAGCGCTGTTCCCTCCATCCTCGCCACTGGGACCGCCGATGACAGTCCCTGGGCCACCGGCGTGTCGCTTTCCAACCGCTTGTCCATTGGCCACGGCGGCCACCAGCAGCGCGAGAGGGATACCTCCAACCAAGCCCTTCATGGTGAAAATCCTGAATTATTATTAAGTAATAGAAAGAATGACACTGGACCAAAAGGCCAAGGAAATGATAAGACGGTAAGACAAAATCAAGAAACAAATCTGAGCAAAGGAACGTAAAGACCAAGCTTTTTGTCGGCTGCTGTGTCGTATGGCCAACTTCCCATGGACCAGGCTCAAGGCCTTTTATCAGTCTTTTCCCCTCCCTGATTTAACCCGAGGCATGCAGATCGTCGAGACATGACGAGCTAAACAAACAACAAAGGCAAGGCCTTGTTGGGGTCTGGGAGAATGTCATCAGGAATGGCCCAGATGGCAAGCGCAACGGTGATGCCCGGCGTAGTAGAGTGGCCAAAGCGACTCAGCAAAGCCTCAGAAGGGCAATCCTAGACATTCCTCAGGGCCAGATCCAGTCAAGATACACCCACAGGATGGCCTGAGGTGCTCACATACATGGAACAGCAAATGATCGATTGAGTCGGGGCTCGCAGCCCCTTCCGGGGACATACCGGCGGCATATCCCTGCGTCGATCCAACACGAGTCTGGAGCCATCATCCTAGACAAGGGAGGAACTGCCTCTGGATTGATGTTGCTGAGGAATTCCCCGACAACACCATGCAGAAAGATCGACGAGTGATTCGCCTGTTCCTGCATCATTGGAACCATTAAAGGCCCGGGTGGCCACACACTGTCCGGGTAACCTGGCAGTAAACAAGGTCAACAACAACCAACGGTCCAGGTCTCTTTAACGGACGACCAGATGTATGCAGGCATCAAGACCAAAATACCAGGCCCTGCCGCTGTACCGAAGCGGTGGTCAAGAACAATCCCCATGCCGGTTGGTATACAGAAGCAATTCAGCATTACGAAAGCCCAATGGGTCAGTGGAGATGATCACAAGAGCAATCCAAAAATGGTATTCATCTATGGTGTACGTATCAAACGAGTAAAACTGAAGATAAATAAAAAAAAAGATGTGTCCCGTCATCGACATTCACCCTCCATCGCCCTCACTGAAGAGGACCCAACGGAAGGCAAACTTCCTATCAAGGAAAGCATTGTTCTTCAGAACCGACCGATCACGAAGATCGAAGGCAACACACCGTCGTGGGATAAAAAACTGGACGGCGGTCGTGGCAGGTTCTGTGAAAACTTTTTGATGAGGAAGGAAAAGAAAAAGAAAACAAGCAAAACGAACGCCGAAGAATGTGTGCTTTTGTAGTGTTGTGTGGGTCACGTGTGCTGGGGGCGGAGGGCCGACATTCTTCCGTCGCCAGGCAACAAGGTATTCAGGCACCCCGGCTTAGGCACCCAGGCATTCAGGCATTCAGGCACTCAAACTCAGCCACCATGGGAAGACTCCCATTATTTCGCATCAAAAGAAAAAAAAAAAAAAAGTCCGTAGTTCTTCTCACCAAGCAAATCATTTACACCACATTGGATCTCCCAAGTAAACTAGAAACATGCCAAGAAAAGAGAGAGAAAAAGAATGGGCCTTTTGACTTCTGTACAATTTCCGTCAACCAAACCCTGGGGAGAAAGATGCTCCCCCCTTTTCCTGCCAAACTGCATTGGACATCTCGTACTTTGGCCCCTTGCCCAGCAGCCCAGCTTGCTAGAGCTTCCCCGATCCGTTGTTTTCTGGAGACGATAGAGCACTAAGCCACTAACTATCGTCGACGCGAGATGCCCTAACTTCTGAACGTTGTTTTTAAAGGGGGAGGGGCACGCTTGTCAGTCCAGCGTAGTCGGTATCCAGGCAAGATCATCTCTGCCGCAAAGGGTGGATGCGGCTGGTTTATACTCGAACACTTCCCCGTCAACTTCAACTAAAAAGAACCAAGATCTTCGAGTTAGTGATCCAGAACATCCACAACAATGAAACACAACAGAATAGAGAAGGAAAACCCCTATGGGAATGATCAATTGCTTACCTTGAACCAATCGCCCCTTGTTGATGATCTGATTTCCACACCCCTCCACCCACCGCAACTGTAATTCCCAGAGCAATGGCGACCATGCTCCCCACGGTGACAATCGCCACAATCACTTTGATCGTCAACCGCTGTTTCTTCGGGAGGGAATGAAAGTAGCTGCACCGTCGCCGTCGCTGTTCCCACAGTTTCGACCCTCGGTTTTTCTGCGATTCTTCTGATTGCTTCTGACATGATGTCGCGCTTTCCAGCTCGTATGGGCCGTCGAGCACCGCGGCGGTCTTAGTTGTTGTGGGCTGGCCGACTTGGCCGTCCATGGGGATTGTTGTAAGGGTCGCATGACGGTAGAAAGGGGAGTATGGCTTTGCGTTGATGGAAGGGTCGTAGTCCTGGGGGGAGATCGGTGAAGGCACAGGAGGCGCGGCGACGAGCGTTTTGGACGAGCATGAGGGGAGTTTCTCATCCGCTGAAATTCGGGTGTCCAGTTGTAGTGAGGGAGACATCGTGAGGGGTAATACCATAGGAGAGAGAAATGTTACAAACAACAAAAGAAGAAGTAGAAGAAGAAGAAGAAAGAGGAGCAGTCAATTCAAGGGGAATGATGGGTTGACTGGTACTACTACTACTACTACTAGTAGTAGTCATAGGCAGCAGATAGATGGAGGGACAATTCCAATCAACCAACTCAGGCCAAACATGCCCCAGAAAGTAAGTAGTAAATAGAGTAATAGTAGTCTAGTTACCCCAAGGGAAAAGGGAAAAAAAAAATTAAAATTAAAAAGAGTCTCGCTTTCCTCTTGATCTTTCAAAGACAAGCGTCGATCAGGGTCTTGGACTTGGGCAGGGAAGGGGTCAGTCATGCACTGCAGCTGCCCCCATGTGCTGCTCGGTTTCGGTCTCAAAATGGTCGAGTCAATATGACCTATCAGGCTGTATTCAGGGGGGGGAAGAGAGAGTAGCGGGAGCCCAAAATCAATTGTCTTGACGAATATGATCCAGTTACCATAGTTGAAGGAGAAGGTTCGAATTCATGGAGCATTCCCCAGTGTTGCCTGGTCTACAACTCAAAATTCACCCGTGGCGTGATATACTATGACTAGTTGACTACCTACATTGATATCCAGCGGTGCCAGCCCCTGATTCCCTTGGTAACTTTTGAAAACATGCAAATAAATCATGGAGCCGACACCAGGCTACGAGAGCGCCGCTCACGTTGTGCTCTGTAGGTACTCTCCATCTACTGTGAACCAGAACATGGATGAGAGATCTGTGTGCAACTCCCAGCTCGGAGAGAGTACCCAAATGACATAGATATGTCGGTTATTCCAATCCTACCGTTAGGTTAGAGATAAGCTGGGTTTCCGACGGCCCTGGGATATATTTCCATTACATATAGTTCTGCGCCCCTGATCGTCGCAACTCTCAACCAGCGAAATTCAATTCTGTTCCTGCATCGAGCAGGAGACTGTGTGGCAGGAATGCGGTCATATCTGCATGCTACCGTCCAGCGATTACACAGCATTGTAGAAATCTTCAGAATAGTCATTGTCTGATATGTGGTCGCTTGTAGCATTGCCGAACTTCAAACTGGGTTGACGCTCATGAGCATCTCGTTGTCCAATCAAGTGAACATTTCCTGCCGGGTATACTATACCTGTGCCATATCTTGTTATCTCTTATGACAATGTCATGTCGCTGTAGTTTCCCATCAAACGTCTCAGAGTTGTCTGTGCTTACTGGTTCCCCGACGACCCAGAATAATGGTCATCATGATATCGATACCACACACCCTTGTACGACCTCTTGAAACAATATCTCTGCCACTGGCTATGTATAGGAATCCCCGAGATGATGTGCAAGGACCACGCCAGCCCTTGCATATCGCTCCCCAAGCCAGAATCAAGGGTTAATCAAGCACACACGGCACAACACTCAACGGTCTCACCGGAGTTAACCCCCTTGATCTTCTGCTTTTGTCCTCTCTGCGAGAGATTATGGTTACATTCGAAGCATAGAGGACTGTATATCTTGTGCATAATGCATATGTTGTCTCTAGAGTAACACACGGCCCCCATGGACAGATAAATAGCATGAGTGTGGGAGGCCGGGGCGGCTGGAGAGATGTTAGTGGGGAGAAGTCGGTAGCTGTTGTAGGTTTATCTGATGCAAGACTATCTAGTACCTCTATATGATCGGCTGCTGATGTAGGTTCGAGTATAGGAATCAATGCTGGTGGGAATATCAGACTCCTCGAAAGAAGATGTGTATCGTAGTCGATGCTTCAATAGCTGTACAGTACAGGTATCATGCCAAGTTGATAGTTGATCTATACTATTTTATATATCCAGTATCATATTCAGTCTCTTCGGAGATCCTTGTCAGGCATAAGCGTACAACCCCACGGTTAGTGGGAGATATATATCTATATATCTATATATATAGATAGATGTTCCACATATGATTCATATGAGGAAATCCAACCATTCCTAACAACATAGCATATAGAAATCACGCATAACTGGAATGGATTTTTCCAAACGCACCTCACCGACCATCAATCTCTCACCAAACACCCATTCTCTACGTGCAATGAAGAACCCCTCCCTCATGCGTATGACAATTCTACCACCGATCAGCCAGAACCCCCTCAAAAGACAGATGGAAATCCAACTTACCGCGGGCACATCCGTAGACGTCGTCGGACTCTGAGTCTGCGTCTTGGTCGCAGCCTCCCCATGCTCATGCTCATGCTCCTGCACTTCCCCCGGACACCCCACGCCAGGCACCGCAACATCAAACGCATACGCCTCCAGCGCAAAATACTGCAGCGTCTCCGAGTCATGCGTGGGCTCGTCTCCCTCGCCCTTCGCCAGCGTCAGCACCTCCTCATGCCCGTCCGCAAAGTGCTCGATCCGCCCCTGCCCCACGGCAGGCATATGGTACAGGCGGTGCATCAGGTCCGCCGCCCAGAAAGTATTCGTGTCGGACGCGGAGACGGTGTAGCCCTGCGCGCACATGGTGAGCAGCGAGCGCCGGGTGGTGTAGCTGCGGTCACAGATGACGGTTTCGCCGGTGGCGTTGTTGCCGCGCCAGTGGCCGCCCCAGCCTGATTACTCTGTTAGTCATTTATCTATGGATGGATATAGGGGAGAGAGAGAGAGAGAGGGACGAAAAGGGGGGGGGAAAAAGAAAGAAAGGGAATACATGCCGTCTAGGTTACAGTTGCCGTCCGGGTTGTCGCAGCGGAACAACATATCCCTCTTATCCCCGCTGATGATCACGTCGTACGCGCCGATGGCTTCCATGCTGGGTCGGTCGCCGAAGTACTTGCGGTAGATGTCGCTGCTGTTGCCCCAGCGGAGAAGATGGGCTTTGGCATGGTCGGCTAGCGCGACGGCCTCGTTGAGGCCGGCTTCGATCTGCCGGCGCTGCGTGGCATTGCAGCTCGAGTGGATAGCGAAGGAAGTGGTGGCACCTGCGTTCCACGGTGAGAGCGCGGGCTTGTCGGGGGACTCTCTCTGGACATGGGCAGTAGGGAGAGCTAGGACGACAGGGAGGAGACAGAGAAGACGGAGGAGGGGAGCCATTGTGATGGTAGGAAAGTAGATCGAGGACGGCCTTGTTGGTTGATCAACATCGTCATTCTGTCGACGGCTCGCGTGGATTTTATACTTGGAGGTTGGGACGGCTTATCCTCCGCGGTACTCATTGTTGACGGCAGAGAGCCATACATCCCGGTCAGATTGGCCGACGAGTGTAGTCGAATGATGGCATGGCTTGCTTCCTTGTATATGGGCCCCGCTGCCAAGTAGAACCTTGGGAGAGACAAGCAGCTGCCAGATGAGTCTTTCCCCCCCCCCCCTCTCTCAGCTGGAGAAGGAGGCCGTGCGGCGTGCTCTTGAACCCTCTAGCCTTCCCATATCAGTCTTGTGCTATGATCAGATCAAGACCATGCTGTAGTACATCCGGATGCTATGCGTGAGAATTGAGAAAAACCCATCAACTAATCTGACAACTCGCTGAGCTTCTCTCCCACCCGTAGTGATACTGACTTCAAGAACCAATCGTCGATATCCGCCATCAGCATCGGAACATTCATCCACGCCAAGATATCCACGGCGGAGGCCGCCAAGAGTCTTGGATCGAGTACCTTGAGAGTAAGACAAGCGAGAACCGGACTCGACCAATCCAATCCACTCTTTCCACCAGTATTTCTACGAACCCGTCGACTTGGCAGCCCATCCTTCTCCTTGGCGATAGACACCTTGGTGGTTAGTGTGGTGGTCAAACGTGGGAAAATCCTTCCCAGCGGGAACCGCGTGGACGGACCCCATATCCCCAGTCCAGTTTCCCAGGGCTATAAGAATATATCCATACCATGCATCCTCTGCGCAACATGTTCCAAGCTCATCGTACACATGCACAGCCGCGCCAAACATGGCCAAAACTCTCGTATTGTCGCTTCTGATCGGCCTTGTCCACGCCCAGTCCTACTCGGGATGCCACACCCACGGCAGCATCGAGTACTGCTACGGCTCCGATGGGAATGAAACCCCGGTCTCGACGCTGATTCCCGCCACAGCGACTATCCCAGCTACCACCACAGCGAGCACGACAGCCTCCGCGCACTCCTCGGCCGTGACGGGCTGCCACAGCCACGGCGACGAGGTCTTCTGCATCGACGACCATGGACATGAGGTGCAGGTGTCGCTGGCATCTACGCCGACCGGGGAGTTGCCAGCACAGTATACGGGCTGCCATTCGCACGACGGAGCGACGTAAGTCAGATTCACATGTTGTTCGTCTTGACTAGCCTAGCCTGACCCGGAGACAAGATACTGCATGGACCCCGAAGGGAACGACGTCAAGATCCTCGAAGAGAGCGCCAAGATTCACTCTGAGTCTGAATCAAGCGGGCAAGCCTCCAAGGAGGGGATGAACTGCCACTTCCACGCGGGTGTTGAGTATGTTTTGCTGCTTCGCGTCAAATATGATGCTTGGATCCTGAATGCTAATGGATATGCGTCTAGACACTGCGTGGGTGCTGGGGAATCCGAATCCGGTTCCGCACATGGGAAGTCCTGTGGTCTACGGGAACGCGATTACGACGTGCCCCTTCGCGTTGGCACGCTGTTCGTGGTCCTGGTCACCAGTTCCATTGGCGTGTTTCTGCCCATGGCGCTGGTCAAGCTGCCCTCCAAGACGCTGAATGGGGTGCTGTCGACGGCGATCAAGCAGTTTGGCACGGGGGTGATCCTCTCCACAGCCTTTGTCCATGTATGTCCATTTCCCTCCAACATAAGGTGTACACACACACACACACACACACACACACACACACACACACACACAAAACAGAACAAAACTAACCGATCAGCTCTACACCCACGCCAACCTCATGTTCACGAATGACTGCCTCGGCGAGCTGGATTACGAAGCCACCACCTCCGCAGTCGTGCTGGCCGGGATCTTCCTCTCCTTCCTCTTCGAATACATCGGCCACCGACTCATCCTCGCGCGCGGCGCCAAGTCCTGCGCCGCGAATACCTGCCCTTCCCCGCCATCATCGACCAAAGAACCCACCCCGCACCACCACACGCTCACCTCGCTCGGGCACAACCACGGCCCGGCGCTCGACCCGACCCACGCCAACACGCAGCTCTCGGTGCTGGTTATGGAAGCCGGCGTGATCTTCCACAGCATCCTCATCGGGCTCACGCTGGTCGTGGCGGGCGACTCGTTCTACAAGACGCTGCTGGTGGTGATCATCTTCCACCAGTTCTTCGAGGGCCTGGCGCTCGGGGCGCGCATCGCGCTGCTGCCGGGCCGCGTGTTCCCGCACAAGGCGGTGATGGCGGGGGCGTTTGCGGTGATCACGCCGGTGGGGATGGCGATTGGGCTTGGGGTGCTGCATTCGTTCAATGGGAATGAGAAGAGCACGCTGGTGGCGCTGGGGACGCTGGATGCGTTGTCGGCGGGAATCCTGGTGTGGGTTGGGGTGGTGGATATGTGGGCGCGGGACTGGGTGATGGAGGGAGGGGAGATGATGGATGCGAAGCTGGGGCGGGTGTTGATCGGGGGGGTGGCCTTGGTGGCTGGGATGGTATTGATGGGAGTATTGGGGAAATGGGCTTAATTCTTTCTCTCTCTCTCTCTCTCTCTCTTCTAAAAAAATAATGAGTACCGGATACCATTGATGTTGATGACTCTGTTTCTAACTGCCTGATAGCGTTCCATATCGATCAAACCGATTCACAGCACTGGAAGCATCCCTAGATCACAAACATCAGCCTCGATCTCAAGACCAACACTTGTCCCACAAGATCAGACATACCGGTCCCTGCCGACCAATCGCCGCATGGTCCTTAGGACAAGCAGCCTCGGCGTCGCGGCTGTACACATAGCACTCGGGGAGACAGTTATTGCCCCAGCTCTGGGCCATGGCGGCCGAGGAGAAGAGGAGGACGGTGGTTGCCAGGATGGTGGAGAGTTGCATCTTGGTGGTTTGTTCTGGAGGGAGTCTGGGATGGAAGTAGGCCTGGGTACTTATCTATTCACTATTATTCCCTTGGGGACTGGGGTTTATATCATGGTTGGAGTGCAAGGGGTCAAGAGAAGTGCATGCTGGATGAGATCATGTAGGGCTGGTTATTTTTCGGGGATGACGATACTGGACTGCAAGGGGAGGAGATCTTCCTGATATCAATATCTCCAAGATGACGAGTCACGGCTAGGATATTGTGGGGGAAAATCACATTATTGTCTATAGATGTACAGTAGTATACAGGATGTGGATAAGGAACAGTAGTCGCTGCGATGTAGTCTATCTAGTCTACCTACATGTACCAGCCCATCCAGTATTCTTGATACATAATCTATCTTTCTCTCTCTCTATCTATCTCGAAAGAAGAAAGAAAAAAGTGAGTCACTGTCAGCGTCCGCTCCCACCTCGGCCCCAACACCGACTTACTATCATTCTTAGTGCCGTGGCCCATCATGCCTCCCCACATCGGGCTTTTTATACTTGGCCTCTTTCAGTCCCCGCGTTGCCGATAATAATCATACATAATACCCTCCCACTCTATCCATCAGAAAGATCAAAATATTGCTACGCACCGCATACCACGATGAACATCCGCTACGCCACCGAAGCCGACACCCCCACCCTCGCCGAGATCAACATCGTCAGCTTCCAACACGGCCCTTTCTACCGCGCCACCTTCCGCAATGTCGACCCGCGCGTCGCCATCCCCATGAAACACGCCCGCGGGCTCTCCAAGCTCACCAACCCGCGCACCCACCTCCTCGTCGCCACCGATGCTGCCGAGCAGATCCTCGGCACCGCGCGGTGGCTCTTCCCGGCGTCCAGTCCCGCGCGGGAGACAGGGGCGATCGCGATCTCCGACGAGGGACGGGCCAAGGCCGCCCAGGTGGAGGAGCTGCGGCCGCAAGGGATGAATCTGGCGGTGTATGAGGAGTTTCTGAAGGTGTTGGAGGAGACGCGGGCGACGCATGCGAAGGAGGATGATATCAGTGAGTTTTTTTTTTTTTTTTTAGATTATTTTATTACATTGTCTTTGAATGTTGATCCAAGGGGGTTTGACTGTAGTGTTGGAATTGCTGGCGACGTATCCGCAGCATCAGGGCAAGGGCGTTGGGTCGGCGCTGTTGAGGTGGGGGCTGCAGAAGGCAAATGAGATAGGAGCACGGATTTATCTCGAGGCAACGGATGAAGGGTATCCGCTGTACTGCCGGTATGGATTCACGGAGATTGGTGAAATTGTGATGGATTACTCGGTGTATGGTGGCGACGGGAGTCAGCGATATGTGGTAATGGTTAGGGATCCTGATCCGGTGTCTACAGAAGAACGTACGGAGTAGAAGTTTCAGCTTTTGCGAAGGTTGTATTGTATGATGGGTGAACGAGATCTGGACCCTCAATAATAGGCAGGTCCTCGCAATCGAATCTAAAAAAAAAAAGGCCCGGGGATAAGCGTGTCCTTTGTCGATGGCTAGATTGGCTGCTTTTGGGGCTTTGGAACTGCAGGCTACCGACTTAGTAGTAGTCCCTCGTACTTATGTACACCGACTAAGCAACCTGATGCAAAGCTTTATTGGATTATGGGTTCCTTGCTTGCTGTATTATTATTGAGAGAATGACATGGGAATGAGATTATACTGCCTCCACTGTGTGACCTGTTGCAAAGCTTCGGTCTCTCGTCCGGTCAAATCGATGAGCCCACAGTCGTTTAGCAAATCAAATCCTCCTTATCTCTAGATTCTCTCGTCTCTATCTATCTACAATCTTCAATCTGCTAATCTAGCCGCGACGATTAAGTACTTAGTAGACAAACTCCACAACTGAAGCGATATCCGATCCACATTCCCCGCAGACTACCGAATTACACTACGGGCTAGCAACAACTCAGGACTGACTACTCCGTACGGAGTAAGTTACTCCTAGTATTATTGATAAGCAACTCTCTCCCACCGCAAGAACCTGCCTGATTCCGCCTAGAGCCTTGGCGATCCCGCAGCGGGCAGACAGGATGGCCGAATGGGCGGCCCTTGTGATTTGTCTGCGGCGGGATGGAGTGGACGTACGAGGCGTTCGACTTGGCTTTTGCAGGGCTGGTCCCTCAATGGCCGCGGCGATTATTTGGCATCATAGATCGATCCTCTTGGGAGAACCGCATGGAACTGCCCCGTACGGATCCCCTCGTGACCGCCACTGTAGGACATCGACTCGTCTATAAGATAGTACCCTGCCTCCGTCTGATGATTGGGAATGGAACAGACACAGAGAACTTTTCCAGACTGACTGATACTCTATCCAACGCATCGTTTCGTCTTCTTGAACAACCTCATTCCCCCCCCCCCCCCTCCAGCTGCTTCCAGCCAGGCCAAGGCCCCCTTAGATGGCGATCTCTCTTATGCCGCTCCGCCGACACTCACACGCCTATACTATATCTTTATCGCAGCCTACTCGCAGAGCCAGTAGAAATTGAATTGGATTGAATTGAATGAAATTGAATCTGAATTTTGAATCTGAATCTGAATCTGAATTGGAATCAATAAATCAAACATGGCCATCGATATCCTCCCGTTGACGAAAAGCGACATCCCCGATGCCGTAGTCTGCATCCAAAAGGCCTTCGCCGACGACCCGTATTTCCGCTGGATGTTCGACGACCCGGCCACAGTACGTCTCTCTCCTCCTCCTCTTCCCCTTTTTCCCCAGCGGAAATCCCAAGTCCCGTATTCTCACAAGACTTCCCATCACCCCATACAGTTCAACCCCCAGCGCAACGCCGCCTCCATCACCGCCCACTTCCTGCACGGCCTCAACTGCAACGCCCCCATCTACGTCGCCAAATACCGGCCCACGCCCACCGACAAACACCCCGCCGTACCCGCGCTCGCCTCCCCCATCGTCGGCGTCTGCTGGTGGCTACCACCGCACCCGCCCGCCCAGCCCCCCTCCTGGTCCACCTGGACGCAGGACTGGCTCCTCTCCTTCCGCCAGCTGCTCTCGAACCTCCGGTTCTGGGGCCGCGGCGGGCTCAACCTCCGCCGGTACTGGATCTGGAAGGACCTGCAGGCGCGCACGCATGCGGACCTGTGGACGCACCCGCGCGGCTACTACTTCTGTAACGTGATTGCGGTGCGCGAGGGCTTGAGGGGCATGGGGGTGGGGCGGAAGTTGGTGGAGGTGGTGACGGGCCGCGCGGATGCCGAGGGCGTGCCGTGTTATCTGGAGAGTTCCAAGGGGGAGCCGAATTTGGTCATCTATGAGAAGATGGGGTTTCGGTTGGTGAGGGAGATTGAGTGTGTTGATGGCTGGGATGCGTGTAAGGTATGTTTCCTCCTTTTTTTTTTAAACCCAAGCCCTCGCCCTCGCCCGCCCCTGTTGGCGAAGTATGTGTGCTGACTGGTTAGTTGTACTGTATGGTGCGGGAGCCGAGGGTCAAGGCGTAGGTCTATGATCTTTGCGAGGGGGATGGCTTGAGATCATGTGTGTGACAGACAGAGAGAGACATATATATATTTGTATGTATATTCGTGGCTTGGAACGTGTTTGTGATAGACAATTGGATTCAATCCTATTACAATGGATACATCAAGACAGAAACGTCACAGGAGAAAGATACAGCTCAGGACCTCTAGGAGAAATCTAAATAACCGAGCCAAGTGCGATGCAAGGCAAGCTGAGAGCCACTCCGTCGTTGCTCTACACCGAGTGTTAGCACGAGCCTCTCTGCAAAAGAGAACAAAAAGTACTTACCGCATCCGCTTTGGGCGCCTGACAGCAAGCCACGTTCTGCTTGCATCTCTGGTTCAGTGCGTCCTGGATGGGAACACCAATGATTGGAACTTGTCTTCTTAGCACATCGTATATTCAAAACCGATTGAATCGCGGACTCACTCTGGAGGTCGAGCTTGGCGCACTGATGGAACAGATTCACGCCCTGGTTCACACTCCCGCCGCCAAGGACGTCCTTGAGCAGACCGGCGGCAATACCCTGGTCGATGTTGGTGCTGTCGCCGCCCATCGAGGCCTGGTTGCAGCAGGAGAGCTGTGCCTGGTCACCGCACTTTTCCGCAGCTTGTTGCACGGTCATGCCGCTAGGGAGGATCGGGAACTGGGGGCTCGAGCCGGGGCGAGCGGCCACCGAGACGGCGAGGACGAGGCCTGCGATGCTAAGAGCAAACTTCATTATGACTAGTGGTAGAGAGAGAGAGAGAGAGTGTGTGTGTGTGTGTGTGTGAAGAAGGGAAAGACCAAGTGCTGTCGAGAGGAAAACGCTCTGGTTATGAAGGTTGGAGGCTGCTACATTCCAGTATCAAGACTGACTATTTAGATCGTGTTGATCCATCATTCCAGGGCCAGGGCTATAGGGATGAATCAACGATCAGCTTTCATGCCATCCCTGGAGAAAACCTGAGCATCGGGGAGAGCACTCTAGCGTGAGAGTGTGGAATGTGGGTAGACTCCCATATCAGCCCGAGATATGGAGCTGTTGCTCGGGCAGTTGTTTAGTATGTGACCCCTGGTACTACCATATCCATTTATCGCTCAGGATCGCTGGAATTGATCTCATCAATGAGAAGCATGAACCGGTCTGGATACCACACAGCAAGGGATACATTCAGGTAGAACAGCCACACCTCAACAACACTCGTGAGGGATCGCTGGGAGCATGGGGATACACCTTTCTAAGGATAGCCTCTGATTGAGTGCACATTCGTTATACAGTCCAGGATGGTAGACCCTTGCAATCCAGAACATCTCCCTGTCCATCGACTCCCTGGATGCTTCGAGTCCTGGCCAGATGGGATGAAACGATGAAACCAAACCGGCAGGCGGTGGCAGAACAGGCTCCCCCTTTTTTTTTCCGCTCCGAGGGTCTTCCCCGCACCTGATCTGGGCCAGCTGTTCTGCCGACGTCAGTCAATCTTAGAGATAAACCCCCGTCGTCACGATGAAGATTGTTTACATCGGAGTAGGCCATCAACTCCCGATCTCTCTGTGCTGTATCTAACCCTTTCAACTCGTGGTAGATCCTCCAAAATGCCCAGCAACCCGCTGTGGAGCTCTGCGCTGAGCGCGAGCTGAGCAGCTACTCCCGTTTCACCCGCGGCAGCATCAGCGAGTTCATGACCATGTTCAGCAAGACCGTGGCCGAGCGCACAAAACAGGGCCAGAGACAGGATATCCAAGAGCAGGGTATGTTGCGCAGTGTATCAGAGGCGATGGCCCGCTTCGTCTAAAACGTCAGACAGACTTCACATTCCACGTCTACGCCCGCACCCAAGGCATCGCTGGCGTTATCATCAGCGATAACGAGTACCCCTCGCTCGCCGCGCATCAGATCCTCTCCAAGGTCCTCGACGAGTTCCTGTCCCAGAATCCCACCGCGGGCGCCTCGCGCAACCCGGTTTCCTTCCCCGCACTGAGGACCTACATCACCACCTATCAGAACCCGCAGGAAGTGGATAGTATCATGAAGATTCAGAAGGAGTTGGATGAGACCAAGATCGTGCTGCACAAGACCATCGAGAGCGTGAGTCTTGATTGTCGTGAAGATCGCTTGGTTAGCGGTCGCTGACCCGTTGTTAGGTTCTGGAACGAGGCGAGAAGATCGACGACCTGGTCTCCAAGAGTGAGGGACTCAGCGCCCAGAGCAAGATGTTCTACACGTCTGCGAAGAAGCAGAACTCCTGCTGTGTGATTATGTAAAGGGGTTGCATATAACCGGTTCGTTCGAAATTCGACATGGCGTTTACTTGGGAGCTGGACCCGGATGCTATGCTTCAGCTTCACCGGGCGGCACCACGGAGCGATGAGATCCTGGGCCTACGTCTCGACGACTGACTACGCTCCACAGGGACTGGCCGAGGTTGCCGCCGTTCATGATGATAGATTTGCGTTGCGAGATTGGGTATATTTTACAGGCTGCTATTCACTCATGAGCCTAATCAAATTGCTACTTAGTTGATGAAAGGATTAGTTTTTAATAATGACCATCATGATTGCTCTACCCAAGAAGCGGTGTCCCAGTCTCCAGTTACCCCTGAGCAGAGACGGAGTTGCGGCCTGAGGCATCAAGTCACATGTTCTCTTGCTATTTTTGTACCACTTCATACATTGAGGCTATGAGCCACCTCGCCCCTGGTCTGGCCACGTTTGCCTCTTGTTCACTTGTTGAGTGTTAACGTGTTACGTCCTAGGCGGGGTCTCTTTCGTCACAGCACTCCATAGTCACTACGGAGTAGTGGCATTGCCCCTGTTTCTCTTCATGGACCTTGGGAGGGGTAAGTTGATCCGATGCATGGCATACAGAAGCCATTCAGCTGCACCACCAGTCCCATGGTAGGGTAGGAGTATCTGAACTTCATGCGAGGGGCAGTCAGGATTGTCAGCCTTGACTCACTACACAGTACAACGCGAGGACTGGAAGACCGCGGGGTATACTGCCCAATTGAGTAATAGGGCACAGGGCTCGTCACTAGGGCATCTTCAGCAGCCTTGGTGCCTGAGCGATTGACCAGTAACTACGACCACAGACCACAGACCACAGACCAACCCTAAGTAATCACAATGATGCAGATCGTCCAAGTCTTCTAGAAGGAGCACCCAATCTGGCTGGGCGGTTTTCAAGGTCGATACAATTGCTAATCCGATCCACTTCCCAGCAGAAGCTTTCCCAATAACAACCTAGACACAGGCTTTCGGTATCGCTTGTTCCCAATTTTTTTCCCTATCGGCACTTTGAGAGCCATTCGCCGTCAGTGCCAATCAATATATAAATAAAATACTAAATAATTAGCAGAGATTCACCACAATCACCGACCGACTGTACCCGGGTTGCCGGCCCGGTGGCAGTCTGATTGGCCACCACCGCCGAAAATGGGCCATCTCAGAGGTATGGAACAGTTGCCAAAGGAGGCTTTCAGCTGGGTAGAGAAGATAGATATATCTGGATTGTTGTCTGTGTGCTGTGTGCTTTGTGCCTGCTCGGTTGGACCTGGTCTCTATCGTCATTCTTTTCCTTGTCTCGTCATCTTCTTAGCGTCGTTATAGGTGTGTTTCGAGTCTGAATCCATGTCCATGTACACGTCAACGCCCTCGTTCGGCTGTGTGGCTAACTATGAGATCGCCTACTAGTCCACTTGCATATCAATAGCGTTCTACATCGTCTCTCTTTTTTTTTTTGAATCTCTCCCATCCTTTGTCTACAATCCATTACCGTCGCAGTAGATGACATGGATCAAGACTACCCTGTCCGGCACTCACTCCCCTTCGGCGGCCAACGCAACAAGCTCGCCGAGTTCCTGACAGCGGATCTGCTGGTAGCTGCAGGATCAGCAACCCTGGTGACTCCCGCTGTCATGATCCTCGACCGGTGAGTGGTGACCGCAAACCGGGCCAGCCCAATCCCGTCACTGACAAGGATCAGACTGGTCGTCGAGAAGTCATCCTACAACCAACCGCTTCTCCCGGCCTTTCGCCGACACCTCTGGCTCTCCATCACGCAGCCTGCAAATTTCCTCACATCGCGGCCGGCTCTTCTCGTCTGGTCCCTCTACACCGCGACCTTCGCGACTGCAAACGCCACGGAGACCATCCTGAGCAAAGTCTACCCCGCCGTCGACCATGCCATCGCAGGCACCACCACCTTCCTCTCGACCTTCGTGGTCAACTCCTCCGTGGGGATCTGGAAGGACGTCAAGTTCGCCCAGCTATTCGGCCACCAGGCTCCCGTCGCGAAAGCTCCCACCCCTACACCAGCTCCATCCGCTGCCGCCACGCCGCCCAAGATCCGCACCGTCACGCGTTCCTTTCCTCTCGCCACCTACTCCGCCTTCCTCGTCCGCGACGCCCTCACCATCTTCGGCTCCTTCAACCTCCCCCCGCTCGTCTCCGCCTCAATCCCAGACTCCATCGCCTCCAGCGAGTACCTCAAGATCCTCATCGCGCAGCTCGCCGTCCCGGCCTCCATCCAGCTCATCAGCACCCCAATCCACCTCCTCGGCCTGGACCTCTACAACCGGCCCATCCAGCTGCCCGCCAAGGAACGTCTCGGCCGCGTCGGCCGCGACTGGATCGGCGCGTCCCTGACTCGCATGTGTCGCATCATCCCGGCCTTCGGGATCGGCGGGTTCGCCAACACAGAGGGGCGCGCCTTCCTCCACGGCCAGCTCGATCGGATCGAAGCTGAATCGTGAAAGGAAAACAAAAAAAAATCAAAATGAATAATCCACATGCATATTTCTCACATCACGTCATAATCAAAAATACACTCCATCTTCGGAGTTGTCCTCAATCCCTCAGTTCCTGTTTCTGTCTGGTCCGGTTTGATCGGGGTGGTGGAAGCCCAAGAAACGGGAAAACTATGTCACTACGGCGGGGAGGCGGGGCGGCGGCCCTAGGCTTAGCCCTAAACCAATACCCAAGTCCCAACTCCCAAGCTGCCCTAATCGGCGGCTCCACAGTACCACCAACCGCATACCACCGGCCCGGCCGAATCCCTTCGAAAGCAAAAGCGGGAATAGGAAATTCGTTCCGGCATCTTCATATCGGCTTGGGTGTCCTGGCAATCTAAGTCTACGGGTGATCAGATTGGAAGATGCAGGATCTGGAGACCCCGGATGATCGGATCAGAACTACAACTACAACTACCAACGCCAACGCCAACGCAGTAATCCTGATTCCTGGTTGACTGGAACTACGGCTCGAAATTCGACGTCTGATAAAGTGGTTGGAACTCTCTGTACATAAAGGAGAACATAGCTTCGCTTTAACTCCACACATATCACAAGAAATCACACTTGATTTGAATGAATATACAAATGCAGTTGAACCTCCTCCCATCTTGTCACATCTATATTCTTCAAGCCTAGAGTTGAAGACTCTAGTCTAGAGGCATGTCCCAAATGGCCAATCGCCTGTCGAGTTTTTGTTTCACTCGAAGGAAGAGGGATTGATAGGGATATAGATTATGAGAGTGGTCCAAGAGGGAGGTACATAGAGAGCAAGGTCAATGGAAGTAGTTGAGAGTAGGAGAAAGCAGTGAAGGCCAGTCAGTACGGAGTGAGTTTAGCAGGCGGCATATGCTTAATAACAAAAAAAACCTTGGAGAGTAAGGCTACACTGCAGAGGATACCCAGCCGTCAACCATTAGCAAGTCCCTCAAGTCCACACACATATACACAAAGCCCATGCAACAACAACAACAATACATCCCAACTCACACCACCGGAGTCTGGTCACCTCGCCCAGGAACGGCAACCGCCGTATCTTAATTTCTAGAGTAAGAAATTAAGATACTAAACTTAATATTAGAGATATTATAGAGCTCGAATCTAAAGTACTAATTAATAAAGGCCGTTGACGGCCGATACGTAGCATTAAACGTCTCAACCCGCCTTGGCGGCAGAGAGAGAGGCGATGCTGATGGAGAGGAGAGGAGAGGAGCGTTGGCTTGTGGCCAGGGTATCCATCCGTGTTCGCCGAATCTGGAGGGAAGCGTCAGTGTCAGCTGGGGCCGTGAGGAGGTTGGAACACGTCTCCACGCGAAGGGACAGCTGTAATTGCCCAGCCACGAGCCAAACACCGCTTCGAAGATATTCTCATAGATGGCCTGCAGCCAGTGGGCAGTATCTGGGGCGATTGAGCGCGAGTTGTTGTTCTGGAGCCGATTCATGGATTGGGTACCGCCCATCCACTACGCTGCCATCAACTTGAATCCTGCAGTTTGTCAACCCATCAAAGGAGACATACTACGAAACTGCACTGTCGGTTCCGCTTGACACCGACTGCCCCCCCCGGACGGCATCGCAGCTGGAGAACTGTTTACGACGGATCCGAGTGTTGCATGTCGAAGTGGCTTCAAGAGTTGGAGAGGGACGAGGACAGAGAAATCCCCGCAGTTTTGAACCAGAAATACGCCATAGACGCAGCCGAGGCTTTGTTGGCCAATCCATTGCCAGCATCTAATTCAGCATGCCAAAGGAATCTAGGGAGCCCCGCATCTTCAGTCTGCACTCCGCAAAGGAATATCGGATCTAAAAATAGTACTTCACCTGCATATACAACAACATCCCCTCACTCACCCTTCCCACCTCGCACATGACCTCCTGGAGCAGGAACCAGATCGCCCCGGTCTCCAACCTCGCCCAGCGCAAGGTCTACCTGCAGGTGGGCACGGCCGACACAACCGTCGGCCCCAACGTGATGGCACAGCTGCAGGAACAACTGGCCGGCTTCGTCGACGCCAGCAACATGACCTACATCATCACTAAGGGTGCCGCACACACCTTCCCCACGGACTTCGACGGCGACGGCGAGAATCCGTGCGGCACGGCCAGCTCGCCATACATCAGCAACCGCGGATACGACGGGGCAGGCGCGGTGCTGAAGTGACTCTACGGCGACCTGCAGGCGCGCAACGATGGGGCGCTATCCGGGTCGGCGCTGGCGTTCGAGCAGACGGGGTCGTACGGCGCCGCTGGGATGGATGGCACGGGGTATGTGGATGTTCCTCTTGCGTGCCAGGCCGGGACGAAGTGCACGCTGCATGTTGCGCTGCATGGGGTGTCAGCTGGCCCGAGGCAAGATTGGGGACAAGTTTGTGCGGAATACCGGGTATTTGCGGTGGGCGGATGCGAACGAGATGATCGTCCTGTTTCCGCAGGCTATGGTGGATACCAGGATAATACTCTGCATTTCATCTAGGGGGGGCACGATGCTGTCGAACCCGAATGGGTGTTGGGAATGGGGTGGGCTGATATGGGGCGGATACCGATCAGAAAGGGGGTGAGATTGACTTCTCTGGATGTTTCTTTTTTCGACGGAGTGTAGACAGACGCTGACAGTAGTGCTTAGGGGCTCAGATGAAAGCCGTGCTCAATCAGGTCAATCGGCTCCTGAGCGGATATCAAGGATGAGCTGCAGTCCAGGCGGCGTTTTACCATGTTGGGAAGGGAAGCCCTACTCCGGCGGGATGGGTTGATGAAGGATGCCTCCTGGTTTTAGCTTAAGAGTCCACGGAGCAGAATATATTAACTTGACATATGCACAATCGGTAATTCTGTGTCTGGAAATCCCGAAGAACACCTGCCCTCTACAGTATCTCGTCGAAGTTGCGAACGGGGGGCAACAGCGCAATGGGATCATAGCTGAAACACGGCGAGTCTCAGACTGAGACAAATTAACAAAGCTTCATATAAATTGGGCGGAGACAGAAAATCAGCCTAAATCTATCGGCCAGGCTCCGGGGGGAAGTGGACGAAACGAATTCCGTGACAGGATGAGGAAAGGGATCGTCGAGAGTGTATAAAGACAGAGAATATTCCACCGAGGAACCATCGATATCAGACTACATCCATCCATTCATTCATTCATTCATTCATTCATTCATTCATTCCACCGTCAATCACACTCACATTCTTTCTTTTGTTCTACACTCAGTATCAAAATCAACCAGCACTATGGTCGTCCTTAGCAAGATTTTCAGCTGCGCGCTCTTCCTCTCGTTGGGCTCGGCTGCAGCCATCGACATACGCCAGACCTCCAGCATCAACAATGCCTTCAAGTCCCACGGCAAGAAGTACTTTGGCACCTGCGGCGACCAGAACACTCTATCCATCCCGCAGAACTCAGCCATCATAAAGGCAGACTTTGGCGCCCTGACGCCCGAGAATAGCATGAAGTGGGATGCCACTGAGCGTATGTTTTCCTCCGGGGGAAGTGTCCCCGAGTCGACGGAGCTGACTTTGCAATAGCTTCCCGGGGAAAATTCAACTTTGCCGGCGCGGATCACCTGGTATTCCTCCTTTTTTCTTTGGATCTCATAGGGAGAGCCGTAGGTACAGGGGCTGATGGAAACAGGTCAACTATGCTAAGCAGAATGGCAAGCTGGTCCGGGGCCACACCCTAGGTATGTTCTTCTCTTTTCATCCATTTCCTCAAACAGTTCTAATCGGTCCATCCAGTCTGGTACTCTCAGCTCCCCGCGTGGGTTAAGGCCATCTCGGACAAGCAGACCCTGACCTCGGTGCTGAAGAACCACATTACCACCGTCATGAGCCGCTACAAGGGCCAGGTCTACGCTTGGGTAGGTTTCCCCCCCCCCACCCCCTTCTTACGCGAGGCTCGACTGTTCTAAATGGGGTATAGGACGTGGTCAACGAGATCTTCGAGGAGAACGGCAGCCTGCGCAACAGTGTCTTCTATCGTGTGCTGGGCGAGGATTTTGTGCGCATTGCTTTTGAGACGGCGCGCGCCGTCGATCCCCATGCGAAGCTGTACATCAACGACTACAAGTAGGTTTCCCTGTGCCGATATAAAAAGACGTATATACTCACGATAACAATAGCCTCGACTCCGCCAACTATGGCAAGACCCAGGCTATGGTCAAGCATGTCAAGAAGTGGCTGGCTGCTGGGATCCCCATCGACGGCATCGGTAAGTTGACGGTCTGTCTTCGTCTCACGCGGATGTCGCTGATGATTTTCTAGGCTCGCAATCCCATCTTAGTCAAGGTGGCTCATCCGGCGTTAAGGGATAAGTCTTCCCATGTCTCCCCCTTTTGATCCTCGATGTACTGACCCCGAATACAGCTCTGTCGGCCCTTGCTTCCACTGGTGTCTCCGAAATCGCCATCACCGAGCTGGATATCAAGGGTGCCAACCCCAGCGAGTATGTGGCCGTGACCAAGGCATGCCTGGAGGTGAAAAAGTGCATCGGCATCACCGTCTGGGGTGTCTCCGACAAGAACTCCTGGCGCAAGGACAATTCGCCCTTGCTGTTCGACCGCAACTACAACCCCAAGCCGGCTTACAATGCCATTATTGCCGCTCTGTAAATGGACTTCCGAGTCCTGTTAAGTTCTATATATAGGTTCTCTTCTCCAATACACTTGATCAGGCTTGATCACTCGGGTGGCTGAGCTGGTTTCAGCCACTCCTGGGGGGCCTACATACTAGTATAGCTGCATATCTGCATATCTGCATCCTTGCATGTGAGCTTGTTCTCACGTCAGATGGCCCATTAATAGACGAGCGATGAGTTGGAGGTTTAGATTAAATACGCTCACACCCCATTTTTTTTTCTCTTCTGCTGTTGCTGCCGGACAGGTCATCGTTCTCACAATGTATTCATCCATCCTGACCATCGCTGGTATCCTCAGCCATCTCCTCTACTTCCGCCATGGCGACCATCACCTCCTCGGCGTCACTTACCTGCAGCTCTTCGTCTTTGCTGTGGCTTCGACGACCCTCTACTACCAGTACATTCACGATCTTCCCTGGTCGAGCGCCCTGACGACAACTTCGCACATCTTCTTCCGCTACCTCGCCGGTCTCTACAGCAGCCTCCTGGTCTACCGCTTCTTCCTCCATCCTCTGCGCCGCTTCCCAGGCCCTCGAGCCGCCCGCCTCTCAGGCTTCTGGTCCTTCACCCCCAAGCACACTAACCATACCACCCTCTTGGCCCTTCATCGGCAATACGGCCCCATCGTGCGCGCCGGCCCTGCAGAACTCTCACTCATCCTCCCGTCCGCCGTCCCCGCCATCTACGGAAATCAATCCGCCTGCGTCAAAGACTCTGTGTACGACCTGGTCCTCCCATCCCAGCCACTACAGAACTGCCGCGATCGCGCCGAGCACGCCGCCCGCCGCCGCATCTGGAGCCCCGCGTTCAGCGACAAACGGCTGCGTGGCTACGAGCAGCGCATCCGCGTCTACCGCCAGCAGCTCGTCGACCAGCTCCACCACTTGGCCGACACGCCCGTCAACATCTGCAAATGGTTCAACCTCTACAGCTTCGACGTGATGGGCGACCTGGCTTTTGGCCGCGGCTTCGACAGCCTCGCCACCGGCCACGAACACTGGGCCATCCTCCTGCTCGTCGAGGGCATGAAGCAAGTCGGCCTGTTCTTTCCCCCGTGGGCCGCCCAGCTCCTCCTCGCGATCCCCGGCGCGAGCAAAGGGTGGTGGCGGCTGCTGGACTTCTGTAGCGAGAGACTCGACCAGCGGATCCGAGAGGGCGAGCGCGTGGATGCCGAGACGGACACCTACTTCCCCGACATCAGCGAGTCGCTGCTCGCGCCGTACAAGGAGCGGGCCCCCACGCTGCAGGAGCGGAGGGACCTCGACGGCGACGTGCGGCTGATCGTCGTCGCGGGCAGCGATACCACCGCCGTGACGCTGTCGAGTATCTTCTACGAGCTGGTGCGGCATCCGGGGGAGATGGCGAAGCTGCGCGCCGAGCTGGCGCCGTATGCGACCGGTGCGGACGATGGCGAGTTTCTGGGCTCGCAGATCGCCCACCTGGACCACTTGAACGGGGTGATCAATGAGGCACTGAGGTTGTATCCGCCCGTGCCGGGACTGTTGGCGCGGCGGACACCCAAGGAGGGCATCGTGGTGGATGGGGTATATATCCCAGGGAATATGACGGTGTCTTGTCCGCAATATGTCATGGGACGATGTAAGTTGTTTTTTTTTTTTTTTTTATGTTCAATCGACACAAGACGAAGCTAACTTGTCAGCCGAACTATGCTACGAGAGGGCGGACGAGTTTATCCCCGAGCGCTGGTACAAGTCCCCAGAGCTGATCAAGGATGAGAGGGCTTTTGCGCCGTTCACCATCGGCCCGTACAGCTGCATTGGACGGCCGCTTGCGTTGATGAATCTGCGGGCGACGGTGGCCAGGCTAGTCATAACCTTCGACGTGGAGTTTGCGCCGGGGGAGGACGGGAGGGCGTTTGTTGAGAAGGCGCAGGATAACTTTGTACTGTACCCGGGGGCCTTGAATTTGACATTCAAGAAGAGATAGATCCATTAGTAGTCGATATAAGCCCATTTTCTATAATTATCTCTTAGCTAGGCAAGCGACTGCACCAATCAGAGTGATATCACCATGCAAGAAGAGTCAGCGGCTGCCTGACATCAAGGCAGCAAAGCAGTAGCAGTCAGGTTGTTTCCTTCTCCCCTCCCCACTTCAGATCAGATAAACCGCGTTGAAGATACTGCTAGAGCACAGCAAAAGACACGACTACGGTAAAATATGGGCCTCACGACCCCCGCTATCATCGTCATCGTCATCGTGGCCTGTCTTGCCACCGTCTCTCTGGGCGCCGCACTCTCGCGCCAACTCTACCCAGCCCATACCCACGAGGCACGGTTCCAGCCTTCGCACGAACAGGCACACTACATGCGATCAGTCCGATTGAAGACGCTGGGTGCTTTCCACCGGGAGAGCATGCACGACGTGGAGAGTTGATGCTGGGTTGAGTTGATGTGGGCTACGCTGCTGATCGTGGCGAGTGAGAGAACGGTTCAAGCGACGCGCGGTATCAAAGATTTACATTACAGAAGAAGAAGAAGAAGAAGAAGAAGAAGAAGAAGAAGAAGAAGACAGAGTGACAGAGAGATCGAGTTTCGATGAGGACGACGGATCGTTGAGGGGGGCTCCAGAGGCAGCGGATGGGCGATGCTAAATGGTAGAGCGGACGCTGAATGTGTCCATGGCATTTCCTCAGCCCCAAGTATGCTCGCGTGGGAAGGGCCATGGTGGGGAATCTGGAGAGAGATGAGAGGAGCAGATAGATTGATGGTGCTATTCACTATCTAACTATGAAGGAAGGAGGCTCAAGATGGGAGATATGGCTTACTGGCTTCGTATGTGAGCTGTTATACCTATGAGAGAAGGATAACCGGGAGATATAGAGGTAAAACCCCAGGAGTATATAGAGTAACTCTAGGACCTACAGCTACTCAGCTAATAGGGCTAACTTTCATCTTTGTGGCTTGGTGCTGTAGTTTTCATAGGGCACCTGAGATTTGACCTTGGTCCTATAGATAGACTCTATTACATTATAGACATAGAGAGCTAGTGGATAGATGTCAATGCATAGATCACAGGTGTATCTGTCCATCTCGCCCGGAGTAGGTGATGAAGACAGGCCGTCAATGTCATTATAGGAGTAATCACGCCTCTTTATCCAGATACGCTTCCTCCCTCCACCCATTCTCCAACCCCAGAATCTTCCCCGTGATGATCCCCTTGAGCGTGAACAGCGTCAACACAATCGCAATAATCACCAACATGATCAGGAGGGCTGTCGACCACACCTTGAACGCAGGCGAGTCCATGATCTTGCCCAGATACACCGCACAGTTCGTATACACGCCCTATCCATCATCATCACCATTAGCAGCAGCTCCACCATCGAGTGAACTACTATACTCAGAAGAAAAAAAAAAGGGAAACCCACCCAGGGAAAAACCAACGACCACACCCCGAGATGAAACCGCGTCGCTCTCCACCCCCCGGGCCGCCCCAGCAGCGTATGCACGATACTCATGAGAGCAAAACACCACCAGAACGTGCCAAACCCCCACGACAGCACGCCCGCGAACTGGCTCAGCGCGGCGATCGGCTCCGCCGCCTGCGGCGTGAGCAGCGTGCCGCGGCCGTACGCGGGAAACGTCTTCCGCACCGCGTCGCCGAGGATCTGCAGCGCGAAGCCGGACTGGCCCCACGGCCCGCAGATGATCATGTCCTGCCAGACCATATCGGCGCAGGGGTATGCGTCTGCGAAGTGCTGGAAGAGGATGATGGCGTCGTAGCCGAGGGCGAGCGCCAGGCCGGCGCCGATCAGGAGGTATGCGACGATGATGACGGGGACTTGAAGGCGCGCGGAGATCGGGGCGGCGGCGCAGAGGGTGCCGGCGCCGGCGGCGGAGGTGAGGGCTGCGATGAGCGGGAGGAGGACGGCCGGGGGGAGGTGTTCGATGCCGGAGGGCTGCAGGCGGAGTTGGACGTAGGGGATGGCGATGACGGCGACGACGCCGAGGAACGCGTCGATCCACCAGAGGACGTAGACGGCGATGCCGACGCCGTGGGAGTCGCGGTATTGCAGCGCGGCCAATTGGATGATGCTGGTGTAGGTGATGGCGATGCTGGAGAGACAGGAGGTCTCGATGAGGTTGTGGCGGAGCTCATGGACGACGTGTTTGGGGTATCGAATAAGGCGCAGGAGGTAGAGGATGACACCCAGACCCAGGACCACAATGGTGTAGATCCAGACGATCTTGGAGAGGATGTGTAGAGCCCCAAACTGATAGTCCAGCTGCCACAGGATCAGCGCAATGCTGCCGGTGCCTTGGGGGACGAGGAACCATTGCGGTGAGAACTTGAACAGCGCCCGGGAGAGAGGAGACGTTGGGGGATTAGGATCGTTTGTCATAGCTACTATATACAATTGAGATGGAAATATTCAAACAAAATGGAAAAACTGAGGTTATTATTTTGGGGATGTGGTCATGACATCACCCCGTGTGGGGAGGTTACAGCTATCCATCAATTGAGTATCATGATTCATGGGACAATCCGAGCCAAATCATGGAATGATACAAGCTTATTAATTAGTTGGAGATAGGCAGTGTTGTAGACACTCGCGATTTAGGGCTTCTCACTACTGGGTGATGTCCTCCTCATCCTCCGCTCCGCCCCCCAGACTCTCCGATCTCACTCTCTCCGCCCCCGCCCGCCCCCCGCAACACCCCCGGAATTACCCCCATGCTCTTCAATTCAGCGTTCTATATTCGAAGGTCAGAACTTTTAGCTTTCGTTCTCTACTCCTAGTGCTTGGTTGGCATGTTAAGCTGCTGTCATATTCTACTCTCTACTTATCTAGCGTCATCATCCATCACAGCTTACGCGAAACCTGTATTTGGAAAGCTAAGACAACGTGCTCATGGCAACCCCAATCTTGGATCTACTTACCCCGTCGGTCTACAAATCATGTTCCCTATGTGGATTTTATTCTTCCTTGGGTCCTAAGGCTCGCTACTTGTACAATCACACGGGGGGGAGCCATACTCAACCAGCTCGTGTCGGGGCCCGAGTGATGAGTGCTTGCTCCCTCTTTTCCCCTTCTAAGGAACTCTAACCCCCAGCATCAGGCCGTTCCCCTGTCTTGCAGGATGCAAATACCACTGCGGAGAGATGGATGCTACGGTCCCCGCAGGCAGCATCTCGAGGAGTGCATCGATGCGGTGCGCTGACGTCGTACTGTACTGCTGCCATCTGCTTCGTCTCCGTCTTGGCTCTTTTCTACCTCTACCTCGATCTCCAACCCGTATCTCCTCCTCCTCCTCGAAGCGGATCTGGCTCCAAACGTCAAAGACAACTAGTGATTACCGCAGAACTCTGCGGCTGCAGGTCGGCTCATGCGCGGTATCCTGACGGATATGCTTCTGGATGTAGTGCATGGTATTGGAGGCTGGGCTGTGTCCGGGGTATGCTATGAGTATACTATGTACAGGAAGTATCCACAAGAAGACAATAGAGATAATTATGCTCCGTAGTTAAACGCAGAAGACCGTCGACAACGACGCCGAAATCGCCTGTTTCTTCACACTCGACGGCTTCGGCGTGCTCGGCCGCGAATGCTGTCGGTAGAACCGGATGGACTGCGAATCCGTCGGGGAGACGCCTGCGCGCTCGGAGTACGTGCTGCTGGGCGCGTAGTGGCGGCGTTCCTTGATTGGCCAGGTGGATAGGCACGCGCGCGGGAGGAGGCCTTGCGTATCGGTCTCGAGAAGGACGCACAGTGCCTGCGTCGCAACACCACGTTAGCATGATTTCGGGATCTCAGCCAGAAAAAAAAAAAAAAAAAAAAAAAAAACCTACCCATCCATTGTCAAAGATCTGCTCGAGTCGCACCACCTGTCCCTCGCGGACCGCTAGGTGTCCGTCGTGGCGGGGCGCGAAATCCATCTCCACGCGGAATATCTGCGTCGTCCACAGCTTCACGGACGGGACTTCCATTTGCGTTGGGGAGCGGTGGGATGGGGCGGGACTCGCGCTCTTGGCGCTCCGCATCTGCTGCGGGGGCAGATTCTCGCCGGAGATGCGGCCTGCCAACGCATCCACGCTGATAGCGGCGGGATCACTGAGAGCGACGGTTCCGGATGAGACGCTGCGCACCTTGACCAGGTCCAGCGCATCGGGGGTCTCGCACGGTGGCGGAAACTGGTGTTGGTCATATTCCACCTGGTACCGGTTGCGACCGCTCATGCTGCTCCAGGGTGACGCAGCGTTGTTCATCTCGAGGGACCTGAGCTTGCCCGCTGCGGGCTTGGCGATGGAACCGTGGCTGTGGTATAGGCGGGAGACGATCTTCTGGACTCTGGCTGGTTTCGGGGGCGGCGGCGGGGGCAGGTGCCGGAATTCCTGCGCGAAGATGTAGCCGTGCGAGTGTCGACTGCTGGTGTCGGAGCATGGCTCCTCCGTTTTGGGAACGGCGTGGAGCTTCTCCGCAATGGTGTGCAGAGCCGTTGATGTGGCGCTGTACGTCCGGTCGGCGAATGTGGCCACCCGGTGCTTCCACAGCCAGACGGTGTTCGAGGTGCGGTAGCCGCCGTGCGTCTGGTTGGTGGAGTAGATGCTGCTGCCTGCGTCGGTGATGGAGGTCGCGCGCTCCTTGCTCGGATGCTTGAACATCTCCGCTACAGTTAAAATAGTCGACGTGCTGCTAGTATAGAGACCAGAGGCGAATTTGGAAACCGGGTTGCACTTGTCATCTGGCGGGAGATACTTTTCGGGGCGAAGAGCCCTTTGCAAGGCGCGCTTTTTACGGTGCAGCCAGAAGAAAACAAGCCCAAGCATGATGGCAGCAATGCCGAGGACACCGACCACAATCCCGGCCTGTGCGCCGGGGGACATTGTACTGGGTTGTAGGGTCGAGGGAGAGGTGGTAGTTGGTCGTGGTATTGTTGAGCCGGCAGTGGTGGGCAGAGTGGAGTGAGTGGGTGATTGGAATGAAGGTCGTATGAAGAGTGGTGCTCCTCTTCAAGGTAGTCGTCGAGGTCGCGGAGGTCGACCAAGTGGAAGTGGAAGACAACGTTGTGCTGATGTACGGATAATGTACGGATGCTGGGAGTATAATCGAGATGCCCCTGTCACAGATTCGAAGGGGGCTCTGAGGGCAATGACGGACCCGCGACAGGAGGCCGGCCAAAAGACGTGCCTTTTGTTGTTGTTCTTGTTGTGATGCGAAGCATTCCAGAGTCAGTCAATCCCCCACCAATATCAGCATCACCCCGATCTGGGAGTGCCAATTGGTCCTGCGCATGGTACATGCCGTCATCAGAGGAATGAGCGGAGTCTACGTCCCAAGCCTTGAGGCTTTTGACTCCGTCAGTGATGGCAGTGGCAGATGTCATGCTTCCATCTGGTGGTTAGCGCAGGTATACATTGAGCATGCATTGCCGCCAGGGCATCCTGATCGTGCTTGATAAATACACCCATCAGATTGAATGTTTATTTGTTGATGAAGAAATAAACTTCAATTTTCAATCGCGAGAGTCTTCTGGTACTTGGAAGTGACTTCAGTTGATGGTTCCTTGTGCCGGGGCATGTGGTGACAGAATTGGAATGCGTCAGATCTCGAAATGGGGTTTTGATCCTGTTGATCGACTCGATTTTCTTGATTGAGTCATACCACGCAAGATCTGGCACCTTTCTGGTCTTTAGTAGGATCAGATATTGCACCTAGTTGCAGCTGCAGCCTAGGGGTCTTCAGGTGTAGCGAGATCAACAAGCCTTGACAAATCCTGTCGAACTATATCGCATGGCGCGTGCGACAGTCATGGTGAGGTCCTCGGTGATCGTCAACACTCTTCCTCTTGATGTGAGTGCTGTCGGTGGATGGTGCAAGATGATGGGAGCTTCAAGGATACATGGAAGTGATCATGTGATGCTCTTGATGTAAACGTATCAGGAACATCATCCTTCAAGTCGACTGACTTGACCATCAACCGACAGAACTCACATCAAGAGGAAGAGATATTGTCATAAAGGTCACCAGTCATCGAAATGGCCTCCCGTCGTGCATCGACCCGTAATGTTTTTATCGAGTTCTCTCACGCCCCTGGAGAGATCAAGGGTGGCCTCAGTGCTGCTCCCACCTTGACCACAAGACAATTTCTGGACATGATTTATCTTGTCTTCCATGCTTCTGGGGGATTCGAAACTCGGCTTTACAGATCGACTGCTCCTGTGGTACCCAGTGACCAGCCTCTGGAGCATGGCCGCTACATTCTTACTCCTTCTGTCCCCGACACAGAAATGCAGGTGAGCCACAAGTGCTACCACCCAAGGACACTGTCTCTCTCCAATACTGCGCGCAATGCTTCATTTGCCCAACAAGTTCGCGCGCGGGATGGACGATGCGTTATTACGGGTCAAATAAATAGGACAGCGGAACATGATATCTGGGTTGGTTTTGATGCCGCTCACATCTTTCCCCTTGCTCTGGACAGCATCTTTGCGAGCCAAGGTTTCCAACATGTCGTCACGCATAATGACCCCCTTGGGGTCAATTCCCTCCAGAACGGACTGCTACTCGATTCCGCCATCCATCATCTCTGGGATTGGTACTCTCTAGCAGTTAACCCTAACGACGGATACAAAGTAGTCAGTTTTCAACCCCACACCTGGGACCTTCATGGACGGATCCTCGATCCAGTCTGTCGACAGCCTGGGGATCCAACCCACGTCCTGGATGCACTACTCCAATGGCACTATGAACAGGCGGTGCTCTGCAATGTGCGTGGGGAGGGAGAAGCCGCTTTCGAGTTTGACTTTCCTGAAGGGTCTGACATGATGGGGCAGATCCAGGAAGAACCTCAAGGAGCAGAGAGGATGGAGGCAGAGTTGTTCAACCGTCTGTGGGGTCATTATGAATCGCCGTCTCTTACGGGACCGTCTCAAGACGCCGCTAGCTAACAGTGCATAACATCTTGAGTGGTGACAGCGTTCGATTATTCGGGTCCTTCCATCTGACTAGATATGAAGTAATAATGAGCACTCTGACATGACATGCAATGTGTTTTCGAGCCTGTTAGATTGGGGTTTCACCAGTAAATCTTGTAGAGCAGTGTCAAATGGAAACTTGTTGCAAGCTGCAGTTGCGATGACTAAGCTCGGGTAAATGCAGGAAAGCTTCTGGGGGAGGATGGTTCTGACGGGATGCGGGTAACGAGCTCCAGATCACTCATCCTCAAACTGCTTGAGAGAAGAGGTAAAGGTACAAGGTATCAATCAATGATGATATCTCTGTACTCCATAAATGCTCTGGACTCTATAAGTGTTTCTGTTGTTGGGTCAATTGAAGTTTTCGTAGGACTGCAGTCTGTAGGAGAGAGAAGGCAGAAGAGGTTGGAATGCAGTTGGCAGGGTTACGTAAGACTGCATATGCAATGATGATGGGAGCAGGAAATGCCGGAGAACAGGCAGTCAGGCACTCAACAAACAGACAGGGGCAGCACCAGATGAGGCTGATATGCAGGAGCTGGCATGGATAACACAACTAGCCATGTTGATTGGTTCTGCACTTCGACTCTGTGAATATGTAAGATATGGAGGATCTATTCGTACTGTGTAGATATTATTATACTTATACAGAGTACTCTGTAGATAGATAAATGACACAAAGACCAGGACAGAGTACGGAGGAATAAAATAAAAATAAATAAAAAAAAGTATGAGAACCACATTCCAAGGCAATTCCTCAATGACCTAAGGATGATCAGGCAGGATTCCCAGGCTAAAACACCGGAAGCATGCTAGTGTCGTCTGTATCGGTGAGTTGATGTGTCCAGAATCAGGGGAGAGCTTCAGCTCAGGGATAGCTCAGGGGGATAGATCGATAGATAGATATATAACCCAGCCTTCCCTCAGTCCATAGCTTCTTTTTTTTTTTCAGTCTGATGTGAGTCTGGAGTCTCCAGGATGAGAGAGCTCTGACTACTATGGAGTCCGGAGTATGGACTATGGAGTCTTCACTCACCCCTTTGACCTTTGAGAGCTCCTTGTCCTAGAGGAATCCTTAGGAGACATCCCTCCAAACCCGGTGAGACAGGATTCCCTCGGAAGGGGGGAGCTATTTTCCCTCCATCCGAAGCCCGTGGCTGGATGTGATTTGTTGGATTCGCCCTTGGTTTCTTTCGATTTCCTCGGGTGACCTGGATCCTCGCTCTGGTGGCTTTTCCTGTTGGGGCCATTCCTGGCGCCCCAATTCCGGCTTTGGTGGAGCCGCAGTCCGAATCGGCCCGGTTTGATTGAGTCCGAGAAAGATAGTTAGAGTCAACTGGGGCGGGTGCGCATTATGATTGGTTGACTGCGGATCCATCAAGTGGGTCGTTCCACTCTCTTGGACCCATAATTCGGATCCACTGCGAAAGTAAAAAAAAATTTACGACATTCCTGATTCCTTCTCTGCGTCGTTTGTCCTCGTCCTGTTCCCCGAGAGACTAAGCTAAGTCCCAGCCATTTCCCCAGGTATGGGAATCTGGGAAGTTATGGGAAGAAGTCAATTGAACCGTTCTCGATAGAAATAGAGTGTTGAGAGGTAGTTAGAAAATAGAAAACCAAAGGGGAAAAAAAAATAAAAAAGAGGGAAGATGCTCTCTCAAGGGCGGTGGATCACGGAGAACGCGGCCTGCAAGGACCCTGAATAATTGGCTGTACCAGGCTACCAGCAGCATCACCGCTGGGCCAATACCCGGACAAACCCGGGAGGGAGATAGTTACAGGACAGTAGATACCTGCTTGGTCTCTGTAGTAACTTGAGGGAAAGGTAGCTGAGGGAACTGAGGTAACTGAGGTAACTAAGGGAACTTCTCGATACAGTATGGTAAATTACTATGGTCCTATGGTCCTATGGGACCTCCCATGTACAGCTTCAGTGTCTAGGGCTCCCCAACCACGCACTAATACCAAACAGGGTGAACAAAAAAGGCGAAAATTCGGTTGCTGAGTATTTTATGTCCTACGCGGCCGGTTCTGTTAGTCCTTCCCTTCCCGCTCCCTTTTTCCCTTTCTTCCCCCCCCCAAAACTTCTTTTTCTCCCTCTCTTTTTCTCTCCTCTCTTCTCACACACACACCCATCATCCTCTCCTACCTTGAGAAACCTCAATCTCAAACCACCAAAATCTTCACAATGGCCTCCTCTCGTGTCTTTGCCTCTCGCCTGGCCACCTCCATGGCCGCAACCACCAAGGTTGCCCGCCCTGCCGCTCGTCTGCAGCTGGCTCCCAAGCGCACCTTCACCACCCAGCGCAAGACCGTCGTCCCCATGACCCCCTTCCAGACCGTCAAGCGTCAGCAGCCCAGCCTCATCCAGGCCAACGCTCGCCAGGTCTTCGCCAACGTCCAGTCCCGCCGCGCGTACTCCTCTGAAATCGCCGACGCCATGGTCCAGGTCTCCCAGAACATGGGTATGGGCTCTGCCGCCATCGGTCTCGGTGGTGCCGGTATCGGTATCGGTCTCGTCTTCGGTGCCCTCCTCCTCGGTGTCTCCCGCAACCCTGCTCTGCGTGGCCAGCTCTTCTCCTACGCCATTCTGGGTTTCGCTTTCGTTGAGGCCATCGGTCTGTTCGACCTGATGGTTGCCATGATGTGCAAGTACGTTTAAATGGCTTTGTTTTTTTTTTGGGGAGGGGGGAGGGGGCCTACGAACAAAACCTCCCCCCCCATCCGAACATCACGACAATTCCGCTTTTCTTTCGCCCGCCATTACAACTCGACAGTTTGAAAGGAAAGTTGTGGTGAAGTCCCTTGTTTTTTTTCCGCAGTTGTGTACTGCGTTGGACAAGGGCGTGTGTGTGTGTGTTAGAGAGGTAATCTGTGGTGGTCTTTTTGATATATCATGTACTACTTTTTCCCTCCAGCAATCATCTCAATAAACTGTACATATAGAGTTTAAAATGGCCACTAACTCCTGGGAGCTTGACCTCTGTCTTTTGGTGTCTGTATTCTATCTCTGTACTCTCTAAATATCAAAGCCGTTCGTTGGTCGTGAAAACTCGGTGCAGGGATCCCCGGCTAAGCCGCTGATTCGGCCATCCGGATCGCAGACGTCACCACTCAACAATTCATTGTCAAGTCGAACATGCAGAGATACATCTATTACCCATATCCATGGAAATATCACATCCATCCATCAATCTATCACATCTCCAGTAGACAGGTAGACTATCGGTATAGGTATAGGTATAGGTATAGGTATAAGTGCAGATACCGAGTCACCGCCATTATTGCCGGCATCCACCGATGTCAGGTCAGACCGTCCTGCAGCTGACAATCCACGGGAATATTCCACTCGGTAGTGGCTTCGCAGTCATCTGCGGTGTAGCATCAGCATCAGCATCAGTATCAGCAGCAGCAGCATTAGGTTATGTGACTATGAATGGTCGCATATGCAGCGGACTGCAGGATTGCTGGTGTTCGACGGTGTCATGTGACTGTTGAACATCAGGGTTTGGAGGATATATTTAACTATATACAGAGTATAACTACCACGGAGTAGACATAACTTGGTCTGTACCGAGGACAAGCTCCTGCTCTATCCTATATAGAGACCAAATATTCCCTCTGTATCACTGTCGTAGGTTTGTCGCATCGTTGAGCTTGGATTACAGTTCACCGCTTAGTCTGAATGAGTCTGAGCAACCTATAGCCTTTAGGTGCAGACGCAAATGGTCCCTCGAAAACATGATATTGACACTGAAAGACAAGTGATGAAAAGAGGGACAAGGACGAAGCATCTGGTTGTTGCCTGACATGGCAACCTTCTTCTTCTCCCCCCCCCCTTCCCTGGGGAAGTGATCCTATTCATGCCTAGAAAATACACACTGCACTCAGATATATATCCACACGAATTAAGATACCATATAGCCTTGAAGCTGAATCCTCTCTGTAGACAACTAGGCATTCACGATCAACAATAAGTCTCCCTCCAAGTTCTTCTACTCTTGTCATTCTGATTCTTCTTCTTCTTATCCTTCCCTGATCCTGATCCTGATCCCCCACACTCCGCATCCAAACTCCACACCACGGGGACTCCCGGGATGTTCTCCATCAATTTACTGTACTCCGAGAGTCCGTACTGTAGTCTGTAGTCTATAGTCTGTAGTCTGTACTTCCATTTTCCCCTCGGCCTTGCCATACTACTTACTTACTGTATCTCCATTATTACCCATTTCCCATCCTCACGCTGTACGGTATCATAATCTATACTCTGTACAACAAACAAAACCCCATAAAGTAAAACATCGCTCACCCCCATTGGAAATCAACCAAAAAAAAAACTAACTCATCCAGATATCATCAAACCATGCCCACATCACCAATACCAACCCCCCTCTACGCCCCCGAGGACGTCCCGCGTATCAAAGCCGCAAAGCGGCTCGCAAATGTGCGCCGCAAGCAGCTGCTGCGCGCGGCGGCCCGCGCGCACGATGATCCCCCGCCGCCCCCGGGGCTGGGCGTGTGTTGTGGGAGTTCGTGCGACCCGTGCGTGAACGATTTGTGGAGGGAGGAGGTGGCGGTTTGGAGGGAGAGATGGGGGGTAACCGATCAGACAGGGGATGGGGATAGGGATGGGGATAGGGATGGGGATACGGGGAGGAAGATGCCGGGGAGTTTGGAGTGGTAGGATCAATCAAGTTTGATTTGTTTCATAAGAGTGGGTTGCACTGGAGTATATATAGATAGAACGGTTCAATGATTGATCACGCCCTGGTGAGTTCAACCTGACTCCCCTGCGGCACCTTGGTCTCATACTCCAGCACCAATCTGATATCCTTGCCCGGCTCCAGCTTCACAAGCCACTTCACCTCGCCGTTCTTCCCCAGCGCCACCGACCCGCGCCCCTTCCCCTTCTCCATCGTCATCCGCACCTGGTCGCCCTCCTTCTCCAGCCCACTCGGCTCGAGGATCTGCACCCGCAGTTTCTCATCCTCGCTCTGCGGCACCTGGTCCGTGATGATGAGATCCACCGTCGCGCCCTTGGTGTTCTTCACCCAGCACGCCCGCCGGAACACGGCCGTGTGCTCCTTGCTGAAGAAGCCGCCCGTGACGCGCCGCACAGACGGCTTCGCGTACGTCACCAGGATCGACGGGTCGACGCCCAGCGAAATGTTGAACGCGTCGTTCGGCGCGCAGTTCGGCAGGTTCGTCGTCCCCAGGAACGTCCCGTCGACGGTCATGCCTGCCCGCCCGCGCAGGATGCCCACCGCCGTGGTGTTCTGGATGCGTGCGCGCAGGAACGCCGCCGCGCGCACCCGCGGCACGATGATGTGCGTGAGCGTCAGCGACTTGAGCTCGAGCTCGGCGAGGACGTGGCGGCGGGAGACGCTCGATGGGATCAGGGTGCGCCGGCCGGGGAGGTCGTATGTTGTCGTCAGGCCGTAGTCTTGTTTGACCGAGTCTTGGTGCTCCAGGTCAGTGGCGGCGAGCGTCGAGCGAGTGTCGTCGTCGTCGTCGTCGTCGTCGTCGTCATCCTGCCCCGCGGCGTCATCGGCCCCTTCATGGTGGTCGCCGCCACTGTCGTTGGTCCAGCCCAGCGCTCGGTTGACGGCAGCTCCAAAAAGCGAAGCCGGCTGCGGTGCGGCTGCGGCCATTGGTGCCGCTGGTGGTGCTGGCGGCGCGCCGAACAGACCTCCTTGGGCTGGGCCAGCACCGTAACGCTGAGCTGGAGGTGGGGGCGGGGCTGATTCTGATGCTGCTGCCGAAGCGTGCAGCGCCTCTCCCCGCTCGATGCATGCCTGTTGCTGCGCCATCATCTGCGGGTTTTGTACATTGGAAGATGCTCCAAACAGCCCTCCAGAGGGCGGCCGTGTCGCCATTTGCAAGCCCTGCTGCGTCCGAGGGATATTCGCCAGCCGCGCCTGGTTCATTCTCTGCATTTGCGCCAACTGTTGCATGTACGACTGTTGCGCCAGTGCCTGGTTCGGGCGGATGGGATGGCCGGACTCGTCGAGGCTGCGCAAGATGTTGTCCCAAGACGGCTGACCTGCGTCTCCGTGATTGGGCTCCAGCTTGATATGCCAGCCCTGCAGGTGGGGAATGGGCTCGTCAAGTCCCGAGAACGAGGCCTGCGAGGTGGACAGGGTCACCTGGGTATCACTCCAGGTCTCCGCGCTAGTGTTCTGGAACTCGGCGCGGTATATCATCTGTGCGGACGCGGAAGGGGTGCTAATCCTCAGATCGTAGCGAGAGACCCAGCGTGGGCCGGGAATCACGTACGCCAGACGCAGAGTCACGTCCGCTTCGTCTGTGGCGCTGCCGGGTTTTCCTACAATCGAGCTGCGTCGGCTGGACCCGGGGGTCAGCGCCGAGTGGCTGTCCAGGTGCACGACGACCTGACTGACTTCCGTGGTCCAGAATTTCTGCCGCTCAAGTTTCAGTTGCTGCTGTTTTTTCAGCTTGTCCGTACGCTCGCGCAGACGCTTCTTGTGCTGTTCCCGGATATCTTTGAGAGCCGCTTCTTTAGCCTTGTCGTAGGCCGTTTCCAGACGCGCTCGTTTCCGTTGGAGCCGCTCCAGACTTTTCTCCGCTTCTTGGATCTCGACGGTGGACTTGTGATGCCGTTCGCATTCGACCGAGTGCTGTTGGACATAGAGCTGAAGGAAGTCGTTCAACTTGGCTGCATCCGCATTGTCCAATTTCAAATTCTTTCCGTAGCCGTCCATGAAGCTCGACACGGCCAGCGACATCGCTTTGTTGCCCCGAGCCTTGGCCAAGGTGGCTTCGACGCTTGCGATCTCCGTACGAACGACCTGAAGCTCCGAGTCATCAATGCCGTAGTCGGCGTCCGAATCGGGCTCCTGATCGCTCAGTTCATCGTCGTCTGAGTCTTCGGGATAGACGTCTTCAAAGGTTTCCCGTCGAGGCACCTTTTGGGTCTGGATGTCGGTGATGGTGGCTGGGCCGGAGCCGTCGACGCGAATGGAATCCACATCAACCTTGGGGTCGATCCCGAGAATGGTGATCTCATTTTGGCCGGGCTATACAGGTTAGCCATGGAATCGAGAAGTTCCGAGAAGGGAACACTCACTTGGATCGTGGTTTTAAACTCGCGGACCACGGTCGCTCTGATCGGTGTCAAGGTGACTGATTTGGTTGGGAGGTCCGAGACCAGAATCTCAGCTGCTGACACTGACAGGGACATTTTCGGAGAAGATGATTGATTGTAAACAAGTGGACTGAGGGACAGGTGAGACGATACTGGGGGGGTTTAAAGTATTACGAGGTGAGGCTTAGACCGGGGATGTCTCGTCCGCAGGCAGACTCTCACAGCCACGTTCACTGACCATCTGTCTGCCTTGCTTGACTTTTGGAATCTGACAACTTTGGCAGAGTATATTCATCGGACATCTTGCTCTGGATTCTCTAACATGATACAGAAACTTTCCTGTCCTAGGGGATTGAATCTTGAGACCCGTTCGTAATGCCTCTTAAGGCCCTCCTCTGGACAAGTAGCAGGCTATCTCAGACCTCATCAAGCCATTGATATTCTAGCTAGTGAATAGAAGGAATACTCAGCTTCTCAGCCTAGTGCAATGCCTTTCCGGACGCAATCTGCTTGAGCGCGGTATTGTAGTAGTCATTAGCGACTCCGTACCGCGTTGGAGGACATGGTCACGTGGAATGACTCCGCCGTCTCTGGTCAGTATAGTCATGTGACCCGGGTCACCTGCCTGTTCGGTCCAACACTCTCTCTGGCTCGCAATACTTCTCTTCGCCAAGTCACTCTCTTGCAGTTGAAGTCTTCCCCCCAACATGATGGAACATGATGGACAACAAATTAGGAGATATACTGAAACCAAATATCATGAATTGACTATGCTAGTTTCCTGGGGATTTAAAATTCAAGGGAACGTTTGCTCCACTGATGTCCCTCGCTCTTCTTGCGATGCTTCTCCTCATACAATCGCTTCGCCAGCTGTCGGTATAAGAACACGCTTCCTCCATGGTACCGGATGCCATGGTCAGAGTCCGTGAACCACTGCACCTGCAGCTTATCCGGTGATACGCCCTCACCTACCAACCGATCCACCAGCGCCGCCGCATTCTGGAAGTGCACGTTGTCGTCTCCCGTGCCATGCTGAATCAAGACCCCTCCACGGACGTTCTTGTAACCGGCTACATCCCAGATTGCGCTAGCATTGTACCCGTTCGCATTTTCCTGCAGAGTCTTCATGTACCGCTCCGTGTACATGGAATCATAGAACCGCCAGTCCGACACCGGCGCCGTCAGCACACCCAGCGAGAAGACACCGCTGTCGGTCTCGATGACTTTACCCGTCAGGTAACCACCGTAGCTCCAGCCCCAGATGGCGATATGCTCAGCGTCGATGAAGGGGAGTTTGGCGGCCTGCTGCGCCGCCCAGACCTGGTCTTGCGCTTCCAGGCGGCCGAGCTGCTTCGCGACCTGTCCGCGGAAGCGTCGGCCCTTGTAGCCGGTACCGCGGTTATCGACGGTCCAAGTGACGAACTCCAACTCCGGGTCGGAGGCGATGTATGACTTGAAGGTCTGCGACTGCCAGGCCTTGGAGACTTCCTGGGCACCGGGTCCGCCGTAGGGTGTAAAGAGAATGGGATACTTCTTCCTCGGCGAGAAGCTTACGGGGAGTCGCTGCATGACGTTGAGGGTCTCGCCGGAGGGGAGACGGAGCTCGAAGTAGCTGATTTTGGGGAGGGTGTATTGCTTGAGCACGTCATACACGGCGGCATTGCTGGTGATGGTGCACAGGGGTTTGGTGGAGTTGATGGCATAGAGCTCCTGGTAGGGCACGTCCGGTCCACGGTAGGAGAGGATGTAGTATCCTCCCTGGGACGAGAAGGAGGCAGACCAGACGGCCGCGACGGTGTCGTCGACCAAAGGGGTGGCCGTGAAAGTCTTCCACGAGACCGAGTACACATGGCGCTCAGTGCTGTGGTGCTGCGTTGATAAATAATACACGAGCTGGCGCTGCTTGTCGATGCTGAGGATCGCAGTGACTTCCCATTCGCCTTTCGTCAGGGCCATAGGCCTCCCTCCAGCGACGGGGAACAACCATAGGTGTGCCCAGCCGGACTCGTCCGAGATGTCGATGTAGTATTCCGCCTTGGAGTCGCCGATCTGGCCGATATACGTGATGGAGAGCGCATTATCCAACCAGCCATCCGTACCATCCCGCTCGCTAATTGTTTTGGTCTTGAGAGAGAGCACGTCGACCGTGACCACCTTCTGTTGGTCCTGAACCCGGTTGAACGCCTTGACAGCCACCTGGGAATGTGTCTCGGTCAGCCAGGCTACCTCTCCAATAACCAAGTCAGTGGCATTGAACGCCTTGATCGAAACGGAAGACACCTCTCCGGTGGCTCGGCTCAGCAGGCGCACCTCCACCGTTGGATTCGTCTGCGACACCTTGGGATACCGCAGTTCCAGCTCGCGCGGATACGGCGGCGCCACCTCTTCGTTGTCCATGTAATATGGCACTCTGAAGGTCGGGACGCCGGTCTCGTTGAACCGCAGGAAGGCGAGGTACTCCGCGTCGGGCGAGAACCACAGCGCATGGCGATCGCCCAGGATTTCCTCTTCGTAGATCCAGTCGGGGACACCATTGAAGAGATCTGCGCTGCCGTCCGTGGTGATCTGGGTCGTCGACTTGGCAGTCCAGACGTAGACGTTGTTCGCGCGGACGAATGCGATGGCATCGCCAGTGGGACTCCAGTTTGCATACTGGATGTCACCGGCTTGGTTCGACGCGAGCGGGGCCAGCTTGAACGACTGCAGGTCCTGGATGTAGTAGCTGGCAAAGTACGAGTAGCGGTACTGCTTGGTGTAGTTGGTCGCCCAGAGGACGGAGGAGAGGTTGGGGTGGATCCAGTAGCTGTATGCGTCGTCGGGCACCTTGTCAGCCGGGACGAGGGTCTGGGTGTGGTTGGTCACGATGCTCTGGATCTTCAGGCTGCCATCGCTATCCTGGAAGACATAGTCCCCGTCCTCGGCGGTGGAGATCCATTCCACAGCGGTAGACGAGGGAGCAATGACCGGCTTGACGACCGTTTCGTTAAAGGTCAGCCGTTTATGGCCGCTTCCCGTGGGAGGGAAGGGCTTGCGAGGGATGTCAATTGCAGCTGTGCAGCCGACCAGAAGAAGAACGGACCACTTGCCCAGCTGTTGTTATTATCTCCTAATTACAAAACTCTCCAGGAGGCAATGCGACACACCTTCATATTTGGAACCTGGGCGGGCCTCTCTCTGGCTGCTTAATTGCTCACAGCCCGGCGGACTGAGACGCGGACCTTATATGCTTTGGGGAACATTGCACCCCCGCATACCACAGCCCAGAGAATCATCTCATATCATTCTGACCCCGACGGACAACGGAGATTACATGAGGGGATTCATCGTTCTCCTGCCATTCAGAGGAGGGCGGCCGTGTTGCCAAGCGAAAGGGTGGTGCTATAGCTGCTGGTTATCAGCGACCGAGGCGCTTAGCGTTGTAACCCAAGAGCAGCCATGCAGGAGGAGCCGGGGATACAGGCGGGCATTGTCCTTACAATGGATTATAGATCTATGTAACTCGTGTCTTACTTGGCAATGATGACAAGGAATGGTGTCGTCTTGAAAAATCCAGGGCATAGATAATTAATTTTGATCATGCACTATGCAACTAACTATACCAGCAGTCGGAATCTATAGTGATCTAAATACATCTCATCTTTCTCTCATATATCTACCAGTAATTTTTATCTGCCCACATCAGCCACTCCTCACCCATCCATCAACCTCAAGTATAGATGATAAACATACCTCGTCTCCTATTGTATCTAGGAATGGTGCACCTTGAGCTCATTCGCATTGTTGACACCCTTGCTGAGCACTCCCGCATTGACAGGCGGGTTCAGGACATCGTCCACATTCACCCCGTTCTTGAGCGTATCCTCGAGCGCATGGTTGGCGATGTCGGTATCCTTGATCTCGACGGGCACATTGACGGGCACAGTGACAGGCACGGTCACAGGGATGGGGATGTTGTCATGGTTGACGCCGACGCCAACGCCGTTGCCCAGCTGGCGGCCTAGATGCTGTTAGGGGAGGTTCTTGTAGGAAGCGGGGACAACGTACGGGAAATCGTGGGCGCAGCCATGGCCAGGCTGGTGACAGCGAGGAAGGAGAGGATGGTAGAGAACTGCATTTTGGGGAGGGAGTTTGGGTGGTGGTGTTGGTGGTGGTGATGTTGATGTTGTTGATGATGATGGAGTGAGGATGGGATGAGATGGGATCGGGATGGGATGCTCTCTTTATGTGTTCTTGAGATGAGGATCGATCCTGCATGTCTTTGGAGGATGAAGTATATCCAGGCGTGGTTGGATCATGGCTGGATCTACGCAAGGGGATTATGCTCAACGGCTCGACAACGAGAGGGACAAGATAAAGACGATTCAACCCTTGACGAAGCTTAACGGCGGGTTGTCGATGGAGATCGACGGCCTGCATAGATTTGTTTGATTATCTGACGATCATCATGCTTCTCTTCTCTTTCCTTCTCTTCTATCATCAAGGGACTGGATGTCCAGCATCCCTGCTTGAATCCCACCGTCGCATCTACTTACACCTCCCCATCCATAACAGCCTTGCGCATGAAATCCGCCCACAGACGCACCTCCTCCCCCTCAGACGTCCGCTCCTGATACCGCGGCTCCGACTTCCACCACACATACCCCCGTCGCTCATACCACTCCGCGTTACAGATCTTCGGCGCGGGGCCCCCCAGTCGCGCCCACATGCCCTTCCCCTCCGGCCCCTCCGCGTAGAAATACCGCTTGCTCAGCGTATTAATCGTCACAAACCGGCACCGGGGGCTCCCCCACGGCTCCTGCGTCGCCATCCCCTCCGCCAGGGCCAGAACATGGTTCCCCAGCCCGCTGCCGCGGTGCTCCGGGCGGATGAAGAAGTTCTGGATCGTAAGGGTGGATTTGTCCGGGCTGGCGAGGCCCAGATCGGGCGGGTCGGAGTACGCGTCGAGCGAGATGTGGCCGACGCGGATGGCCTTGGAGGGCGCGGACTCGGACGGCACCGTAATCCAGAAGAAGGACTTGAGGTTCTCGTCTTGTTTGGCGCGCCATTTGAGAAGGGCGGTGTCGGTGGAGTCCCAGCCACATTGCACGCGCTGGGCTTTGAGCTCGGCGTATTCGTCCGGGTTGTGGAGGTTGATGGGGATGAGCGTGCAGCGGGTCATATTTTTTTTTTTTTCTTTTTTTGTTGTGCGAGGGCTGTTGAGATGAGATGAGATTATGGAGGGGTCAATACTAGTACATAAGGTGTTTCCCCCATCCCTTCCGTGTCTTGTTTATTTGGATCGTTCTGATCGAGTCCTTTTTTCTTTGGTGTGTATGAGTCATCCCTGCATCACCGGTATTTCCCACGGAGATGAAATTGTTCAAAAACTGTGGCTTATGGCGAGATCGTCGTCCAGGTAGGCTGTCAGACGGCCGATTCAACGGTTCAGAGTGGTTGAGAGAGTTTCCCTGGAGTTTGTAATCTCGTATAGAATATAGATAGATAGATGTTCGATCAGTAAGTGGCCAACTGGTCACAGCGTCGAGAAACAGAAGCATCCGCGATTCTACAATAGAGGAATAGGAATTACTTCCTGATTTCATGACTATTGAATTCGTTTGAAGTCATCGCTGTTTTATTTTCGCGTCTTTCTGGCCCTGCTGACTTCCTGCACCGGAAGACAACATCGCTCTAGTCAAAATGCATCCATCCGGTCAGCTGTCGGGTTCTCTGTAGACCAAAGATCAGCCAGACTGACCGCAAGAGGCGTTTTTCAGGATATTACTGTACCTCAGGCTATTGGGAGCTTGCATGAGAGTAGAATTATGTGATTTGCACAACACGTTGGCTGCCCTAGAGCTGACCGTCTCCATTCACGCGTTGGTCGGGAGCAGTTCTACAATGCAAATATCCGTCCGACAATAGAGTCATCATTCATCATATTGAATGGAGTTTGTTTGATTCATTACTGAATAATCTGCTCTAATTCCCTCTGGAGTGAATGAGACTTTCTCTCCATCTTGAGTATAAATCCCGCATCTTTCCCTCTCTCCCATCTTTCGATAGACAAGCTTCTTCAGAACCATCCTGACCATTCTGTCTCATTACATATATATATATATATATATATATACATATACGGAGACAAGGCAGTTCCATCCAACATGTGCTTTCTTCTCTGAACTCCCAAAGAGATGGTAAGTCTTCAAGCTGCACACCCTTTAGACATAGCTGGTCTGACCTTCTGGAAAGCTTCAAGCTTTGACATCGCATGTGAAATACTAGGCCCTCTGCAGCACGCAGAACACAGCTCGAAGAAACCAAAGAACGACGGCTGCTACAGCAACACCTTGGAAATTTGGGAGATCCCTCAGCATACCTTCTGGACCGGCTCATGCTTGACTTCCTGAATACGAGCTCGTCATTTGTTTCTATTCTATACCCGTTGCCCTTGCTGCAATGCCTAAATTCGCTTTTCTGGAGAGTGTCCACCACCGGACAAAGTTCCCTTGGTGTTGGATCATCATGTCATGAGCACCGTCGAGGGCCACCTGGAGGAAAATCGTTCAGGTGCCCACACTTGAAATCTCTATGAGTGATCCAGACGTTTATCAATGCCTGTGAAAACTTTGATGGTGAGTACTTGGCTATCCTGGCTCCTGAACTTACGAGCTTCTTCCACTCGGGACTTGTCATATCTTCTTGTACTAACCAGTGAACATCTTCAGTCTGGGCAAAGCTGCGTCAGCCTGTTGCCGCAACCGCTACGCGGCTTCGGGCCGCAAGCAAAAGGCTTGCGCTGCTTGTTTCCGCTCCCAAGAGATCTGTGAGGGAATGGGCAGTCATCCTCAACGAGATATCATATGACACACTTTGATTGGTTCAGGACAGTGTGTTGAAGAAAAGAATCTTCCTGTGATTATCACCTCAAACTCATCGAGCTGATGGCCCGGGAGTCTTCAAGATTCTGCTTCAGCCCCTCTTCTGGTGAGAATTCAAGGCATTTTCCAATCAATGGTGCCGCCTGATATTTGAATGAGAACTAGATCTTGGAGAGTCACGCGCAGTCCATACTCTCTTGCTCGTCAGCCTGCTCCTATATAGACAAGCGTCTTCTTCTTTGTTGCTTCCACCACCGGAAATGGCAATTGGTGGTGTCTGTCTGCCGTGGGTTCTATTCTTACGAAGAAATCGGGTATAACTGCTTGCCAGGTCCAATCATATTCCTAATCAAACCTAATAGTGGTAGGTGCTGGTCCATCCCTGGTGCTATCCCCAACACTATCAAGAACATACATGGACTAGTATGGAAAGCAGATATCCCCTTGGCCGGCCGCATACAATCAAACCTGGGAACACCATCCTTCAGTCCTGGCTTGCCACAGCCTTCCTCACAGAGCGGCTCTAATGACTCACCACCACCCCAACCAGCACCGGAGCGCAGAGGAAAGAGATCCAATACTGCACATGAAGAGGAATCCTCGATAAACGCACCATTGACCATATCAAAGCGGTGCTTGTTGAGATGAACCCATGTTCTATTTTGTCGATTCACTGCTATTATTGTTGCTATTGTATCTGCCCACCAGCTTCCTATTTACATTTACTTGTGTTACTACCTGCTTACCCTCATCCACACATTCTCACTTTCTTCACTCTATCACCATCACACATCTACCAGATTCGCAAGGCTTCCCTGGAGAGAATTGAGGAAGAACGTGGTGAGTGCTCTCATACGATTTAAAACGACTACCACTCATCTTAGTGCCCTCTCAGGCATCTAGTAGTGGCATCCATGTCATCGTCTGCTTGGCTTGGGTCTCATCGGATAGTTCCGCACAGGTTCGCCCAACAGAGATCTCTATCACTCCAGCTGTTCTACTTGGTGACTCGTACTAAATTCTGGCATAGGGAGTGTTCTACTTTCATTCCACGTGGTGACTTACCTCTGCGCACATGCCATTGCCGCTGCGCTGCCTGCAAGTGGTACTCCTGCAGTTCTAGTTCCTGCTCCATCTCTGGTAGGACCAACACCTCTCTGGCTCCCTCTGCTCCTGGTAGCCGTTGCACGTTTTTGGTATCCGCTACAGATGCAGGTCCAGATTCAACGCGCGCCGACCAAAATCTACGATAGCTCTGCAACCATCTGCGTGTTATCTCATGTGGAGATGTCCTCGCATGCGCTGGCCAAACATTCTTGTCACACTTTGTGGACAGAACGTGCATGTCAATTGGTCAACTGGCAAGATAGGCAGATAGCTTTTTCGCTCAACGAAGATAAAGAATGGAACAACCATCTATCTTCCCCATCATCTTCGGCATCACCACTACCATTACAAATCGCCTTAAACAAGCGCGGCTGACTGTTCTCCAAGAGACCGTGAGTACCCTCATCAAGCTGCCCATGAGCAGATTGTACTTTCACTCGCGTCTTATACATGTACGCTCCGCTTTCTATGCCCCGGGGTACTGTGGTAGCACCTGGGTAGTAAGACCTGTGGTGATACCCCGACGATCAGGTGACCCACCAGATATCACCAGTCGAGGGCTGTTCCATGTCCCTGCCGTTATTATGGGAATTATATGCCGCCAACGAGACAAAGCTGGTATCCAGAGCACCCATGTCCTCTCTCTACTTCCCTGCGACAATTTGAATGCCAAAGAAAATCCCATTACTGCGGTGAGGATGTTGAGCCAGGGACGGTCTAGCTGCTTCTAAATTGATAGCTACATCGGACATAGTCCATGGAATATCGCCCTTGTCGAGTGATATGGTAAGTTCCAGGTCCAATGAACCAAGAAAGGGAAGGTCTAACAAGATATTCCTAGTGACCAGTGTGCACGGCGTGGAGGGACTGCGAACTAGCACTTGATGCGGACTACAAGGCAAGATCTTGGGTATTCACATAAGACAGTAGCTAACATACAATGCTAGAACTTCTCTCCAAGCGGTACTTTTGACTTGACAGGGGGGCTTCTGGACTGAGGCACCCCCAATCGACCCTCAGACGCTCTTATCCAGACTGAGGGGTTTCCTGCAAGAACTTAACAGCGTTCTAGGTGTCCCCAACATCCATGAACGCCCAGTCACCTTTCCCACGGAACAGAGCAAGGCAACCTGGACCCCTTTCCTACCTGACGGGGGTGCGCGCGGACGCGACACCTTCTCATCATGGTGGTGTGCCCCCAAGCAAGGCAAGAAGACCTGGCTTGCTTTTCTCAGTAACTGGACAAGTAGCCACATCAATGATCCTCTCTGGGACGAACGCCCATGCCACTCCTGGGGGGGTTGCGGTGCTCAAGCCCCAGCAGGGGAGAGGTAGACACCTAATCATCTGGAACTGCGACCCTCGCTCCCCTTTTTCAATCATGACTCCGACGCTCAACACCAGACAAAACGCCCCCACGAGTTCATCCTGCCAATGCAAGACAAGCTGGTTAAGTTCAATCGGAATAGAACTGATGGCAGAAAGCCAAGATCCCAAATTGCCAGCATCTTTCATAGCACGGACACCTCCCAGTCAGGGGAGGACAAATGCCTAGAGCACACCATGAAATGGCTCCTCGACAAGGTCAACCACAACAACATTCCCTTTAAGGGATTCAACAAGGCAGGGGAGTAACTCAACCCTAGAACACGGGGCTGCACCTTGATCAGCCGCCGGTAGAAGGTTATAAGCGATTATGGAGCATACACCAGCGCCACTATTGGAACCTATTAACCTAACGACGGTTAGATCAGGTTGTATGAGCATTTCGGGAGTGACTACATCGATCAGCATCCGAAGGGCACAGGTGGAGGACCTCGTACACTTCGCGGCCTCCTCATCTGCTCCCTCCCTCCGAGGAAGAAACGCAGGGAGCATAGTGTGTATGGTGATCGGTGAATAAACTGGTTCGAAGCAAAAACGTTATGATGACCAATGGCCAGAGAAGGGGGCGGGGATGATTCTCAACGAAGTCGGACCGCAGGGAACGAAAGGAGAAAGGAAGTGGGAGGGGGTAGAAGAGGCGAGATCAAAACAATAAAATACAGGCGGGCAGCCTGTAGGGTCCCGGGTGAACAGTGCTCTCTGATCGCATTCGAGACCATATGATCGTGAAGTCAGACACATCCTCCACTAGAAGGGTCAGAAGAGAAGCACGATGAGAAAGAGCCGGTAACACAGACAGAGACACATCCTTCACCAGAAGAGTCAGAAGGGTTGATTGCCAAACCTCTTCGGTCCGGTATATCTTTTCTGTATATGACTTAACTATTCTCAATCAATGAAATCAGTATGCTTCTCTACTCAGCATCGCACTCAACGTACCTCATGTCAGCATATACCTTAGGGAGTTGTCCGATTGTCCTCCTTTATCTTATTTCTTTTAATTTTAAGAGCTCTCTCCAGAAATATACAGAAATAACATTAAATTCACCGAGTATCCGTTCTTATCGGCCTCCAAAAGCCGCAAAAGCCGATGAAGATTCCAATGTCCGACATTCCACCAGCACGATGTCAAGTAGATTGTCGAAGGTTTGATAGATGGCCTGACGCGGTAGTTTTGGATCATGAAAGTATTGGTTACCCACTAGAATGTGTATGGAGATGCTTTGGTTCATATATCTGGTTGCTCCAATCGTAATATTCATGTCGTCATAAACCTTACCTCTAAAACTATAAAGACCACTGCTCTACCTCAACTGCTTCAATATATCAATTGAACCTTCAATAGACACCACAATGAGCGCCTTCCCACCCGCATTTCGCGCAGCCCAAGTAGTCGGCCTGACCGGCGCTGCCTGGCTCTCAGGTAAAACTCCCAACCCAATCGGTCCCATACCAAGCACACAATCCCACCAACTAAAACACACCAAACAGGCAACATCTTCGTCTACAGCATAGGCTTCACGCCAAGCATCCTCCAAGCCCTCCATGAAAACAACATCCCCCCAGCTACTGCCGCCAAGCTCTGGCAAAACGCCTACGCCCGCGGCAAGGCGCAGAACCCGCCCCTCGCGGCCGCCACGGCCGCCGCATTCCTGTACCTGGCCTGGAGTGTGCGCGAGGGCACGGCGCTATCGCTGCTGGCACCGCAGGGCAGCACAGTCCTGTATAGCGCTGCTGCGGTGTTGACGGTGGGGATTGTCCCGTATACGTTGGCGTTTATGATGGGGACGAACCACGAGCTGGAGGCAAAGGCGGAGTCCAAGGTTGGGGCTGAGTTGCCGGCGAGGGAGGTTGAGCCTTTGTTGAATCGGTGGGAGGCTTTGAATGTGATTCGGGGGGTTTTTCCTTTGGTTGCGGGGGTTTTGGGGTTGGTTGCTGCTTTACCTTGAGGGTGTTGGTTGGTTTCTGTATGATACGGTGTTTGGATTGATTGTTGCGATGTAGGTTGGTTGCATGTTTGTTCACACTGGGATGTGTAGAGTCCTTAAAATTCGAACTAGCTAGCTGGCTAAAGTTTTTTCGAGGGAGATATTAGTTCATGCTGGTACACGTCCCATCGAAGTCAGTATATCCCTTGCTGTCTCCTGAAGCTCCTCGAAGCGCAGAGAACAAGGTTCTAGTCTCTTCCTGAAGTACATGGGAAGTAGGCAGCTAGCCTGTCCTCAGACATGCTGAAGCCAAGTGAAGTCATGCGTTGCCTCAACAGACGTTGAACGTGAGCAGCACTATTGATGAAACTCACAGGACAAGATTTGGAGACGTAGTTTTCAAACAGTGCCTGTCAACTCAGTTACAGTATCTGCGCTTGAGCTGGTGTCGGAGGAGGTACTGGAAACGACGAATTCGCCTCGAAGGATAGGCTTTCTATTGCGGTCCGAAGCGAGAGTGCTCCGTACCCCCATACAGCGTGTCTCCAAGCCTTTGGAACCGGTGTATTTTCAAGCTGCTATATCATCATTACTTAGCGAGTGGTGTCCCGACTCCTTTCAGCTCGAAGGTCTTGTCGTTGTGTTGGACTGGACAGAGTCACGAATGTGTTTGGCGAAGTCATTGGGGGTAGGATATGATTGGCCATTAGAACACTCAATGGGTGAAATAAATTAATGGGGAAAAGAGAAAATGGAGTGAATGATGTGAGAAGTCAAATGCATTCACGGATCTTTAGCTCTTCGATCTTGAGTGAATAATAGATAGATTCAGGCATCCAATTCAGGTCAATTCAGGCCACTTCAGGCAGGATATAAGGTCAAGACAAACAGTCCAAACAAACAAGCTATCGATAAGCGATAGACGATAAGGGATGGATCGGAACTCGACGACACTACAACACTCCATGTCAACAGCCTCAGCATCTCGCAAGTCAAAGCATCATGGTAGGTATCATCCATCTTATAACTCTGCGTATCAAAGCTAAACAAAATAGCGTAGTCGCTACTTATCTACATGCCTCAAGGGGCGACTGTGGTCTCTCCCGCCCACAGCCAGAACAATTCGGCCGCTTGGAAAAACATTGGGCAAGGCCGCTGGGCTGTCCAAATCCTGGCCAATTCTGACACAATTCCGCGCTGCTACAGTAGATGCGGCTCAAAATGTCCCTAAAGAGACTCCCACCCCCACAGTGCGCGTGCAAGGTCCACACAGCCAAGACCTGGACAACCACAAATCGGCACTCCTATCTCAACTACAGAACATCCCACAGGACGCCAGCTCGCTCCGCATCGAGGAAAACACCCCCTCAGACAAGGAATGGGCAATCCTCAGCGAGCACTTCACCAATGTCCGCGACCTGGAATTAGACAGCGGACATAGTGAGGGCCTGAACGACAAGGAGATGCCCCTGCACTGGCCGCTGGAGCGGCTCGAGATCGACTCCGCCAGCGGCGAGGTCATCCAGAGCCCCTTCATCCTCCAGGGCCGCGTGAAGCACCTGGCCCTCATTTTCACCTCGGGTCTGCGATTCGAGGGCCCGACGAACGCAGAGTTACTGCGAACGCACCGCGCCGCCATTGAACGCGGGGAGGCAACGCCACAGTACATCACGGTGGGGGAGGGGACACCCGAGGAGAGACGGCTCCAGTTCACATCGATCCCGGAGCTGGTCGCGCAGTGGATGACAGACAAGTACAGCAAGCCGAATCCGCAGGTGGAGTCGGCGAACCAGCCGCCCGCGCAGGTTCTCATGGACACCGTCGAGATCGTGGAGAACGATGCGCTGGACGCGCTGTGCCGGATGGCGGTGGCGCTGCCGCATGTGGTAGACCATCTGCGGACGCTGACGCTGCGCTCCACGCACGGGCTGGACTTCCACTTTGCGCGGGAGAATATGTTCGTGGGCATTCTGCCGCATCTGGATAACCTGCGCACGCTGCGGCTCAGCGTGGGCGAGATCTTTGAGGACCCGGAGTACCTGCCGAATCTCTACGCGAAGTTTCCGCCGAATTTGTCGACGCTTTATTTCCGCGGGCCGGTGTCGCTGTGTCGGTCGGAGCAGTGGGAGAAATGGATCGAGTCGTTTGCGTCAAAGGAGTACCTACCCAAGCTAGAGAAGCTGGCGTTTGTCCTCGACTTGCCTTCCGAGACTAGCAGGGATGGGAAGAGAGAGGCCAAGGCACCAGAGCTACTACTTCGTGAAGCCCGGGCGGCGTGCGACCGGCTATATGCGGTTGCCCGAGAGCGTGGCATCGAAATCGAGGAGTTCCACGATGAGTGGGCCGATAAGCTGGAACATCTGCGACAGGTGGATGAGCGTTGGAATAGCCTGTAGGACTCTGTTGTATTCTGTATACTAACTAGGTGCTGCCCCAACAATAGAACACTCCACTTCTACTCAACTGTTGTGTTAAACCAAAACACTTGGTGGGTCTTCGTTTTCTGGGTGCCTGCTCTGACACAATCGAATTCAATTATCCGCTCTTGTGATTGGCGATATTGAATCTCGCTGCCTGAAGCTGTGCGCATCCACAAGGTTTGAGGCCACAACCTGATCATACTCGTAAATCAAAGCTTCTATAGAGATGATAGTCGGGCAGACGGAACGAATTGAGGCATTCAGATTCCAGAACAGAAAGTCCTCGTACTCGTCAATGCGCCCAGCGCTGTCTAGCCTGGACTAAGGACTAGCCTTGTCATGGCTTGAGTCTATCCATCTAGACCCCTTCCTAGTCTGTTTGTCTGTCTAATAATATCGCGCAGTTCTTTGTCTTGTGCTGATACCAGAGCTTGTCTGACCTACGAATACGACGTCCAGCGCAGCTATCCAGATTGGAGGATGCATTTTCGTCGAGTATAAATTATCGTCCTAGCCCTATCTATTCCCAAGCTGACCTCAGAGTACAAGCTACATATAGACAAGTCAATTCAATTCAATTCAATTCAACTCAACTCAACCTCATCTCTCTCTCTCTCTCCCTCTCTCTAAAAATCAACAATGACCTCCATCTCCTCCATCTCCTCCACCAACAGCGCCAGCGCCAGCGACACCGAACCCCAACCAAGGTCCTCTCCACTCCACCCCCAAACCCTATCTATACTTTCCTCCAAAAGCCCAAAACTAACCCGAAAACCCAAAGCACAAACACAAACACAAACACAAGCACAAGCACACACACAAGCACAGCCCCCTTCTTCCCCCTCGCCCACCCCCCACCAAAATCCCACCCGCTGCGCCTAACCCCGAAACTCCTCCTCCAAATCCAGCGCCTCACCCGCGCAAACCGGCCCCTCCCCGTCCTCGAGATCTGGCGGCCCGCGCGCTTCACCGCCCGCCCCGCCCGGAACCTGCCCAAGTGTCGCGCTGCGGATATGTATATCACGCAGAGTGAGGGGTTTGGGTGTGCGTCGACGGCTACGGCTGGGTCGGGGGATGGGGATGGGGATGGAGATGGGGATGGGGATGCCAATGCGGGGTTAGTGGGCGCCGGGGCCGTGGTGGGGGTTATATACAATCACCAAGGGTCGAGGAAGAAAGACGGGGCTGGGAAGAAGCAGGCGGAGGCGCAGGCGCAGGCGCAGGCGGAGGTGCGGTTCCCTGGGTCCGGGGATGTCTGGGTTGCGGGTGAGCTGCCGGGTGGCGGGTATCGGTTTTCGCTTCGGGATGGGGAGCGAGTGCTGGAGTGGGGGTGCGGAAAGGGGAAGGGGGTGGAGTCGGTGTCTTCGTCTGCATCTGCGTCTGCGTCGTCGGAGAATGCTGTGGGTGGCGGTGAGGGTGAGGGTGAGGGTGAGGGTGAGGGTGAGGGTGAGGGTGAAGGGGATGGCGACGGCGAGGGACGGGAGTTCGTGCTTAGGATCGTCCAGCCCAGGACGCGGAGGAGGGTGCGGATTGCGTCGCTGACGAGACGGGGGTTTCGGATCAGTAGGTGGGAGCGCATGCCGCTGGCGGCTTTGGCGGGATGTACAAGTACGGCTTCATCCAGCGGGTCTAAAATGGCGGAGGAGCAGTTCCGGAGCGCGGTCTACACCCTGATACTGACGCTTGGGGTTTGGGTTGCGGCGCGGGAGAAGTGGTTGGGTTGAGACTTATGATAAAAAAAATTGTTCTTCATTTGCCTTATCTAGAGATCATACGCTACCGCTCGCTCACACTCGTCAGACCCTCCACTTGGGCTTTGATCTGCAGCGCCAGCAGCCGCGAATAGTACCGGCACAGCGCCAGGTTGCCCCCCATGAACCAGAATCCAGGGTGTCCCGACTGTCTCCAGATGGTGCGCATTTCACCCTCCTTGTCGAAGCCCCAGACACTCTGGACTCGGTCAGCGACCTTGTCGCCAAAGATCAGGCGCGCCTGCGTCTTCATGTTCTGGTATCCGGTCGCAAACACGATCTCGTCTGCCTCCAACTGCGTGCCGTCCGCGAACTGGAGCCCGTGCGGAAGAATCTCGGCGATCTCCTGGCCCTGTTTCACCTTGACCTTGCCGTCCACGATGAGCTGGCTGCCACCAACATCGATGTAGTAACCGCCGCCACGCTGGAAGTACTTCATCAGGAGACCCGCGTCATTCGGTCCCATGTCGATCTTGAAGCCCGCCTTCTCCAGTCCCTCAAGGAGCTTGGCGTCGTGTTTGTTCTGGGCGGCCGTGACCTTAATCTGCTGCGCCTTGAACAATTCGGCCGGCATGCTCCACAGGAACATATCGGCGACTTCGGTGGGAGGGCCGTTCTCGTCATACAGACCCTTGAGCCCGATCTTTCTGATAGCTGTGGATGAGATCACACAGGTTGAGCTCCTCTGCACAATCGTGACTTCATATCCCTTCTCATAAAAGTCCTGCGCGATGTCATGGCCCGAGTTACAAGACCCAACGACCACTGCTTTCTTCCCCGTGGAGTTGGGGTTTGCGCCCGCGAAGTCGGAGCTGTGACAGAGCCGGTCACCTTTGAAAGAATCCAACCCCTTGAATGTGGGAAGGTTCTTCTTCCCGGAAGCGCCAGTGGCCTGGATGACATGCTGCGGGTGAAGGGTGCGAGTTTCCACCGAACCATCTTCTTTCCGCCGTTCGACAACCAGGGTCCACTGCTTGTCCCCATCGCTCCATGCGGACGATTTGAGCGTGGTCTTGGTCCAGACGTTGAGTTCCAGCAGTTTGGCGTAGGACTCGAAGAACTCCGCCAGCTTGTCCTTGGGGGTGAAGACCGGCCAGTGGGCGGGGAATGGCAGGTATGGCATGTGGTCATACCAGACGGGGTCGTGGAGGACGAGCTGGTGGTATCTGCGTCGCCAGTTGTCTCCGATACGGTCCTCTTCATCGATCATCAGGGAATCAACGCCGAGCATCTTGAGACGGGCAGCGACCGTAAGACCAGCTTGGCCAGCGCCTATTCCTGTTAGTTTGGGACACTCGCTTCAGAATCGAAAGTTGAAGTACCGATAATCACAACAGCGGGATCCTTTCCCTCGAAATTGGAGTCCGCTGTCCGTCTGTCCTGCCAGTTTCTCCTATCCAGCTGCTCCCCATGTTGCACACCCAGAGGACGACGGCTATTGACCGCTTCCTCGTGCCCCTTGAGCTCCTTCAGAGTCGTGAAAAGAGTCAATATTTCCCACGCGCCATCCTTCTCCGCCAGCCGAACGGCACCCCTCCCATTCCCTGATTCCGTCGTGAAAGTGATACAGAACTCGACGCCGAAGACGTCCCCAAACGCATCGATGGGTCCAACACTGGGCGCAAGCATGGGAGACGACCGGTCGATCTCAATCTGCGGCAGCTGTGCGGCGCTTTCCAGGAAGCCGGCGATGTTGTCTCTGCCTTTGGGGGTGCGGAAATCCCACGATAAACCTAGATGGTCCCGCCAGTAGCCATCTTCCATGAACAGGTTGGAAGCGGCCTTGTAGTCCTTCTGCCTGAGGGCGCTGTTGAGCCTATCGACCACGTCCGATGCGATTTGGGGGGCATCGATCTCCGTGGATGAGGCCGTCGGGGGGAACTTCCCCACGGGGACATTGACGGAGTCCGGCTCCACGCGGTCTTTGGATGGCTGGGCAGTGATCGGGATAGTCATTTTGTTTCTGTCGAATCTGAGATAGAAGATGGGTGGGATGGAAGAGAAGAAGGGAGAGCTCGAGGTTAAAACGTCTCAAATAAGTAATCACCCCAGGAAGCGGGGCGGCCCTGGTGCGGGGAATAAGGTGTCTCAGCCAGCCGAGGCGTACAGCACAGGAAGAACAATGCCCATTTTTGAGACCTCAGCAAGCAGGGGGGAGTGGCATTGCTGCTTGTCGGCGTCACCAATTCCATTTCCCCGTTTGTCTGTCCTCCATTGCGCCGAGAGCCTGAGGCTGTTGTAGGAGGGGGTATACAGGTGCGAACTCTGTTCCACGTCTCTCGACGATTCAATCAGTGCACAAGTCGTGGTCTTTCCCAGTTGACAAAGGATCTAGTCCGGCAGTTAGCTAAGGCCTAGGACGGTAGCACCAGCAGCTAGGAGCATCTCCGAGACCGCACCCCGCTCACCCCGCACGATCTGTCGATCAATTGCGTTAAACTGCTGGTGTATATCTTGAGAACAGCTTATCTAGCGCTATATATACCTGTAGATCAGCTTAGCAAGCGCTGTGCGGATGAATGGAACTTTGACAGCCTGCAGGGGACGCCTCACTATGCGGGGGGGGGCTGTACATTGCGTTCGTAGTGCAGTTGACATGTATGATTAGTCTAGGTTGAATTGGAATGGTAATTGATATCAAAAAAAAAAAAAAAATGAAGAAAATCAAAAAAGACAGAGGGGAACCGAACCGAACGATCAATCGATTTCGGTTTCAAGAAACGGTAGAGAGAAAGACAAAAACAAAAAAAGAAATGCTCACACGCGGATTTGAACCGCGGACCTCGTGATTACTAGTCACGCGCTCTACCAACTGAGCTATACGAGCTGGTTGATATTTGGTTATATCAAATAGGAGAATATATTCTAATAGCTGCTGGACATATATCACCGATAGATCTATCCCTGTGTACAACCTACCTGGCAGGAAGATGATATTTTTATTAATACGCTTATATGGATATGACCTGCGGTATAATCCTCATCCCAGCCGAGACCCTCCATTTGTACCTAGAACCCTCCGGGCCTTCGGTTGTAATCCAGAGTATTTCGGGCTGGGGATACGCCAGGTGAATATATATATATACATACCTGACATCTGACAGACAGGCTTGCAGGACACCTCAACCACACAAGGACTCACGCACTGGCATAGTCTCACAGGGAGAAATATATAGCAAACCAGGTAGAAGCAGAAAACCAACATGACCGAAGTACACCACATGATACCAATATATACCACCCCCATCATGCCCAGCAACCAACGGTGAAACGTACTAGGTAGAACCCATCTCATGCCCTGCCCACAAGAGTCGAACCACGAAGTAAACCAGAGGACATCCGAAGAAGAGTCGCCGCACTCGCTCAAAGTCCAGAGAGAGAACCAAGCAGCGATTAAGGAGTTATCGACTAAGTGAGATTGACAGGAACCGCCGGTGCCATACAGAAGTCTGCTGTTGCTTGTAGTTGTAGCATTTGTTTTATTATCTTTCTACCTTTTTTGTTGCTAGCCTTATAAGGTAAAAATAATGTCTGTTATTCAACAACTAGCATCATTGGTCTAGTGGTAGAATTCGTCGTTGCCATCGACGAGGCCCGTGTTCGATTCACGGATGATGCATTCTTTTTTTTTCTCTCTTTTCTATTTTCTTTCCATTGATAAGTTAGTTGACGGAACACGGGCGTTTTTCACTTGTTTTTGGCCAATGAGAATGCACCCATCAGTACCTGAATATTCACTTTCTCGAATACTTGCATACTGCTGGCTGAGATACAACACTAGACCTGTAACTCTACGACTCGCTGCAGCCAATCTGGGATATCATTCGGAAACCACAATGGCTAGTTACAACCCATCCAAGTCTATATATATACAAGAAAAGGAGAAAGGAAAAGAAAAAAAAGAGCGAATAAGAAAATCCCACACCTCTGCTATCTCATCTCATACGGAAAGCCATTCACCCTCTCCCTCGTCCCTTGTACGGCATACCGACTTCTCCACCCCTGCCGGCCTAACGCCAAGGTTTCCAGCGACTGGGGTTTCCCACCCCAGAACTGGCCGCGGCCGGTGGCGTCGCGCTGTACGGGCGGGACCCAGAAGTGGGTGATGGCGGCGCCGAGGATCATGCACACGCTGAAGATGATGAGGATCCAGCCGTGGCGGATGGTGGGCTCGTCGCCGGGGCCGGTGCCGAACTTGTAGTAGGAGGAGAAGACCTGCACGAGGATGGAGCCGAGCTTGCCGGCGGCGGCGCTGATGCCGTGACAGGTGGCGCGGTAGCGGGTGGGGAAGACTTCGGCGGGGATGATGTAGGTGGTTGCGTTGGGGCCTGTGAGGGTGGGTTGGGTCGGTTAGTATATCACCCACGAAAGAGAAAAGAGAGAGAGAGAGAGGGGGATGTGCTACCGAAGTTGAAAAAGGCCTGGCCGATGATGTACAAGATCACGGCGACGGGCCCCTCCTTGTGCACGGTGATGAACATGGTGCCGAGGGCGATGAAGAGCGCCGCGAGGACGAGGAAGCCCCATTTCTGCAGGGCGGTGCGGTCGATCTTGTTGATAAAGAGGATGAGCAGCAGGCCGCCGACGAAGCTGCCGATGTTGAGGATGACGAGCGCGTGGATGGAGCTGTCCATGAACATCTGATAGACGTTGGCGCCCGGGGCGTCGTTGGTCTGCCAGATGGGGGCGGGGCCGTGGATGCTCAGCGAGCCCCAGGTTTTGGCGAGGAACTGCGGGCTGGACAGGCCGATGCCGTAGAAGCCAAAGTCCAACAGCAGCCAGGAGAGGGCGGTGCCGACGAGGGTGCGCCAGTTGCCCTCCGTCCAGAAGTACTCCACGATGTCCCTCCGGGTGAGGTGCCAGTGCGAGTTGAGCGTGGCGGGCTGCAGGATCTCGGTCTGCGAGGACGGCCGGTCGGCGTGCGTGGTGGTGGCGGTGATCTGCGTCGAGATCGACATGGCGGGCATGGGCAGCTGGCTCCAGCTGTCCTCGGGGTCCAGCGTGGGCGGCTCGTTGAAGAGTGCGGTGGCGTCGAACTCGGCCGTGATGGGATCGTCCTCGATTTCGAGCAGGAACCGCGGCGTCTCCGGGATGGCGACCCGGAACAGCGTCGCGATCACCCCGGGGATGACCCCGATGCCGACCACCCAGCGCCACATGATGTCGAAGGTGCGCGTGAGGTCCGCATGGTCCTGCTCCTTGCTGACGGCCACGACGATCAGGGTCACGATGTTGCCGGCGATCTGGCCGAGCGGCTGCATGAAGAAGACGGTGGCCATCATCCGGGCACGGTGCTTCGCTGGAGCAAACCTATCCTCACTCAAAGCATCAGCCTTTCTCACTCCTTTTTTTTTTTTCTCTCTCTCATGTCTTTCCGAACAAACACCCCGTCCTGGACAAGCACTTACTCCGATGTAATCACCGCGCTGAGCGGATAATCCGCTCCAACGCCAATGCCCACCAGGATCCTCCACCAAACCAACCACCCAAACACATTCATGCTGTCGTGCTCGCCGCGCGACGCCATCACCACGCCCAAGGTCGACGCAATCAGCAAGATCAGCTCGACACCGTACATCGTCTTGCGGCCGTTGCGGTCCGCCAGGTAGCCGAAGAGGACCTGACCGAGCAAGGTGCCGGTCAGGGTGGCGATGTTGATGTACGCGAGCCGTTTCGAGGTCGTGTCGTCGGGCCAGTAGACGTAGCTGACCATGGGCAGGGCCATGTTACTGGCGAAGAGCTAGGGATTGCAGTTAGCCAGCCTCCCTTGCTGTTGTTGTTCGTTCTGAAAGAAAAAAAAAAAAGATGGCCAGCGACGCACCGTATATCCATCGAGGAAGAAACCGACGCCCGCAACCAGGACGACTATCCACTGGAAGCCTTGTCTGTCGATTGTTTCGTAGATCTGGCGCATACGAACATGGCGGTCCTATTCCCCATCATCGCATTAGTTATACCGATTCCATTCCAATCCAATCCATTTCATTCCAACCGGGAAATCATCTTGAATCTTTCGCTTGCAGACATACCTGCTCATGTTCGAAATCGCGCGCACGGTCGGTCTTATACAGCCTCGTCCGCAACTTCCCCATGTCTAATCCCCCAAACCGCCAAAAGGAAATAAAATAGAATCAAGATCGAAAGGGTTCTCTGCTTCAAAAAGTAGTGATGGTCGTAGACCGGCATCGACATCAACATCAACCTTCCAAACACAGTCGCCATAGGAGGATGTAGTGGTAGTGGTAGCGTAGCCAGAAACATGGTAGATAAGAGGAACCTCGAGGGGTCAGAGATCCGATCCGATCAGGTCAACCCACGCCAAAAAGGCCCTCATTAGCTGATTTATTTGGCACGAGGCTCGGATCGCCTCGTGTCTGGTAGCTCGCTAGTAGTAGTTAGTAGGGAAGAGGGTTAGTTAGCCTTGTACTCTGTACGGAGGACATGGCTCTAGAGTCTATCTAGTATCTCCAGTTTTATACACGATACACTATACAATGATCAATAAACATACTACTGGGCGTGGGGCGTTTGAAGAGCGACGCCATGGAAGAGAGGCAATTTGACACTTGATCTGCACGTGCAGCGATGCGCAGGAATAGTTCGCTGGAAGGGGGGGGGGTCCACTTGGTCACATTGACTGATTGTTTTACAAGGGGAAAGACATAATAATATTAAGACATAATATTAAGGACTAATAAGTACTATGTAACATGATGATAAAGACAAGAGGGGATGGAAAGTCGATAGCCCTGTTTGTGGACAATTCAAGTAATAATAGTGAATACAGTTAATATCTTGGTATACGGACATGTCCCTGCAGCCCCTATATCATACATATGAATGATACCTATGATACCTATGATAGCTGTGGACGGAGTACTGTGTATATCCTCTTGACAACCACCGCAATGCAATGGCCTCATTTCCACGTGTGTCGGATTTGACTCGTAATCATAGCGTCTGGGTCGAAGGATTAGACTTTATTAGATATATACTATTATGATTAGGATGGTCTCATTTTCTGCGCTGATTACGCGCATTGATAACTACTCTAGTCAGTACTCACTACTCAGTAGTCCATCATCTCAGTCCAAACAAAAAGAAAAAGAAAAAGAAAAAACAAGCAAGTACCATAGCTAAAAAGCCCAAATCTGTCTCTCCTTCATCCAATACGAAAAATCGCACCCCTGGGTATTTCCTCCGAGCTCCTATGTAAAATGTGCAACAAATATAAGTTAATCAATAATAGGTATACCTCCCCCCCCCATGCCCCGCAACCCAGAACTCCGTGCTAAGACCCGCATAAATCAAAAGAAAGAAAGAAAAAAAGAAAAAAGAAAGTAGGGTCCAGGTGATATCCGGTACTCCAATAATCGTCGCTGCCAGCCGATTTTTGGCGAGGGATATTTGAACGGATGTAGTATGTAGTGTGATTGTGTGCAGGAAATAAAAAAAAAAAGAAAAAAAGGCTCGGCCCCTGGTTCTCCCTGAACAGCCAGAGACCACAGGGATGTGACGAGGTTATAGCATTTGATTGGTGAGAAAGGCGCAGAATGCTTTGCGATCTGGAGCGATGTCAACGTCAGCGTCAGTTCCGGTCTGTTCGGTGATTTGTGAGAGGTGAATGTGGACATGGGACATACCCTGGTCATCCAGGAACTGGATATTCAACACCCTCATCTGCGCCAAAATGTCAAAGTTCGGTTGGAGTTCGAGCACCACCGGCCGACCAGCCTTCTTGCCCGGGTTGACCGTGTCAATGCAGTTTACTATTTGCCCCCATCCAGTCAGATTCCTCGTTGTAAAAAAAAAAAAAAAAACAAAGCCCCCAGGGAGTAGAGCATTAAGTAAATCAAATGGAACACATACAAGGTATCGAGACATAACGCTTTAGCTCCTTGCGCTGTGAATTTGCAAAGAAAAGCATCACTTGTTTCCCGTTCGGCCCGCGGAGCACCCGTAGGTTCTGACTGATGCATTCTTCACCGCGGCCTTTGGATTTCGCTTCAGCGATGCCCGCGATGAAGACCAGTTTCGCGGCGAGGACGAGTTCCTGGAACTGCACGCAGTCTGTCTCGGATTAGCGGCCCAAAACCCACCCACACAGAGATATCCCGAAGAGGGAGGGAAAAAAAAAAGAATAGAAGTGACATACCCCGCCAATCTTCAAAAGTGTACGAGATCTGGGTGGTGAAGACGGTGCAGTTGCTCTGGACGGTTTGCTCCTCCAGAAAGGAGATGCGGAGGGAAGGTTCGTCGCAGAGTTTGGGGTGTTCGAGGTGCGGGACGGGGAGTTTCGTGCCATGGACTACAAGTCATTGGGTTGGGTTATGAGATTGAAAATTTCCTGGAGTGATTTGGATTCGATCCCAAAAGAGGGACTTTTGACTTACAGCTGTGGATAAACGGCGATTGCTGGCCAACTCCGCCGCCCAGCTCGAAACACTTCAGCGTCCCCGTGACATCCTTGCAGATGTCGATGTAGGTGTATCTCAGCTTGAAGAGCTTGTTATTCCGGACGAACGATCTAAACACCATCGTCAGAACAACACGATTTTCCGCAGAGCAGACGTCAAAAACGAGGGAGGGAGCGCACATACATCGTAACGGCCGGGTGGAGCTGGAGACGCACGGCGTCTTCGTGCAGCGAGGGAACCCTCGACCGCGTCCCCGGCGAGGTCGCAGGGGTGGGGGGCGAATGCCACAGAGGCGACGACGGGGAACCCAGGATGGCGGATCCAGACGACCCCGTGGAGGAGGAGAAGGTGCTTTCGCGACGGGAGGGAGGGAGCGGCCAGTTTTCGATGTCGTAGAGGGAATGGGAATGGGAGGGAGGGCTCATGACCGCGGTACGGGACGGCCGGCGGGCATATATATCAAAGACCATCGAACGAAATCACGATAGTGACTAGTAATGCACGGTGCCTGTAATGACGCTCTCCAGCAAGATAAAGCAAAAAAAAAAAAAAAAAAGAAAATAAAAATAATAACTCGAGCGATGGAGTCACTTCCTCACTTATGCAGCAGTGGGACACAACGTGGGAGTGGGATCGTGCTGATCTGCTGATCGACAATGACAGAGCTGGGAGGGAGCTGGGAATATGAATCCCATTCTTCTTTCTCGTTCTGGTTTGACTGGTAGGATTAATACCGTAGGTGATGATAATTACTTGAGTCGGCAGGGCGATGGAGCATGACGAGAATGGGGACCCAGTTTGGGGGGGAGGGGATATTGGACTTGGAAGAACATGACTTAAATAAACCAAACGCCTACTCTGACATCTGGGAATAGTGAGATGGGAGGTTGGAACCAGACATGTGGACGAGATAGTGGATCATAAGAGTTGAAAGAGAGCTGCTCTCCAGCCTACTATCTATCTAGTATACGATTACATGGGGTTGGCCGCAACGTGCGCAAATGGATGGCTGTAAGGGCAAGGCAGTGGGGGTGGTGGTGATAGTGGGTGATCTGCCCATTCACCTATCGAATAGAAGATAATATACAGTGATATTGATTGATATTTGATATTTGTCCATATATATATACTCGGTAAGTTATATACTATTAAATAGATCTCTATGTTCAAAATGAAGCCTCCAGACTCCCCCTCTCATTGGGTATCCAACTCGAGGCGCCAAAAAAAAAGGGAACAAAAAAAAAAAAAAACACCATAAAAGAAACCAACTAGACCAAATCCACAAATGCTACCCTAACAAATGCAAAAATCTATACAAGGCCACACAGTGGCTATTAGCTCTGAGATGAAGTGATGACTGATGAGAGACATGTCGAAAAAAAAAAAAATCCGACAAGCTGGTAGGTATCCGGGTCTGCAGAACACACGTGGGAGTTTAGTCCAAGACACTTTGACCACGTTGTCGGCTGTCCCACGATGCTAGACCGGGACCTCGGATCCTCATCTCAGGAAGATGCAGATTTCTCATCCTTGAGGATCTAGTCTGCTGGGGGTCGACATGTGCCGATTATAGTCCGGCGTGCCGTGTATATACGGAGTGGATTATAAGTATTTCCCTTTCTTTTCTTTTTCTTTTCTTTTTTTTTTTTTTGGGTTTGCTGTCTGTGTGTGGCGTTTTTTTCTCCCCTCTCTTCCGGTCTCATCCCGCCAGCAGAACGTGTTGACTTTGATGATGCGGCTCCAGTCCGCGGGGATCCAGAGACGAGGATCCAAGGTGGATGGGATGGATGAAGGGACGATCACCGTTGAGGCTTCTGCGCAATGATCCGATAACTCGTGGAACACAGGCGCATGCGGTCCATCTTGACAAACGCCTGGCCATCCAGACACAGACGGTTGATCAGGGTCTTGAAGTGGTGCGGCAGCGCATGCACCTTGACCAAGCCCAGGATGACCTGGCGCATGGATCGGAAGTAGATGTCGACGGTGTCGATGAGTGGGGCCTGCAAGCCGTCCAAGCTGGCGTTGTCCGACTTCAGGACAGTGAACCCGGCGTCGGCCAGGGCGCGTTCCAGGACCTCCGGGGTCGGGGTGCCGACGGCGCCGATGAGCGGCTTGACGCGCCGCATGAGCTCGGCATGTTCCGGGTTGGTGGGATCGTACGCCGGCAAGCTGACCCAGTCGAGCAGCGAGATCCGGGCGCCGGGCTTGAGGACGCGGTAGATCTCGCGGAAGAGGACGGTCAGGTCCTTGCAGAGACTCAGGGCCTGGATCTGGTAGAAGGCGTCGAAGGACTCGTCCTCAAAGGGCAGCGGCAGGGAGTTGAAATCCTGGACGACGAACTTGTTGCGGAAGCCGCGCTTGTCGTTGAACTTTTGCGCCTGCGCAATCTGGTTGGGATCGATGTTGATGCCGGTGACCTGGGCGCCGCCGGAAAATTGCGTCATGTGCGCCGCCACCCGCCCGCGGCCGCAACCCAGATCCAGCACGCGATCTCCGGCCTTGAGCCCGATGTCGCGGGCGATCGACTCCTCGTACAGCAGCTGGTTCTCCAGCACGGTGGCCTTTTTGCTCATGAACGGGGGGATGTACATCTTCTCGACGTCGCCCAGGGCGCACAGGTGGTTGAGCACGCCATAGTACGCCTTGAGGCAGTCGCCGACTTTGTCCTGGTAGTTGGGGCCCAGCGTCTCGATCATCTGCTTCTCGTCGGACCAGTCCAGGTTGTAGATGACGTAGGAGGCCATGAAATCATCGACCTGCTTGGGGGTCAAGTGTTGCAGATAGCGGAAGGCGGTCCAGAAGGTCTTCCACCGTTTTGGGGAGGCGGCGTTGTGTAGGTCCGGACGGTCTCGGTCCGTCGAGGAAGCGAAGTTGGCGGCGGCCAGTCTCTGTTTCTCTTGCGCAATGGCGTCCAGCGAACTACTGCTGTCGGAACTACGTCCGGACTGGCGCGATGACGCCAAGACTGGCGCGGTTGCGGTCTGTGTTTCCATCATCCTGGGGAGGGGGGGGGGGGGAGGAGAGAATTGCTAGTATCTGATGGAAAGTCAAGCAGTAAGGAATTGAGCTGTTCTCTGGAGGAAGGGGGTTGTTGGAAAGAAAAGATCGGGTTTCGCCAGGATTATATCTTATAGAGGCTGAACTGCTGGTGAACCCATTACCCATGCACACCGAGAAGAAAGTCGTCCAACGTAAATGATATAAGCCCAAAAAGCATGCTGGTTGGAAGGGGCGGGGCGTAGGAGGAATTTATAAGCAATTCAAAGCAATGGGCCAAATTTTTCCTGTCAATTTTAATTTCTGCTTTTTTCACATCGAACGGTTCGATTGTCCCATGAGAGGGCACCGAATTCAAGATTTGCCATTGATGACTCGCCATGGGAGAACATGTGGGTTAATTTTCCCCCCCCTACTACTTCTTTTGTCACCAGATCTGGAAGCACACGGAAACCTCGGAAGTGGAGGAGGAAATGATCGTTAAATCAGGACGGGATAAGACGGCAGAGGATCCGGAGTCAGTCAGCTTTTTAGGATTCAGAATGGAGGATCTTTTGGAGAGATGCGATTGTCAGACCGCTGTTTCTTGTCTGATGGAGGCCTGCATATCTCTCCAACCTCCCACCTGGAGTTTGGACCAGTAGTAGTGGTGGTAGTAGTAGTAGTAGTAGTAGTAGTAGAAGAGCTATGTAGGATGTGATCAATGATAGTGATGTCAGATGTTGTTGAAGATGCCGAGACTTCTCTCCTCTGCTAGAGTTGCTAACTAGTTGCTAACTAGTTGACTAGTAAATTAGTAGTTAGTGGCTGTAGACTTTGTAGACTTGTGGACTGTGGCACTTCCCTTAAGGGCCTTAACTACGGATTGTCAAGGCTTATCCCAACACTACTACAGAGTACTACGAACTATTCCAGCTATGCACTGAATTGAGTACATAGTAGTACATAAGGTAACCCTCTTTTCTCCTATAAGAACGAATCAGGCAACTTGTCCCGACTTCGGACCCGCAACCCGAAGCACCCGTCCACTGACAGCATTACCTAAGCATCGGCAAAGTGTTGGTTAATCCGGATATCCGCAATCCCCGAGTTCCGAAGTATATGTCGTATGGAACTCTTCTTACTTGGTTGATAATACTATAAGGGTTTAGTATTCAATAAATAATAATCATTATTATTACAGAGTAGTAAGTGTTTGAATACGAATTTGACTCATATGATCTCTACAGAGTAGACTAGACTGGTAGAGGAATTGAATCCCCTCAGCTGTTCTTATGTTACATCATCTCATCTCGAACCCCACCGATCTCTTGAGTCCTTTTCTAGTAGTGAGCAGTCAACTAGTCCTCCATCTTCTCATCTATCGATCTATCTATCTATCTATCTATCTATTCACCTAGGACTCAACTTACGCCATGGCGTGACCACGTCACTCTCGTCATGTCAATCCTGAGGTCCTGTGCACACCCCTATACCTACAGCCGACAGGGTCTGGTACTTTTCGACTGTCAGTCAGCCTTGCGACGAACCTCCCATTCCCAGTAATGGTCCGAGGTGGAGCGGGGTCGTCGGGGCAGGCTATGACTTAGTGACTTGTGACTTGTGACAGTGAGTCAGACCCTGCAGAAAGACAGGGAGAACTAATTTAGCTTGATTCTCATGATTGATTTCAAAGCATCATTTTATGGTCTTTTTTTTTTTATCGAATAATAAATAATCCAGACTTTTTTTGTTGGAGCGGAAAATCCCCGAGATCCCGAGTCCGAGTCCTACAGGGTGACCGGTTGATACATGTCACGTGTGTCTCTACCTATATGCGTACCATCACAGGTATCACTATCAACACTCTTTCCAAGTCCCCCTTAGATTGGGGAAGGGGGGGGGGGGTATAAGAAAGGGTCTCGAATGCTTCATATATAACCATCTACATCTGTCAACCTACTACCACAGCAGGGTCCAAAAGCAAACTACACCACAGCCCACAAGTCAAAATAAGCTTAATCCCCCCTCCCCCCCCCCCCCAGATCTCCAATCCCCAATCACCTTATCCTCGCCCTCCTCCATATTCATAAGTCATAACCCATCATCCGGATTTCCTGGAACCGCTAGCGCAGGCACGCGCACAGGGGCTGAGATTGGCTCCACCGCCGTGCCTGAAAGAAAGAGAAAAAAAAGTGGTCGTCGCGGGAGTTAGTACAGATTAGGCTGCCATGTTTTTCTTAATCCGGGGAGTGGGAGTGGGAGTGGGAGTGAGTGGCCAGGTTTTAGGCTCAAGCACAGGCGCAGGCACAGGCACAGGCACAAAGGGATATAGGTAGATGCCAATCAGATCAGATCAGGCCCGTCGGACTCGGGACTCGGGGCTAGTTGCCTGAATCGTTGGATCACGGGGGATGGTTCCTTGGGGAGAGAGTGCCTAGCTTTTTGGCCTGGGGAGTGTGAGTGTGGTCACAGGTAACCTCTGGTCTATCCTATGGGCTGGGTTTCCATGCTGAGAAGATGGAGAGTAGGGGGAAAGTACTCCGTCCTACAGATATACGTTTGGGATAGACATGCTGGGCATTGTACTGCCTCGCGCTCCAGGAGTCAACTCCTCATGGATACAGTCCGTGCAAACCACGCACAAGCAGGAACAGAACAGAACAGAATGGGGTACCATTACCACCCCCCAGGAGCTGAGCTGGTAGATTACTGAGGACAGTACCTAACCGAAGTACCAAGGACAGTAGACCAAGTCTGATAGGCTGGCTATGCATGCGTTCTCCTCGAATAAGAAGCTCAGATGGAGCTGCCGATGTCCCGTGGGTCGATTGATAATGTGTGTCCTGTGGAGATGCGTGGTATGACAGGGCTGTCGGCAAGACGGCTTGTACACCCAGTACTGTCGATTGGAGCTAGGCTTGACTTTTGTGATGCTAGGTTCCCCTAGGCTTGAGCTTTGTAGCCGGTATTATGTTTCAATGAACTGGATATGATGACCCGATTGGCTGTTTTTTTTTTTTTCAAAGGTAGTGTCTATATCATGAAACCCAAATCTACCCGTCCGATTGCAGAAGCCAACATCCAGCTCTATAATCACCCCGGATATATATATATATATACATACCTTCTATTCAAGTATAAACAGCCTGGAAGTCCTCCCTCGTAATCCCGCTCTGGTCACACATACTGCGGAAGATCCCCCCCGGCTTCCCCCACAGCGCCAGCGGCGTCCCCAGCTCCGCAATCCGCCCCTGGTCCATCACGCAGATGCGGTCATAGTGGATGATCGTGCGCAGCCGGTGCGCAATGCACAGCAGCGTCTTCCCGCGGAATCCCTGCGTCATCGTCTCCTGCACCTTCTGATCCGTCTCGAAGTCGACGGACGAGGTCGCCTCGTCGCAGACGATGATGCGTGCGTCGCGCACCAGCGCGCGCGCGAGCGCCATCAGCTGCCGCTGACCCAGGGAGAAGTTCAGCCCTTCCTCTTCGACGGTGGTATCGAGGTGAAGGCGCTGCGGTGCGTGTTGTTTTTCGTTCACCGAGGGCGGGGTGAGGGTGCCGTCAGGCGAGTCGTCGTCCTCCTGCGCCGGCACCTCCTGGCCGACAAGGTGCGCTTTTCGGAGCGCGGCCCAGAGCTCCAGGTCCGTGTGCTCGTTGAACGGGTCCAGATTCGAGCGGATCGTGCCACGGAAGAGCGTCGGGTCCTGTGGGATGATGGCGAGGCGCGTACGCAGGTCGAGGAGCCCCACCGTGGCGATATCGACATCGTCGATCTTGATGCTGCCGCCGGACAGCTCAGTGAGGCGGAATAGCGCCGACATGATGCTGGATTTGCCGGCGCCTGTGCGCCCGACGATCCCGATGCGTTCACCGCCGTGCACGTCCATCGTGAGGCCCTTGAGCACCAGTGGCAGTCCGTCGCGGTACCGCATTTGTACGTCGGAAAAGGTAATTCTGCCCTTCTCCGGCCAGCTTGGCGGCACGTCGGCCAAGTGGAGAGGAGGCTCCTCATCCAGATCGGTGCCGTAGTAGTGAATCCGCTCGGCGGAGTTCATGTTGTTTCCGACCTCGGCGAATTGCCGAATGGTGAATTGCAGACTCAGCGTGATGTTCAGGACGTACGAAAGGACTAAACCAGATACACTAGGACCAACGTTGAAGCGAGAGGTTACAACCAGAATCCCAACCACCAGGATCAAAAGACTGCCGATCGCATCAAGGCGGATCGAGAGCCACCGCTGGTTGGAAAAGGTCAAGAAATATGCGCCGTTCATAGAGTTGATGCTTTCATGAAGGTTGCGCTGGAAGTACCCTTCCATTTTATATGCTTGGATACTGGCGACCCCGTTGATGGCTTCGCCGAAACGGGCAAACACCGTCGAGCGGAGTACTGAATCATGCCGCTTGAGGTTCCGCGCAGATGCCCTGTAGTATGTTGCGGCAAGGAGGAAAAGAATGAAGAGAGGACCCAGGGCAATGGCAAACTAGTCACAGTTGTTAGCGCGTCTGCTAGCTATAAGTAGAACTCTTCATGAGCCACTCACGTAGTGGTAAAAAGCGATGATCAGTCCCATGGTGCAGAGGATCTGCGTGAACGTGAAAGCGAACATGCGGATGGAATCTCCAAGATCGCTGTCCATCACCTGGACATCTTTTGAAAACCGATTGGTGATTCGTCCTAGAGGCGTCGTGTCGAAGAAGGACATTGGTGCGCGCAAGACTCGGTACATCGCCCGCTGTAGCATGGCTTTACTCGCGTAGGTTGCGGCAATCGTCACATGGAGAGCAAATAAGTAGAGGGCCAGAGTCTGTCCCGAACAGATCCCGGCGTAGATCCCCATATACTGACCTGTGGATAGGGCCGGAAACTTGTTGGACGTCCAGTACGATACCCACAATCCAGTCATGATGAGGCCGCAGTTGAGGCATGCCAACAGCACCAGAAAAGCACCGCAGTTGATCAAGAACGATCCAGTAGCGGATATGTACGCTTTCCACACCTTCCACCCCACTGATCCTGTTGCCCTCTCTTCTTTGGACATCAAGGCGGCAGCTGGTTTGGCCTTCTTGGCCTGGCCCTGAGCCGGCTCTGTCGGCTGCGCTTCGCCACCATCCTGGCCATCGACAGGATCCTCTGATTTTTCTTGCTGCGAAGTGCTCGACATCAGATCTCTGAATTGCTCATTATCTCGCATGAGATTGTCAAACGTATCAATTGCGTCGATAGCGCCTTCCTTCATGACAATGATCCGATCACACCGGCTCAGTACGTGAAGCTGATGGGTCGCCAGTACCCGGCATCTATCCTTCAGCAGGCCGCAGATGGCCCTATCCATAATATGACGCCCCACATGGGCATCGACCGCGGACAATGGATCGTCCATCAGGACGATGTCCGCCCGTGAGTAAACGGCTCTGGCGATATTGATCCGCTGCTTTTGGCCCCCTGAAACGGTGATACCCCGTTCCCCGATCTCCGTCTCATCCCCGTTGGGGAAAATTTCCAGGTCAGATCGCAGGGCACAGGCATCAATCACACTGTCATAGAAATTTTCGTCATACTCGCTACCAAACAGGATGTTCTCCCGCACCGAAACATTCTGTATCCAGGCGTACTGTGGACAGAATGATCGAGTTGCACCCATGCGGACCTTGCCCGCAGTCAATCGCATGTCGCCTGCCAAAGCCCCCAGTAATGAGCTTTTGCCACTGCCGACCGTTCCTATCACAGCCAGTAGTTCATTGCGGCCGACATCAAAGTCGATATCCCGAAGCTTGAAGGGCTCTTGTTCTGTCATGTCACTGGTAGTGTCCGGAGTACTGCTGGGCGCTACCTTCGACGACTGAAACCCCTTCGGCTTCACTTCTTTCTTTTCATCTCCCTTGGCGGTTTGCACCTGCTCCCAGGTGAATGACGCACGTTCAACCTCGATGGCCTTATCTAGACCCATATCCCATTCGATAGGGTCCGACTTTTCCTCGGCCAAAAGAAACTCCTGGATTCGGGTGATAGCCGTCCAGGCATCGGTGGCTTGCGTGATCGTCATATTGAGCATCGTGAGTGGCATACGCAGGACGTTGAATAATGCCAAAGACGCAAAGATGCGATCCGGGGACATGCCATGCTTGGACAATGCGTACGTGACGAAAGATAGCAGCGATGCAAAGGTGGGCAACGAGACCAAACACACTACAACGGCGTGTCGGACGAACAAGAGTTTCTTGATTGAGTCTACCTCGCGCCTTCGGACTGCCTCGAGTCGTTGCAGGAAACTACTTTCCCAGCCGAAGAATTTCACAAACCTAACGCTATACAATATTTCCTGCGTCAAGGTGACCCTCTGATCGGTGATTTTGTTGATGGCTTTACGGAAGCGCACGAGGAGACCCATCGCCCAGGTGAGTACGAGCATGCCGAGAACAAGGAGTGCGTATCCAGCAAGGGCGCTGTAGCCAATATTGATTATCAGAATGACCAACGCGACAATGAGGCCGATAGGCGAGCACCAGAGAAGATGAAGCATGCCGCAGGCTCTGTCGATGCGATCCACATCCACACCCATCAAGGTCGTGATGCGTCCATTGCTCCAGCCAGGCGTCTCGCCTTGAGCAGTTCCCGCACCCTTTTTAGATGTTTTTTTGGTTGCTTGGGATGCATCCTCTTTGTCCTCGGCGCTCTTGAGAGCCTTTCCTCCGGCTTTCGCACGGTTCGACAATTTCATGGCTTTCAGAAATATCTTCGAGGTAAGGGCCGCTTTGGCCATACCTCCAACAAGCATGCCTCGATACAGGGCTTGGTTCATGGTGAGACTCTGTAACACTTGCATCGCGTAGAGGCCAAAGGCATACCCGAGGCCCGGTCCAATTGACGGTCCGGGTTTCCCAGTGATGTGAGCCGCATATGCTTCGGTTGAAAATGCGATCAGATGCCTGACCAGATATGGCGATAGGACGAGACATAGCATGCCGACAAGCTGGCACACGCCGCCAATGATTAGATCGGTTCTCAAGCTGTCGAACAGGGCCCATGCGAGTGGCCGCTTGCTTCCCCGTTCAATCCGCTTCTTGAAAGCTACGTCTAGGTTGTCTGACAAGATCTCCACTGCTCTTTTCGGGTTGACGGTCCAGATATCTTGTGGTTCTAGTGGTCGGAGATAACCAACCTAGACAAGCTTTGTGAATACTCGGATTGTTTTCCAAACTCGGAATCTCTTACTGACCTTCATGAAGGGCGTCATCCACTCGAAGAATATATGGCTAAAGATATTGGCGCCATATTCCTTGGTTACTTGTCTCTCTTGTGGGACGGGGGGTATTTTCTGCAGTCGTAGAGGGTTCAGCTTGCGCCATATAGAGGGCCGTGTTTGAGGAACAGCATCATTGGCGTCTGGTTTTTCTGTTCGATTTTGATTCTCGAATGCTTTCTCATTGTCTGGCACCACTACCTCCACTTGAGTTGGGGGGTTCACATTCACAGCCATCCCGATGATAAACCAGCGAGAAACCCCCAATTGATCGGCCTTAACGTGTCGATGCGCTATACAGTCACCATCCCTGATACTGAACAATGACGTAACAGTCCGAGGTGTGGCATCAGTGGGGATTGGGGGGAATGCAATAACAGCTGCTTGCTTAATGAGATATGCTGCGAATTTTCCTGAGGCCTCTTAATTCCTCCTATCAGCAACAGCAGATTCTCGACAATGCATAAATTGCGATTTGCCCCAGGTGAAATTCAACAGCCTGTAAGGATCAAGGTAAACCCGGATGGAATGCACGAGGCAAGCAAGGAGTTTTTGCCTGAATTGGATTCTCTCAGAGATAGTTATCCGTTGCCGGGATGACTCTTAGTTCCTGGAAGTACGGGCCCTAGTTGATGATTGATGGCCACAAACGGAAGAAGATTGCCAATATCAGGTGAAGCTCTTATGCGCAAACCACGATGTCTGATACAAAGAGCTAGCACGAGACCTAACCTTGCAATCAAGGGCGACGATGTATGAATAAGCATAGGAATTATCGACACAAGGTCGCAAAGTAACCGCATACCCTCAATGACAACTTGGGGAACCTTTAGCTGCTCGGTTATCTCAGGATACAGTATCCATGGGTCATGATTGCATGACTGTCGATGAGGTACAGGCGAGTGGCAACGAGCACCAGTAAGTAACTTATGATATCCGGCCCTTCTCCACGATATTTCTGCCCAATCTCACCCTAATGGACCGGAGAAATACCACCTGGGAGGCTGGCAGATTTATAATCGCGCTCAGGCGACATCGAACAGCCGAAAAATCGGCGATGATAAAGATAACCATACCCAATGCGTCATAGAGTCAATGTTCCCAGGAGATAGTCCTGGTTAAATCCGAAGAAGCAGGCTCTTTACCGGTTTTTCCTCCTCGGCCCAGGCCTAAGGTAGTCAATCATCTCTTGGAAGGCCATGGCGAAATGACCTCTAGGACCTAGCGCTCTGTGCCAGGTACGAGGTTGTAAGGGTACGACGGAGGATAGATAGTCATTCCTAAAATTGGTTTTTAGAAGGACGTCTCACCTGACTTATGTCATGTGACTGAGGTAGGTGCCTAGGTATATTATTGTTATTCCCGGGGAGAAAAACTACGTCGGTGCTGCTTTAAGGGGTCATCAGGTAATCCGCTCATGGGAAGAGAGTATCGTGAAATAAGACTTGTTTGGCATCTTGCTAATTCACTGTTTTCTTGGTCTATACTCTATAGTCAACATATTTGCAGACATCTCCTATTCCAAGTATACCCCACCCCCTGCGGCTTTTCAATGACCAGATTGAAAATTCACGCCGTGTTTGTCGAAAAATCCCTCCAGCGTAGTCAGTTTTCCATGCGCTTCTGCAACGCTGGCCACCAGGAGTTCCTCAGTCTCCGGACCCCAGTAGCCAAAGTCCTGAATGTAAAGCATCATGCCCAGGAAGACCTGCATGAACGAGCCGGGAGAAAGGAAGGCGCTGCGAATGGGCAGAGAGCAGATGTAGTCCTCGACTTCGGCCTTGACATCGAAGTGCTCGCCGCGTGTGAATTCGCCGCCGGAGATCTTAGTGATAGAGGGGAGGGTGCTGTAGATATAGAATTCGACACTGGCGGCCACCGCGGCATCGGCCAGAGCCTTTCCTCGCGCGGAGTCGCGTGCCCTCATCTGCTCGTCGTGCACCGTCTCGGTGAAGGCGTACGCAGCATTCGCGCCCTTGAAGAGCTTCTCCGAGACTGGTTGCATCGTCTAGGTCTCCCTGCAGCACTTCCACTCCTTGCTAAGCCAGCTTCTGGGCCGCGGGCTTGCTGGGATCGCGGGTAAGTGTCCGCATGCGATATTGGCTGGACAGGTGAGGGTCGCCCAGGATGGTCTCCACGATAGAGCCTCCCTGTTGGCCAGTAGCGCCGCAGATGACCAGTAGTTTGGACATATTTTCTCCCAGTAGAAATGATAGACACGACGCACAGAGTCGGTTTCTGCGAAGGATGAAAAGCTTCTGATGGATCGTTGATTTGTATCTCTTATGTCGTAGCAGACGGTGCCAACGACGCTTTTATGGTCAATGACATTGGGAATGAGCCATGGAGATACCACCCAACTCAAGGCCCCTCAGTGCTCTTGACTCTCTCAGCTGCCGTTGAATATGTAAGCGTCATGTTAATGTCGAGCGTGGAGCGGACAGAGCGGACAAACTGGACAGAGCAGACAGAGCGGGTGGTTGCAGGTCGGATGAGCTCGTAATTTTACTCCGGCGAGCAGTAAATCTGTAAATTACAAGAATAAGTCATGTGATGCTCGCACCACCCTTTACCATACTAAAATAGATTTCAGCTCACACCACCCTTTCTGTTATTTTACTAAATTAAATACTCTAATAAACTTAAGAGATCTTAAAGTTAACTACTTTCTAAGTACTTAAAAACCTAAGTACTTAGAAAGTACTTAGAATTTATTTAGAAAGATAAGTATATAAAAAATTTTTAAGTACTTAGAAAGTACTTAAAATTATTTTTAATAATCTATATTAGATAAGTATATTACTCTCTACTAAAGATATATATATTAATAACTATAGTAAAAGATAACTATATTAACTACTTAGTAAGTACTTAGAAAGTACTTATTAAATAGTTAATAAGTAATTTCTAAGTACTTAAAATAATAATATCTATTATCTTTTATAAGTATAATAAGTTACTTCATATTATATTTTTTCTATATAAATAAAAAAATAAATAATAAGTAATTTCTAAGTACTTAGGTTTTTAAGTACTTAGAAAGTAGTTAACTTTAAGATTTCTTAAGTTTATTAAAGCTTACTCTGTATTTGATTTTCAGATAAAATAATATGAGTATTTAGATTTCAGGTAAGATAGTATGGTAATATTTTAGGTCGCGCGAGCCATAAATGCTTATTAATGGTCTTGGCGGTCACATGTATGGGGTATGGCTCATATGAGCAGTCCAGACTGCTCATGTGAGCTGTGTACACGACAGAGCGGCCGTCCGCCGTTGTTCTTAGCCGCTTACCTCATCGGGGAGCTTGTTCACGTACTCCGAGTCGTCAGAAAAGTATATTGTTATTATTATTAATTCATTGTAACCAAGGATATTTTTATGAAGACTTTTTTTTGGAATAGTGAAACAGAGAATAATCATAAGCCTGTGTTTGGTTAGACCAGACAGTCAATGGGTGATTTCCAGTTCTTGGCTACAAAATATATCTTGCTGCTCCAAGGATGTTAATAGATGACAGAAGAGAAAGCTCTCCGCTCATGCATTGGTTGCAGAGCTCGAAAGAAAAAATGCGATAAAAGTCTACCTCAGTGCGGGCGCTGCAAAAAAGTAAGTCCTTGTCTATGTCTCGGTCTTATATATATAAGTATATATCAATCGAGTCATTCCGGGTTGTTACCGACACTGCTAGCACTAGCAGGCTCTCATTGCAGTGCTCATATGAGGAGCGTTCGAATGACACCAATCAGAAAGAATGATCTCCCGCATCCAGCTGCCCTTCACTAGAGTGACAGTGAAGCAACCTCTCCCTTGAGTTGTGAGGGGACGCCCCAGAGTTTCCTCTGTCTGGTACTGCTGTCAAACAACATCAATTTCTCGGATCTAGCCAGCGTTTACCTCCAATCTGTGCACCAAAGGCTAGCGCTCTTACCTGAAGAGAAAGTAAAACAGTATTGCGCAGTATATCCTGTGATGGTGGTGCCGTCCCGGAGAAGGGATCATCGGGTAGGTTTGACGGGAGAAAATAACCTCCAGGACAAGCTCCTCTTCTTCATTGACCCTCTCTCCAACTGGATGATCGATAGCATGTGCTTTAGAATCCAGGTAGCGAGGATAAATCCCTCACAGGCTGCAATGACCATGGAAGCCTCTTCGATCATACCCTGAGTGAGCATATAGTAGCATAGAAGCAGGCTAGCCTGGACTAGGTCTAGCTTTGGCGATATCAAAAGGGCACTGTGGAAGAGATGGCGCTTGGTTACATGATAGATACGGCGCTCATGAGGATAAGTGATAGAACCAGGATGCTTGATTCGTCACTGACCTGCGCCAGGCTCTCGCCATCGGGACAACATATCGCACCAGGCAGCCATGCCTCTGCTTCAAGCCGAGTATGAATAATACGCAGAGACGCTCCTCCCCTCCCAACCACCCCATTTCCACACGGGCCTAGAACTCGATTTCAGACTCACCAAACTCATCTTCAAAATAAATGGTGCCGACGAGCCACCACTGCTCGATCAAATCGCACACCTCCTCCAGCATACCCTGGCCGATGCGGCGGTACATATTCGGGATCTTCCTCCTGGGCTCTGTTTGATGCTGTATCTCTCAGTAGTCGCAGATGGTCATCTGCCGCCAGGGCAGGGCGAATATGAGATAGCTGTCGCCAGAAGACTGCTGGAAGTGCTGCGTGTAGCGATGGGCGTTGGCCGGTAAGCCGGCCATAATTAGTTCTGCGAAATCCTGACTGGAAAGTGAAGTGCTAACGAGGAGTGCATTGTCATGGTGCTAGGACGATACCTTGAGCTTCTGGATCAGCGCGACATCTCGAAATCATGATCGTGCGTTGCGTTGGACACGGCACTTAATTTTTTTTTTTGGAGCCATGGCTCTTACTCTTAAACCTGTTATCCTCTAGTGAATATTATTATCCTTCAAGATGACAATAAGAATGTGTGTTGAATATGTAGACTAGGTATTAACTAGCCTTGGGTCAAGCTCTAGTAGTGAGCGTCCACTTTCACGCCATTGTGATTGGCTCATCGAGTCCTAACCGTAGCTAGGTTGTTGTTTTGTTTGGGTTTGGATGCCTCGGGTTTGATGCAGGTGAAGATGATAGCCAGTCCAGGTTGATTTCGAGCGATATTAAATATCGAAATGGATGGATGAAGGCGCTACAAAAATGTATGAGGGAAAAAAAGACCAGCGATGGACAGGGGAAAAGAGAAGAGGGGAAAAAAGGAGAACGCGGGGCTGCGCATTAAATACCTCAGGTCTCCTCAGGCTCTCTCAGCCAGCGCACTGTTTTTGCTGCGCATTAAATACCTCAAGCCTCCTCAGGCTCCCAGCCAGCGCAACGTTTCTGCTGCGCTTTCCACGTCGATTTAACTACTGATTCTTGTTCTTGTATTTAATGACCTTGAAGAAATAGCAAATGGTTCATCAATTGGATCATACACGGCTTCTATCATAAAAATGGTTCCGTCGCTGCGTTTTCACATACATCAGATCGCCATCTCCCCCCCAATTGCGGATGGGAAATTCATCGATGGACGAGGTGAAGAACCGTCGGCTTCAGCTCGGACGGAGACTCGCTTCGTTCCATCTCCACTGACTAGAACACAGTTGGACTGTGTCTGACTGGAATATACTCACTAAGCACAGCCAACAACAAGAGTTCCTTCTCTCATCGTCTACAGGGTTGTGCGTGGAGTAGCAGACGTCCCTGGATGACCTGATGAGGCTGCAGGCCTTTCTTCGACCTCCATTTAATCATCCAGACCAATCTTGACATGCTTCTCCCCGTTGGGGATGACTTTGTCCTCAGCCTCGCCCGTGAGGTTGGGGAGCTCGGACACAGACTCTGCGATGATGTCCAATGCCTTTTGAATCTCTTCCTCGGTGATCACGAGGGGGGGAGCAAGGCGAATGATATTTTGGTGAGTTGGCTTGGCCTATTGTTGTTCCGAAAATTAGCAGCTAAACGCACGACCGAAACCACACAGACTACTCACCAGCAAGCCCTTGGTCTTCATCAGCATGCAGAGATCCCAGGCAGTGCGTCCATTCGTCTTGGACTCGTCAATGACAATGGCATTGAGCAGACCCTTGCCACGGACGGTTTGGATGAGGGGGCTCTTGATGGCCTCCAGACCGTTGCGGAAAACATGGCCGAGCCTCTCCGCTCTCTCCACCATGTTCTCCTCCTGGACGACTTCCAGCGCCCGGATGGCCACTGCGCAGCCCAGTGGGTTGCCACCGTAGGTGGAACCGTGGGTGCCAGGCTCGATGGTGAGCATGACATCTTTGCGGCCCAAGACACAGGACACAGGATACATGCCACCGGAGATGGCCTTACCGAGCAGGACCAGATCGGGCTTGATTCCGCTCCACTCGTGGCACAGCAGCTTGCCGGTGCGGGCAATTCCCGTCTGGATCTCGTCGCAGATGAGGAGGACATTGTGCTTGTCGCACAGAGCACGCGCCTCCTGCAGGTAGTCGTTGTCGGGAACGACAATACCCGCCTCACCCTGAATTGGCTCTACCAGGAAAGCGGCCAGGTTGGGGCCCGCCTTCTCAAACGCCTCCCGCAGAGCGACCTTGTCGTTGTACGCGATGGGCTTATCGGTGCCGGGGATTGTGCATCCGATACCGGGCAGATAAGGACCATAGTTCTCGCGCGACTCGGGGTCGGACGACAGAGAGATGGCAGCGAACTAGATTTGTGGAAAAAAAAAGCAAACAAACTGGTCAGTTGATTTGTGTCGCTCAGATCAATTCACCTGTCCACCTTCTCTCGCTGACATACCGTACGTCCGTGGAAGTTGTTCTCCGCACTCAGCACAATCGCTTGGTTCTCCGGAATGCCCTTGACCTTATAACCCCACTTGCGGGCAATCTTGATTCCTGTCTCCACGGCCTCCGCTCCGGTGTTCATGGGTAGAACCATGTCGAAACCAAAGTACTTGGTGACAAACTCGGCGAAGCGGGGGAAAACGTCATTATAGAAGGCACGGGAGCTGAGGGTCAATCGCTGGGCTTGGTCGACCAGGGCCGCCACCAGCTTGGGGTGGCAATGGCCCTGATTGACGGCGGAATAGGCCGACAGGAAGTCGAGATAGTGACGACCTTCGGGATCCCATACGGAAGTACCCTGAGCGCGAGCGAAGACAACGGGGAGGGGGTGGTAGTTGTGTGCTGCGAACTCGCTCTCGGCCTGGATAGCCTCTTTGGTGGAGGAGGCGTGGTAGGATCTGGTACCGTTGGTCGACATGGTGGATGGAAGATTAGATGGGGATGGTATGGGTTGATGGAGATGATGATGAAGGAGTGTTTTTACTTTTCACTTCTCACTTCTCAGACTGTGAGGAGGAAGAAAAAGATGGGATCAAGGATGGGGTTACAGTTGGGTACGGGTATAGTGTGGGGGGGGGGGGGGGGAGCGGAAGAAAGAAGAATGAATGATGCCGGAAGAGAGGAAGAAGAGGAAAGAAGTTGCCGCCCTTTTAGCCCTTTTAATACTCTGATCAGCCACACCAGATTCTCTGAGGCTGTTTCTGGAATTGAAGACCGTGAAAAAAGCATTCCAGCTCTTCATTCTGTATAACCTGATAAGACCCGCTGGAGCGGTCTCTCCAGAACCCCTAAGTGCAGGTTTACCCGCTGGAGATCGCTAAGTGCAGGTCTACCCGCCATGATGCTGCTGATCCACTCCGGGTGACTACCACTCACTTAACACCTTGAGGATGTGGTCCATTCAACTGCCTTATGTCAATGTGCAGGTCTTAGTCTCCTAGTCCTAGATTGCTAGTTACTCCCCGCTAGTCCCGAGAGAATCCGCCATTGTCGTCCTGGCCATTACTCATGTTTTTCCGCGCCTCCACTGTAAGGCGGATCTCCTCGCTTTCTGCCGGCCCAGCCAGCCTGGACTTCTTGGCCTGGAGTAAGACTCAGGAATCAGGAATTGATACCGAGTTATCATATCCCGGGGGGTTTTTGGTTTAGTCCTCGCGTCCTGGCTCTGTGACTGGCGACCATGTCCTCATCGCGTCCGAGGAATCAACTCTCTTCCTCTTCCTCTTCTTCGTTTCCCTCGTTGTCGTCCCCCGTTTCGCGCCTGAGGCCGCAACATTCTCCTCCATCATCGTCATCATCATCGTCAACAACGACAGCTTCCTCCCTCTCCACCAATCTCCTGTTCTTCCTCATCGCCTTTCGTCTTCTCAACGCCTTCACCGTTCGTACCTTCTTCCAGCCTGATGAATTCTTCCAATCGCTTGAGCCCGCATGGAAGACCGCGTTTGGAGACAATCAGGGGGCCTGGATAACCTGGGTGAGTGGTCAAGTCGCGATCCCCCTCCCCCAAAAAACCAACAAATCCGCTTGCTGGCAGCCGCATACGATTCCCCGTACCAGCCAGTCACGATGTTCCGGTTGCTAATCGATTGATCCCTACGAATAATATAGGAATGGAAGCACCAACTGAGATCCTCCATCCATCCTCTCATCTTCGCCGCTGTCTACTCCGCCGCCGATCTCGTCGCACAGCTTCTCCGTCTCTCCCCCGCAACCCGCGCGGATCTCCTCGTCGCCGCCCCTAAGACCGCGCAGGCCGTGATCGCCGGGGTCGGGGATTTTTATACCTGGAAGTTGGCTCGATATGTGTATGGTGCTCGAAGCTACGAGGCCTGGGCTACTGTATGTTTAAGTTCTTTCTGTTATGTTGCGCAATATGGCGGCTGAGGCTGACTGGACTGGGATACAAGCTCGTCCTCACGGTGGTTAGCCCTTGGCAGTGGTTCTGTTCCACCCGGACTCTGTCCAACTGCCTCGAAACCACGATCACCATCGTCGCTCTCTACTTCTGGCCTTGGTCTTGGTCATTAAATTCCAGTTCATCGGCGGGACAGCGGAGGACGACACGCGCAGCCAGCAGGGAGCGCCGTGAGAGGAAGCACTCCGCGGATTCGAGTCGGGCGAAACGGTACAGCGGGATAAGTTCCCCTGTTGCAGAAATATTCTAACCGACGTACAGATTGCGCCGATGCCTTGTCCTCGCGGCCATCGCATGTATCCTACGGCCGACAAACGTCCTCATCTGGTTGACTCTAGCCGGTGTCGCATGGCTTCGGACTTCTTGGGAACAGAGAAAGACCCTTGTGCGCGAGGCATTGCTGTGCGGGTAAGTCTACCGTGCCCTTGTTAGATAGGACATGGTCGCTAACGGCTTTCAGTTCCGCCGTCCTGCTCCTCTCGGTCCTTATAGATCGCCTGTTCTACGGATTTTGGACCTTTCCTCCCCTGCGATTCTTGCATTTCAACATTGCGCAATCTCTGGCCGTTTTCTATGGGAAGAATGACTGGCACTATTACCTCTCGCAGGGTTTCCCGCTCCTCCTGACCACGGTGCTACCATTCACCCTGGTCGGCCTGTATCGCGCCTTGGCCCAGCTACGACTGTCTGCATCGGGACAGTTGCAGCCGCTCATGCCGGCCCAGCTGGCATTGATAAGCGTGATCATGCCTTTTGTGCTCTCCCTCATCTCGCACAAGGAAGTGAGGTTCATCTATCCACTGCTACCATCGCTCCACATCTTGACGGCGCCGCCGCTGGTCGACTACTTCATGCCTGCCGTGCTCCGTTCGTCACGGTCATACATGCCCCGGAGACTCACTCTGATCTTTCTCTTGCTGGTTAATGTTGTCATCGCGCTGTACACCACCATCACGCACGCATCCGGCCCACTCAACACGCTCTCTTACCTCCGGCAACAACATGATGCCCACTCCAGTCCACCCTCCGCGCTGGATCATTCGAACAACGACCATTCCGAGCGCGGCATCACGGCAGGATTCCTCATGCCCTGCCACAGCACCCCTTGGCGCTCCCACCTCGTCTACCCCACCATCCACGCCTGGGCTCTATCCTGCGAACCTCCCGTCGGCCTCACCGACGCCCAAAAAGCCACCTACCTCGATGAAGCAGACCAGTTCTACGCCAACCCCGCCCAGTTCCTGCGCGAGCACATGATCGGCGGCCTCCGCCACATCCCCCGCAAACCATCCTACCTCTCCCCCTCACAGCCACCACCGTCGCAGTCGCAACTCAACCCGCCCAGCACCACCCACAACTGGCCTGACTACCTCATCTTCTTCGCCCAGCTCGAACCCACCCTCCGCAGCCTCCTCCGCGCCTCCTCCTACGCCGAATGCCAGCGCACCTTCAACACCGCCTGGCACGACGACTGGCGCCGCACCGGTGACATCGTGGTCTGGTGCCTCGATCCCGCCGAGCAGCAGGCCTGGCGCACCGCCACCCGCCAGCGCGAAACCGAGTCCCGCGAACGCCAATTCGACCGCATCGTCGAAGGCTTCCGCCGCGAGGCAAGTGGGAAGCACCGCAGCTGGAACTGGAACCGGGGGTGGGACCTCGTCCCCTTCCGCTCATGGTTCTCGTCCACGCCGTCGCTGTCGCTGTCCCTGCCCGCGCTTTCGTGGCCGTCCGCTTCATGGTCTCCCTGGCCGTGGCCGGCTACCACCTCGTGGTCGTGGCCATGGCAGCCCAAGCGGCGGACCTGGTTCGGTGTCCCGATTCCACAGCTCTGGACGGCACGGTCGCCGTGGACGATGCGCGCCGGCGCGGGCACGAGCGACTGGTTCAAGGGCTGGGGAGGGAAGAACAGCAAGAGCAAGAGCAAGAGCAAGAAGAGTTTGGATCGAGATCTCTGGTCTTGAGGGGTTTCGAAAAAGGAGGGGTGTTTTGTTTTCCGCTGCATGATACCTTGTCTGTTTTTGTTTTTGTTTTTTTCTCTTGTACATACGTGCTACAGCCATCTCCTTCGCATTGGATCAGATGCATCTAGCGTGGACTTGAAGATGAATGATTCCGAGTCTGAGTCTTATCCAAATTTTTTTATCCGTCTGTGAACAGAGTACTTTAATATATATATACTATATGGTATGCTTAGATATCCAAAGATCCAGCCATCGGTCGCAGTCTCCAATCTGTCTGTCTGTATGTATGTATTGCCTGGACCCCCGAGGAGAAAAAAGAAAAAGAAAAAGAAAACGCCGGTTTTGGTATGATGCAGACACCAACCTGCCCAAAAATGGTGCAAAAAATAAATACATAGAAGAAAGGATACCATCCGAGTCTCAGGGGGGGGTGGGGGGTTCGCTAACCGTACCGCGCGCTCAGATTGGCAAAGGCGTCTGGGCTGTGCCGGCCCGTTTGGAAGCCGTTGATGTCCACGCTCTGCTGGCTCATGTGGGTTCGTGGGAAGGTGCCGTTCAGCTGAGCCGGGGGCGCTGTCAGTCCCAAACTCGTGCCAGCGCCGGGTTGCCCGTTCATAAAGGGATTGCGGGATCCGCCGAATTGGGGATCAGCGGTCGGCTGGGGAGCTGCTTGCGGCGGAGCGTTGATACTGGGCATCGGCTGCATCTGCGGTGCTGGCTGCAGCGACACTCCTGAGGAGGCTTGCAATTGCTGAGGTTGGGATATCCCAGTGCTTCCTGGTGCAGGGGGCAGGCTGTACAAGGAAAGAATGCTACCCTTGTCCACGCGGCCGGTGGGTTGTGCGGCAAGATACTGGCTTGTCTGTTGCAGTCCAGGCTGTAGTTGTGACTGGTATTGAGATTGATAGCCACCAGTCTGCGGCGAAACTTGGGCTGTCATGGCGTGGAAGGGGTTTTGACTGCCCTGGCCCTGCTGGAAGGAGTGCAGATGAGCCTGCAGTTGACTCTGCGGATACTGCTGCTGCTGCTGTTGTTGTTGCTGTTGCTGCTGCTGAAAAGATGACATCGGCCCGAAAGGCGATGTGGAAGATACCGCTGGCATCGTATTTGCATGTCGGGGCGGGTTGTGCAATGCACTTCCGGGGGTTGTTTGAAATTGCGGCTGACCCGAAGCCCCCGAGGCTCCGAACTGGCTGAAAAATGGGTTCGTCGGAGCCACGCCAGGGCTCTGGGTGAGCGGCGTACTTGTGAAACTGGCCTGTGGCTGCGCGGCTGACTGAAAGAATGGGTTTTGGCTGCCGTCGAACGCTTGTGGGGATGCGGCAAATGTGCTTTGGGCGAAGGTCGAGGTAACGGGAGGGGTTAGCGGTTGCTGATAAAGAGGCTGAGGAAGTGAAGACTGGTTAATAGGATATCCCCCAGTAGAGTGCGGGAACAAGGGCTGTGACACCTGCAAATTCTGAAATGATGTTTCCAGAGACTGCGCAGGTTGTGGTTGCAATTGCAATTGCAACCGCGGTTGTGAAGTTGGCACGTCAAAGGGGTTGTAGGAGCCATTGACTTGGGTGACCGGTTTGAAGTCAAGCTGATCAAACGGGTTGTCCGACGTGTTTTTGGCAGCATTGACTTGTGCCGCAGTCCGTCCCAGCGTGGGAGGACCCTCTCCCAGCCTCTGAAGAGTCTCGATTGTCTTGTTCAGATTCCCGTCCAAGCCTTTCAATGCACTGGCGTTTCGGCGCTCGTTGGTAAACCCCATATCCCTCAGTGTGGTCATCTTCGCATCAAACGACGCATCGTTTGTGTCACGGACGGAAGCGCCGAAACCTTGGGAACCAGAGTGGGAATTGGATACGCTCCGGAATGGCGGCGAGTCGGTAGCATAGGATCTGTTCAACGACCGGTGCAGGTTGGAGGTGGAGGAGGCGGACCGCAAGCCGAGACCGGGGAACCTGCCGGACTTGGGCGGCAGGGGAGGTGGTGAGCCCTCGGGAGATCTATCGTAGCTAGAATCATTCCGGCTCGGGGGCTTCGGTTTCCCATCTTCCAACGAGCGATGCTGATACTTCTGCCGGATATACCGTTCCATGCTCGAATCGGCCTCGTCGACATCCATGGGAACCGGGGGTGGAACGCTCTTGGGGTTGAAGATCTTGTTCATGAGGTTATTTCCGTGTGATTTCATATTCTGGACGGGTTGTCTTGTGTTAGCGAAGGGGTCTTTATCAGTTTGTTGCCCCAGCGCGGTTCGACTCACATCCACCTGTTCCGATGTCCATGTGTCCATGCTCAGGGACTTGACCTTGGAGATGTGCGTGCCCAGCTTGCGATGCAAAGCTGCGCATCGCATGCAAAGGAATATCCCCATCTATATCCCATCTAATCAGCTTCCTCATTCTGGCGGGTGCGTCGTGTACAATCGAGCGGTATACATACGTTCCAGCTGGCCCATCCTGGAAAGGCGCGCGTTTGTTAGCAAACTGCGTGGGCTCACGAGTTCGACTCGACATCGGCATCGACATACCTGGGTTGAATGCGCCACAATCTGCACATCGATCATTACCGGGAACTGAGCGGATGAGGTCCTGCAAGGTTTTCTCATTCCGTTGCTGCTGCCGTTTACTGACGGCGCTGGGCATGTTGATGGCGGTTCCTCGAAGGATGAACCCGGATCCTCCTGTGGAGACAATGAGCGACAAGAAAAGACGAGATGAATGAATCTCCAGCAAAGTAGAAGCCAAAGAAAACCCCCGGTCAAGGAAAGCCTGAGGTTATTCACCAAAGATTGGGGCGAAAGTTGCAGCGAGCGGGCCGAGCTTCCGTCTGCGGGAGATAGGGGGGAGGGAATCTTAAATAGGAACGGCAACCATATTTACAGGATAGAAATGTAGGGAGGGACCCGCAGGTCGAAGGAAGATATGAATAGAGATGAAGAAGGATGAATAATGAACGGCTAGAGAGAAGGAGAAGAAGAAAGAGAGAAAAGGAGGAATGGTCAGGAGAGGACAAGAAGTGGCCAGGGATGATATAATAGTACAAATCAATGGTGGGTGTGGGGGAAGAAAAAGAGCAGGATGACTGACAGTGGCCAACACCAGTTCGTGATGCACAGGAAGGCACTTGATCTAGCTAGAACTTGGTTGAGGTTCTACTAGAACAGTGCTCTTATTATTTTTAACTGGCATGTCTGATGGAGTATGGAGATGGATGGCTGCGTGCTCCAGTGCTATCTTTATGTATATATACTCCGTAGGTAGATAAATCCATATCGCACCAGGGGACATCATGATCCTCTTAACTCTTAACTCTTAAGTCCAAGACACCACCGGATTCTCGAATCTTGACCACGGTGCCAAGTGCGCGATTGGTCCGTGACATTCTTTCGTTGGATCCTGGCATCCACTTCTCGAAGCTGAACTTATTCGATAGTCATTTTTGTCGATCAGTCAGGGCGCACCAGAGTGAAGTTACCCAAGCGGTCAGAATTCCTGGGATTGGTGGTGCACTTTCCATGACATACTACGGAATGACTATGAGGTCGGGATCTCTATCCCGTGTGTCTTTTCTCTTTGAAAGCTTCAATTTTACAACATGATACCAAAGTCAAATGAATGTGTGGGCAACAGGTGGCTCTTCACCATCGCACTCAAAGAGTCTCCAAAAGGAAACTCCAGTACGGTAGAGGAGCCTTGTGCTGCCCGGATCCTTCTAGTACGCCAATATGACCTGCCATCCTATGGTCCATAGGAAGGAATTGGAGGTTGATTATGCGTTCGTAGTTTATGAAAAGTGTAATGGAAAAGAAAAGAAGAAAAAAAGAAGAGAGAAAAGAGTTGTTGACAAGAGGTGCAATATAAAGGGCTGCCAAGGAGTGGTCACGTGGATCGTGGACCCAGCACTAAGTCAGGTGACTTCCTCCACCACTTGAAGTTTTCTTCTTCTCGGTTTGAATTTTCTGCTTCTCTCCATCTCTCTCTCTCTCTCTCTCTCTCTCTCTGTCTCTCTTTGACCCAGTCAATTCAGAAAACACACAAGTGACACAACAGTGTCTTGTCTTGCTCATTGATGTGTGAGCTACTATTGTAGATTTTCTTTTCGACTCCTTCCAAGACGTGATGATGTCTTGTTTGCAATTGTTATCTGACAACCACACAGCAGGCGTCTAGTCTTTTCAATGGCCAAGTCGTATGCTTTTTTTTTGTTCGTTCAGTGGAAGATCAAAACCAAACAGTTTTTAGCAGAGCTGCGTCTACTCCACCCTGGTGTTCGTCTCTCTCGAGCAGCAGGACTTTTTACGACGGACATCCTATATTATATTATGTTGTGTTGATTGATAGAAATGGAAATATTGATTTTATTCCTGCTCCTGAGCGTGCGTAGAGGATAGGATGATGGAGGTAGCTTGAACATTCTGCCTCCCTCGGGGTTGGTGGCGTCAATCCGATATGGCACACCAGCTAGGAAGTGAGGGAGATGGGATGAAACTATTCAGCTTATCTCATATTATTGAGTCTAGTCTCTAGCCCGTAACTACTATTGAAGCTGATGAATAATCGAGTAGAGTCTGGATGAGAAGACTAGCTGGACTGCTGGAGATACCCAAGAGCACAGGAACACACGAACATCAACACCACCAACAGATTGTGATTTGTGAATTGTGGGGTTATTCATCTGTGCAAATTGCGAAACAGAGTGTTCCTGTTTAGTAATGCAATAATCACCAATGGTTGCTGGGGGATCCACCCTATCCTCGTTGCTCAATGCCTTCAATGAGAGGGATAGATGGATACTACTCCGTAGTATTGATTAGTTGATTATTGAATGATAACATCCTGAGAGACAATGATGTATACACTCGAAGGACATCCAGACAGCAAGAGGCAAGAGAGCCCTCAGCACCATGGATCCGACGATTGCCACGTCCACAGATTCGCAGCCTCCCCTCTCATGGCTCTGGTATCCAGACTAGGTACTAACTACACAGTAGTACCTCGACTCTCATAATCACGATCCCTTCTTCAAAGCAGAACTAGACGAAGAAAATGCGGAGAAAAAACTGCTGAGTCAAGAATTCGGGCCCAGAAGCTCACCAATCTGCCGTCTTTCATTGGTGCACGGCGTTTTGTTTCTATGGACTATGGAGGATTACCTACCTAGTTAGTAACTGAGTATGATTATTATTATTATTATTATGATTATTATGATTATTATGATTATTAGTCGTAGATATCCCTCTCCCACCCTCCTCTCCTCCTCTCCTCCTCTCCTCCTCTCCTCTTCTCCTCTTCTCCTCTTCTCCTCTTCCCTTCTGTCCATCTGTCAGATTCTCTCTCTCTCTCTGCTTCACTACGTACTATCGTACTCTTTCTTCTTTACACCCACTCACTCTCTATCCTTCATTTCGTGAGAGAATACATATAAACTATCCCCTTCCTTTCTTGATACTCTTGTCCTCGCCTTCCATCACAATGGCCTCGGCTGCTAGATCTGCCTCTCGCGCCTTCCTGCGCTCCACTCCGGCGACCTCTTCCTTCCGTCCCGCTGTCCGTGGCGCTCGCTTTGCTCTTCCCGCTCAGGGCTTCCGCGCTGCTTCTCGTCGGGGTTATGCCTCGGAGGCCAACTCCGGCAAGTCCTCCTCCAGCGTCTTCCTGTGGGCTGGTCTGGCCGTCGCCGGTGGTGCTGGTGCATACTTCTACCTGAACGGCAGCGATTCGGTGGACTCCAAGAACTTCGTCCCCAGCAAGGAGGACTACCAGAAGGTGTACGATGCGATTGCTGCTCGTCTGGCCAATGAGACCGACTATGATGATGGCAGCTATGGACCTGTAAGTCCCACCAGAAGGTTCCTTCATTGTAACTTGCAGAGCTAACATGCCATCCTCGCACGATAGGTCCTCGTCCGCCTCGCATGGCACGCAAGCGGTACATATGACAAGGAGACTGGCACCGGTGGCAGCAACGGTGCCACCATGAGATTCGCTCCCGAATCCGACCACGGCGCCAACGCTGGTCTCAAGATTGCCCGGGACTTCCTGGAGCCCATCAAGGCCCAGTTCCCCTGGATCACCTACTCGGATCTCTGGACTTTGGCCGGTTCCTGTGCCATCCAGGAGCTGGGTGGTCCCACCATCCCCTGGCGCCCTGGCCGTCAGGATCGGGACGTCGCTGCCTGCACCCCTGACGGACGTCTCCCCGACGCCTCCAAGGACCAGCGCCATGTCCGCGACATCTTCTACCGCATGGGATTCAATGACCAGGAGATCGTGGCCCTGATGGGTGCCCATGCCCTGGGCCGTGCTCACACCGACCGCTCTGGCTTCGATGGCCCCTGGGATTTCAGCCCTACCGTCTTCTCCAACGAGTTCTTCCGCCTCCTCGCCGAGGAGACGTGGCAGAAGAAGAAGTGGAACGGACCTACCCAGTTCACCGACAAGACCACCAGCACCCTGATGATGCTTCCTAGCGACATGGCCATGATCAAGGACAAGGAGTTCAAGAAGCACGTTGACCGCTATGCCAAGGATAGCGATGCCTTCTTCAAGGACTTCTCGGACGTCTTTGTCAAGCTCCTCGAGCTCGGTGTTCCCTTCACCAGCAAGGCCGAGGACCGCTATGTCTTCAAGCCCTCTGAATAGACGGTCGCTTGAACTCTTTTTAAAACTTCTGATTCTGTTTTTCTTTTCGTTGTATTTGTCCTGGTAGCATGCATTTTGGTTAGTTTGCATCTTGATATCCGACATGTGGTCTGTCGCCCATGTCCATTAAGTGACAAAATTGTCATGACTTTGGTTTGAATATTTGATATCTTGTTGGGATATGTCTGAAGATCTAGATGGATAGTCTACCATGCTATTGAACATATTCACTGACCTGTACTGGCCGTCAGCCTTCTGGCTTGACTTTGTAGACCATTTCGGCTCTATGTTGCCCACAGACTGGTTTCATACTGTAAAAAAGAAAAGAAAAAAAAGTCATGTTCCGACCATTAAGGTAGCTAGCTGTTCGAGCGCCGTCACTGTCCATGTACAAGAGCAGCGGAATCGAATAACCTCCGAGGTGGCAGCGGGACGAACGCCAACAATTTTTTGGGTTCCTCCCATCCACCACCAGAAGTCATCGGCTCATTCTAAACTAATCAGTATCCTCCTCAAATACACCACGAAACAAGGAGATCGAAGAAGCGAAGGATCTGCAAAGCTTCTTTTTGAATAAGCAACTCCCCCATCTACACCAGGGAAACTCGTCCTCCCACCGCTCCCACCGACGCAAAAATGACGGGATCACACACCATCACACACGACCACGACTACTACGAGATCCTCAACCTCCCTTACTCCCCTTCAACAGCCCTCTCCAAACAACAGCTCAAACTCGCCTACCACAAAGCCCTCCTCCAACACCACCCGGACAAAACCCCGAGCGCCGAACCCCCCACCCCCACCCAAGCAAAAGCAACACCCACCGTCACCATCGACGCAATCACAGCCGCGTACAAGACGCTCTCCGACCCCGCGCTGCGCGCCGAGTACGACCGCCTGCGCCGGCTAGACCGGGCCAGCGCGGTCGGGCGCGGGCCCGCAGGCGAGAACGCGGCGGCGGCGGCGGCGGCGGCGGCGGCTTTCCACACAGGACTGGAGGTGGTTGATCTGGAGGATTTGGAGTGTGAGGAGCGCGAGGACGGAGCGCGCTGGTTCCGCGGGTGTCGGTGTGGTGACGAGAGGGGGTTTCTGGTCACCGAGGCGGATCTGGAGAAGGAGGTTGAGCAGGGCGAGGTGGTGATTGGGTGTCGGGGGTGTAGTCTTTGGATGAAGATTTTGTTTGCCGTGGAAGGGGGGCAGGGATGAAGGTGGAGGCGGGGGGGAGGATACTATAACTTGGTGTGCGGTTATGGCTCTGAATGTTTCAGCGGGTGTATATCCTGCGCTGGAAGGGATGGGGCTGAGGGCAGAGACTTGTTCTTCCTACGGGCGTCGAGATGCAGTGCCGAGGGCATCAGGAGCCGGGGGCTGAGCTGTCATGGCTTCTCTTTTCAGACGGTGTGTCTGAATCCAAACTTGATGCCGTGGTCGCATCATCGCGTGGTCGGTCGATGGTTAGAGTACTATCCCTTTCCTGTGAGATCAAGTCACGATGGCTTCTACGTGAGACACATCATACCGACTGCGACTGCGGTGCGAGGTCGAGCCCAAGGGTGACAGGTACCTGAGCGGCATATTGTACGACTGTACACTGGTACATGGCAAGGCGAGTTGCTTTGCGATCTATGGGGTATAGCTACGTGGGCTTGGTGGCTATGATGTGGGGATTGATGGGATTGAAGAGAGAGAGAGAGAGAGAGAGAAAGAGAGAGAGAAAGAGAGAGAGGGAGATATATATATACAACACGGAGAGCCGCTGTAAGTTGGGCTTTGTAGCTAGAAAATTCCTTTTCGAGGATAATTTCATATGCTCGACATCTCAGGGGAACGATAAATTCTATAGAAATATTTCCAATTTCCCTATATCAGTGCCTTAGGTGTAGCATAAGTAGCTCAGGTAGTGTTCCTGCCATCCACCGAGGGGGCTCTGTTGATGACATATTTCGCCCAAAAACAGAAATAGAAAACCAACACTGATCCAGCTCCTCCATCTGTCAACAACTTCCTCTCTCCTCCATCCCTCTCTGCATTCTTGTCGAATCACAGCCGCCACAATGTCGGCACCGATCCATATCTCCTCAAAGGAGCAATTCAGCTCCCTCCTGACAACCTCCAAATTCGTCGTGGCAGACTGTAAGCTCATCCTCCTCCATGGCTGATTCCCCTCCCCGCCCCGCGCCTGCTTGCTCACGCCGTCCACCCCGCGAGAACTGCATTTTCCTACCTTGCCCTCACTCCGAACATGATACTGACTGCTTTCTTCCCAACCTGGATATAGTTTACGCAGACTGGTGTGGGCCATGCAAGCAGATCGCCCCCGCATACGAACAGCTGGCTAGCCAGCTCTCACGCCCGAACCGGATCACATTCACCAAGGTCAACGTCGATCAGCAGCAGGAGATTGCCCGTGCCTATGGCGTTACAGCGTACGTCCACCTACAGAACTACACATACCCACCAGGGAGGCAACATAAAACAAACCATGGGGCAACGGGGGAGGGGGGGCAGATAAAAAAATAAAGACAGGACAGGCACTAACACCGAACGACAGGATGCCCACCTTCATCGTCTTCCAGCAAGGCCGCCCCATCTCGACCGTCCGCGGCGCCGACCCCAAGGCCCTCTCTGACGCAGTCCGCAAGCTCGCCTCCGAAGCCAGCAAGGAAGACTCCGGGGACGCCTCGGGCGACCTGAGCGGGGGCAACGGCTGGATCGGCGCGGCGGCACCCAAGGGTTACAGCGACATCACGGACCAGCACGAACCCAAGGGCGTGGAGCTGCTGAACCGCGACAGCGACTTCGGCACGGCCAAGACACTCTTCGAGTCGTCGAAGCCGTCGGCGCTCAGCGAGCGAGGCAAGGCGAAGGAGGGCGCGCCCGTGGACTGGGTCGAGAGCGATACCGACGAGCAGCTGATGCTCTTTGTGCCGTTCCAGTCGACGCTCAAGGTCCACTCGCTGCAGATCACGTCGTGTGTGTCTGCGTCGGAGGACGACGAGGATGCACCGATGCGGCCCAAGACGGTCCAGCTGTACACGAACCGATCGCATGTGCTGGGCTTCGACGAGGCGGACGGGATCCCTCCCGTGCAGACCGTGACGATCCAGCCGGAGGACTGGGATGCGAAGACGGCGACGGCCAAGGTGGACTTGCGGTTTGTCAAGTTCCAGAACGTCACGTCGCTGGTGGTCTTCTTCGTGGACGGCGACGGCGACAGCGAGAAGCTGCGGGTGGATAGGATCAGGATCTTTGGCGAAGCGGGTGAGAAGAGGGAGATGGGCAAACTGGAGAAGATCGGCGACGAGCCGGGCGAATAATTCAATGATACCCTCTCTCTCTCGGCCAGAGAATGTGCAATCAGACATGCGAAGACTACTTAGGATTTTATGATTACGACAGCAAACCGAACACCTGCAGCAAATGCGTTTTAAGATTTTTCTCTTGTAGTGTAGAAAAAAACAAACTATCTAAACATCTAACTCTGAAGCCCTCTTCTATCATCACCAAAACGGATAGATAGATAGAAAAAAGAAGCAGTTTGTCCGATCCCAAACCAAATGGTCTCATCCTTGGAAGAAGTTCAGAAAGACCAATAAAGTAGAACCGGTGTGCAATTCCGTTCGTCTGTGACACAACTGACACCTGGGGATACATCACAGAGAAATTGATGTCCAGGCAACACGGGTGAAATAGTAGTTGCGTCGCCGCACGAAGAAAGAAAAGAAAAAGAAAAAAATTTTAAGAAGGCTGGCTGCGTGCGAGGCTATTTATGCTCTCCGGGCTGGGGAATTTTCCTCTCGGATGACGGAGAAAGGATTCTTCCGATCGGATGGGAATTTTTACCTAGGTAGGGGGATTATGTAATTGATTGAGAATTTTTTGTGTGTGTGTGTTTACGTAGTAGTAGTATGGCCAAGCGAGTTTGGAATTATTTCTGGGTTTTGTTTTTTTTTTTTTTTCTTTGGAGATTTCCTTCTTTTTCTCTTCTTCTTTCTTCTTTTCATCAGATCTCCCTTGTTGGAGTACACCATGAAATGTAACAGGGTGTAGGCCTGTGATGAGATAAATGGATGAATATATGATAGGAAGAGACTGAGTCTCCCACTGGGAGCATGATCTCAAATTTCACATCCACTGAGGCCGTCGACAAAATGCAGATTTATTGGGTTTGATCTGGTGGTGTTGGGGGGGATGAATTTTTTTTCCCCTTCGGTTTGTTTACATTTTTTATTGTGCTGCAATCTCGAGGATTGGATGGAGCTGTTTCCGCGCAATGGACAGACAGAGCCAAAGCTTCTTGTAAGTTGTAACACTGCAGATATTCCGTAGATAGCTGCAGCGGTCGTCTTCCTTCGTAGCCCTCTATGGTTTCACTTGAACTCCGTAACTTTTGTCTTCTGTGCTTCGTGCTTCGACTGTACAGGGATCAATGCTTCTGTCCGTGTGGCTGGTCATTTGCTTCATGTCGGGCATCGTGCATCATGTGGCTGTCCTCACGGTCTCACCACCGGTTGTTCCCTTGATGGTCTGTGTGGACGCGGAGTAGAAAAGTCTGCTATCTCTCTCCATCTATCTATCTATCTATCTATCTATCTACAAGCTTCAATCAGTCTTCCCTGGTTGGCGTTGGAGTTGGGAATAGCCGTGTGCTTCCATTCCCGTCTGGATCTAGGAGAACCCTCCGAACCCTGATAGAACAGCACGCTGGCTGATGGCGATGCTGATGCTGATGCGTGTTAGCGATTGGGTGCAAGACCCTTGGAACCGAGACATGCATTCAGCACGGCTGCTCGTATCCAGCTGCAAGTTCTCGGGAGCTTCAACCAGGAAGAGGTCCAGGTGCCAGCTTATCGTCTCCCGAAGCTGAACTATCTCGATTTGGCTGATTTCCTCACCTCCCCGGTGATCATGTGTAACCATTGAACCTACCACGGAGTACCGGCGTGAGCATCATAGCAACCGTGCTTCCCCACAGCTCGCAATCAGATTTTCAAAAAGCACAGGCAAAGGATTAGGAGAAAAAAAAAAGCCACACAGCTCAAGAACCCAAGGCCCCAGCTCTTCAGGGCCCAACTCCCAAAGGGTTTGCCCCAGCTTTCCTCGTGTTCTCTAACTACCAGTACCGTGATTCATGGTAAGTCTGCAATACCTCCGACACCGACCCAGGGAACGACCAGCCACCATTGTTTTAGCTCCGGAGATCTGTACCAGAAAGGTTTTCAAATCTTGTTTGTGATCCCCCGTTCTGACTTCTGGGAATTGGGCATCTGGCTCAGGAGGCCCATCGGTTTCACTTCTCGTGATGGTGGATTTGAGGTGAATCCAGCTCTGGACTATTGGAGCGGCAGATGCCAATCTCAGCAAATGGGTGAAGAACAGTAGCACTGTCGAGGGCGCATTGTCTCATCAAGACCAAAGGACTCGAAGAGCTAGACTCAGAAAACCCAGTAGTCATCGCCGGCTCAGAAGCCTCAGATAAGGCTCGCAAGCATATCTTCGTATTCTGCCGTATCTCTCGCCCTTCTCCAGACCCATATCCATACCCCCATTGTTCCAGGTCTAAACGTGGCCGCGTATAGAGTACTTGCGAAGGCGTCCCACGGCTTCGAAACTCGATTGGCAAATCCCCTCTCTGACGATAACACTTAAACACAGCAGCTTCTTCGTCTGGGAAGTATGACTGACTGTATGAGCCTCTGGAACTGGAAGAGGGTAGTCGGACTGTGGAGTAGTGCGATATGGAGCAAATCCTACCCAGATAGAGTTCTCGCCTGGGTTTATCGGGACCATATTATTCGATAGGCCCTCCTTTAGCTTCCCATTTAGGGATTTTCCCGTCGGTATTTGCATTTTGGAGTCTGCATGCCTCCATATCGGCTACCGGCCCCAAAGTTGTGAATGGCTCCCTTCGAAGTTCGGAGCCTCCGGTTCCCTTCCAGCTTGACCGCTTGGGACTCTGGGAGTCAAGTAGGGGCTTGTAGTTGCAGACCCTCCCCACACGGCCCTGAAGAATTTTGGGACACGGGTGAACACCTCAATAGATATTTGCAGTTTTCTGGACCACTATGACACAAACAGCACCATGAAGCGAGAGGCGCCGGTAGTGAGAGACAGGCTCCTCACAAGGCTCTTAACCCGATTACCCGAGTCATTCTGTCCTCCACTCTGGTTTCATATATTGTCCAAACGACGTCAACAATTGTACTCTGTATGTCGCCAAGGGTCGTGGAAAAGAGTCTTGGAGATTGTGAACCACCGTTCGTCACTGAGCCTCTCGTAGTCGTAGACCGTAGGCCATAGTTAGTTAGAGAGGCGTAGACGCCATCGCATCACGGGAAGAAACATGGAACGGTCATGGAGCAGCTGCCAGCTGGTCACCCGCACCAGCGAACAGCATTCGTGGGTCGGCAAAGATAAGACAGGCACAGGTCGAGAGTTCACCCCGGCTCTCAATAGCTTCAGAGATCAAGGTTAGAGTTTCGTCTCGAGGAGGCACCAGAAACACCACAACCATGGCATTCTTCCCCATGGCGAGCCAAACTCTGTTTCTTTCTACTTTCCTTCTCTGAGCCTCGACATCCTTCGAGAATCAATATGCCACCCAATCTCCAATCCCGACAATGGTTCATTTGCCCCATTTCGAAAGCCTCCTCCCCCAAAGCGAAACTCGACGACGCGAGGACCTTGGATTCCTGGAATCTTGGAATGGGAAGTCTGATCCCAACTTTTTCGTCCTAGACGGCTTCGAGTTTCAACACTAACCACCTCGATCAGCGGGCCGGTAAATCAGCTACATACCAGGGATGGGCTAGCTTCGGTCACTACAGCCAATGCCAGTTGGTCATTGATGGCTCGACAGCGCAGGAACAACTTTAGACTGAAGCGGTGGCTGCAGTGCATGTCCATCTACGGTACGATGCAGTAGTGACAAGCGCTTAGAGTGGCCTCCCCACATTGACTGCAACTAGTACAACCGTACACCTGTAAGGTAGTACTGTCGTCAAGCTCTCAAGCAGTCGTGGCGAATTAGTGCAGTCGAGTGTCTATAGAGTACGGAGTACATCCCGCGTAGAGACTTAGCATGCAGTAGCTTCGCAAGTCCAGCCCGTGGGAGCAGAATGGGCCCTGGGACGGTTGTTACGATGCACGTGTTGACGCCATTAACCTAGGTTTTTTTTTTTGCCCTCCCTCTTATGATTGTCTGTCTCAGTCGACGATCAATCACAATAGCCCCCCCCCCACTAGTAAAAGGTGCCTTGTTGGAATTTGGAAAAAGGAAAGAAAGAAAACGCAGGCTCTGAAGGCCTAGCTGATGATCTCTGCTTGCCAATCACTGACAAACGAGCTTCTTTTCTCGCCCGTCGCTCGATTAGCGCAAGTACTGGACAGTCCTTCCCCCCACGGCATCAGGATGGATCAGTTTGGTTGCTTCTAGGGCCAGCCACCAGGGCGACTTGGCCACCCACCTGGGACAATGAAACGTTCGCTTAGTGGGATCCCTCGTACATATTAAATTGGCGGTGGCCACAGTTAATTAGTATGGATTTGTGGCTGGTCTAGATAGACCACCACGTCGATAACAGCAATATATTCCCGGCTTCAAGATCATGGCAGCCAGTAGGGACTGGGCACGAGCGAGCACGCATATTGTAGTGTATCTCTGGATTCGCCCCCCCGCAAATCGTGGAATAATTTCCAAGGCCCTATCGACAGGCATTAGTCGTACTAGCATGGAGTCCTAGGTCAGTTGTCATCCGCGATGCCCACCTTCCAGATATCCGACGCCCCAAACGAGGAAGATGGCTGCGTGGCGGTGGTAGAGGGTTGATCCTAGGGCTGTTTTGCTGCATGTTTGACAGCCCCCCCCCCTACCGTCGAGGCGTCGATAATGACATACGATATGTATAGACAGAGTGCCGCGGCCAACTAGGCCATACCGACAAGATGGTACTCCGTTCCGGATTCCTTGAGGTTGTCCGGTGGTACGGAGAGAGCGACAATGACAACGCAATTGCTAGTGATGCACACCCGAAAAACCCCGAGATAATGCGTATATTACGCCACCTTGGGGGTGGCCGGATCATTGTCATAGCAAAGAGATACCTACGGAGTAGATGTGACCAAGAAAGACTCGAGAGCATTGAGTATTGACCATATGACCCGGAGGGCACTTGCCTGCTATCTAGTTATCTCTGAAACCTGGCGAGATCTTACCTGAAGGTAGTATCTCTCGAGTAGTAGTGAGCACTGTTGATATGTGAACCTTCACGTCAAAAGGCAGTCGAATGTTCGAGGTGTCTTCTATCCTTGATCCAAAACTGACTCTGGTGTGACAATGTTTAGACTCGTCGGTTCTAACCGTCTGAGGTTTGGAGGAATGAGGTCTGTAATTGCAACTGAACCTAGTTCCGGAGTAACTACTATGGAATCTACAAGGGCAATTACCTCATCACCAATATGGTAATATTATCCTACCTTAGTCTCTAGGTATGCTGGTAGGGACTAGGGAGTACTCTGTAATAACCAGTAAAGTCCAACGATTCGCTAGATTAATTGCTCCTCCTAGCGAGATTAACCACTACTAGGTGCTAAGGTAGATAGATTATAGACACCATTAGCATCAATGAGGATCGACAACATCCACACGGGATTTATAATTGCCAGTAATATCGATGCAACGCCAACTGGGCATCGTCGCCACCTTTGCTGGTGTTTACCAAGTCAGTCGACCTTCCCCCCTGATTGGTGAGCCCAGATGCGCATAGTCTGTTTCAGATGCTGAGCTTACCAACATTCTACGTTTTTTCCATTTCCTTTCTACTTTGAGGTGCTCGACCGCGAGACTGGGTACTGGGTAGTCTAGTCTAGTCTAGTCTACACTCTACGGAGTACACCGTCAAGATGGGTTGCAAATTGCAATTTGAGGTCAAGGACTCCTCAGGTACGGGTTGTGCCCCCATCTGCCCTCGCCAGTTAGCTAAGTGGGAGGATCTGCTGATTGCTTGCAATTATTTTGTTATTCGCTTGATGCTTGGCGTTGATAGCTAGCTAGCAGCTATATCTACTGATTGTTAGGAAGAGGCAGAACAGCCTTGTATTACGGTTGTATGATAACACAATGGAGGAGGTAAGGTAGTGGAGGAGGTATCTTGCAGCGTACTCCGTAGATATCTGTTCATTCAAGATCCGATGTTTTCCATGGGTTATCTCGGACTGTGGAGGATACTGAGAGCGAGATAGGCACCGAGTCCTAAGATACGATAAGGTATGCTCGTATTTGACCCTGTAATCTGGTACGTTGATAATAAGCTTTGCAGGAGAACGCTACCTTGCAGTTTTCAGAGGCCTGTCGCAGTCGCAGAACACATCCGAGACGAACTCCGTAGGGTATCTTGAACTGAGTTGACAATTGACATGCATGGCATGACAGGCTAAAGAACTCCATCTAGTCAACAAGAAGTGTCCAGATTCCATGGTACTGGAAGTCCCAAGCCGCTTTCTCTGCAGTCTGTACAGACTACAGAGCTCCGTTTCCCCACTCCGGTATTGCATGATGTGATTTTGCTCCATCGCAACGACAGTATGGAGAGACAGGAAACGGAGGAGGTACTTGGATAGGTAGGTACCTGTGGAACTGAGCATGCTCATGTCCTCATGTTTAATTGAGAAGTAGAAGCTAAGTGGTTATGTTCATTGCGGTGGACATTGGGAACCAAATTTGAGACTTATCATACGGTCATTTGGATATGGGGGGGGTTTTTTTTTTTTTTTTTTTTTTGCTGGCGATATTGGATGATAGTATGATGTCTTTATCCATCCTGCACCTCGGACATTTGAAAATTTTCAAAAAAAAAAAAAAGTTCAATCAAAATGGATCTCTGGGAAATGAAGTGAATCTAGCATGCAAATAATAGATGATAATATGGCCACACAAAGTATCTTCCAAGTGACTAGTCAACGGTCAACAGACATCCAAGTCCTCATAGTCCTAACAACACCAAAACAACAACATCAAAAATCATCCCCAAAGCTGATTCGTCCGGAAAAAAAAAATAAATCACTCGTCCAGGGCCTATCTTTTCACTCGCACGGTCGCCAGCTCCGGAATCCCATACGGAGTAGTTAGTCCATAGTCCATACTGAAGAGCGAGGACCTTCCCGCGAAGCCGCTGGCTCGGACTACCGCCCCGTCCGCTATCCGCGGATGCGCCATCCAAACCCACAATGGCCCAATCTGGTAATCTTCAGTATTTCAGGACCTCCAAGGTTCAAGAAGTAAAAGGGTCCCGGACACCGGCATAGCCATTCTACTAAGTACTAGTTTTGTAGTTGTTTGAAATTTTTGAAAAGTCTGGAACTCCGGAGTCTGAAGGTTTGGAGTTTTATGCGGGACCCGCATCTATCTAAACCCCGTAGAATAAAGAGCTCTGCAAAAAAAAAAAAAATAATATCGCCGTGCGTTTTTTCGTGTGTTGTCAGTTGTCTCCAAGACTCCAACTCTCTTTCGGACTCTCCATTTGACAATGCCACCAGCCTCGGTTAGCGATCGACGTCTCCATCATGCAAGACAACGGTTGGAACTATTTGTTCTAGGCTACGGTAGTCCTTCGGTCATCATGCGCTCGGACTATGTGGCTTTGGAAGGAGTTAGAGGGTAAAATGGCGGTAGGTACGGACTACGGAGGAGTTACTAGCCTGTTAACTAGGTAGGTAGGTAGCTTACTAGTAGGTCTGTAAAAATGTAACCATGTACTCTGTCGTAGACTCGTAGGAACTAGGAAGTCCTCAGGTAATAATGAGTAGTGTAAATAATTCACCCCAAGAGGAAAAGTAAGTAACGGCTATCCATTCCGCTAACGAGTTTAGATGCCACTGGCAGTCTGGCACCATTGGCAGTCCCCTGTTGCTCGCTAGCTAGCCCACTCCACCTTCGACCTTAGTAGTATCTGTCACGGCAAGTCATCGAGAGCTGTCAACAGTCAAATCATCGAACGAACGAATTGGCGACGCCCAAGTTTCAACAGTCAAACAGTCAAACAGCCCGCGAACCACCGATCCAGTAGGATCACATGCTCCAACGGCGGTGATCTATCAACTCTCTATTAGAATCAGAGGAACCATCCGATATCTATATTAAACGGGTGGCGAGCTTCTTTCCTGTTCCTCTTGCTTTGTTCCCATAGCCACTAATTGAGAGTGAAAAATGTGATCCCTCAATCAATTTTTTTTTTTTTTTTTTGTTGTCTGTGCGACAACGGCTTATTTTTTTTTCCCCTCTTTTCTTTTCTTTGTATGGACTATGAACTATGGACTGTGGCACTGTCCGTTGTGGCAACAGTAGTAATGATGAACAGGGGAAAGCATGGTTAACTGGTTACACATAAATCCATTCTCTAAGTAGTTTCTTTTACACAGAGTATTTCTCTCATGCTATTCACCCTCGAGGGACCATTCCTTACAGAGTTCCAGTTTTCCTTACGGCTTTTTCAACCTCCGGATGTCAGATGATTGTATGCGACCGTCCCCTAC